ATGGATTTCAGTATTTTGTACCTGTATTTGAATGGGTTTTTTTTTTTTTTTTTTTGGGGGGGGGGGGGTATACGTCTATAACAAAATGAAATATCCTGTTTATCGGTTTTTAATTTCGTTAATTTAATGGTGTTGCCATGATTAGTTGATTTTTGAAATAAAATAATCCGAGAAATTCGTTCAAAATGCTAATCACCCTGCAGTTTTACTCTGATATTTAAAAAAAAAAACCTTCATACAAGTAAACTACCTTAAATAACATAATGTGTATCAAGTTTTGTTAAAGATTTTGTCGTGGCTACTAAATATAGAATGATCTGTGAAATTAGTTTAAAATGTTACTCCTTCACAACTATATATTATCCGTCCACGATAAGTTGACCGAGCGGATGTAACCTTTGCATGATCATTTTTTTTTTAACGATTCTGTTTACTTTCCGGTTATGACAGGTCACAGAAAAATCAATAACTTACATTTTACATGTTGACCTGGTTACTTAAAATAGAATTTAAAAAAAAATCTTTCAAAGTACCACTTGTCCTTCAGTTTTGGCTTGATACGTGTAACTATAAAACTTGGTATCAAAAGGGGTTTCAAGTCCAAAAACAACTAGATACAAACCTTGAAACCAATAGAGCTACAATCTCGTCAGAGATTTCTGGTTTATTTATCTTTTTAAAGGTAAGAGTTTAAATATTGAAATATATGTTTGGTGTAAAGCATGTACTTAAGTACAACATGTTAAAAATGCATCTATCTCTAAACGATATATAAATTGTCTAATGATGTATATATTGAAGCAAAAAATTAGACTCTTAGGAAACCTATAAATCACGTGTTGCTCTTCTGCTTCTTTATTCACTTTAGTTTCTTTAAAATCATTTGTAAAAACACCGGTAAAATTAGCTGAAGACGCACAATACTATAGATAATAAACATCTTAATTTTCGGTAAAACATTTTTTGTACCTCAGACCGTAATGAGTTGGAGAGATTCCATTTTACAAAAGTAATGAGTTTTTCTCTATCATATATATTTTTTTCAAAAGTGAAAACTGGGAATTTTTTAAAGTATGAAACACTGAAAATCTAATTATGAAAAGATCCAAGGAAAAAACATCTTTTGATAAAAGAACAGTTGCTGGGCGTTCTCTGCTAGATTGGATTTTATGGAACAAAGAATGACTTTCCATTTCTTATGATTTCGATTCGCAAAAGGAGCATCATTTGTATGTGTGCTCAAAGAATTAAATGCACAATCAAATACTTAGAGGGATTTGTGATTCTTATTCCCAGACCGTATATCAGCAACAATTGCGCAAGACATCTGCACCCCTCCTCTAGGGTTTTAATCAATGTATTAAAAACAAAAATAAGTACAAAGGAGATATCGTGAGGTATAAAATATCAGGGTTTTTTAAAAATAAATTAAAGACACAAAACAACATGTTATAACAAGCCAACGATGGATTTTATATATAATGAAATTATTTAATATTCCTAATGTCGAAAAAAAAATAGGAGTTTTATACTAGCAAATCCTAGACAGTCATGTGTTCTTTGAAGCAAGCTTAAGTCTCAATAAGTGAAACAAGAATCATATCTAAAGTCAGGCACGTAGTATCGTTTTTGAAAGGGTGTAGCCAGAAAAAAATGATAACTTACCTGAAAAACTTTGACAAAAAAAGAAAAAGAAAGAAAGAATAAAAAAAAAGAAGAAAGGGGAAATTTTCCAAACTCGAAAACTCTAATTTCTGGGGTGGGGATAGGGGTGTATGGTTTTAACTTCCTTTTTATTAATACATATCCAAATTACCATGCATGATTTAACTATGTTACAAAAAAAGTGGAGGGCATGCCTTTCAATGAACATTTACAATAGTTAAAGGTAATGTTTGGAAAAAAAGTGGGGGGGGGGAGACTAATCTGCCCCCTCCCCTTCCCCCCGATACAACTTGTCTGAAAGTTAAAGGCCCAAAGTGCAAATCAAATAAGAAATGATATATGATATATTATATCTCTTTTTATGCCCCCGTATCGAAGATTCGGGGGTATATAGTTTTTGCCCTGTCCGTCCGTCTGTCTGTCTGTCTAGCTGTCTGTTTGTCAGCAAAAACTTCAACCTTGTCCATAACTTTTGATTGGTTGGAGCTGTGGCTTTCATATTTCACATGTGTATTCCTTGTGACAAGACCTTTCTTTGGGTACCATCATATTTGACGTTTTGACCTTGACCTTGGAGTTTGACCCAGTTTTGCAAAATTTTACCAAAAATTAACCTTGGTCATAACTTTTGAACGGTTGGTGCTAGTGCTTTCATACTTCACATGTGTAATCCATGTGACAAGACCTTTCTTTCAATACCAACAACTTTGACCCTTTGACCTTAACCTTGGAGTTTGACCTACTTTTGAAAAACTTTAACGTTGGCCATAACTTTTGAACGGTTGGTGCTAGGGCTTTCATACTTCACATACGTAATTCTTCTGACAAGACCTTTCTTTGAATACCAACAACTTTGACCCTTTGACCTTGAAGTTTGACCTACTTCTGGAAAACTTTAACCTTGGCCATAACTTTTGAACGGTTGGTGCTAGTGCTTTCATACTTCACATATGTAATCCTTGTGACAAGACCTTTCTTTGGATACCAAATCCTTGACCCTTTGACCTTGGAGTTTGACCTACTTTTGGAAAACTTTAACCTTGGTCATAACTTTTGAACGATTGGTGCTTCGGCTTTCATATTTCACCTGTGTATTTCTTGAAAGAAGGCCTTTCCTTGGGCACCATTAATTTAGACCATTTGACCTTGACCTTGATGTTTGACATACTTTTGAAAAAACGTTAACCTTTTCCATATCTATTCAATGGTTGCTGCTAGGGCGTTCATATTTCAAAGATATATTCCTCGATACAAGACCTTACTTTGTGTACCAACATATTTGACTTGCATTTGAGAAAGTTTTACCTTTGCTATAATTAAGTTGCCATACGGGGGCATCAGTGTTTCACAAACACATCTTGTTTAATTGTTAAAATAATTTTGCATATTACTGATTTCTTATTTCAGTGCTCTGGTAATTTCAAGCCGTGTCCAATATTGAAATATAATAAATATCGAAAGTTATGTTCTCTGATATGCATATTTTAAAGAATTTTTCATAAATGTTAACATATATTAGAATTGTAATAAAATATGTAACTAAGTACTTTTTGAGAGAGAATAACATTTTCAGTAGAACATAATAAATGTGGTTTAGGGAGTTTCGTACATAAATGCAACAACTTGATAAGACTTTTATTACACTGAACAGAAAAAAAAATTAATATCGCCGGAAAACTGTGAAAAGTAGTGATAAAACCTCGATAAAGTGTGAAACAGCGTTCTTCTTTACAAATTCTGGATTTTGAATTAAGCTACCTTCTATCTAGATCTTTTGTAATTGGTAAAACAAGCAAAACCGCTACCCCCGTCACTTCATTACAGATCAGACGTGGGGAATATTATTTACAAACCCGAGAACAAGAAATCTCTCTAAAAATAGTAAGTGATGAAGTTTGCACATCGCAGTCTTCAGGGATTATCTCTTTGATGCCGATTTAATTCTTTATACCTGATGCAACATCGCTGTTAAAGCAACGCTCTAGAAAACTGAAAACAGAAGATGGGAAACAGGGAAAAAACAGATGAAAACGTTTGATACTGTCGAATATTTATTCTTTTCTTTCCCCCTGTTATCTTCAGCAAAGATATAATTCAATCACTTTGAGTTTCAGCATGTATTTTTAAAACGAATTATTGAAGCCGTAGAAAGCATGTGAGATTTATTTACTCATTTTGTGTAGGTATTTACAATTTTTTAAACACACTTGTGTATAGACATTGAGTAATTTTGGCCAAGTGGACCTTTAGTTTCATAAGCACTTAAATTAAATTTAAATGAAACAATTCCATTATGCCATTGAGCGTTTAAGGGTCTTTTCCCATGCAGAACATCTCAATGTTCAAGGGACAGATAAGCGCAGTGATGGTTTAATAACCAATCTTCCTGGGCGGATCCAGGATTTCAATTTATGGAAGGGTGAACGTAGGAAACAACATACACTCAAAATACAATAAATGTGCATTTAATAGCATATGTTTTAACAAGACTTTCTTAAGGGGGTGGGGGGCACTTCCAAACCACCACTGATTTTTTTTCTTTATTCATGTTCTACATGTAAACATATTTGAATTAGACTCAACAGATGAACTCAATGGTATTTTGATCAACTCATCAAAGTAACCTAACAACAAACATTTTCATAATTCTGCTTTATTGGTGCATATATCGTACAAACAGTGTACATTGAAGTACATTGATGCTATAAATATATTAATGGTGTATAACAGGTTTCGTCTGGTCACAATAAACAATACACACTTTTAACATTTACATGTAAGTAGTCTGCTGTCAATATTACCATTTATGAATGATTAGACTTTCACATAAACTTGATATTAAAGACTAAACATTCTGTATGGAATAAATCAAGTCCCTTCATTTTGCTTCAACACTAACATAGAAAGTGCTACTCTCTCCAGTCTTTGAAGCCACACATTAACAATTCGTTATCATTACTATTCGGAAATGTATCTTGGGATGGATTTTTCAATTCATATAATTTTACAAAACTGGCCATGGATAATGCAGATAATATCATTAATAGCTGGTACTGGAGATTTATAGTGAGTGACCATAACCTGAAGTAAACGTTTGTCAATCTAATAATTGAATATTTTATTTGTAAATTCTTGCTTGAGGAAGATAATTTGTACAATTTTCAGTCCAGTGTCTGCCCTATCAGAGTTTATAAGTGTGTCTTTCCAATAAGATTTTTTTTTCTGAGGCTTGCTGGGCAGGCCTAGGTAGTTGAAATATAAGAAGCAATATACATCTACTACCCAAATACATGTACTTCAGGGTTGATGAAATGTGTAAATATGAAACATCATAAAACATTTCTTACTAAATTCTTTATTGTCTCAATAACATACTATATTAAATATTAACTCATATAAAACATTACTTCTTACAAGTTTAAAACCCTATTTTGAGGAATGTTTAAAATTACAGTGTATTACAGCCAACAAAAAAAAATGCATGGAATTTTTCAATAATTTTTCTAAGAAAAAAACTTCAAATACTCTCCCCTTCGTCAGATTCTAATGTGACTCAATACAATCCTAAAGAATAACAATTCCGTATCACATACAACATGACTATATGATAAACAATAATACAATTTCTCTATCACACTTGATATATGATATATGAGCATTTCTCAACACAAACAAAACCCACCCTTGCCTCAAAATTGACAGTTCTTTTTTTTTTTTTTTTTGGCAAGGATCAAGTTTGATAAGCGACATCCCTATAATGTGAAGTGCCTGTCTAATTAATATCACAAAAACACAAAGTGATTTTGAAATACATACAATACTTTTAGTACTGGTATCGAAGGTACATGTAAATGCTGAAATCTTAAGTGGTTTATACATGGTGTTATATCACAGAATTCAGGATGAAATGGCATTCTGAACAACATTTGTTAATCAACACAAAACACAAAAAAGCTTGCTAACATAAAACATATACATGTATACTGAAGCACTTTTTTTTAACACAGTTTGATACATTAATTCTATTTCCGACCATACTTTCGTATTATAAGCCGGAAATTTAAAAAAACAAAACAAAAAAACAACGCACACACACATTCACACATAGCATTAATTCTGCTTTAATTTCTCATTTTAAATGTTAGTTGACCGATATATCATTTATAGATGAAAAATGTTTAATTTAAACACAATTATGCTCAAAACAGCATTCACTTTCTGAGAAAATTTACCCCTTTTATTGAACACAACAGGAATCATTACAATATCAAGAAAGGAGAATGTAAATACAGTGAAAACTGTCTAATCTGACACCTTCCTAATCTGTTTCACTGTGAATTCCAACCTTTATTTCAATTCCCATTTTACTATTTTCCATGTTCTTGACACTGTGTAATCTGACACCCTCTCTATTCTGACAAAAATTTAGTCTCCCAATGCATGTCAGATTAGACAGGTTTCACTGTACTTATTTCTCTGCTGTGTTTGTTTTATTTAAAGTTATGTCATCACAAATGAACTTATAAAATTCATACATATTCAATCCCAGACATAACTATAAGTTCATAACTAATGTATCACAATATTCATGGTCAACAAATATTAAAATAAAGCACTATTTATTCTAAATATAGTAACACAGGAAGCCTACATAATATGACTAGATATCATGATCTATATAATCAAGCACAATTAACTGAACACAAAATTTTGAATAGAAAGGTCAATCAAATTGTTCATTAAAAAGTTTTACAAAACACAATTCGTCTCAAAATCTCTGTTACCAAAACTTATTTTATTAAAAGATGGTGACTTTATTGCATATAAACATTAAGCATATATATATTACACACTTACTAATGAATTGTTTAAATATCATAAATTGGAAACCTATCAAATTAATTCACTCCTTTGAATAAGCCATTATTCAAATCTTCTTGTGAAAAATATGTCCTAAAAGCCATAAATTTTCTCACGTTAACTAAGTAAATGACATCACAATTAATCTGTATCACCTTGGCTAAATGACCTTGAGGTTTGAGTCAATGAAGATCTATATACATTGAGACATTACGGGTTTATTGTAGACTTGCCAATTTTTAAAGTTAACACTTCAGCAGTACAAACACCAACAACTAGGTGAAGTCTTCTCGGTAATTATTGCTGAGTTGGAGACGTAACATGCCTACTGGACTAGGAGACACACTGCACTAGTCCTGTGAAAATATCCACGCTTCCAGCACCTTGACGATGAAATCTTCTGATGAGGTGAGAACATCATTGTCATAGGTATCACAGTGATGAGTCTGACCATGGTACAGATCACCATCAAACCACAAACCAAACAGGCCTCTAAAAATAACAATGGACTTTACTTTAAACAAGGAAAATCGTTGATGTTTTCCTGACAAATGTCTAAACAACTACTCATGCTTTTAAAATAAAAATAGACAATGCTAGATGAAATCCTGCAAAAGTATGGGTAATTGAAATTTAACCAACGGAATACCGTTAGTTCCATTAATATATCTTATAGTTTCTACTGAAAGTTACAGGCTTATAGCAGGAAAAAATACTTTGTTCAAATCCTGCAGTTGGTTTAGGAGCAGAAGTAGATTTAGCCCCCCCCCCCCCCCCCCCCCCTCCTCCAGTCTTTCACTAATTGACATTTTTTCTCTTTACATGTTAGCAACTTTGCCTTATGAATTATCATAATACAAAAGACTGTATGCAGAAAAATTGATTAAAGCACAAATTATTAAAAGCTTTAGTAAATTTGAAAAATTAGAATGAACCACTTTTACTTCATCTTGAACAATACCATAATCATTATTTGATATTTTCTCTTTAGCAAGTTATTACTATGATATACAAATTGTACTTCGGGTTTGTTGCCATGATGCTCTCAGTGGCAAATATGCACATTTTACAGGTAAATTTATAAACACAACTGACTAATTATCTTTTGATATATTAAAATATATTCACAACTTATAGTGATATCAATTGCTTTACCACGATTTCCATGGATTCACATACAAAAACATTTTTTTTTTATTCATGTGGTGTTAATTGCCTCATTTTTCTTTATACATTGGGTTCGACGCCATCTTATGTTCCAGAAAATTCCATAAGCTATCAGATCAGATACTGGCCAAAAAGATCTGTACATTTTTTTTTTTAATCAGAAATCATATCAAAATTTCATCTGTATAACTTAAATCAAGTTTTCATTGAATAATTCATTATTGACATTTTATCAAATAATTAAACAATTGCTTGTTGTTTCTTTCCGTAAAAATTACCAGTAACTTAGATCTGCCAACCGTTACCACCACGTTACTCTCTTTTTTGCTATTCACAACTGTTTATCGAAAAAGAAAGTAGACTTTTAATTAAATGTACAATAATTGATACGCGAATAAAATCTGAACATAGTTTACGGACATCATCTTATACCTAGTGTAATATAGGCAGAGTAATTATGAACTCTGGTGCAGTCGTTTCAGAATTTATTTGCAAAATTTATTAATTATAGAGATGTAGACAATATGGAGGGAATGATCCTTTGTTAAAAGTTGGTTTTCCATTAATTTATCTTAGATGTACTTTATTACTTTATTTCACAAATTTTTTTTTTCCAAATACAAATGCCTCAGTGGATGATAATTCCTGATCCCTAAATTCAGTGAAAGTCAGAAAGAACCCCTTATCAAACCTGGTGAAATCAGCATAGATATATATATACTAACTGGCCGGCCCCTATAGATAGACTCTCCTGGTTGCCTTTGATGAAAAAATTATTGTCTCCTGTCCACCTAAATACCTGTAAATAACATTAATAAAACGCAATGAATTCAAAGGTAATATTTATTAAAATATACCAATACATTGGACAGCTGGTTAAGGAAAAGGGAAGTTGAGGAAAAAGCATGTCTGGGATAAAAGCCATTAATCTATACATTGCTACACATATTATAACAATACTAATATACTGTAAATGTAAAAACAAGATTCTTAAAATATTGTTTGCTTTGAATTATTCTGATAAGTATATACAGAGTACATTTACATAGACATCTTCCCATACCTTGAACTCTGGATAGAATGTAAATAAAAATGATTCCCCCGTTCCGTAGAAATGGTCACTTGGTTTCAGTTCACAAGATGTCACTGCCCCAAAGATCTATACAACACAGAAAATGGCACAATTAACATTTTGAAAATGAGTTATTTGTATAAACAAGAGTCTTAGACACTACTTCTGCTGAATAATCTCATGTAATAACAAGGAAGATAACTCAGATTCATGCAATTGAAATCAAGACTCTCGCAAGCAAAAGAATGTACATTTCAATGGTATCTTATGTGAAAACATCACTCAAGTGAAATTCATGTACATGTAAAAATCTAAAGTGAATTGCACATGGAATTCTTTACATATGAAGTTTATGCAAGGCTTTCGGCTATTAGCTAAATTAAGACAAGAGAACCAATAATACCTTTATTTGGACAGAAGATTGCAGAGGGCAGTAAGCACATTTAAGTACGGTACATGTACCAGGATACTTTTTTTTAATGTAATGTCCATCACAACTGTTTACTTACATTGTCATTAGTGTCCTTGACTAGGAGCATGACAGGGCTGTCCACACCTTGCATATCTCTGTACAGGGTTTTCAGGCTAAAGCCATGCTGTTCTGTACTGTAGATCAGTGTCCAGGGGTAACCAATGGTCCGGGCCGGCATATGTCGACTGAGCTGTAATACAGAAGATACATCTTACATTTCATACATGTCACAGCAAATTCAAGTCCTAAGCTTATTTTTCATGTTCCTGCCAGGTAAACTCAAATTTAGAAACATTAATAATTTCTGATTCAGTGTACAGATACCCAGAGATTTCTGACTTCTTATCTTACCATGAGTACGTGATAGTCATCTACAATGGTGGATTGTCCATGTAGCTCTGGTAAGATCGGTGTTTCCTCTGTTTCGGACTTCCTCCTGTTGGCCTCTTCTGCACTGATTATCTAAACAAAATTAAGTCAAACATAAGTCACAGTGTTTTCATTACCTCTAATGCTTTGCATGAAGATTCAGAATAACAATTGTCTGAAATCCCTATTCATCCTTCTCTGTGCTCATAATTGTTAATAAAGTAAATGTACTCATTCTCTCCCTTTTTTTCATGCCTTGTTTATAAATGCAATTCCCACAACACATGATCTCATTTACATAGCATGTTATTATTTCCTTTGTGTTTACATATTCCTTTCATACAACATTTAGACTGCAGTTTTATTTTGTAAAGCAAACTTCCCACCAAAAAACTAAGTATCTACCCTCTCCATACCTGTCAATGGTACACAAAGCATCTGAATTTATCCCTTCTCTTTTTTTTCAGCTCCATTATGTAACAAATTGAAGTCTGTAACTATTAATTTGATTCTTACCACATTCCTGAAGTCCTATAAGCCCCCTATCCTCCACTACTAAACTCTGAAACTCTATACTCAATTTTCACCATCCCTACCTCCCAGTCTTTCTGTAAAGCAGTCAATCCATTGCTAAAGTACTCTTCAAAAACTTCCATTTCATCCGGGTCATCTTTATCGTCATCATCAAGGACAACAAAGCCCCTCCTCTCCGCAGAAATTTCCTCATCGTCCCCATACAACTCTGGCTTCCACTGGACAAAGAATGCGTAAAGCTGATCCACCCTACAAGGCAAAATAAATGTATCATTTCAACAATAACCTAAATGTTTTTATTTCCTTTAATTAAAGCAGCAATATGTAAAAAAGGGTATGCTACTTAGAATGTTGCTCAAAAAAATAATTAATTTCCAATCACACAAATTTAAGGTACTTTCACATGGTAGAGGACTCACAAGCATTATCTTTATAAGATTTAACCATTATTACATTAGGAAGATTTCTGACATGTATTATTCCTGAGCTGAGCCACAATGACCTACTTTTCTCTAGGTATGGAGAACCAGTACTCTGGCTTCTTTTTCTTTTTTGTGTAGGCTTGGATTGGTGCTGTCTCAGAGACATGTTTATTGACAGGTTTACCCAGATGTAGACAGAGGTACAGGGGTGGATCCTCTGCAGCAACAGCGGGGCGGGGAATCAGTTCTGAAATAATGGAGGGAGGGTGTCAGAACAGCTTAGTGTGCAAGTCTATACTAAGAAAATATTTTGTTACAAAGTAAACATTGGGAATCATGTAAATAAGAGGGAAAGAAATTACATATTTACTGACAGATTTTAGTTTGACAGCTTGATTTCCTTCTATAATCACTATCAATATACATGTATTTTGCATGTACATGCATGTAATATATCTGTAAATCAGAAATCATTGCATTTTTCCAACTATACTGAATTCCTTATCAGATTCAAGTATATAAATAAAACAATATCAACATCTATAACATGTATGTTCCTTAGTAAGACAAATTAAACATGCTGCAACCTTTGCTTCAAGTTTTTTTTTAAGCATATTGGTGTTATACTCTAGAATGACATATATTATTTTAAAAGGCCCTTTTGAGCTCTCTTCTTGCTAATGCAAAAGCAGCAGTTTTTCAGCCTTGCATGAGTTGCCAATTTCTGATGCCCTAAACACATCTGAACCTTTCTCTTCATGTTTTAAACATAATAACAAATATTAGCCAAGCTATGTGTTGAAAGATGCAACACGGGGATAAAACATGCAAAGGACAAGGTATGGTAAAGGCCGAATATGGCCCCTTATTTGATATAAAAAAAATCAGAACGCGGTTAAAATTGCAATAATTAGCAATTAAGAACTTTAAATGCAACTTGTTTTAAAACCAGCATTAATTTTGATTGAAACTGTACAGGGAAGCCACATGAGGGTGACAAAGTAGAACATTTTACTAAAATTTCTCTCCATTCTGATGGAATTTTGTAAAACTTGAGATACTTTTCAATTTGGGAAACATAGAGCACAAGCTTGCTCATCTGACATTTTTAAACACAAGATGTGTCTGATACTTACGCCTGAAATATACAAATTTGGTAGATAGGCAAGATTGTGCTCTGTGATTTCTGAACCAAAATGCGCTTTAAAATTAATGGAAAATTGAATAAAAAGAAACTTTGGAAATTGACAATTTTGTGACCTCTGTGTATCATATCACTTTATATATCAAAACCTATACTCATTTTGTAATGTGGATACAAAAGGTTTTTGATTATGAAGTACTGCACCATTTTAAGAGATACCTCAAACCAGGGGCCAAAAAGGGGTCTTAGCCTATCTTGTCCTTTATCAACTTTTCATGCATAAAAACAAAGAATTCTAAAATGTTTCTGCAAGTAAACTTTACCCTGTATACTATTTGCAGTGCTCTGCAACTAGTCTCTACCATGTAACTGGAATTTTTTATTGTAAAATGTACTCATGCCAGTTTCTGTTTGCAATGCAATGCTGCCAGTATATACTATAATACAGTAATTTCTGCATGGACTATTAAATTACTCTTTGCTTGCAATGCTCTATAGCCTTTATCTACTGCAAAATACCTAGATACTATACATTGATACAAAGGTCCCCACTTTTACATGAAAGTTTTTTCCCCTGCATGAAATCAATGCAGTTGCATGTTTGCTTTCTATGTATTGCAGCATTAACATAGATCTTGCAATAGCTAGATTAGTAAACTTACTGTATTTCCATGAAAGTTGAACATTTATGCATTGTATAAGCTCTGTTACAAAATACAACACCACATGAATTCACACACAGTGGTTAACAGTGATTGATCACTGACAAAACATGGTTGTAAGTATTATAGACACACAGTGAAATCAGGAGATGCAAAACTAATATGACAGCTAGTCTTCTATATACTGTATTTCTTATCCAAATGACCAGTCTTGATATAGAAGAGAATACCACAGGGTGAGAAACAAAATTCAGTGACCACTCGATCCAGGGAATGAGTTTGAGATCATATCCACTTTTCCCCTTGATGATTTTACTGGTTCCTTATAAAACTTGCTTTTTGCCAAGTAATAAAGAATAAAGTTTGTTTTAGATTAAAGAGCTAGGTTCACTTTATGCTTAAAATGGCCCTGTAGATATACCAATTCATTGACTAACATTCCATGTTTTATTTCAAACATGAAGATAAAGTATAGACTTAGTGCTTTCATTTCTTATTAAAAATTTTCTCCAGAAAGTTCAGGTATTGGAAAACAGGCTTTATGAAATTGTAATGTTCTTGAATCTTATGGAAAACAGGTATATTTGAGTACTTTCGGAGAAGAAAAATAATATGAGCACACTCCTTGATCTAAGAAATAAATCATGTTTTGTAATCCTCAAAAACAGTTCTATAATTTTATAATTGGATATTTTAGATCAGAGGTTGCGCTCTATATGAAATATCGAAAAATAGCTTTAAAGATTGGCCATTTTTGTAGATTTTTTCAGGATATGATGAAAATGACGCAATTCATGACATCATAATGCATTCACTAGCCAGAAAATTGTGTCATTTTTGATAGATACACAATCACCAATGGTCAAAATGGTAATTAATGCATTGTCAACTTAAACTAAGCAGTTTCACTTTTTTAGAAATTCGCAGGGCCAAAAAAGGCCCTAAGTAAAGCTTGTTTTTTCTTTATCTTTTCAAACTTGTCTGATGTACATAATTATGATATCTGTTCATTCAGCATCTAAGTCTCTTGTCAAATCTGAAAGTACCTTTACTTTTGTTTCATTCTCTTGACATTATCACCAGATATAAATAGAAGAAATTGTCATGCCAAAAATTTTGGTCGTCACCAGGGATAAGCAGATTACAACATCCACTTGTTCTTGGTCAATTTTCACTAATCCTGGGCAAGTGGACAAGTGCTTTTTTCGCACCCTGTACCATAAGGGCAATTATTTTTAAATTTGATTTTAGCATTGAACACTAACTTCTATGAATAAAATTATTAAGTAGACTGCCAACTTAGATTTAAGCACGAAAATTGGAAAATTGTCTTCTAGACTATCAACAAATTTTAAGGTAATGCTCTGTATAAACAGGAAGGTAAAATTTTGTGTAAAGGGTAAACACTGTTTTTGTGTAAACATACTGCACTGTGGTGAAGAGAAAAGGGGAGATAAATTGTTACCTTTGATTAAATCTGACAAGCTGTCATCTGAGAAGTAACACTTTTGATTGTCAACTAACACACAAATACATCATAAAGTCTAGTCATTTTAACTTTACACATGTAAACATTTTTTATCATGACATTTCTGCAGTCTTGTCATTCATGTATCAAAACAAAGATTTTTCATAAAACAAACATTAGAAAAAAAATTAATAAAGAATGACAATTTTACAGAGGACAAAAAAACTAGCAAGTCACTAAACAAAATCTGGAGAGATCTAAACAATATGAAAGGCATTTTATATGTAATAAATGCCAAGTAAAGAAGAAATTACAGAAAGACAAAATCCAAGCTCTGAAAAGCAAAACACTTACCCAAGCCTTGTTAAGTTAGTCAAGAGAAAACAAATTAGTTAAAAAAAATTTTTTAGTTGCACAGATTTTTAAATTTCAATCTCAAGACAGCTTTACAAATATTTTCACTAGCATGGAATTCTATTCTATGAACTACAGAGACAAGAGTTAGCTTACTATCAAAGGACTGGAATAACTCAGGTTTATCTGCAAGCTTAACTGCATTCTCCACCTCCACTTCAAGATCTGCCCCCATTGGATCCGACTTCTCTTTAGGTGAAGAACCCAGGGATCTCAATCTCTGTTTTATCATGTCACTTTTTCCCTTAATATCCAGTATATCAGTTTTCCCCTTTTCATTATCATGAGTTACCTCCCCTATGTCCTTAACTTCTGAACCAGTTTTAAACAATCCTGTTGCGTAATTAACAAAAGCATTCAAGTGAGGAGCTACGTTAAATGAACCAAATGAAGCTGACCTACTCTCTGATTGGCTAGGCTGCTGAACTAATGGAATATCTACAGGAGTGGATCGAAACTTTTGCTGTTCAAATTCCTCCACACTTAACTTAGAGAGTGCTACCTTGGCAGTTTCTATGTCTTTAGCAGTTACCTGCCCTTTAGAACTTTCTGACACAGGGAGATTATGGTACACAATGTTTCCTATTCTCATTTCTTTTGGCGATGTCCCAGGGACTGGGCTAGGGTCATTTATCCTATCACTCTCATTTCCACTGAAAAACATGGGCTTAGACTCGGATTCTGTATCAAATGAAATCAAATCTTTCTCTTTTTCAGAATTATATGAAACATCATTTGACTTATTTGTACCATTTTTCTTTGATTCAATACCAGGGGAGGAACCATTCACTTTTTCAAAATCTTGCAAATCAGACTCAGAAGAAACAAATTCTCCAAAATCGTTAGGTGATGTCATTTCTAATTCACCAGTATGATAATCAGTGTTTTTATCCCTGTCAGACATGTTACTGACAGCGCTGGACTGACTGTTGTCACCTTTTACTGGGGAGTTGGTTGTTGACACGCCTCCTCCTCCTTGACTAGCAGAACATGAACACAAGCTTGCAGAATCTGACTGAGGACTTGGAGTGACTTTGGGAGGAGTAGATGCACTGTCAGAGATGGTCAATCGGTCACTCATAAATCCAGCATCTGATGCTGCTCTTGCAACCTCAAAATTTGGATGACCTTCACACCAAGACTTGAAAAGAGGACAGCTCTTGTCATGGTATACTTCAGGCTTCTTACCCCCTTCACTACAAAAATAAACCAAAGTTTTCAGTGAAATAAATCCTGGATTTTTATCAGATACACAAACTTAATTTATAGTAGAATGTTAAAAATCTGAAATATTTGCGCAATTTTTAAATAACCTAAACTGCATAGAATTATGGTCCTTGCATTAATTCACTGACCATAGACCTTTGGCCTTCATTGCAGCAATGTCGTGATACATGGCTGCGCTGATCACCATGTCCATAGGTGCTACTACGCCATATCTCTCTGCTCCATGTTCCAAAACAAGTGGATCCGATACATTTGGGTCAAACATGACAGCATTAGGGGTCACCAATAACACACCACTCACAACTCCCTGTATTAAAAAAAAAACATTAACGGAATCAATTCTGCAATGAGATACACTGTACAAAGAGAAAAGTTTTTTTTCTACTTTTGATGTTCAGAATAACCATGCTCAGATAGAAATAGTGCAGTTTTGTAGATTGAAAAAGAATGTATAGTTAAACACACTTATAACAAAGTGCTTTGTTATAAATGTATTCATTATATGTGTACCTGGTAAGTTAACAATATATTTTAGAGCCATGGGGAATGTAATTCACTTCGCTGTCAGCATAAATTCATTATTTACAAGTATGTTCACTATAAGTGTGTTTTACTGTACAGTCTTTTGAATGTGCATGCAACAGAAATGAGGATTCTGATTTTTTAATCATGTTAATAACCCTGTCATTAAGGAAGAAATATTTAGTGGGGGGGGGGGGGGTTAATTCGATTGTCTTTTCTGGCATGGTTATTAAAAATTTAAGTATAAAACTGTGCTTTAAAGGTTCATGGTGATTATTAACTTTCTTAGTTTTTCCATGCTTGCAAATATTTGAAGAGAAGTAAACAACATATCAACAAGTATAAAGTAAAAAATAGTTAACATTTAATCTCTGTATCTTTCTTTATAAAAATTGATTATTGTTGAACAGCTTGTGAAAACTTTATTCCCTGTGACATTTTCATCACTTATTTTTTGTACAGATTCACACATTTTTAAAAACATTAATTTTTATAAACATTTTGAAGCATTTACTCTTTTTTTTAATTGTAGTTATACATGTAGAAGACAGGAAGTCGGAGATAAATGGAATCACGGGCTTATGCAATTAGAAAATTAACTAGTAATGTGCCTATTCTAATGTCTGAATAAACATTTCATTCATAGTTCACATCTGTGTTGGTGTTATAAAAAAGTCATCATAAAAGTACACCATTTATGTTTCAAGATTTCATGCATTCTGTTTGAAGATAAATTGATTTTAGTTAATCAAGTAATTCATCTTGCAAGTAACAGCTTGCTATGTCTTGTCATATGACAAGGTTTTATTAGGAGAGAACAATCATGCTCATTATGGGAGCCCACTTTTGTTTCTGTCCAACAGAAAAATCCCTGCCTAAAACCAAAGGAAAGCAATGAACCAGGAATGATGAAATTATAAAACCCCACCCATTTTTACCTTCTCTTCAGCAGAGTTGATATAAGCCTGTTATAATAATATTATTAATGTTTCAGATGTTCATGATGAAAGCTTGGACAAGATATAAAGCAACATTTTTATTTTAATATCAGCTAAAACATTTTACGGGGCATTTATGATGTACATAAAAGTAAGAGGATCATTCAAAAAATATGTAAACTTTTATACAGTGTGTTAAATATTTTCATTTTATAACATCATACTATTATGAAGCATAATTTGGTGGACATATATTAACAATAAATCTGATAAATTTGAATTTTCAAAAAATCAAATACTGTGGAATCATCACTGTTTAAGGGGGATCAATGTTCATGGATTTTGTGCAACACCCTTATCCACAAAATTACATCCCCATGAATAATAACTTTTACAACATATCACTTCATTGAATCTTTAGTTATACAAGTTACACATGAAATTACAACCCCATCAGGGCTCTAATTGGCAACTAATTTAGTCACCATGGCACCTAAAATATTTCCATAAGTCCCCAAATTGGCGACCATTTTAAATTGATTTGACGATCGTCAAATTCCAGAAATTTTTCACATTTTTAACAATTTTTCTGAAAAAGCAAAAAGAAATTTCAAAGAATAGGAAATTATTTATAGCAATGGACATGTCATGTTTTCTTACACATGTCATGGGTCCCTATATTCTTTTAACTTTTAAAGTTGGCGCCTTAGAAAAATTGTCTGGCAACTAAAAATTTGCATTGGCGACTAATTTTTTTGGATAAGGTGTCAGCTGGCACCTAAATTTTAAAGGCCAATTAGAGGCCTGCCCATGAACTAGTAACATTTTGATAACCTACAAACACTGACCCCAACAAATTAAAATGATTCAACAGTATATCGATCATGATAAATAGAAAAATTATTTGAAAATGAAAACTGCAAAATTAGGGTCACAGAGCACATTAGAATTTATCAATTCATTAAAAATACAATGTATGATTTATATTGTTAAATCTATATTAAGTACAGTTCATAATTTCACATGCCAAATTGCAACATAATATATTGCTTTGTTGAACAGAAATCAATTGCAAAAGACAGGTAGTCCTCATTGAAAAAGCAAGAGAAAGATGACGTAGGACGACACTGAGCAGTGAGTAGCAATACAATTTTATGTTGCACCTGGGAAACTCCAAAATAAACCTTTAAAATGCTGGAGGAAGCACTAATTATATCAAAAGTGAGTCATGCATTTATGTATTAATGGTAAGAGGCCATGTATTGGACATTAGAGGGTCTGAGAGGAAATGGATTATCAGTAAAAATATGGTCAGAAAGTTACTGTAAATCACCATAATTTAGCAACACCTTATATTTTGCGAGATAGTAATATAGCATTAATTTATAAGCGAGACAAAATTTTCATGAATTCTGGTTAAAGTTCTACATAATCTTCATTAATACAATTCTATGCGAGACTGAAATTTTTGCAAGCAGAGCACCTCGCATAAATATATGAAAATAAAGTTCTCGCCAATAATAAATGATTTACAGTAGTACAAAAATGAAATGTTATGGAAGCTATGGGTGCTTAACTATTGTGCAACTTATGAAAGCAGAGTAACTTGGTAAAAAAAAAACTGATAACACTGACAAATTAACACATGCTTCTTAAACAATTATTGGTATACTGAGTGTCAAGTAGTATAAGAAACATTTTTAAATACTGGGTTATGCGTTAATGACCAAAGGTGAAAAGTAGAGGGCGACATTTTTTAGAAAATGTCATGACGTTGTTTTTGGCTATACAATATTGTCAAGTGGGCTCTGTGGTGACAACTTATTGATTTTAAATTCAAGTATCGTGAGTTCCATTTGATCAAATGGAATAAAACGACACACAATGACAAAATAATTGATTTTACATATAATAAGGTGTTGATCTTGAATTTCTGTAAAATAATATAATGAAAAGCAACATTGTCTAAATATTTTTAGAATGCAACATTGTCTACATATTTTTAGAATGATCCTTGTATATTCATATACTAGGGCTGAAACGATTCCCCGAAATATCGATATTGTTCAGCATTACTGCTCAGTTCAATGTTTGATTCACCATCTCGATTTTTGGTTCGGTACATTTTTTTATAATAGGGTTTGGTTACTCCTTGAAATAGTTCGGGTTCGACCTCATTTTGATAGTTTGACACACACGAGGGAGAAAATTGTGACGGAGAAAGTTTCAGAGCAGGCTGCCATTGCTAGTATTGACACAAACAAAGTGCTCTTTTAATCTACAGAAGCACAAGGAGTGCTCTTTATTGTATCACCACCTTTTACTTGCCTTCTGAAATCTGAATACATGTTTTCTTTAACCTTATGATTTGTTTCTTTTTTATTGAATTGTGACACAAGTATCGCAATATGTACTGTATCATGGAGGGGGCGTATTGTTTCAGCCCTATCATATACCATTTTTTAAATATCAGAATGACAATAATTAAAATTCATTGGTAACATTTTAAAACATTTTCTCTTTAAGTTATTACCAGTTCCAGCTACCTTATTTTGAAAAATTTTACAAGAAAATAGAATATTCCAATCTCCTCTTCTATTACCCAGAGCATAATTTCACAAACAATTTCTTTGACATTTACAAGATAATGATAAATATGATAAAAAGAGCAATTTACCATCTCCCACTTTCATGCAAAACTTGGGACAATTTATAGCTTCCTGCACTTTGAATTTTTAAGTGGATACAATAAACAAGAAAAAGATTATTTTAATTTTCACCAGTAATTGGATAATTGGCTCTGTGCATTATGAGCTGTCAATGAGACAGGATGAAAGATATTTTACTGCAACACATTTAACCAGATCCATTTTGCAACAGTTTATACCATCTGACATCTTTTTTTTTTTTACCAGGAATGTTTTACATACAGTTATCAGCCATACTTATATATAATTTTGTATACCACTAGACCAATAATATGAAACATGCTTCCATACAAAAAAAAAGACTAGTAATAATGACAATTATTGCCTAACAAATAAATATGTAGCCTGCCGCAATAGAGTTTAAAATATTCTGTGATATCTAAATCTCATCTGTGACATGTCCTTGACCTACTAACCTGTCCATCAGTTATGTGTTTTGCATTGACTTTGATGAAGCGTTCGTAACATTCCTGATCAAGTTCACGAGCCTCCTCTTCTGAAAGTTTATGTGGAATTTCAAATTCAGTTTTTTCTGTAGGTGAAGAGATAGGGGTAGGTATCCGTTCCACATGTCCAGGCACACGGGATGGAGGTTTATCAGCCATCTTTGTCAAGGGCAAATCCTAAAAAAATAATTACCTTCTTCACTTCAGAAGTTATTATAACCAATAGAATAATATGATATTCTAAGGTGTTTATAATGCAGTCCAAGATGTCACCTTGTGATGGTGTATAGAAAAATATTTAATTAATACATCTACATTCCAGATTGTGATGAATGGTTAAGATAAAGTCTTTGAAACCAGTACTAAGTGCTTGTTTTCTTACAACAATTTTATAAGTTACTGTACTATGGCTCAATTCATATTAAAGGTATCACTGGTAGTTTTATAATGAGAATGAACTTCATCAATCATAGATCCACAGATAGAATAGGTATACAGTGTTTCCCCTGTAAAAACTCCCCCCTTTTAATGCCTCCCCTGCCAAAAAATTTCCAAATCCCACAATATAAAACCTGTTTTACCATCCCACCATCTGCCAATGTGTTTCAGGTACAAATCCGTCTTTTATCATTATGATCACCCCCCGATAATTACCGCTAATAAAGAGACCTTTTGATTTATTTTTCGACAATTAGATCAGTAAATGTCTGCATTATAATAAAATTAAATTACATTTAATGTATTTATTAAGGAATGAATTTAATAGCTACCCAATTTATACAGTATAAAGTGGGTTGGGGCAGTTTAGGCTTTATAAACCGCGAAGCTGTTTATAAAAAAGCGTGAACTGTTCCAACCCACTTTATACCGTATAAATTGGGTAGCTATTAAATTCATTCCTTATAATTTAATTTTCATTCATTTTGTGTAAGAAAAAAGATTACTGCCCTTAAAAAATGACATCAATTTGTACAAAATTTAAATGTAATGTCATGACAGGCGGATCTATACGTATTTGACGCAAGTCACTGTGATGTAGGCAACCAAATTTATATGATATAAAGTAAATTTTTTATCTAATCAAATACTGCGTTATAACCAGAATTAAATTCTTTGCAGTTAAAGTAATAACACATGTCAATCGAACACATATTTGTTTATTCATATTTAAACTAGAAAGATTTCCTACATTAGTACTATGTATATCTGTTAATATGGTTAATCAGGACCTAGTATTTAAATTCGTTGACGGTTTACACACCTTTTCACGAGTTTTAACTAAAAAAAACCCATTCGAAGGCTATCTCTCTTTGTACAGTTAAGACGTGGCACGAATCCACCCACCCTCACAGTATTTTAAAATTGTTTGACAATATGTACATGTACGCTATCTTTCTTTTCTCGCTATAACAGAGAATGAACTTAACAGAAGAGTTTTTTTGTATAGTGAATAAACTGCACTCTTGAGAGCACTTCTATACCTACACACTGTGTTTATCTATGGCATAAATTACTTATGTTCAGACGAGTGTGAAAGAATTAGAACATAATGTCAGATTATATTCATACCCCTTTAAAAAAACCTTTTTCAACATGTTCAAAACTTGTTTATATTTTAAAATCAGTAAATATCATAAATAACACTGATTATCACATTGCTTAGTTTGATTCATTGACATTCCGACTCTACATCCTGTTAATATCCATTGTCAATCTACAGTATTAATCACATTAGTAGAAAAAACATATAATAAAGCTAACAATAATTGATGCATAAATAAACAGTTGAATTGCATTTTCTGTACAAAATTGCTGTAAGTAGTGAACTTCAGATGTCAAGTGCAATGGAATGTAATTTTAAAATATCCGTGTTGGTTGTCTACAAAAACTTACTGAAGAATGCTTATCCTGAAAATATGATGTTGTCTGTCCTCCTTGATATATTTCCCCCCTCTCCTTTTTATTTCTATTCATTTTCTGTCACATTTTTGTATTGTAGATATACTGTAGATTCCTTATTTTTCGCGAGTACTTATTATCGTGAAATGGCTCTTTCACGTCAAATCACGAGAACAATAATTCGCGAGTGGACGGTTGATCAAGGGATTTTACATTGATTTCAGCACCATAAAAATAAAAGCGAGAAATTTTATTTCGCGAGTGGTGCGCGATAATTAATTCCTCGTGTATATTTAGGAATCTATAGTACTACTGACCAGTTTGTATAAAATGTATATATGTAATTAATATTGTACTCCATGTACCAGTATTTTGGTTTGGGCGAATAAATTGAACTTGATCTTGGTAAAATTTGGGAGATATACAAGCCTTGCTGTGTTTACAAGCAGTACTTGAGGTTTTTATATAGGATATCCAAATTTGCTAGGTCTGAAAAACTGAATACCATCATATATAGCCTTATTTCAGTCCATTTACAGAATTGTTGAATATGGCAGATCCAAGGTCAAAATGTATTTTATTAGTTTTGAATGGACAGACGCCAGACTTGGACTTGAAATAGTGATCCGTAATTTGATATACAAGGTCTAACGACTCTGCATCAGAAAATATGATCGACATTTTTTAAAATTTTAAACAATAAAATAAAACCTCAAAAAATATCAACAATAGATAAATATTTTAAAAATAAAACAGTGTATCAAAAAATATCAAAGATTTAATATCAATGAAGAGCAATTTTTTCTGCTTTCAGGTGCCTAATTGCATTCCCCTGTTATGATGCCATCCCCATTATAATGCCAAAGTTGTCAAGGTTCAAATGTTGGTGGTACAATAGTTGAACACTGAACATTTTTTGGATAAAAAGCAGGAAATTTTAAATTTTCCCATATTCTAACAATTTTTGGTGTATACTATGTAAGTTGATGAAGGTTTCTCAACAAGAGGCCCATGGGCCACAACGCTCACCTGAGTCAATATGGCCATGCTGTTCTTTGTCAGCAGATTTCTTCTTCTATATATTCATATGTAAAGCTTTGATCACCTGTTCTAGGCATACCCTATCCCCAGGTGCCATGTTTTGAATGAAATTGAATCTAAACTTTCTGAAGATGCTTCCATATTCATATAACTAATCATGGTTTTGCTGTTCTTGAAAACGGAATTTTAAAGATGTCTGCCACGCTACCCTGTGGGGTAGGGGGGAGGGGTCATGATTTGAACAAACTTGAATCTACACTACCTGAAGATGCTTCCATATCAATATGACTAATTATGGCTTTGTTGTTATTGAGAAGAAGATTTTTAAAGATATTTCTTATATATATTCTTTTGTTAAACTTTGATCCCCCATTATGGCCCCACCCTACTACTGGAGGATGCCTTGAACAAACTTGAATCTACAATACTTGGGGATGCTTCAATATCAATATGACAATCATGGCTTTCCTGTTCTTGAGAAGAAGATTTTTAAAGAATTTTCCTATATATTCCTATGTAAAACTTTGACCCCCCATTGTGGCCACACCCTACCCCCAGGGGTCTTGATTTCAACAAACTTGAATCTACACTACCCAAGGATGATTCCATATCAATATGACTAATTGTGGCTTTGTTGTTCTTGGAAGAAGATTTTTAAAAGATTTTTTTTCTATATATTAATATGTAAATCTTAGATCCCCCACTGTGGCCCCATCCTACCCCCCGGGGTCATGATTTGAATAAACTTGAATCTTCACTTCCTGAGGATGATTCCACTTCAATATGACTAATTGTGGCTTTGGTGTTCTTGAGAAGAAGATTTTTAAAGAATTTTCCTATGTATTCCTATGTAAAACTTTTATCCCCAATTGTGGCCCCACCCTACCCCCAGGGGTCATGATATGAACAAACTTGAATCTACACTACCTAAGGATGATTCCATATCAATATGACTAATTGTGGCTTTGTTGTTCTTGAGAAGAAGATTTTTAAAGAATTTTCCTAAATATTCCTATGTAAAACTTTGATCCCTCATTCTGGCCCCATCCTACCCCGGAGGGTCATGATTTGAACAAACCTGATTCTACACTACCTGAGGATGATATCAATATGAATTATTGTGGCTTTGTTGTTCTTGAGAAGAAGATTTTTTAAAGAATTTTCCTATATATTCCTATGTAAAACTTTGATCCCTTATTGTGGCCCCACCTTACCCCCAGGGGTCATGAATAAAACAAACATGAATCTACACTATGTAATGAAGGTTTCCCATAAGTTTTAACTTTTCTGGCCCAATGGTTCTTGAGAAGAAGATTTTTAAAAGAAAACACCAAATTGTCCCCAATTCTTATTATCTCCCCTTGGAAGAGGGCATGGCCCTTCATTTGAACAAACTTGAATCCCCTTCACCCAAGGATGCTTTGTGGCAAGTTTGGTTGAAATTAGCCCAGTGGTTCTGGAGAAGAAGTCGAAAATGTGAAAAGTTTACAGACGGACGGACGGACAGCTAGACGGACGGGCAGACAGACTACGGACAAAATGTGATCAGCTCAGGTGAGCTAAAAAAACTATTTTTTTAAGGCATAAGCCACATCCTGAGGTCCACACAGGAGGTTGGCTTGCTGAAAATGTGATTTTGATTGTAGTCCTATTTGCTGATGGAAAAATCCAGAAAATGATGTGCATGTGTAGGCTGATGTACGTGACAGGTTACACTTCCTGCTAAATACTTTTTCATGATTTCAATAACCTGAAGTTCTAAGATTTTTTTTTATACAGAATATATGGTGAAAATAAGTTCCAGTGTGATAAAAGCAGTTGATTACAATTTTATCATGGAATTTAAGTAACAACATCAAATTCTTAGAAAATTTGAATTGGTGAAAGAAAAATGATAATTATTTTCTATAAGTATTCAAGTTCCTCCATTGTTTTTGATACTTTAAAGAAATCAGCCTTAGAAAACATCAAACTACATCAAAGTATTTATTCAGTAGTATTGGTTATTGCTATCATGTACAATTAATATTACTTGTGCAACAAGGCCTTAACTTTATCTCTGCTCTTTTTTCTTTTTGTGATAAGATTTCCTCTATTTGTTTTTCAGTTTGTGTGTTATATGTCATCATTCTGATTATTTTACCATTGTAGGAAGGTCTTTTTTAGGACTGCCCACTTGAGTGTGTGACTTCTCTATGCTTTCTTCTATTTTGGACCTCGCTGAACCATCTGGTACATACAGTGTCTACAGAGAAAAGTAACAGCTGACCAGTTAACACACAGCAATATTGCCCTCATATTATATAGAATGATAAATGATTAACCTGGGGGGAAAATCAGGACACATTTAACAAATTTTAAAATCTAGAAATACAGTCAAACCTCATTATCTCGAATTCGATGGGACCCAGAAAAAAAACTTTGAGATATCCAAGGGTTCAAGATATTAAGGGTAAAATACTTAAAATATTAAGTGCTTGGGACTTCCAAATCACTTCGACATATCTATGGTATTTGAGATATCTTTGTTCGATATACTGAAGTTCAACTGTATCAGATTTAGGGTAAATATAAACTGTCACCTTTGAATTGTTCTCCAGCAATCATATCCATTTTCAATCAAAAAAAAGAAAAAAAAGAAAAAGGAAACAGTACTTTTAAAATGAATTGAGATTATGTAGAAATGGAAACATTAGCTAAGACAGGACTTCATCTTTATCTTTCAAAAAAAAAAAAAGTTTACCCATATCATATAACTTTAACTCATGTAACTTCAAGGAAATTCCTTCACATTTTTTAATTTGATTCATTCCATCGTAATCCCCCCCCCCCAAAAAAAAATCACATAATTTGTTCTAGATTTTCTAATCATGAATTTTTTTTTTCAATATGAAGTATAATTCATTAATTAAGCACGAAAAAGCTTCATTAAAGCTGTGAAACATAGTATTGATATACTCAAATCAGCGTTATCTGTTGTCTTATTGATTTTCCTCACTATCTAAATGTCAGCATAGTCATTACAACAAAAAATTAATGTCTTCATTAATTACACCACCATTTCTGATTTATCAATAAAATTGTCATTTAAAAAAAAATTTCCATTCCTCCTGCAGTATGGACCTTGTATTTGTTTTAAAATACCGGTAAGAATGTTGAAACAAAATGCTATAATAAAATATACCTTCTCTTAAAACATTATGAACAGATATCCCATTTTTATCAATAACATTCAGATCACGTTACTCTTTTATCAACAGTGATGGAGTGAAGCTTGCACACACAAATACAGTCTTTCACACCAAACATTGTGGGTAATTGTTAAAACTGGAACTTGGAATGTGACAAGATTAAATGGTTATTACAGGACTAAATAACTACTTGATCAAGCCATTTCCCCATTTGCATTAATCAGACATCAGTACTCTTACACAAACATTCCATTTGAAAACTCGGTGAATTGTTCTCGGATGCTTTATAGGCAATAAACACATTATATAATATCAAGTGTGCATATTAAGAAGTAGATGACACTTTTACTGTGAAAAGATGCGACAAGTATGGCTTTTGTATACTGCCTCTTGTTCTTTTCATTTAGTTAAGTTTTCATTTAGTTAAGTAAGCCCTCATCAATGAAAGAAAAGTATAAATGTAAATCAAAATGAGGCCCATGGGCCATAATGCTCACCTGAGTCACTTTGATTTCAGTCCAACCCTAATCCAGGGCTGATAGCTTAAAAAAAATATTTAAAAAAGTTTATTAATATTTAATTTAGTCTTGCAACTCTTGAGCAGATTTTTTCCTATATACTAGTACATACTAGTACAATGTACTCCCTTGTAAAACTCTATCTCCTATTGTAACCTATTCCTGGTTGGCACACTTCACAGCCCCATGATGCATAAACTGACTTGTTTTGATGATCATAGGCTTCAAAGTGCCAAAGATATGCATCAAAATCAATTTGAAAATGAATACCTGCAAAATTTAAAATGTATGTCATTATGGTTTACTTTTGAATCAACATAACATGAGGCCCTAAGATGCATCAACTGACTAGATTTGATGATCCTAGTCCTTATGGTGGGCAAAAGATCCATATTTTCACAAAATATAATTTTAGGTCAATTTGAAGTGACATTGAGACCATGCCCTTTGCACATGGTAATGTACATGGTAATGCCCTGAATAATTTTCAACTTACAACATATCCACATCCTTATGCATAAGTTTGGTGAAAATCTGCTCTTGAGAAAAAGATTTTTTTTTAGCACCTACTACTCTTTTTTTTCATTTCCTTCATTATCTCCCCTTGTTTTAATGGTCACATCCCTATTTTTAGTATGGGCCAAGGACGCTCTCTGACAAATTTGACAGAAAATGGCCAAGAGGTTCCTGGGATATGGTCCATATTCCAAAAAGATGATGCATACCACACAAATGGCCATAGAATTAGCTCTATGAGCCTTCAGCTCAGAAAGGCTAAAACTGTAGGCTACCTGGTTTATACATGGTTATTCAATTCATTTGATTCTTTGGTAACAAACAAGAGGATGCAGGCTCAAAACTCAGCTGAGCTTTTTTATAAACATTAACACTGAGGTAAACCTACAGTTAAAACAGGACACTTCCTTTTCATATATTAACTGTTTGAGACTACAGTCTTTATTACCTGTCCAGCAAACACATTTCGTGTTGACATCTTGTTGAGTTTCTGGAGTGCTGTGGGGGTCGTATCATAATGTGCTGCAATGGAGACCAGAGTATCATTCTCTGACACCTACAATGAAATTCCCATCATGGCAGTCATTTCATTACAGTCCCTGAAACGTTCTACTTTCCCACTTGAACGGTGAGCGAACGCTGAACGAACGGTGAACGAACGCTGAACGAACGCAGAGCGAACGGTGAGTGAACGATGTGTGAACGCTGAACGCAACTTGGTGAACGATGTGTGAACGGTGAACGGTGAGCGAACGCAGAACGCGAACGGAGCGCAAACGCGAACGCAAAGTGAACGGTGAACGAACGGTGAACGCAAGGTGAACGATATATTCGGAATGCCTCTGAATTTTTCCTTGCATTGAAACTATTTTATTGTATTAAAATGTCAGGTGCCAAAAAAATAAATAAATAAATAATAAATAAGTAAACCAATAAATGAATGAATAAATAAGTCAATAAAATAAATTCTCCAAAATTGTCCTAAGAAAGACGATGCACGCACATTAAGCTTTTAATCACTCGATTTTTATCGCATTAAAACATTGCAATTGTTGCCGAACGCTGAAGTATAAACAAATCAGAGAAAACTTCTGACTTATAGAATGAATTAAAGCGGTTGTAACATCCATTCATATATCTCCCTGTCAGGGCGATTTCGTGTAAATTAATGAAAAAAAATTAATTACAAAAGGCCAGTGGACGTTTTGCATTTATACGCTTGTATTTTAAATTTTCAATACAATAATATATTATGTGTAATTTCTATTTTTCATTATGATTTATTGAGCAGACTTCTACATGTATATGTAGATGGCCGTGGTTATACTCGGAAAAGATTATACAAAGACACATATTCATATTATTTGCTATGAATTCAATTTTCACAACCTGATATTTAAGTAATATGCTGTTATAGTTTTTATTTAACAGACAAATGAGAGAGAGAGAGAGAGAGAGAGAAATATTCCGTTTTAGCCCCCCCCCCCCTCCTTTCAGGCTTCACTAAATGTTTGTACCTATATCAAACAAAAACTGAGAATTTTTTTCTAAATATATCAGACAGTGAAAGTAACTTTTTTTTTTTAATCAACAAATCATATCCATTTGTTTGACAGTCATATTCGTTTTAATTTCCCTGCTTCAAGTTCACACGAAGTCCACGTGCTTGTCCTGTCAATCAAAATCATTCGACACTGTGCAGGTGTGAAAGTTTCGTCACATCGAAGTGCGAGTATTTCCAACAAGTTATAACATTTATTTTTATCATTTCTAGATTTGATCCCAACATTTGAATAATAAATGAATAAAATACATTGGGCATTAACACTTGAATTTGAAACATACTCTCTGCCAATTTCAAATACCACCGCCGACACGTGTACAATTTGAACAACTATTGTTTTGTGACTTTTTTAGATGCATGTTTGTTTTGACACTTTTGTTCTAAATAGACCTTAACTTTTTTTTAAAAAATGTTTATTAAAATATTCTGGAAATACAGTACTGACTAAGTAACCAATCTAGGGGAAAAAGGGGGGGGGGTATTAATCTTAATCATATCGAATGGCAAACATATAAAGTTACGGTGAAGAAAGAATTTTTTTCTCTATAACTATAGACTTTACATATTATAGTAAAGAAAATTCTGTAGTGCAGTACATTTCAAATAAATATTTCCTTTAACCACACCATCAATTTAACTCGCTCCAAAGATAATAAATTAACAGGATATCCGCAGTACTATATATAACTCTCAGAACTAGTTCTGTCATATTTTCTGTATTAATTGAAAGAAAAAAAACGTGTTAGAAATAAATATTTCGCAATTTTGCTGCGTTATTATTTGACTTGGATAATTATATCACCATTAACGATTTGTCGTCTTTAACAAAACAACAAAATGTTGCAGTGCTTGAAGTATTTGCACATTGCCCTTAGTTAAATTTAATATTTCAGCATCGTTCTACATAGGTACAGAATGTGCTTATAACAACATTTGTTTTTCAGAGTAATTTAATAAATAACCTAACAGCTAAGTTAGAATAATAAAAATATATATCGTAGATATTTTTCAACATGAAATAATGATTCTTCAAACACGATATGTTAATTATTAAATTAAAAAACCTTTAACTTCTTCCCTACAAAAAGATAAGTCCTTTCACTTCGGAGTTCCGAATGACAATGAAAACTGAACGATAGGTGAACGCTGAACGCAAGGTGAACGCAAAGTGAACGGAACGAAGAGCGAACGCTGAACGCTTTGTGAACGGTGAACGCGAGCGCACGGTGAACGGTGAACGCAAAACTGTGAACGGAGAGCGAACGGTGAACGCACGGTGAACGAACGGTGAACGCACGCTGAACGAACGATGAACGAACGGTGAGCGAACGGAAAAATGGGAAAGTAGAACGTTTCAGGGACTGTATCACAGCTCCATAAAATATTAAAGTGTTTCCTATATAAAAATCAATACATTTATCACTTCAATTTCAAAGTATTAGCTGCAAAAGAACGAGGGCGCTTTTGATTGGCATTCGGCAGGAATCTGGGGCACTTGAAAAGTGAAAATTTCATTAATATGTCACATGAAATTTTAGCATTCTTTTCATGTATCGGGTTCCTGTGAAATAGGAAAGGGAAATATTTTCCCGATATTGTATTTTGATTTGCTAAAAAAGAACTTGAAAATTGGCTAGATGAGTCAAATGGTACAAAATGTTACATTTTTAAACACGTTTTTCTAAAAATTTGCTATCTCTGGGTCATCTCTCCATGATTTTGAAACGTTATTTGTTTGCATTTTAATTCAAAGAAACTAACAAACATTTGTAAGAAATGGAGAGAAGACCCAGAGACGATAAAAAATGAACTTTTTCCAAAAAAATTCCAATGTGTAAATGCGGTGCTTCATTGTTGCTTTAAAAACCATAAAGTGTCTGTAGCGGTGATAGCTCAGTAGTATGCGTTACCCGTCCAGTGCAAGGAAAAAGAAATATTTTTGGTTCGATCCTCGCATGGAGGGTAAATATTTTTTTTAGTACAAACAATCAATTCTTTTGTCAGTTTAATTTTATGTACTTATTTATTTTCAAATAGATAAATTCTGGTTCTGTTGCACCGAAAGCGAAAGCAATTCTTCCAACCTACTGACACTTTAATACATACATGTACTTGTAAATGCATTTAACTATACCCTATATGTGTTTATTATTTATGTGAAGCGTTACTAAGTTTTACATGTAGTAATTATTAAGATGAGGGGGGTGATATATTAAATATGACAAAGTATTTCAAACTAAATGTAACATTTTTCCATGTGCGAAACTTTGTAAAGTATGTCCAGCTGTGGTCAACCGACCAAATCGTAGACATTTAAACTATAAATGTTTCGTACGCCTTATTCCTGCAGATCACACGCCAATCACGCTCATCTTCTTTTTAACAAATAATAGGTGACAGAATGAGAAATACAATGCCCTTGGTATTAACTGAAAAGTTCCTTTTTCATATATTCTTATATTGCCCACAGCAAAAACCATCTTAGCTCTCAAATATTGAACCACATGTCTTCAACAAGACTGTAACTCTACTGGACTGAACTGCAAATGACTTGGTATTTGTAATATTTCAGAGAATTCTACTGACAACCACTAAACTATTCATCATAATAAAAAAAATCATTGCAGGAGGTTTAGCAGTTAGTAAGTTTTTCACAGATTATTTTTTTCTTTAGTAGCCTTGAAAACAGCACTCAACAAAACTTTAAACCAATATACAGAATAATGCATCTTCATGTAGTCTATTTGTGAAGTTTTAATCAAATCAGAATAAAAATTGTAGGAGGACTAGCAACATTTGTTTTGCCAAGTTTTACATTTTTCTCTGAAACCACATCCTACATCGCATCAGACAAAAAGAGGCAATGCGACTATAATTTGAATTGAAATTTTTGCCTGAGGATGCATTGATAAAATAAAGGTTGTTAGAAAAAGATAAAACCATGAAGGAAAAGCAATGTTCTGAAAGAAAATATGGCTGATAAACTTAAAAACTTCCATCATAAAAATGTTTTGAGCCTCCAGTTTGGGCGAGCTAAATACACATTCTGATGGATTACTAGCTTAACTAAATACATCTCCATGTTTCCTACATTTTTAACACATATATAACATAATTTTTAAGGTTCATCAATACTCTGATAAGAGAGATAACTCTTAATTACATATCTATTATTCCTTTATAAATTTGTCAAGTTGAAGCGTCTTTTTTGTCCAATTTGTCCCGCAAGCTATGTTATAATTGTTTGTAGTTTACTTAACAAATACATTTCTTTTGGAAAATCATAAGAGTTAAAGAAACATTTTATATGAGTGAGCAGAGGGATTATGAACCTTAATCTCTGCTACTTTCAGTATTTATTAAATAATCAAGTCACCTTATACTCCACTGTGCCTTCAGGCTGCACTTTCTTGGGTTTCTTTCCATTCTTTACAGTATCACTAGTAACAGGCTCCTCTGTGGCCTTGACTTTCCCAACCTGTCCTTGACCTGTCTTGACCTCTGACTGAGGATGTGTGTACCATTTGGTGGTGTGAGAGTTTTTTCTTTCTATAAATTTTCCATAAAAGAATTTTTTTAAACAGTATTCTCTTCATCTCTCTTTATTCATAATAGAAAATTATACAGATCAACACTTAAAATTTCCTTTTAAAGTAGTGTTTTTGTCTTAGTTAAGGGGCCTGACCTATTTAAACATAGAAATTGATGAACAAAGAAAATGCCTAACAAACTAAGTGCAAAGGATGGATCTAAAAACATGATAAAGACCAAGGTGTTTATTGATTTTTGGTGAAGATTTCAAAATATTTTGTTTACTCTCCATGTCCTTATCTCACCTGAATCAGAACCTGTGGACAGATCTTCTGTACTGCCAGTCCGGAATCTAGAATATAAAACATTCCGACTGACAATGGATAGCCAAGCAAGGACTCATCAATCAAATAAAACATTTCATTGATTAAAATTAACGTCTGTTGAGTGAGTACATTGATTTATGACACGAGTAAATGTATCGAGGCCAGGAAGGTCACACTTGGTAAAAGCAATGTAAGCCGTGATCAATGGTTGAATTACATCTGTAAAAGGAATAAAATACTCTTAAGTGCTACAGCACCATTTCATGAAGCCACCCATTGTCCAGTGTTTACCGTTACAGAATCATTTACAAAAAAAAGATATACAGATTAGCAGAGGAAAAAATTATCAATTACAAGAAAGCATATTTTTAGTTTCCACAAAAATATGCTTTATTTTTCTTGCAAAAAGATGTATTCAGTATTTCTTATTTAATTGTCCTTGAACTCAAAGTGCATTTGAAATAATTGGGGTTTTTATTCTAACACTATTGCCATTAATCACAAATGCACATATAAAGCCTGATAAAAACTGAAATCATAATCAATGATAACTCTCAAGTGAACATATAACTACATTTCACATGCAGTAAATCAGTAATTTTCTCTCCCATTCTTTACACTTCCCAGTCAAGAAAATACTCTGTTACGTAATTTTTAGACATAACATGCATCTTGTGACCATTAAATACATCATCAGCTAAGTCAATATACAACAGCATGCAATGTTATGTATGGTTTAATATCAGAGACTCCAAAACAAAGCACTCGCTATCATGAACGAAGGCTATAAATTTCTAAAACAATGCACAGATGTCTGTGAAAAGCCTTTGACTGTAGGACTAGAGGTTGACTTCAGAATTTCATGGAATCCTATATTCTTACTTTTTCTTATGTCTGAAGGTTGTTCTCAATTCAGTTTGATCTGCTTTTAGCAGCATTAATATAAGCAGTATGTTCTTAATGGAATTTAGTAAGTTGTCCAAAAAGAGTAAGCTTGGCATGCTTCAGATGTGGAAAGGAGATGGGGTGAGAGTGTTTAGTTACTTTATATGGCATTGACATACAGACTGAGGAAAAGATGGACAGATGGACAGACAGTCGAGGAGGAAACCTATAGTCTCATCAGTAGGGGACTAATAAAATAACAAGAGGCCCATGGGCCACATCACTCACCTGAGCACTGTGGCTAGGTAAAAAGCAAAAGTCAGTTCTGAGTATTGAAAAGCTTTAATGCATAAGTGGTCCCGACCTACCCCTTAAAGGGGGGTATGATTTGAACAAAATTGAATCTACCCTACCTGAGGATGCTTCCATATAAATATGACCAATCATGGCTTTGTTGTTCTTGAGAAGATTTTTAAATATTCTTTCCTATATATTCCTATGTAAAACTTTGATCATCCACTGTGGCCCCACCCTACCCCCGAGAGTCATGATTTGAACAAATTTGAATCTACACTTCCTGAGGATGATTCCACATGAGTTTCATCTTTCCTGGCCCAGTGGTTCTTGAGAAGAAGATTTTTAAAAGATGCCATTTAATTTTCACTAATTTGTAATTATCTCCCCTTGGAAGAGGGTGTGGTCCTTCATTTGAAAAAAACTTGAATCCCCTTTACCCAAGGATACTCTGTGCCAAATTTGGTTGAAATTTGCTCAGTAGTTCTGCAGAAGAAAATGAAATTGTGAAAAGTTTACAACGACGACAGACAACGGACAAATTTCAATCAGAAAAGTTCAGTTGAGCCTTTGGCTCAAGTGAGCTAAATAGTGTAATTACATTTGATTTTTTAAAAGGCTCATTAGTTAATTTCTCATTTCTTTTCCTCCTCTTTTTCTTTTTTTTAGCGGAGGGGGGGGGGGGATTAAAAGTGAGTATAATTGTAAACTTATCAACTTTGAACTAAGTCTGACATATTTACACAAATGAATATCTAATGGCACCATCAGTTACAACAGAATTAATGGACAACAGTAAATAGGTCCACATCTGATTCTATCCCTATCAGAGCCTAGTCCAGATTTGGGGTTCCAGCAATCTTGATGTTCTAGAGCTGTTTCAATTTCATTTGATTTCATGGTAGATTGACTGACATATGACTAATGAAGTGAATTGGCCAGGAGTTAATCAAGTTATGAGAAGACATCCATCTTCCATGTTTTTCAGGAGAAGGTTCAATTCGACAGATAATGGCCATAGGATGGTGGAGCAATCAATACAACTCCTCAACCAGAAGTCTCTGATGAGACTGTAGCTCTACTGGTCTGTTTGTTTAACAAAAGAAAAGTAGCACTTGGATTTGAAGCATTGCAACATGCAACAATAAATAGAATTATGTATCTTAATGTAGTCTACTTTTGTGACAAGTTATATTGAAATCAAATGAAAACTAGGAGTAGTAGCGTTTTGAAAGTATTTCACGGAAATTTCTATTTTTAGTAACCATGACAACACCATTCACCCAAATAAAAAAAAACAGAAATACATATTATGTATCATAGTGTATTCTAACTGTGTGCCAAATTAGATTGAAATCAGACCAAAATTGTAGGAGGAGTAACGTTTAATGGGAATTTCACAAAAATTTCAATTTTAAGTAACCATGGCAACACTGTTCATCGAATTCAAAAACCAATGCAATAAATTATGTATCTTAGTATAGTCTTCTTGTATGCCTAATTATATTAGAAGCAGACTAAAACTGTAGCAGGAGTAGCGTTTTAAAGGAATTTCACAGAAATTTCTATTTTTAGTAACCATGGCAACACCGTCAATCGAAATCAAAAACCGATGCACTAAATTATGTATCTTAGTGTAGTCTACTTGTGTGCCAAGTTATACTGAAATCGGACCAAAACTGTAGGAGGAGTAGCGTTTTAAAGGAATTTCACAGAAATTTCTATTTTTAGTAACCATGGCAACACCGTCAATCGAAATCAAAAACCGATGCACTAAATTATGTATCTTAGTGTAGTCTACTTGTGTGCCAAGTTATATTGAAATCGTACCAAAACTGTAGGAGGAGTAGCGTTTTAAAGGAATTTCACAGAAATTTCTATTTTTAGTAACCATGGCAACACCGTCAATCGAAATCAAAAACCGATGCACTAAATTATGTATCTTAGTGTAGTCTACTTGTGTGCCAAGTTATATTGAAATCGGACCAAAACTGTAGGGGGGAGTAGCGTTTTAAAAGAATTTCACAGAAATTTCTATTTTTAGTAACCATGGCAACACCGTCAATCGAAATCAAATACCGATGCACTAAATTATGTATCTTAGTGTAGTCTACTTGTGTGCCAAGTTATACTGAAATCGGACCAAAACTGTAGGAGGAGTAGCGTTTTAAAGGAATTTCACAGAAATTTCTATTTTTAGTAACCATGGCAACACTGTCCATCGAAATCAAAAACCGATGCACTAAATTGTGTATCTTAGTGTAGTCTACTTGTGTGCCAAGTTATATTGAAATCGTACCAAAACTGTAGGAGGAGTAGCGTTTTAAAGGAATTTCACAGAAATTTCTATTTTTAGTAACCATGGCAACACCGTCCATCGAAATCAAAAACCGATGCACTAAATTATGTATCTTAGTGTAGTCTACTTGTGTGCCAAGTTATATTGAAATCGGACCAAAACTGTAGGAGGAGTAGCGTTTTAAAGAAATTTCACAGAAATTTCTATTTTTAGTAACCATGGCAACACCGTCCATCGAAATCAAAAACCGATGCACTTAATTATGTATCTTAGTGTAGTCTACTTGTGTGCCAAGTTATATTGAAATCGGACCAAAACTGTAGGAGGAGTAGCGTTTTGAAAAATTGTTTACAGACAGACGGACAGACAGACAGACAGACGGACGGACGACGGACACCTTACTATCGCATAAGCTCTTCTGGTCTCTGACCAGTGCCAAGTTATATTGAAATCGGACCAAAACTGTAGGAGGAGTAGCGTTTTAAAGAAATTTCACAGAAATTTCTATTTTTAGTAACCATGGCAACACCGTCCATCGAAATCAAAAACCGATGCACTAAATTATGTATCTTAGTGTAGTCTACTTGTGTGCCAAGTTATATTGAAATCGGACCAAAACTGTAGGAGGAGTAGCGTTTTGAAAAATTGTTTACAGACAGACGGACAGACAGACAGACAGACAGACAGACGGACGGACGACGGACACCTTACTATCGCATAAGCTCTTCTGGTCTCTGACCAGTAGAGCTAAAAATGAGCACTGTACTTAAATTTGATCTCTGGAGATATTTTCAGCTAGACTTTCTTGCAATGTCAATCTTTTACAGTCCATTCTGTAGAAAATTTCAGAGATTAACAACCATTTATCACAAATTTGACCAATATCCTTGCTTAAATCTTCTCTCCTCTGTGCTACAGTACTAATGGATTTGGAGAGTCAATTTCTCAATATGGAGATAAAATCCTACAATTTGTCTGTGAATTAGTTATTAACTGACAGATTATTCCATGGGCCTTATAGCTTACCAGAGAGAACCAAAGGAATAATTCATGATCAAAAGCAACACATGTTGAATATAAATTTAGTACTGTACATGTATTGACACAAATCAAGCTATTTTCATTTTTAAATAAAAGTGTCAAATGTCAATGCAGAGGTCACAATCACAAGTATTTTCTAAACTGTTTTGGAACAGCAATAAGCATTTCATACCAATTTAAGTTAAAAAAAAAATATCAAGGTCAAGGTCATAAGGCCAGTAAACCTTTAGTAGTACTCAAAGATCTTGTATCAAACATTATCCCACTTCAGACAAATTATTGATTAGATAAAAACTAATCACATGATGCCCTGAAAATTTCTAATAAACTTCTTGCAGGGGATACATTAATCATTGGATTCGAGATTCTGCTCTCAATGTAGCTGAGCTGTATACATGCAAACAGTGACTAGAAAACAGTTTGCACAGACCTCAAGATTCCAATTCTTTGAGTACAATTAAAAGTAATAACAAAGCTGCAAACATTTTACCAGAGTATTTAGAGGAAAAGGAACAAGACTTCATGCAATTTTGAATCATTTTTGAATCATTTGCTGTTGTACAGTTGAAGTTTTTGGGACATTTCTACACTGAAAAATGTGCTGATGCTTGAAAACATAGATCATCTCTATCTCAAAATTGATACCTGTATCTCAAATTCCTTGTGAATTTTGAATTAAGTTGGAAGTCCCAACCACACTATCTTCAGGTATTTTAACCTCAATATCTTGAAACCTTCCAAATCTCAAAAGTTTTTCTTTGTGTCAAAGAGTTTGAGATACAACATGAAGAGATTGGACTGTATTTGATTTATATAATTTAATTAAATATGTTACTGTTTCTTCAGATCTTCATTGGGATAAATTTGCTATAGCAGTGCATGATATTGGAAATATGTACTGGGCAATATGAAGTCACTGGATGACTTCATATTATGTCCAAACTGTGTATTATATTATGTAATGTACTAACAAAAGCCTACCTAAGCTTTTCAAAGACTGATTTTTGCTTTAAAAGGTCAGAAGTTAAGTTCAAAGGCATAAGATAACCCTAGTACATGTACTTTGGTGTTCTGGTGAGAAGAAATATGAAACAAAACTTCTATCATAAATGATTTTGTTTTTAGTTCAGAAATTACTGGATACAACAGACACAGAAATATACAGACTACCAGTACACATGATGGTTATATATATATATATATCATATTATAATACATGTAGTAAATACTATTATATCATTAATAGGGTGGATACGATTTGGATCACAAGCTTATGGAGCTGCAAATGCTGTAGAATACGTCCATTCTCACTAAAAACTTAGTTCCTTGGTCACATACATGTACTTCTTCAAATTATTGTATGGACCATTGAAAGCACTGATACAGTGTTTCTTAATGGTTTCAATTGTCATTCTATTCATTTTATGGATTATGAGTGGAAAAGCTATGATCATACCCCCCCCTTTTTTTTTTTGTGAAGAAATATTTATGAATCTAGTCTGAATTAAACTTTTTCTAAAAGCAGTCTATAAATGATGATGGTAAAAATGTTTTACTAAACAAAGTAGTGTTCAAAAAAATATGAATGCATCAGCATACAATAGATGTAGGATATAAATTTGTCTTTGTTATCCTCAAATTTAAATGTGGGATCTTGCCTCTTTGTTCTGATTTGAATTTTAAGTGATTTCTGTCTTTGCACCAGTGATTATCTTGTTTTGGTTTCTTGTGGTGGTGAGGAAGACAAATATAACAATATGGAGGTTTTTGCAACAGAGATTTTTTTTTCGGAGACAGAAATTACTATGTATTTACAACTCATGGGGACCAATTATTCTCTGTAGAGAAGTGGACAGCCCACGTATGCAAAAGCTAAATGTCCATTTCTCTTAAGAAAATACTGAGAAATCATAGAATATGCTTTTACAGTGACCACAGCTCTATGCAGTACATTATGTTAATTGTCTACCAATACACACTGCTCAATGACCTACAATATAAAGCAAACACTGAGAAACTGACATATAGCTACTACCAATACACTTAACTGACAGTATATGGTAATAGACCCTTTTCCTATGACATATTTTGCCTAGGAGTTATTTCCCTTAGCCGCCATATTGTAGGGCAACATTCCCAGATCCCTTCATTATTCAACCAAGTTCAATTTCTTATACTGGTTACTGAGGTAAAGATAACACTATTTTTCTTATGAATACACATTTTTAATAGACCCTTTTCCTATGACATATTTTGCCTAGGAGTTATTTCCCTTAGCCGCCATATTGTAGGGCAACATTCCCAGATCCCTTCATTATTCAACCAAGTTCAATTTCTTATACTGGTTACTGAGGTAAAGATAACACTATTTTTCTTATGAATACACATTTGTTATATCCTCTATTGATTCATGATAATAAGATTGTAAATATTTTCCCCCATATTTTTCTTGAATGCATGTTTAAAATTGGTTGCTCAAAGAGGTAAATTCACTGCTTTGCCATACAAGATGGCGGCTAAGGGGAATAACTCCTAAGCAAAATGTGTCATAGGAAAAGGGTCTATACATACACTGCATACCAGAATAAACCATATACTGACACAATACACCAAGTACTGACTACCGGAAACATTCTTGTAGTTGATCTAATATACAGTCCATTTTGAAAATGAGAAGAATACTTAATCCTCACAAAAGAGGCACAAAGACATCAGATAATCCTATGGTCATATAACATATTAGCAAAGCCTTCGGTTCAAATCAGACATTTTTAGACTAGATATAGTTTGAAGCATTTCTAATACATGTATATATCTAATAAATATAAAGGACAACTGAGGACAATGAATGACTCTTGGCAGATAATCCAGAAGGAAAGAAACAGACCATTTCATAAAATAAGATTATAACACTTTTTAATTAATACCCAACCTTTCTCACCCCAATCCAGTTTACATTGTGTTTTATCACTTGTAAACTATAATAATCATGATAATAAAACCTTGTGAGTTGTGACATGACAAGATTATACATATATCATGTTCCAGTTCACGTATATATTACCTGTGTTTATAAACTTTTGTCAGGACCATGCTTATCTTGGCACATGGGTCAATAACCTTACATGCACTGTGCCAAAACAGTCCCCAGGTTCATATTTAAAATGAACTTGTTACTCAGTTGTTTGCAGAAATAATAAACAAGTCAAAGCTTTCAATTCTAGCATTGTAATTTTCTACTGCGTAAAAGCTTCAATAACATTGCTTGGGGATAGAAAGAAGGTTTAGGATTTAAGGAATCAGGCAGCTACTATAAGTAATGGCAAAGAGTCATTAATAAATATCAAATCTTAAGTCACACAACATGAAATAAATCAGTCTGCATGCTGTCTATATTACCTTGCAGTACCAGAGTGAATTTTCTCTATCATTCGATCCTTCAAACTTGGTCGTTTGGTCGCCATAGCAACACTTTTGTAGTTCTTTCTTTTATTTCACCTTTTCCCCATCTGAAAAAAGAAGAAAAATTTGAATTTTTATTTTTTATTTTTAAAGGCATCCAAACCTTGTTCCCAAATCACTTCCTAGTAAAGAGAGCAGGGAATAAACCATCATATAACTTTATGTCAATACACAATTCTAATTAGCAATTTTATCAAGTAAAATCCACTATCCCCCTCCCAATATTTTTTTGTTTGGGGAAGGGGGGGGGGTTGTGAGATGATATACTACTTAACAACTATAAAACCTTAAAGGTAGACATACAATTCAACGTACATCCATTCATTGCTATGTAGAGGAATTTGGGCATTTATAACTTCCTGTATAGTTTTATTATTCAACAATAAAATTGCATATTCATTTCATTTAGAACATATTATATGTTTGAACAATTCTTGTGCCTATCTTTCTTTTATTTCACCTTTTCTCAATCTGAAAAAAGAAGAAAAATTTAATTTTTTTTTTTGTATATTGCAGGAAGACTTTGTATATTGATTCTGTTTTTAGTCCTGGGCCTTCACAAAAGTAAAATATCAGTATATGACAATTATTACATATAAGTAACATGCCACTGAAGTAGAAAACTAAAATCTTGTGTGGTAGAATCATCTGCATACAATGTATAGCCCAGACTTATATCTTATACCCCTGTGTCCCATCAATTTACCAAATGAAGTCCCTCCCTGGTCAGTAATAAGAAACTTTGTCCACATACACAAAGAACCACATACTCAAAGATGCACGTGCATGTAGATCATATATCACAAATGACTGGAATTTATCAAATTTGTACATTTATGTAAAGAGAGATTCCTATTACATACTAATATCTCTGCTTCCTCTAATGAAATGGAAATAAAGTTATGAACAGCATTTTTTTTTTTTACAGCAACACCAACATAGAAGTGCTATCATTATAAATGCTATGACTTGATGCACCTAATGCTCCATTAGAAATCTACAGTCACTGGTTAATTGGAGTGAGGAAGTTGAAATAACATTTGTCAGCAATTTTTCCTCCTATTAGTTTTTTTTGTTGTTGTTGTCATTGTAAAATAATATGTAATAGGGTTCCATACAGTGTATATTTAAAGTCAGTTGGTTTAAATTTCACATCTACTGCATGACATGAACTGATATTATGTACATGTATGTAAATTCCTATGAAAAGCTGTAAATAGTTCATTCAATTTCCACCAATATTAATATCCAATTTCTTTTCAATTACTAAAAAAATTCCTTAAACATAAAAAAGTTGTTTTTTTTTAACTTTTATGACAATGAATTAAAATTCAATCTCCCAGTTTCCCTATATAATTTTATGTAAAATCATATTCATTGGTTTGGATATAAATGCCTGATAACAGTTTTTTTCTTAATCATTCTAATAGTAATTTTTTTTCTTTTTGACATGAGGAACAACCATAAGACTTCTTATATATCTAGAACTTAGGAAAGGTCATCTATAATATGAATGAAATGTATAGTGATTTTGTAGCCAATGTACTGCAACTGTACATGTATATCAAAATCCCCCATCAATAGATGAACTCAATTTACCTAATAATGACCTTTATAATAGATCAAGTTGTTATAATGCATGTGGAGCATTGCTGATAACCATACATGATGACCATTAAGCACAAAGCATATGTAAATGTGCATGCATTTGGTATATGACATTATTCATCACCTTATAATTTTCTCTACTCTCACTCAGACAGTTGTTTCCTTTTTACACCCCTTACATATTTTCTTGATACATGTACCTTTAGCTATATACTTAACCTTTGAGCAAAATTATTGTTTGTAGACTTATGAACATATTTAATACGTATTTCAATAAAAAATAATTTTCAATGTATGACAAAATTTCAACTAGTATAATGCTTAAACATATCTAGAACATAATCTGCCAATACATAACCATATTATATGATATGGTTATTAAGTAGAATTGTATCTACACAAAGGATTAACTTTTCCCCTTTTACTGAAAAAAAAAATTAAAGCTTATTAAGAACCTACTTGATTTAGGCAGACTATATTTACTCATAAAGGATTTGGTTTCAACTAAACTCTGAACCTTTCATGAACTTGAGTCTCTTGACAGCGCTGTGCGTCTATGTTCAGTTGAGCTACATGAGACAACAGAACAGCATACATTATAATTTTCAACAGTGAGATACTGTAACTGTGTATTACATAGTGTAGGTGATAGTAGGAAAAGACATATACGAGCCCTTATGATTACATAGTGTAGGGTGTAGTAAGAAGAGAAAAAGACGAGCCCCTATGATTACATAGTGTAGGGTGTAGTAAGAAGAGAAACAGACAAGTCCCTATGATTACATAGTGTAGGGTGTAGTAAGAAGAGAAATAGACGAGCCCCTGTGATTACAAACTGTAGGGTGTAGTAAGAAGAGAAAAATACGAGCCCTTATGATTACATACTGTAGGGTGTAGTAAGAAGAGAAATGGACGAGCCCCTATGATTACATATTATAGGGTGTAGTAAGAAGAGAAAAAGACGAGCCCCTATGATTACATACTGTAGGGTGTAGTAAGAAGAGAAATGGATGAGCCCCTGTGATTACAAACTGTAGGGTGTAGTAAGAAGAGAAAAATACGAGCCCCTGTGATTACATACTGTAGGGTGTAGTAAGAAGAGAAATGGACGAGCCCCTATGATTACATATTATAGGGTGTAGTAAGAAGAGAAAAAGACGAGCCCCTATGATTACATACTGTAGGGTGTAGTAAGAAGAGAAATGGATGAGCCCCTATGATTACATACCGTAGGGTGTAGTAAGAAGAGAAATGGACGAGCCCCTATGATTACATACTGTAGGGTGTAGTAAGAAGAGAAAAAGACGAGCCCTTATGATTACATAGAGTAGGGTGTAGTAAGAAGAGAAAAAGATTACCTCTTATGATTACATAGAGTAGGGTGTAGTAAGAAGAGAAATAGATGAGCCCCTATGATTACACGGTGTAGGGTGTAGTAAATAAAGAAATGATTCCTGTAAATAAACTCAAAATGCACTGACAGTGACAGTATACTATTTACAAAATATGCTGTCACCTTTTTACAACTTTTGTACTCTATTGCAAAGCTATAAATATTTAGAGTGAAATGAAAAAAAAATACTCTCGTTATAGTACATACCACGTACATGCTGATATGAACATTCTCGATGTTTTTAGTGATTATTTTTCAGCTTTCCGCAATGCAACAACACACTTTCTAGACTTAAAAATTGAGCATTGTAAACAATGTATGGGGGCATTCTTAAGTAACCTCGCAATTATCACTTCTTCCAATGAACTCAACAATCAGCTGACCAGATGTTAAATGAACATAAAAATAAATCAATGCATTTATCGCTTCTGCGTTCTTACAATAATTAATATTTAGCAATTTGCAGATATGAATTAATTAAAATAAATGAAATGTTTTTCTTTCACTACTTACTAGCTCCTACATTTCTTCTGGTTCGCATTCCTTCAAGAATTGATAAGAAATCCTCTCAACCTCTGTCCTCCCACCAGTATTCATCGGCCATGTTTACAACTTCATTACTTCCGTTTAATGACAAAGCGAGGTAACTCTTGATGACAAAAAATTTAGTGGTGGATCAAAGAAGATTGAAGTGAAAGCAGTGGCGTTGCATAGGTACTCCCGGACAGGATTGTCTCTAACCCCCTTTTCTCTTCATTTTCTTTTAATTTTCTGATTCTTATTTACAAAAAAAATCAAATCTGTCATATTTTAACATTTTTTTTAAAATATTCTAAAGTTTAATTTAAATTAAAGTTGGCTATTTGTTCAAATTTACTGAACCCTTTCCCCTTAATTTTTTTCCATTTCATATGCACCTTATCTTCACCATGATGATGAAGATAAGGTGCATTTGAAATGGGAAAAAAATAAATAAAAATGAAACAAAAGGCTCGTGAGCCTTTATTTTTTGCGAATGAACGCTAGACCATACACTTGCAAAATTTCATAGATTTCTTGCGTTTATTTGTATTGTTGAAAGATTATATATAATAATTACCTAATATTGTGATTTTTTATTATTGCTTAAACAGTCAAATAATCAAATAACTTATTCGCGAAAATAACCTTACCTTTTTCGTATATTTGGTGATCTACACACAGGCACTTGTTTCTGTAATTATAACTGTTTAACCCGTAGTATAGTAATATCACACTATGGGTTAGAAAATATTTCAGAAACAAGTCCTTGTTGTCTGACGTCATGGCGTCAGACAGTATTAGATTTAGCCAAGGCTTGTTAGTCAAGTCGTTCAATAGAATTCTTGTGATAACTTGATCTTGGAAACTTCATACTATCTTAGCTATCAACTGGAGAGCATGAAGAGTAAAGGAAACATGCTAAACACCCAAACAAGCCAGAGTATTGAAGCTGATATGTCATTATTATCACATTATACATTACAGGTTGCATAACATTTGGCCATTCTCGAATGCATCATTCATGTCCAGCAAAACAGAAATGAATGAAGCTGGTCAGGTCAACACTTGTCGATTATCTTTATCAGATTAACTAATGGATGTTTATTTTCGATGCATACTGAGTCTCTCTATGTTTAGAATTTTTATAAATCTACACATATTCATTTATAAATTGCAGACGTTTCATTTATTCATAGTAAAAAAAATATTAAAGTGATTGATATATGCTGAATATTCTTTTGCTAAATGCAAAGATGTTAGCTCATTTGTAACACGTTTATTATTTTTTTAAATAAAACATTTCTTAATTATCAAAATTGCTCACCAAATGATGTTTAGATTTCTATGTGTTGTAGTTTTTCTTTCAAAAGCACTGGTTATATCTTTTTATCCATGAACAGGCCCGTTGGAAGAAATTTCAGAAATTTTCAGTTTAAGATGGACACTATCAAATTATCAGAAGTTAAATATAAATTACATGATTTAGGAGACCCAATCATAAAACATAGCTATGTATAAATCGGCATAAATGGGGGGGGGCCACTCCCCCTCCCCCGGCCGGACCCTACGTCCATAAAAAAGGAAATTACAAGTATAAATATAGTGTTTATGGAATAAATTCATGTCCAAGTTTAAATTTATGCTGATGCCACTGATTTAAACTTTTATTGTTTCTTAGCAAAAGAATTCGTTTCATTACTCAGAGTCACGTTGATTACACTGGATTTAACTTTTCTTGATTCTTCGCGTAAAAATAAATTTGCTCAAGTCAGACAAGCTTTTTAGGAAAGCTAATACTTGTGTCTTTTACTATGTGTTCACATCTGAGCCATAAAATATCAAGTTCAAAGATGAAGAAAATGAGACTTTTAAGTGATATGTTCCGATGGACGACAATATGTGCAGTGAGGGTAGGTACGGTACATACTAGTATTGTCGCCTGCGCCCTAGCATTTTAAAAAAATCTAAGAGTGACCTTGAACTTGCAAAAATGACCTTGGTTCAAGATAATGCCACATCCTCTGTCACAAATAATATTTGTGTGAATGCCCTGTCAAGAATTTTACATTTTTTCTGTCGGTGACATTGAAATTGCTAAAAATACCTTCAGTCAAAGTATATATTACCCTCAGGTCACAAGTAGCATTTGTTTGAAGTATCAGCTTCTGATATTTCTCCATTAGAAAATTAGACACATGACAACACTTTAAAAACTTTTCCTGCCAGTGACCTTGGACTTCCTAAAATGACCTTTGATCATGAATATGACAACCCTGGATTATAAGCAGTTATTGTGTCAAGTACTTACTTCTAATTTTCTTCATAAGATAGGCTAGACAGATGTGGACCTAACAACAGTAATAATTATTTTTTTCTCTGCAGAAACCTTAAAATTACCAAAATACCTTTGTTCAAGGTCATGAGATCCCCTAAGGTCATAAACAATCTTTGTGATAGGTATGACCTTCCTTTTTTCCATTATATGCACTGGTCAAGAGAAGAATTATACATTTTCCTAAAAATGACCTTGAACTTGATCAAATGACTGGATCAAGGTCATAAAACACCTTCAAGTTATAAGCAATCTTTGTATGAAGTAGGAACTTCAAACATTTCTTCAATAGAAAATTAAAGACCAGACACATTTTACGATTTTTGCATATTAAAATACCTATTTTACAGGTACAAAGTTCTAGTAGCTAACCCATGGAAATATGTTTCTGGTATAAATATAAATAAACAAACACGATTGACCCACGTCACTATAGCATAACTGTAATGGATACCTTTATTTAAAAGTGACCTAGAACTAGACCAAATGACTTTGAGTTGAGGTCAGGACACACCTTCAAGTTATAAGCATTCTTCGTATGAACTTATGAACTCCCAACATTCTTTCATTAGAAAGCTATATACCAGAAACAAATCTTTCATTTTTTCTGCCTACGGCTTTGAACTCGCTAAAATGACCTTGGGTAAGGGTCACAGGACACCCTCAGGTCATGAGCCATCTTTCTGTCAAGTATGAGCCTCCAATTTTTCTTTATTATAAAGTTATAGCCCTTATAAAGTTAAAGCCCAGAAACAAATGCATACACATACTGACAAGGTACTGTTAAATCACTTATTTTCAAGTGGGCAAATTTTCATATTTTAGGAAAAAAATAATAGTTTGAGGGGATTTGATTTTGTAGTTAAAGGAGAACCACTATGCTGTAGTATGAAATTATAACATTTTTTGGGGGGGATATGAATTTGTGAGCCTCCTCATACCACAAAAATGATGAAACCGATGGACATCTAGCAAGCTGTTTACATGACAAAAATGAGAATGAAGGAGATTTTCAAGTGTAATTAACCTAATGTCTCTTGAAAATTAAAAAAAATTTAAGGAGCTAGAGCTTGAGAAAAAACAATTACAAACTTGCACTGATAACTGAACCTACATTTCTTTTTCGGAATGTTTTTTAAGTTTCTTTTCTCTGTGGAAATTTTAACAAGACTTACATTTGAAGTTTTACACTTTAAAGCTGAACACAACTTATAATTAGGCACATGCCATATTAGTTTTCCTATCTCCTATATCAGCGCAGGGGTGCATAAACCCTCCACATTTGTTACCCCCAACTGCTTTCAACTGGCAGCTGTAGAACACATATATCTTATGTTGTCCTTTATGTTTTATTTCAATGAACATGCATTTGTGTTTATTTCACTTTGCAATGTATCTTTGGTAACTTTTATTTCCTGACGTAGGCATAGAGAAGTAATTTTTGTCACACCCAAGTATTTCACAATGACAATGAAGGAAATGTCCATTCAGGCATCGTCTCAAGAAAGGGTTCGGAGTCCACATATACCGGGTAGCTCTCTCCTACATGGGAGAGGATTATACATTTTGGCCATTCAGGTGAAATCTGTGAAGCGAAATACTTTGAACTGTGGAGAAAGCTGAGACTTATATAAGGGCTAGAGAAGGGGAATATGGTGGACAAAGATACCGTATAGCAGGATTCTTCAGTGGGTGTAAAATTGGCATTTTGCTGGCTCAAATGTATGTCAATAATTTTGGCGGAACATTTTTTGGCGGACACAGTACCACAATTTTGCAAAAAAGAGATAAAATTAATCTTTTAGATGAGTTCTAATATGCTTAATATATGTTTGAATATCGATTTTTGCAAGAGCTTGAGTAAATACCAATACCGGATAAAGATTTAACATTTAACAAGGGACTGATCAAAATTATCTAAGTAATTTTTCTTAAATTCAGTTTTAATAAGTAAGGGTACAAAATTAGCGATTAAAATTTTAGCGGTCTACTTCAAAACTGGTAAAATAGGCCAAAGTTAGCAATTCTGCTAAAAATTCCCGCTATATGGTAACTCTCCTCCTTTTATGAATTGTGTTCAGCTTTAATCTTACTCCCATGGTCCTTTGCAATTTATTAGCCTAAAAATGTCATGTCTAGAAGTTCTAAATTGCAATAACTCTTTATTACAATTTGTTCAAATCAAATAATTAAAAAACAAAACTTTCATGTCAATTTAAAATTTTTAACTATTAAATTAACCCAAGTACAATTTCAGTCAAAATTTCGATGAAATTAATACATGTACATGTACTTCAAATAAACTATGCCTTCAACAATTGCTAGCACTGGACATATTTAGTACTGGTTTCAACATATTTTACTTCACACTAGAATGCAGTTCTCTCACACAGTTCAACTTGTATACCTTCACTAAGGTGAATTGCTATTTCCTTGGTAACTATACAAAAACAAAGATAAAGTACTCTGTCAATAATGTACTAATCACAAACATTCAGTGTATATATCTATACTAAAAATACACTGTACTACTAGTGAAAACTGAAACAGAAAGGTGAATCTAGATGTTATCTACACATACCTACATGTATATCAAAAACAATAATTTTTTTCTCAGTATTGTGTACAATGGACAATCTCAATATTACATGTATAAACAATGCAATATCATACATTTACCAGACACAATGTTAAAAAATATTTTACAACTGTGAAAATCAATGAACCACAACAAAAATTTGAACAACAAAAAACATTGTTTTCATCATGTTCCTCTTTTCTGCCAGTCTATGCATAAAAGAACTTATCGACACTCTTGATTATGAATTTTTTCATGTAGTGAAAAATACAATCATACTCCTTCTGTCGGGGATCAGCCATACAGTCCAGCAATACAGAGGCTCCATTGTCTGTTACAATGGAACGCAGCACACAGCGGAACTGTGTGACAGGCCATTTCATGGGACCATGGACTTCATAGAACAGCCTCTCAGAGACAGTCTGTTCTAACTGTAGATTCTCTCTAAATCCTCTTTCCTTCAGCTCTTTCATCACATTTTTTCTCTCCACCCAAATCCTGCACATTACCTTAACATCCATGTCAATGTGGTACTCCGAGTCTTGGAAATCATACTGGATGTACGAAGGATCGTTCTGTCTATCTTCTTCCTCTGCTAGCCTTTCCTCTTCCTCCTGCTTCCTCCGTTCCTCCTCTTCCTCCTCATCTTCATCCATGGGATCCACCACTGGAACTAATTCTGTTCCGTCAACAGTGGTGGAAGATGTGGGACCTTTCCCTGCAGGTGCCCAGCCCTGATTATCTTTGTACTCTTCATCATCTGCTGAATTATCATACATTGTTGACCCTGATGCTGAATTCCCATAATCAGAAGACTGATGGTACTCCTCTGATGTGCTTGGTCTATTCTGACCCTCTGACAAGTTTCCTTCAGGTGCTTGACTGGTTTCACCAGTCATCTGATCTCCCCCATCTTCCTGGTTATCCTCTGTATATTCTTGTGATTCCTGTTCCTCCTCATTCATAGCTGCAGGGCGGATTGGTTTGCTTACACTTCTGTAGATGGAGTAGTTTCTAGAAGATTTCAGGTTAACTGGGAGGGTAACATCTGCCAAATCACAGTCAAACATCAGACTTCTCTCTATCAGGCGGTATAAGAACACCATCATCTTTTTACACCAGCTGAGCCTCATGTTTCCCGAGGCCTCCAAAGCCTGTATGTCTGGTCGGGAAAGCTTGTCCAAATTCATTCTGATGAGCATTTGATAAGGACCAAGCTCCTCTGACATAGGATTCTTAAGTTTAATTTTCTTAACCTCAAATCCCTCAGGTATTTCATTACCTAGTATGTCCATAATGCTTTTTGTCTCTGCATAAGCCACATCAAACCAGCGCACTGCTTTTGCCTCGGCAAGATTCATTTCTTTGATTATTTTGATGACCATTGTTGAATTAACATTCTGTGTAATGTTGTGATCTAGGACAAAGGGATCCTGAAGAATCATGGATCCAACCTAAAAAGAAGTGCATAATCTTGTGAAATGGAGTCTGAAATCATCATTATATTCTTTATGTAAACAATCAGACAAACAAAATATACTAAAATTAAATAAAACACTTCTGCCATTTCTATTTCCAGCCTCTGATGTTCACATTTACATGCAGAGGTTATGTTTGTACATACAGTGTATACATACAGGTAACTGAATTTTTTCTTATAAAGAGAAAAATCTGGTAGACAACAATGCCAATGTAATATCTGAGTTCCTACAACTCATAATAAACTGTAAGATACATGTATACATGTATTAATCTTTGTTTCGTCTCTTGGACTGAAAGCAAATGTTTACCTTGAGTGTCTTTTCCAGAACTGCTCGAGTCAAGGTCATGGGTTTCCCTGTCCTCACAGACATAGGGTTTGACAGGAAGTCAAAATTACCAAAGTATTGAAAGAACCCATGTAACAACTCCTCTAAAAATGAACAAGATTCTATGGTTCATGAAAGATTCACAGCTTTCAGCAATTCTAAAATTGAACATGTTATACAGCTTATACATATATATTATACAGAACATATACATTAGACAATTAATAAATGATAGAGGCTCTAATGAAATAGCAACAAAATACCATATGTTATATGTCTGGTTAATACCGTACCTATGGTTTGTATGTTGGTAGTGGGGGGCATAAACTGAGCTGACACGAATGAACAATCCCACTGGTCAATGATAGTTCTTTCTCTACCTGAAAAATAAATAACAGAAGCAATAATAACTACTCATTTTATAATCTACATTGAACATCATTGTTCTTCAGGGGGTTTTAAAGTCTGTACCTAACAAATATAATCATTTCATAATATATTGCCTGACATTTTTTCCTTTTAATATACAAATGTAATAGTTTTTACCGATCATGATTTACATAAAAACACTCCACTTGATTGTCAATTCTTAAAAAAAAAATCATGTATTTGTTCCTTACAAAATAACAATTAGAAAGTCACATATACTACAAGCATGTAAAACCAAATATTGTAAAGTCAAGTGTATTCTATGCACTTTCTTTTGTCAGAAAATTGTTCCAAGAGTTTGGGGGGGGGGGGGGGGGTGCATACATTACACAGGAACTAAATCCAACACACATTTTTCTGGACACTTTTCTTAGCTTTAAGGACTGATTTCACTGATATCATGCGGTAGGTTTATTGTGTATTCCCCCATTTTGAACGATTGTCATGCATGACAAAGATCACTGGTAAATACACCGGAAAGTCAACAGTTAGATAAATACCCATTTAGTTGGTATTTACTAATTTCAATAAAATTACTCAAAAAGCTATTAAATTGACTTTATTTTATTTTTTATTTTGGGTATTATCACTGCTAAATTTAACTCATATCGACCCCTTTTTCTTTAACAATTTCCGGCCACTTGGATTTGAAACACCTGCAGTTTAAAACAACACACGAATTTTGCTTGGTATGAGTTGTTTATGTAAATACAAACATGTGCATGGAATCATTGTGAGCACATTGTTCAGGTACTTCTCCCTTCTTTAGGCATGTAATAATTTTTGTTTATTATATTGTTTGTCCACCTTGTACGTATGTATTTTCTAAACACTGTTTTTCATTATGAGAGTAAAGTTCACCGTCATTTTTTAAATATAATAAAAGAACAATCAGAAGTCAAAATGAAATGTAAATATAGCTCATTTGTAATCTGCATTTACAAAGAAATTTAAAAATTGTGTGTTACTTTCATTTTCGAAATGATACAAATATTTTACTTTCTAAACTTTTTTTACTTTACTTTGCTGAAAAAAAAATTGGGGCATGTTATATACATATGACCTCTTTTATTCAGGATTTCCCCCAAAACTTTGGGGGGGGGGGGGGGATCTATTACATGAATGTGTGCTTTACACATGACTTTATGTTACCCAGTAGCAAAATTAATACCAACCACACATTCGGGCAAGTTCTTCCACTGGGGGTAGCACAGGGGGTGTGGTATTCATCAGGTAGTAAATGACCAGCATAGTCAGGGCATATGAGGACAATCTGTTGGAAGCCTTGGGATTCCCAGCAATGTCCTTGACCTTGGCCCAATACCTGATGGTATAGACCAGGGGTTTGATCCTTGCATCATACAAACTGAAGGTCTGGAGTAACCGAGTGTTTTGTAGGGCCAATCTGTATGAAAGAACAAAAAAAAAAGAAACATAATTATATCTTTATGATAGAACTTAGTATATCTATTTGATACATGTCCACTGATACAAAAGTTAAGTTAACCAGTGCATGATATGAAGACATCAATTTATGTATGGCCTTCACTTTATTAAAGCTACATATAATATCTTTGATGAAAGTGTCATAAGCAGAAAAAAAAAACTGAATTGAATGTAAAATTTCCAGTTTGTTACTATCAAAAATGAGGAATGTATCTTGACTTTCATTTTTTTTTTTTTGGACACATAGCAAATACCTAGGAAAATGATATATGATCTATGTATTTCAAAAAAATTTACATTCACTTAAAACTTCCAAACATTTTACCTTAAAATATTGCCTAAATACAGTAAAACTTGGTTATTAAGAAATCGCTTTTAGAAAAAAAAATTTTTATATGAAGACTTTTCACTATATTTCTTATACAGATATAATGATTCTCTGTTATAAGGAAGCAAAATTTGAAGTCCCTTTGACTTCCTAATAAGAGTTTTAATGAATAAAATGTCAAACTGTACTTGTTGTTAATGGAGAGATCGCACTTGATTTGGGAGTTGTAATCAGTGAAGCGTAAAATGGGACATCGCTGACTTGGTACAATCTGGGATTCCATACAGGTGGGAGCGTGCTCAGTAAGAATACGCTGGATCAGCTTCAACTTGTCCATGTTCCTCATACCATCCACATCCGACTGAGTGAGAGGGGCTTTAGCTTTCTTCTTCAGGGTGTAAAGATCTTTTACGAAGGGTAAGGTCACATTCTAAACGAAAACAGCTGTCAGTGTATTGATATAAAGTAAAACCATTGCATGTACATGTATATAGAAACCCAAAACTTTCTAAGCATCTAATCACAGGCAGCTCATTGCCAACTTCATTCAACTTCAATGATATTTTTTGTTTTTACTTTTCTTATGTTACTTTTTTTCTATATGGGCATATGTAATGGTAATATAATCAAAATACATTGTACAGAATACTTCTTTTAAGTTCAGCATTTCTTTTGCAATCATCACAATACATGTATTTCCTTATTTCATAGGATAAACAATCAACTTTCATTGAAGATTCCCAAAATACATGTTTATTGTCATTTTTACTAGAGCTCCATGCTCCCTAAACTTACCCCCGTTCTACATGGAATTCCTAGTTTACTCAGGTCAATGAAGATGTCCATGTCGCAGCCTTTTATTCCAAACCCATTCACAGATGACCCAAACTGATTTACCGTCATCCCTACATTAAATACAAAGGAAACACTTCATTTTCAAAATATATGGATCCTTTTATTTATTTTTGTTGTTGTTATTTTTAAAGAGAAATCTCAATGTTTGTATGTGCACCAAAACAAAAAAATTCAAATAAATTATACATTCATGTAGCTTTTTTCTGTTTTATTTTTCATGATACATGTTACTTCCATATTCTTGTACAACTGAATTTCAAACTTGTATTAAATTGACACATTAATGTTAGATCCATTAATTTTCATTGACAAAATTTTTGTTTGAAATCATTTTTTCACAACTAAGTCTTCGAGAATGAGATTAAAAAGAAAAACCAGCATTTTAAAGTCCATGATACTGCACACAAACAAACCTGAACAATATTCACACTATATACTATGTATATACAGTCAAACCTCGTTATCTCAAACTCAATGGGACCAAGAAAAAACTTCAAGATATCCCAGGGTTTGAGATACTGAGGGTAAAATACAATGAGACAATAGTGATTGGGACTTCCAAATTACTTCGACATATCAATGGTATTCAAGATATCCGTGTTTGAGATACCAAGGTTCAGCTGTACATGTACATGTATATATTTGCTCCAAAAAGTAAATTTGTCTCCTTTGACCAAGTTGAACAAACCTGGGAAGAATGGTGTGAGAGCGTCCTCGAGAGTTTTACAAATTGTATAGCGGTACTGGAACTCTAGAGCTGTCACTTGTGTTAGTTCTACTAACAGCATCATCTGGGTCTGTATCTGATGGAGAGTAACAGTTAGGACATTTAAAACACTGGACATGTCACTTGATCCTCCAGAATGAAGACTGTGGGGTGGTAACTTAAAGAAACTTTTCACCAGATCCCCCATACATGCTTTTTTTAAATTAAATTTTCTAATGTGTTTTTGCACATCTTTTAATGTGCCCAGTGTATAAGTCACACCCATGGAAGATCAAGTGGATGGCTGGATGATCAGATATTTACAGGAAAGATTGCTCAAGATCATTGGATGTTAACTGTATGGTAACAAATACATGTATACCAAAGGTTTTTTTAATTAGAAATGAACAAAGCTTTTCTTTACTTTAATTTATCAATTTTCGGTCATTTTATGTACTAATATGCCAAAGAATTTTTCATTGTTCTAAGTCAACACCCAAAGAGGTTCAAGCAAGAGTGGATAATCAAATGAAAGGAAATTTATGTATATGTTTAACTTAAATTCAAAATTTTGTTGTAAGTTTTTAATAATTTTACTATAACACTGAAACAGTTTCTGAAGTTGAGATACTACAACAGAACAAATCATCATGTCCATTACGACTTGACAAATTTGATCATGAACAGCTTTAAATAACAAGATTATAATGTAATCTTGTGTTGTGAACAGCTGGTTACTAACCCGCAGGTGTACCTACCCCCACACACTGATGTTCTGTTAGGTAACTCCTGAACTCCTCCAACTGTATAGGGATAATGTCCTGACCCTCAGAGTCCTTGGCTCTACCCTGCTTGACTGGTTTAGGACCCTTGGCTTTCTTCCCTTTGGGCTGATAAGTATTGTAACTCTCATATGGACCCATCTGTATGTTCTTGGCAGCTAATTTTTCAAAATTGTTTTGGTACCTATTCCATGGCATGTCTTTGTTGTTCTCTTGACGCTGCCATGGGAAATAAGGTTCTGTTCGCAGCTCTTTAAATGAACGGGGTCTGATTTCTATGTGTTGGCTGTTTATGACATGTTGTCCATAAATAGTAACGGTTTTAACTGTATCAGGTGACACAAATTCCACAATTGCAAAGGCTGGTACTTTCTACCATGAAACAATAAAAAAAAATGACATAATTTAAAATTTTCATTATCTAATAGAACTAATAGAGATACTCCAAATACATGTATCTGTATTGAAAAAAAAAAATATATTGAGTTATCTTTATTATAAAAACATGACACTTGTATTACAAAAAACCTAAATAATATAATATTTTTTAAAAGAGAAAACTTGGCAAGGTCTGCAATATTATCAGAATTTCAGAAATCTTAAAGAACTATTCCCTACGAAAATCATAGATGTATATGACTAACAATGTATATTAAAACTACTGAAAGATTCTACATTTAGTAGAATTGTTCCCTCTCAGCTGAAATGAAAGAAGCGGTTTTGTGTAATAATTCAAGAGCAATCATTTCATTAGTACCGTCTTGGCAGATTTTTTTTCATCATAGATAATTTTTCCCACTGGTCCAAACATTGAGAAATAAGCGAGCAGCTCATGTTCCTGTGTGGCAGGTGGAAATCCCCGGACATACACACTTCGCATGGCCTCATCTCTCCTGGTCTGGTAACGTCGGAGCTGAATCTGATGACGCTTACCATTGATATGGTAGTCATACAGGTCAGCTGTGAAAAACAAAAACAAGAGGCCCATTACCAACAATACTCACCAAAACAATCTAAGTATTGATGTACCTAGAGAGGATTTTTTAAGACTTTTCACTGTATACATTTATTCTTTATAAAAATGAACTGTGGCTCAGCTCTTCTGGAGTAATTTTTAAAGATTTTTTTTTTTTATAGAACCCTGTGTACAACAGTTAACCTTTATTATGGCCTCACCCTAGCCTCATGGGTCTTAATTGACTAGAACTGAATGGATTTAAACTATATATGGATCAATATGTTTAACTGTTTTCCAGCTGTTTTTTTTTTTTTTTTCAAAAAAACAAATTCAAAAATTATTTTTCCAATTTCCATGTTAATCTGCAACCTTCTGATGTCATCTCATCCTTACCCTAGCAATCATGAGTTAAAAAACTAGCATTATTTTACTTCACAAAGGAATTCTTGCATATCAATACAACTAATTGTGGTCCTGCCTTTTTTAGAATTTTTTAAAAAGATTATTTCACTCATGTTCACATTTTACTTTATTTTATGGTAATCTGCTGTAACAGGAGAGGAGAAAAATGCAACGGACCAGACCGTGATTCGAATCCGGGCCTCCTGAATCTCCAGTCAGGTGCTCTACCAACTGAGCTCTCTGGCCACAGGCAATCAAGCCCGTCTGGCCGCCACATTCCTCCCTCCTTAAAGGTCTTCGGTAGGGATGGGTATCGGCAGAAATTACGTATTGCAATATATCACGACTTTTTCCAAGAATATCAGGGTAATATCATGATATTTTTACTATGTTTTAAATGAACATCCATAATTCTTCTAACAAATCTGTTGTGAAAATGTAATTAAACTGTTTAAAATTTTAATTTATATATATTAAACAAAGCATATTTGGATGCTAGGATACCATTGTTTTACAACATTTTACACTTCTGGCAATTGTTATTTAAATTTTGAACAAATAAGTGAATTATTTATGGGAATTTAATGCCAGTATTTTAGTCTCCATATCATGATAGGTATCGCACAAAGAAAAATCATGATATACCGGTATACAGATAAAATCGCACATCCCTAGTCTTCAGCCCCCAAAGAAACCAACCCAGGCTCTTCCCTGGCAGGTCTTTCACCTGTCACTTCCAGGGCATGGAACTGCACCAAATGTAACAAGAGAGGAGAAAAATGTGATGGACCAGACCAGGATTCGAACCGGAATCCCCTAAATCTCCAGTCAGGTGCTCTACCAACTGAGCTATCTGACCACTGGCGATCGAACTCGTCTGACCACCACACTGTATTTTTCATGAAAGTTGTTAATGTCCATTTCAAGGAGGTGGATTTACTTCCTATAAATTGCACCTATTTAAAATTGTGCCAAAATGCAAATCAGACTTTACTATTGAATTGTCAGTGTCACAATTTCATTAGCTGTGTTAACTAAGTATTATTCTTAACATGCTCAAAGAAAACTCTGGACTCTATTTCTAATTTTTCTACGATTTCGTGGAAATTATTAATATAAATCAACTTTCAGTTTCTAGCAAAGGAACATCTTGTTTCCCCTCACCTGACGAAATTTCACACTGACAGATATCGCAAATAACAAACATTATAACTAAGGAATGCTTTTCACACACTCCTAGACTATATAAAATTGTAGGGCAAATGGCACAATGTCTCTCCCTTTCAGTATAATATTCACGCCATAATCAGGCGGCCATGTTCCTTGTTCCGTAAAATTTATCCTTGAAGCAAAACATTTTTCGTTCTTCAAAATGGAGTTTCTTATTTTCAGATTAGCATTATGACAAAGTTATAAATGCATAATTTGTACTTTGAAACTTTGCCTCTGTAATATGTAATGTCTTAGAATTTGTTACGAAAGGCTTTGGATTTAAGATTAACTGCAACATGGCGGCCCTCATTGGAAAAGTTCGTCAAACGACATGGCTATTACCGCATGTCCTGAAAGGGTCTCTTCAATGTTTACCAAGGGTCAATAAAAGTATGTAGAAAACCCAATTCATCAGCGGACCAAATTGACATTATGTAAAATATTTTATAAAATATGCTTTTAGCCTTAGAGGAAATTCGAGTTGCACCATGTGAAGTCTTTCTAAGCAATTTCTGTCTCATTCTAATTTCAACTTATTGAGATGTAATATTTAATTTATGACAAACTTTAGAAAATAAAAGGTGTCCTTGGGTGAAGGGGATTCAAGTTTGTTTACATGAAGGGCAACACGCTCCTCCAAGGGTAGAGATAATTTTAAAAAAAGTAAAGGTTGGTTGGGTCATTTCAAAAGAGATGAAACTTATGTAATAGCTTCTTGACATAGTGTAGATTCAAATTTATTCAAATCATCACTCCCGGGGTTCAGGTCTGGCCACAATGAGCAATCAAAGTTTTATATGGGTATATTTAAAAAGACTTTCTCAAGAGAAGTAAAGCCATGATCAGTCATATTTATATTGAAGCATCCTTAAGTAATGTAGATTCAAGTTTTTCAAATCAAGACCCCAAGGGACAGGAAGGGGCCACAATGGGCAATCAAATTTTTACATAGGAAAAAGAATCTACTGGTGAAGAACAAGAAGGTTCATAGTTACTCAGGTGAGCGTTGTGGCCCATGAACCTCAGGTTAATTATGTTCTTAACCTAGCTGGGAGATATTTGCAGATTTCAAGGCAATAAATTTTCATTGACTATATTGCATCTTAAGTGAAATATGACATTAAAAAAAATGATGCAAAATTAACATTTTAATGATTTTGAAAGAAAATAGTGTATTTTATGAAATATTTACCGGTAGTACAGGTCTGCTCAGATATGATCTTTTTTTATATTGTGTAGAAATGAATGATAATATCAATGAAATATATAAATGTAGTAGCTGAGCAAGTTTGTGCTCTGAAAGTACTATAGTCAAAATTAAATAAATTTGTGCATTTGTCCTCATTTTAAAAAATTACATTAGTCTGGACGTCAAAGAGACAAAAAATGCCAATTATTTGTTTAAAATTTACGATATATTTTGTTAATTCAGATTTTTTATACAATTATACAATATGGACAATTGTGCACATCTCAAAGAGATTTTCAAATTTTACTACATGAACTATGGGAGCAGGAATATGCCTTTATCAAATAATATGTTGACGGTGTGACCGTTAGGGTGATCGTACATACCTATTTATTGAGAGGTTTCTTTTGGTGAACTTTTGTTGTTACCACTAGAACGTAGTTTGCAGCGAGATGCAATTCACAAAGGATTGTGGGTCAAGGAGTTAACGTGGAAAAAATTCATTTGGATCAATGTGCCAAATTTGATTTTCTCTTCGTCTAGGCATTGTAAGAGCTTGCAGTGTGAGCCCCGATTTGTGCCACTCACGGCGCTCTTTTTTATAGTTCTTTATGTGGAATTCATTCAAAATGCTACTCCTCCTTCAGTTTTCCTTTGATTTCAATAGAACTTGGTACGCAAGTAGACTATTCTAAGATACATTAATCTTTTTATTGATTTTTGATTTTGACAAAAGGTGTTGCCATGGTGACTTAAAATACAAATTTCTGTGAAATTCATTGAAAACACTATTTTTCCTTCAGTTTTGGTTCAGTTTCAATAAAACTTAGTATACAAGTAAACTACACTGAGATACATAATTCTTTTATCAGTTTTTGATTTTAACAAACAGTGTTGCTATGGTTACAAAAAGGAAATTTCTTTCAAATTCATTGAAAAGGCTATTTCTCTTATAATTTTGGTCCAATTTTAATAATTTAGTACACAAAGTCAAGTGGGCTATACAAATGTACATGTATACATCTTCACAACATCAAGGTTTTGTGATATCGTTCCTCTTCAGAAACCCTCGAAACCCTTGGAATTAGATTATTGACAATTCTTGTTTATGTGACATCACAAACTGTTAGGATTTTCTGCTATTTTCCAGAAAGAGGACAAAATGGACAAAATTGTTCTCTTTTGAGTATAAAATTTACAGAGCTCAAGCTTGCCCCAGAATAATATTCATAAATATATGGTACAATTATTATTTTGTTTATTTATTCAAACATTATGCATAAAAATACAATTTACCAAGAAACTATAAGGTCTATCTGAACCATACTTGCATGGATGATGCATCAAGGGATGTACACTCTCAAACTTGCTTTAGATGCTTCATTTGAATAATATTTTCTGGATGAGTGACCAGTTTAAAGTTAGAAAAAGTCCATTTCCAAGTAACTGCAAGACTTTTCAGACCAAAATTGCATAAATTTTACATCTAGGGATGCACACTACTATATTAATAGTTTAGTGTGGAATTTTGCCTTACTTAAAGGTAACATTTGTTGAGGTGAGCTCTGTAATTTTTGATTACCTATGTTTAAAGATTATTAGAAGGATAAAGACCACATCAGTTAGTGATTTTATGTTGGCCTGCCTATAATAGTGATTTGTTTGAATAAAATCATGGGGTTTTTTTGGGTTGGGATGGCTAATTGAAGTTGTCTGCTTGTTTCAGGACTTGGTCAAAAGCTTTGATTCAGAGAATTGATACTGTTAATTCTCTTTCATCTTTATGCAAAGATCTGAATTTTCACTTCAGTTTTGCAGAATTTGTTCTATTTCTATTGCAGACATGGGTATGGACTTGTATCATAGAAACACAACAGTGACATCTAGGACTATTACACTCACAGTTAGAGACCAGTCATCCTCAAAAGTCAAGACACCAGATTCTAAAAAGGTAAAGAGGAGACAAGGGTACAGTCTCAAAATAATGAACCACATATCAAATTATGCTTGTTCTCAAAAACTACAGTTGTTGATTTTATAAAGTGAGAATCCACATGTTGTAAACATTGAACTTCAAATTCTTTAAATAATAGCCAAGAACTAAGAATGGAATAATAATACAGGGGTTCAAAAATTATGACATAAGAATGAACTTATGCATTAGAAATCTGCATGAAAGACATATCTAAATCTCTGTGCATGTCATTTTTATTATTAATTTTTTTTTACATTTTAAGATGCTCCATGCAGTAACCAAGTGATTATTTTGCATCCCTTTTATCATTCAAAACCAAATTTGCAAAGTTTGCCAACATGATCTGAAAAATTAAAAACTCATGCCATTTTTCCAAGACTATTTAAAAAAAAAAATTCTGAAAGCAAAATGAAAAAGTGAATTTTGCATAGTTCTTGAAAGTAGTTATCAACAGCTGAACACCCTTTTCGTATGGATTGTATTTTTGAAAGTTTGAAGGAATACCTTCTGGAAAGAAAATTTCATTCAGAGACTGTATAGAACTGTAAATAGACTCAATCAAGAAACTCTTCAGTTTTACACTAAAGCACTAGACAATAATCTAAAGAAGCCTGCTTCTCAGAAATAAGGTTTTAAAATTTGAAAACAGGAAACTGTTATGAAATTTTCTGAGTATCATAAGACTTCCACCCAAATATTAGAGTACAGTAAAACCCAGTTATAGCGAACACGCTTATAATGAATTGACGCTTACAACGAAGTGATTTTCATTCTCTTTGGCTTTAAAATATATTGTAAACTAAACGGATATAACAAATTAAGTTTATGACAAAGCAAAATTGACTGTCCCTGGCACTTCAAGTTTTACTGTTATTTAGTAGAATTAAATGGCATTTTCAAGTAGAGTAAAATTTATCCAGTCTGTGAGCTTAATGTAGCCATAGTGTGATACAGTTTGTCCTTAGTGATGTACTTGTTTTTGTTTTTTTTAAAAAGCATTTATATATTCAAACTTTTTTCAGATTGCAGGAAAATCCTACTCAAAAAAGAAGAAAAAGAAAAGTTCCTCAGCCAACAACAAAGAGACTCAATCTACAGGTATTTATTTCTCCTTTTATTATAATTTCATACATAAAGCGTGGAGTGCTATCAAAACCAACTGAAATATTTTGTCAACTTTGTATAGTATATACCTTTGGGCATTCAGTGGGTCAATAAATCTTTAAAAATTATAGGTAAAGTTGTGTTCTTCTTTATTTAATTTTGAATTTTGTACATGATCGGTGTTGGATATATGGTTTGACAAGCTTGAGTCAGGATTGTTGAAAAGCCGTGGTAGTGTAAAGGATTTAAACTAGATCAAAGTTCTTCATAGTGAGGCCATGCTACTACTAGCACTAGCCTACTGATAGCCTTTCAGGTCGGTTGGTAGAAGACTGGATTTTAAATCTAAGGGTTGCAAGTTCAATCCACACTGAGGACACCCCTAATTGGTTATGATTGATAGACTTCTTTTTTCCTTCAAGTAATGGAGGTAATTTTAAGACAAAAGATCTATGATGTTAATTTCCCTTATCTCTGCTTCTGTCAGTTCATCATCATTGTCAACTGTTCATACTGGATAATTTTTACCCAGTACTTTTCATCAAAACAGTGGAGCCATATATATCTGGATGCTTCACCTTCCAGATGATATTGTTAGAAACAGAATATACATTAATATCTACCAATTATAGAAGGTCCATTTTAGTACTTGGAATGCTTCAATGACATTATGAATCTGGAGGATTTCGAAGGAACACAAGCATTTCACTTTGGATAAATGAGGCTCAACTGTAATCATAAGATTTCAATCTATGACAAAACACACTGAGAAAAAGGCAAATCAGGTTTATCCCAAAGAGATGATTGAAGTAAATACTAGTTCTCTTGTATTAAAAATTGGGAAAGATTTTCAAAGCTTACTGGTCCACTACTTTAGGAAGTAGTTTAATTGTTTTTAGCTCACCTGAGCTGAAAGCTCAAGTGAGCTTTTCTGATCACCCGTTGTCCATCCGTCCGTCCGTCTGTCCATCCATCCGTCTGTAAACTTTTCACATTTTCAACTTCTTCTCAAGAACCACTGGGCCAATTTTAACCAAACTTGGTACAAAGTATCCTTGGGTGAAGGGGAGTTTAAATTGTTAAAATAAAGGGCCAATTTCCCTTACAAGGGGAGATAATCAAGAAAAGACAAAAATAGGGTGGGTTCATTAAAAAATCTTCTTCTCAGGAACCACTAGGCCAAAAAAGCTGAAACTTATGTGGAAGCATCCTGGGATAGTGTAGATTCTAAATTGTAAAAATCATGACTCCCGGGGGTAGGGCGGGGCCACAATGGGGAATCCAAGTTTTACATTGAAATATATAGGGAACATCTTTAAAAAATCTTCTTCTCAAGAACCATTGGGCCAGAAAAACTGAAAGTTATGTGGAAGCATCCTTGGGTAGTGTAGATTCTAAATTGTTCAAATCATGACCCCCCAGGGGTAGGACGGGGCCACAATAGGGAATCCAAGTTTTACATTGAAATATATAGGAAACATCTTTAAAAATCTTCTTCTCAAGAACCACTGGACCAGAATAACTGAAACTTATGTGGAAGCATCCTGGGGTAGTGTAGATTCTAAATTATGACCCCTGGAGGTTAGGGCAGGGCCACAATAGGGAATCCAAGTTTTACATTGAAATATATAGGAAAATTTTTTTAAAATCTTCTTCTCAAGAACCACTGGACCAGAATAACTGAAACTTATGTGGAAGCATTCTGGGGTAGTGTAGATTATAAATTGTTCAAATCATGATCCCCGGAGGTAGGGCAGGGCCACAATAGGTATTACAATGGGGAAATCTAGTAAAGAACAGCATGGCCAAAGTTACTCAGGTGAGCGATGTGGCCCATGGGCTCTTGTTAAATCATAGCCAGGACTAGGGTGAGGGGTTAATGTTTTTCAAACAGAAATGTAAAGATAAGTCTTTGAAAGGCTTTTTTTTCCTCAAAGAAAAAAAACCCCAAAAGTTCTTTGTACTTATCAAGCACCTAAGTGTGTTAAATTAATAGGTTTTTCAAACCATGGATCTGGCTCCATATGGAACTACTCTCAGATATCGAAGACTAACACAGTATTCCATTGATTTTAAATGAAAAAGTTGTGTAGAACTCTAATTGGTAAAGGCCCATGAGCATCCTATGTGATGCTGAGAGTTTTTAACATATTTTACTGCATCAAACCAAGGAATGCTCCATCTTTAATGTTTGAATTTATCCATTTAGTAACTTCTAAAAAACATACAAATGATATGGAGTCAAAGAGCATCACAGATGACCTAAAAGCAACTAAAAAATATTCTACAGAGAGTCAGAATTCTTCCCTGTCTAATACAGAGCCAGTGAGTATATCACACACTTGTACTAAATATCAATGATCCAATGTACTCTAAACTCTAAATCACAGGGGCTGGAATCAGTATGCAGTTGACCTCTTTATGTTTATGCTTTCACAAGGGTAACAACTCTTGCACAATTTGCTTTTCAATTGCCTGGAATATAAAGATTCTGATTTTCCATTTATTGAAGACTGAAGAGCATTTCTGTTGTAGCACACATTGAAAGTTTGGGTTCTGGATGGTCAGGGAAGGTGGGTCAGAAGAAGTGTCCAATCATCTTCTTTTGATGAAGCTTCTACAAATAGTAAGTAAAATTAATTCAAGAATTTATATTAAAATCATTCTGAAAGTAAATTTTAGTGTAGATTTAAAAATGTCAATTTACCAGTCTAAATTCTGATCTGCATTTGCTTTTTAGGTGTAAAATATGAAGTAAACTAACTTACCTTCCTGCTACTACATGTATTTTGTGAATATGCCATCCTGTCCAAATCTCTGTGGCATGTCTTTATATAAAGACAGAGAATAAATTTATTACATATGTATATGGTTCCCTGATCTGAGTTGGACTTACTAATTTAGTGCTTCTACTAGAGTAGAGTAACTCAGGGAGCATTTTGGTCTTTTAGCTTCTTGTTTTCTATCAGTAGGAAAAGATTTTCTGACAAACAGGAAACAGATCTGGTCTATTCCCGATGTTTACAGATCCAAAGAAGTTCAGACATTTATCTCTGAGGCTCGGTGCTCAGTTCTCATTCATTGTTATCCAGATACATGCTACCATTTAATAGCAATATGTGAGAGACTGGGTACAGTGTCCAGGGCTGTCATTGTTAATCGTAAGGTCAGTAGCAGGAACTCAGTCTAATGATAAATTGTTTTCTGTAAAACATCTGAGATCTTTTCCGTGAAGGAAATTCATATAAAAACTGAACATCCTTTTTTTTAAGGTTTACATGTAAAGATAAGCATTACAGTGACACTTGTCTAATCCAGATGTTGTGTTATCTGGAATCTTGTCTAATATAATTGAAAGTTTTAGTCCCTTTCACCTAACTTGAGTGTTTAAAATGTTGTCTAATCTGGAATATTGTCTAATCCGGCAGTTTCTTTGGAACCGGATTAGACAAGTTTTACTGGAAGTTTATTTCAATGAAAATTGATGTGTGAACTTTATATTATTATCTTTATGGTGGTACATGAATTTTGTCATACACCAGTCTATTATTTCCATTTAGAATACACATCCTTTTCTTTGCAGACTGTTTTAGTAACATATGAAGATGAAAATGATGTCACAAGAATGACTACTGAAGTTAATAATGATGTGAGCAATTTGTATCCTATTTATTTTTGTCCAGTAATCATTAAAGAAAAACTTTGTACCAGGATTTTTTTTTGGTCATTTTTTGTTTGTTTTGGGCAGGGGGTGATTAAACTTTGTCTTTTTTCTCACACCCTGTGCTTTTAAAACTGGTTTTAATTATTGTTTTTTTTATTTTTCAGTCAGGGACTTTTAATATGATGCAGCTAGAGAAAAGGGTATTTAAGGTTACACAGAAGACCCTAAGGAAAGCCACTAATCAGGAACCTAAATGTCAAAATGTGAATGTACTATCACAAACAAATCTCTATGACAAGATAAAAAATAAAAAGGTGAGGACTTCATGAATAGGTAGTCAAAGAGATCTTTGGTCTCAAGTCTGAAATTATATCTTTTATTTTGACACAAGAATGTGTCTCAAAGTTTTTTACAGTTCTATAAAGATAGATGGAATTTGAACATTTTGTGAATGTTATTAATTACTGGGGTACTGGTATGCAGAGATGCATTATATGAATACTGCATGTAGTTATGGGTAATATTGAAAATTTTCACCCTGCAAAAATCACTGTCAACCGAGGCACAGCAAACACAAATGCAGGTGAAAGCAAGTACGCATAGATTCCACACAGTCAGTATTTTTTTAATATCACCAGTTGTAAAGCAATGTTGACTGTTGCTAAGTTCTGTCTTGGTGAAGGGTGTGATTTTTTCTTTCAGATGGTAATAGTGATTTTTAACAAACGTTTCTAGACAAATCAAATTCAAGTAATTTACATGAAAGTATAATATAATTATAAAATTATGAAATGATCAGGAATATTGTTGCTCTCTGATTGGTTCAGACTTTCTTTCCTGAGGTGTACCTCAGAGTGAATTCACCTCCAAATGAAGTTCTGGGAGGTTTATTTGGGTTTTTCCTCTTGACCAACCATTTTTACAATTTTATCAACGATTCAAATTGCATGTTTTAAAGCATGTGTTGTTGTAACATAAATAATGCAGACACCAGTATTGAAGAGTCTAGGCTCCTTTATTAGTAAATGGTTGAGTATTTATTGTTTTACAACAAAGTGCTACCTTGGCATATTGCCAACTTTTGACCAAGACAAATTTTGGTATATTAAAGTGGTTGGCAATGTAATGAATTCTGCCATAAATTACAATACAGTGAGTACAGCTGTAGTCAATCAAAAAAATAAACATGTAATTTATTCAGTTACTATCTGTTTATGTCATACTTGTACACATGTCATTCGAATGCACCTTTTATTTATTTTTTTTTTTAAGTCATAAATTGTTTTTTGTTTAGTATTATACTTGACTTTCTTGTGTTTAGCTTGGAGACCAGATGAGAGTGTTAGGAGACAGAGGAGGGACTATATCAGACAGACAGCGGGTCTGGTTCTTCATCACTCAGTGTATACAGGACATTGTTGATATTACTCATCCTGATCATCAAGTATTGCCTTTTGGATCAATTGTCAATGGATTCGCCACAGAAAACAGTGATTTAGATATTGTTGTCATGAAAGAGGTTAGTGGTACAATGTATCACATTTTGACTCACTCAAGCCAAAGGCTTAATTAAGCTTGTCTGATCAAAGTATGTCCGTTGTCTGTTATCTTTGGCATCATTGTTGGCTTTGTAAACTTTTCACATTTTCATCTTCTCCAGAACAAATGAGCTAATTTATTTTTAAAGCATATAGATTAATGAAAGAGGAAATTCAACTGATATCAACAGATAAATTATTGGATTTTTTATCATGTATGTTTTTTAATCTTAGAATGGGATTATTGTTATATAAAATACAGGTTTTGTTGGTAAAAGTGGATCTCCTTATGTTTTTATTCCTTGTATTACAGGGATATAATAAAAAAGATGATGGAATCAAACTTCTGATGAAAATACAAACAGCATTAAAAAGACTTCACTCATATAAGAATATTGCTCCTATATTAAATGCTCGTATTCCAATTATCAAATTCCAACATCCTGTAACAGGAGTTCATGGAGATATATCATATGGGTAAGTTATAATACTGTAAATATATCTTATTTGGCGATATAAGGTGGAAATTGATTTTTCAGAAAGTTGGCGTAGATTTGATTTAGCGCTTTCTGAATTTCGCAATGCACTTGGTTTTTTCAGAATCTGCTTTCCGCAAAAGGCACTAAATAAATTTCTGCTCATCAACTTAGTAAGAGGTGGAAGCATTTTAGTAAATGATTCATTCAGTCTGATTAAAATCAAACCTTCACTAGCTCCTTTTATTTTGATTGTCATGCCACAATCAGAGGAGCTATAGGGAAGGTTTGATTTAAATCAGACTGTGACTCATTATGCTGGGGTTTTTATGACAGGGGTCTGAGAAGAGCTAACAGTTTGAATATGAGCTTTGCAGATTTTCACATTGCATCTTAGAGAAGCAACATCAGATTTATGTATTCCATCAATTCTGTATTGAAACCTGTCACAAATGATTCTTTTTCCCTTTGTTACAAACAATATATCTTACATAAATATTAGTTGGTTTGTTTTATTCAGATGAATAGTTTATACGTTTAACATTTAATTAATAACTTCTGTTGAATTTCACAACTTAGTAACTAATTGGTCAATTTTTGCTGACTTTATACATAATTCAATTGTTTAAAAATAATGATAATTACCTGTGAAGAAAAATCCACTAAAATATCCATTGAACTTTTACAGGTATCTGATTTTTCTTCTGCTAAAATGTCCTATAAATCTGCTGCTAAAATGTCCATTCAAACTTTTAATAATTCCACTAAAATGTCCTTTGCTTTACTCCACACTGTGACAAGTAGTTTGTTGTCTCTGCCTTTTTCTAAAATGTCTAAGATATGCTGATACCTATGGTTCTTATACAAAAAAATGTATATTTATGATATTATGATAAAAACAGTATCAAATTGAATTTTTCAGAAACAACACTGGAATAACTGCATCTATATATCTGAATGCCATTAGTCGATTTTCACCAAGTGTAGTGCCATTCATACTGACAGTGAAGCTATGGGCGACACACTACATGGGCTGGTTTCCTCAGAAGTTTGTCTTCACGGCCTTAGCTTTGTTTTATTTACAGCAATGCAAGGTCATTCCTCCAATAGGGGGTCTCCAGATAGAACTAGGTAATTATTTGTAAATTGTATTACATCAAGTAACAGGATGGCAGGGGCCTTTGCTAAAACCTATCAGTACTTTGCTTCTCATTGTGAATCATTGAGTAAGAACTATGCACACTAACACTTGATTAGGGCCTACATTTTACACACAATTTGAAATGTTAAGCAATCGATCAACAGGGTTTGAAATACTCATGAAATTTAATAAATAACCTCCTTAATATTTTGATATGTTTAATTTATGCAAAATTAATCATATCACATTCATATAGTAAAATTTTGTATTTGTATTGCATTTGAAATTACTCATTAAGTGAACATTTTTGTTTCATTTTGTTTCCTAAACATATGCTTCACCCCCTTCCCCATTTGCATATGCAAGTTTTACTTTTATAAAGTTGTCTCTTTTTTTCTTGATAAACAAATTCAATTGTATGCAAATTCATATTTTACCTATTAAACATAGATACATGAAAACTTCAAAAGAACTCATTTGAATGTATGACAACTTTTGAAAATTGACCTGGAGATAAGCAGTGAAATGATAGTATTGTTTGTAGTTTTATCATGTTTATAGGATTTTTACAATTTCTTGTATATAAATTTACTGGTAGTTGTCATAAATTTGACATGTGTCACTTTACATTTCAATACATTTCATTTAATGAGATATACATAACATAATTTTTTCCCAGAGGGTCAGAATTCCATGGGAATACAATTTCTGTTCAATCCATGGGTAGAAAATTAGGTGGATTTCTTAGATTGCCACTATATGTCTTAAATGTACTTTAAGATTTCCAAGGAAAATTTTTTACCGTGCACATAGTGTAAATTAATACCATACGGAAAAAGGTAATTCTACAGTATTGATGTGTGCTCAAATTTACTGACTTGCACTTCTTTCCACTTACCTTCTTTGATATTTCTATGGTTGTTTCCTTTAATATTTCAGAACCTTCATTGGGTTCCAGAAAATGGGAATGTGATGTAGAAGTGTCGCCAGAAGATTTACTTTATGGCTACTTTAAATTTTATGAACAGTTTGATTTCCATCACAATGAAATCTGTTTAGAAACTGGTACAATCATTCCAAAGAGAGGCTATTTTGATAACAAGATTGTGAATCCTTTTACGAATGGTGAGATTTCTAGCTATGAAGACATTATATGCAGATTAAATGAAGACAGTATTAGTGGCATTCAGAGCAGCGTGAAGGAGTCACTACGAATATTAACAAATTTACCAGACTCTTTCATATTAGGCAACAGAAGGAATCTATGATACATTTTAATGTAAAAAATAGAAGATAAATTTATATGTGTGTTTGGTTTAATAAACATCTCAAACACTTAAAACTTTAAAATCCAGGAATATGTTAAAAAGTCAGATATATCTGTTATACCATCAGACCTACATGTGTATCATGTTTGAGATATCAAAGTTTAGTACTTTTTCAGAAAATCCTGTAGATCACTAAATTTTTGCAGCACCTTGATTTTGAGAGATAGCTGTTTGGTATTTATAAGCAAAACAAAATTTTCAGGAATTTTGGTTATTGTCCTATATAATCTTTAACAATAGAATTATACGCAAGAATGAAATTTTCGTGAACAGCTGGTCATGCGTAATTATACAAAATGAAAAAATAGGGTGATTTACAGTACTTTCTGAGAATTATACTAAAGTGAGGTGGTTATTTGTTCTATAAACACAAAGTCCATTTCACAAAAGACAGGATATGGTTTGTACTGATTACAAAGCTGTAAACAGGGTAGATAAAATATTTTAACCAGTGTGACATGGAAGTTCAAATTACTTGGGGAAAAATTGACAAAATGATATACTGCACCGGAAATTTCAAATGTCATTAAATTGTTTATAATTGCAAACATTAAAATGATGAGAAAATGTAGGGATACAGTGCATCAGTAATTATTACCCTTCATTCATTTTTTTAAATTGTCCCCTACAAACCAAGCATGACTATAGGTTTCCCTAAATAAGCACAACATGAAGTAATTTGCTCATTGTACCGGCAGATTAAAACTTAGAATCTTCAACTTCTTCATGACAAGCACCGTTATGATGACCACCATTCGAAGGACTGTCTTTCCTCATATTTCTCCTAGCTTTTGCTGCTTTAACTCCCTTTTTGTTTACATGGCACAGAATTCGGGTCAAAGTCAGCGTTACAAAGGTCAGAAGTAAACAGCAAAACACAAGACAGTATAACAAAATCTCCAGCTACAAAAAAACCCTAGAGTTATGATGATGTTTATCTCTAGATCCAGAAATATATCTTCTCTTGTCAATTGAAAGGAGTAGGAGAATTAGTAAATGTGAAAAACATTTTTTTAATGAATGGGAAGTATTAGTATGGGAAAAATTGTAACTGACCTGTTTTTCTGACATCCCCCAGTCTGTTGTTGCTGTGGGATAAAATGAAGAAATGTAACAGACAAAAATTTATTAATCAATTGTCCATTCCTCTGAATATATCTAGTATAATATGGAAGTTTTTTCATTGCATAGAAATAAGCTATGAAATGATTTATTTTTCATATGGCACAGAGCAATTTCTCAAGGGGCTAATCGATTCACAATTGAAATTTGAATATGTACTTAGTATATTATGATACCAATTAATTGGAAATTTTTATGTATTGTTAATAAGGCTAATCCACATACTGTGGCTCTATCATTGCTTCTTTTTGTTTAAACATGAAATAGCATTCAACCTGTACAATACCAGTAGTAACAATGCATGTGAACTAGAGGCGTATGGGCCACATTGCTTACATAAGTCACATTTCTGAAAACAGTCTTTTATGTCCATCACCTCAACAGTTTATAATTTTTAGTTTGTTTACTGGGACTTGATATCAAGTTAACAAGTTGTAGCCTAGTTGTTCTTTGAAAAGTCTACATATTTTGTACATCTTTTATGGTTTCACTCTAAGTCAAGAAACACCATAATTTACACAATCTTGATTTTAAATTTCCTTTGTAAAGTGGCCATGATTTGAAGGTACACTGCATTGAGGATGTACATTTTGTTCATGTGGCCCCAGGGACTATTGTTTTACATTGCATAACATTTATAGGAAAACCTCAAGTTTAGAAAATTTCCTCTCATTGGTGAGAATAGCAGGGCCACAGTCAGCAAGGATCCCCATGTAGAATAGATACAAATTATGGCCCCCTCAGGTTAGGGGGTTAAATTTTTAAAATGTGAATAGGTATGGAAAACTTTTTAAAAAATCTTCCCAAGAGCTCATTTGGAAATGTTTTATTCAGTGCACCTGTGGATTAGGGATGCGCAATGTTATCAGTATACCGGTATATTGCGATTTTTATTGCGTGATACATATCGTGATACGGAGACTAAAATACCGGTATTTGGTACATAACTATAAATTCCAGAAATTATTCATTTATTTGTTCAAACTATTGAATGACAATTACAGAAAGTGTAAAAAATGTTGAAAACAGTTAAAACAACGGCATCCAAACATACATAATGTCATTATATTATATAAATAAAAAAATTAAAAAGTAAAGTTATATTTTTATAGCACATTTGTAAGAAATATTATGGAAATTCATTTGAAATTGTAGTAAAAATTGTGTGTAAAAATATCACGATTTATTGTGATATTTTGGGGGAAAATCGTGGTATATCACGATACGAAATTTTTTGCCGATACCCATCCCTACTGTGGATATTACAAACAGATCTGATTCTGATGTGATAAAAATCTGTAAAAAGGAAAGTGGGGGTGGGGAGATTAATTGTTGTGTTTAATGCCTAGCATTGCCATATTTTGTGTAGCATTGTCAAGCAATGTGGGAGCATGGAGTATGTGAGCTTGCTTCATCATTAAGGTGTTGAAAATATGAAAAGTTAGAAGACTGACAGACAACATATGGATGATGAAAAAACATAGATCAGAATAGCAAGTTGCGATGAAACTTAAGCTTAGTTAAGCTAAAATAACAAACAACAAAACAAAAACTTACCAGTATTAAATTCATACTTCTCCTAGTGCCAAAAGAATTCACACAAAGTGTGAAACAGCCGTTTAAGCCCCCCCCCCCCCCCCCCCGGCTTGTTTTCAAGTATGTTTAGATTAAATTTGTATTATTAAGTACTTGGAATCTTACCTGGACATTGACAGGACTTGCTTGGGATGTAACAACTTTTTTTAAATGCTGGTGCTAAATTCAACCATAGATTTTCTTGCTGAACTAGTGGCCATCTGCTTTTATTGGCTGCTGATGTCTTGTAACCATTATATATCAAGTGATTTTTGCTTTGCTTTGTATATGGACGCCATGTTATCTGAATATCTGAACTGGGATAACTGAAAAAGAAATCAAGTTTTGAAACAGTTGTTTACATCTATACAACCCTATAAATCTCTCTGTCAACAGGATTCTTGTTTGCAATATATCAAAAAATGGTTCTAAAAGATGCTGACCTGTTTTGAGAGCTTGATAAATCATTTAAGCTGTTCATATAAAGATTTATGTAGATATTATATTTTCAACTTCTTTGGTCTTGTTATTGTAATAGTTTGGGCTGTGGATATTGGCCTGGGTAGCTCAGTTGGTAGAGTACCTGACTAGTGATGCAGGGGTCCCGGGTTTGATTCCCGGTCCAGCCATACATTTTCTCCTTTCCTGTTACAGATTTGGTGCCATTCATCACCCCTGGATTAGCAGGTGAAACTCCTGCCAGGGGCTAATAAGAACTTGGGTTGTGTCTTCGAGGGTGAAGACAATTTAAGGAGGGAGGAATGTAATGGTTTGGGTCATTTGTGGCCATAGACAAAATGGTTCCCGTTACATTATTATGCCTGCCATAAATCATAAATATGGCCAGGGCATATAGTGTTTGTTGTGTCCATCTTCCATCCTTCCATCTGTCCTTCTGTCACACTTTGCCTTAAGCTCAATTTCAAAGAAACTGTGCAAGATATTTTTATCAAAACTTATATGCTGATACATACTGAGGAGAACTATTCAACTTTATCAACATTTTTTTACTGTGACCTTGACATCACTTTTCTTAAATTTGTGTTAAGGCTAAGTTTCAAAGAAACTCTTCATGATCTTATAATAAATCATCATATGCTGATGCATATTGATGAGAGCTATTCAACTGCATCAACATATTTTGACTTTGACCTCTTTTTTGACCTTGACCTCATTTCTCAAATTAGTGATTATCTCAATTTCAAGAGAAACTTTGGATATTTTTATCAAACCTTATATGCTGATTTATACTGATGAGAACTATTTACCTTTATCAACATTTTTTGACCTTTGCCTTTCCCTTGACCATGACTTTTTTTTTGGAAAATTTGTGTTAAGCTCAGTTTCAAAGAAAGTATTCATGAAATTTTAATCAAGCCTAATATGCTGATACATATTGATGAGAGCTATTCAACTGCATCCCTTTTTTGACCTTGACTTTCCTTTAACCTTGACTTCAAATTTATGTTTAGCTAAATATCAAAGAAAGTACTCAAGATATTTTTGTCAAAAATATTTGTTTATACATATTGATAAAGCTATTTACTGGCATCAGCATTTTTTACCTTGACCTTTGACCTTGACTTCAAATTTTTGTTTAGATAAGTTTCAAAGAAAGCATTCAAGATAGTTTTTTCAAACTTTACAGGCTTATACATATTGATGAAAGCTATTCAATGGCATCAACATTTTTGACCTTGACCTTTTGTTTGACCTTGACTTCAAATCTGTGTTTAGCTAATTTTCCTTGACTTCACTTTTCTTAAGTTGAGTTTAGCTTAGTTTCCAAGATATTTTTATCAAACTTCATACACAGGCTGATACATATTGAGGAGAACTATTTAACTTCTACCACATTTTTGACCTTGACCTTTCCTTTGACCTTAACCTCATGTTTCTCAATATTTTTTTAAGCTCAAAGAAAATATTCCAGATATTTTTATGTAAGCTTATGCATTAATACATTATTTGGTGAAAATTTATCAACTGTGTCCATTTCTTTGTTACCTTGACCTTCCCAGTGACCTTGACTTTACTTTTTATTGTGTATTTAATTCAGCTAAAGAAAGAATTCAATGTATTTTCCTCAAACTTCATACACGTAGTCTAGTTCAAATTTTCACATTGCATTACTAATAATCAATCCTAGGCAGGGCATGTCCTATGGGCATATTTCTAGTTTTGAACATGATTTTATTTTAACATGGCCAAATATACATGCTTGTTATTGGGTTATTTACTTACAGCATGTTCAGGAAAGCTTAATGCCCAGTAATTTAACTTCTTTTCTTAATTGTGCAAGGGGGGGGGGGGGCATAGGGTGTAGATATACTAGTAGCACAAACACTTCTCTGAAATGATGACAATATCAGTATCTACTGATTGGATTGGGGTACTTAAACTTCTCTGGAGTTAATGATTAACTGTGTAAACTTGTCAAAAATATTTGGTTGGTTTTTGTGGCTTATAGGCCTTTAAATTTATGTTTTATGATCATAAAATTGACATTTTCCTTCTTGTTGACTTTTTTTCAGAAGAAGTAAATGTAAAATTTATGTGTATGGGTTAATATTGTACACTAAATATGTGATAAGATGTGATAAGAATATCCCTCTCTGTAATAACAGCTTTATACATACTGTATTTTATGCAGTTTTAAAAATACACATTCTCGGTAACATGGAAATAACTACGAACTGTAGTGTTCTTGCTTCTAACTTTTGTAACTAACAACATGCATAAATATCCAGATTTATAGTATATAATACTGGTACTAAGAGAATAATTGATGATGAGATAAAGATCACCAAGAAGATAAAAGACTTGAAATAAGCCCACTAACCCATGCTGCAAAAAGTTTTTAACAGCTGACAAGACAAAGACAGTTGTAGCATCAGAATCACATCCTTCTCCTCCTCCACTGAATATGCACAGAGGATCACTGGTCCCACCTTGTAACACATAGTATGGCTCCAGCAAAGCTAGAAACACTAGGGCTGATCCACTGATGTGATTAAGATTGTTAATGGAAGATACAGAAGAGAAATCATAGAGAAGGCGTAAAACTTCATTGCAGATACTATTTGCAGTGACGTCATCAGGAAAATAGAATGTCTCCAGCAAGCTGCTTGCATTAGATGAAGTCATTGATGAGAGCATATGTATAGCCTTCTGAAGAATTTCTTGAGTGCATGGGTACTGTCGCTGTTGTACTATCACTGACTTTTTTCGATATATATAGGATGGAGCTACTACATTAAGGTGAACTTGTTCAATATATCTATGATTTTGACTGTCCTCACCCTTCACAATATCATCATCTAGAACTGGTCGAAAATGGGGTAAGGTCCAAGGGGATTGGTTCAAACTCACACTGAGCAGATCTTCTGGACTTATCTCATGAACACATGGCAGTAAACTGGTTGAATTGCAAATAGTTTTTAATTTAGTATCGCTGACGAAAATCTCTGCTGCGTCTGCTCTCTGAAGTGAATAGGGTATATCAAATGGTAGAGAGATAATTTTGGAAAACAAAGCTTCTTTGGTGCTTGAATAATGAAGAGCCTTAGCCATGACAGAGTCTGTTAAAATGGCAATATTGTCCCCATCACCTCCAAAAGCAACAATGTTGTTTCTGACCCACTTGATGGCCAGAATTTGGTCTTGTATTCCAAAATTCTTGGAAGGAAGAGATGGAAACAAAGCAAATCCAAAAATTCCCAAACGATAGTTGATTGTGACCACTACTGACCCTGTTTCGAGAGCAAGGAAGGAACCATTGATAATAGCCCCTGCGCCGTATTGGAATTGTCCTGGGTGAACATAAATAAGGACAGGAAGTTTGGACTTATCCTTTTGTACTGGAACAAACACATTCATATTTAGGCAATCCTCGCTTATTTTCAAATTGTTCAAAAACTTATGCATTAGAATATCCATAGCCTGCATACATATAGGGCCATAGTTCAATGCCTGCAAAGTTCCGTTCCATGCTGGTATCGGTACTGGCGGTGCAAATCGTCTGCTTTCTATAGGAGCCAGAGCGTAGCGTATTCCCAGAAATGACGTCACCCACTGGTCTGTCAATCCTTGTATCTTACCATTTCGGGTTTCGATCACATTTTGTGCCAAACGTCTTATTATTTGCAGTGATATTAAAAGTGCGACAAAGCTCTTGTTACGCATCACTGTTGTGTTGTGGTATTAGAGTGACAAACGCCCTATCATTATCGTTCATGCATTTCTGTTTTTCCCACGAAAGCAGATCATTTGCATTCTTACCACGCACCTACAAAGAAATTTTATGTATTGCTGTTTTGGATTAATTTTGAACTGTGATTGTTGACAGTTTAATAGAATTATATTTGTAACACATGACATAGGGACATTTAGAAGTAATATGAACATTTCCGTAGTTCTCTTTTGGTGTTGCTTGGACATGATGTTCAACAAGAAATTTCCGCAAAACGGATTGCACATTAAGCAGTGTGTTAACATATTGACTTGTAGAAAAACTGTATTTATGTGTTTGATTCTTAACCTTTCTCAAAAGACGATGTGTATTTTAATTATTTATGTACTTTTTCGACAAGACTTCCTAGAGTTTCACTAACTTCTGACTAGGTTACCTGAGACACCTGCTTTCAGTTAAGTTTTATTTGCATTCACAAAGACAAATTTCTAAGTTAGTACGTTCGTCAGGTTCTGAGAATCGCTATGTCTACAAAGTTCATCATTATATAGTTAATCATGTTTTATAGGGAAAATTATCAAATCTCTATATATTTGAGGAACCGTGAATAAAAGCACCAATTCCAAATTCAAAATTGATTAACAAGTATATTTTAGGATAAAAACTATAGGTTTGGAAAAAGATCGCATCGGTTTTACTCATGCGGAACTTTCGTTATGTTATACACAGTCTAAAAAGTATGTGATATTGCTAGATTCCACTAATCATCTCCCATTTCATGCTAATTAGGCAAGATTAAAGGAAAATCAATTTCTCCAAAAATGTATTTTTGTATACTTTTATGGGATGCAAATATCTGCCTTTTACAAGACCGTTTCTTAGACTTCAAAGAACCTTGAGATGGATGAAATGAAAAGTGTTGCACAGGCCCGTAGAACGCGCGGGAAGGGGGTGATAGTAAATTTTCTTTTAGATGCTGGTTGCCCCCCCCCCCCTTTTTTTTTTGATGTTGTAAGGTTGAGCACTGGCAAATTCTAGGATTTGGACGATAAATTAGTTTTTTTGTTTTTTGTTTTTTTTTTTGTTTTTTGCTTGTCAGACTTTTTGAGGAAGTTGCCCCCCCTACTTTTGAAACCGTTGCTAGGGGCCTGTTGCACGAAAAAAAAAATCAATTGAGACACTCAAACAATTTTAAGAGTTATTGTTCCTGGTTGAAGAGCCCGAAAATGCAATACTTTGCCACCAAATTTTGCTTATCTGCTATTGAAACATATACCAATTAATCACAAAGCATCGTGTTAGTGAGCATATCGATCGATGTAAGCAAAATACCACCCATGCAGAATCTAGGGATTAGAAAGCACCTGTCAAAATGAAACGTTAAACTGTGCATGTAAATTGATCTGCAATAATTCATATATTAGGGGACCTCTGACATGCGAAGTGCCTTTTATATCACTTATTCCTATGGTTGACATGATGGCTTTATGTTCGACATGACACAGTTCTTATACAAAAGGGTAAATGAGGACATACTTTATAACAGACAGTTTATCATTTATCGAGGCAGTTGTGTGAGTGCGTCCTCAACTACCATATGCAATTTTATTTCAAGAAAAAGAATATGTGTTTCTTTTGTTTTTTAATAAATAAGTAACTATACACTGAACATCCCAGCATTGTACAGATATCCTCTGCATAGAAATTAATTTAAAAGCTTAACCATATCGCAAGAATTGTTTCATTAGAAAGGTACCGGTATGCATCGGCTACTCCAAACAAAGTTCTACAGCTTAATTTCTCAGTTCTTATTTCACCTCAATTAAAGTAAATAAAAATACTTCATAAATTCATTATTTTATTTAAAGTATTTCATCTAGAAAGGGAAAACCCAGATGATTTTATGGACCCTCTATACACTAATGAAATTTTTTTTTTGGCCATTGAGAAAATTATATCATATAGAGGTGTAAATACTGTGTCTATCTACATGTATTTCATTTTCAACATAGGGTACCTGACATCTATCTTCAGGAAAAAATTTTCTCAGACAATTTAGTACTGATGAACATAAATCACCGTTGCTTATTTAAATGGAAAAAATACATGCAAATAAAGAGTTCAATTAATTTATCTTGGTCTAATAAAATGTTAGAAATGTTTGAATTGATAACATATGGAGTAATATGCTGTAGATTTCATTTTATTCAATTTTATATCTAGGGACATATCACTCTAACTGCTTAAAATTACAATGGAATCAGAACTCTTTAGTGTGCAGTGAAATCTTTTTTATTTCAAAGTAGGAAAAGAAAACCTTTAAGGATATCCGATCCTCGGCCAGGAAGAATAACTCTTAAATTTACTATTTTATTTAAAAAGTCCCAAAATGGAGCTTGAAATTGAGATCTTATCGTGCAACAATTTTCATTTTATGCATCTTAATATGATTCAAGGTTCTTTGAAATCTTAGAAACGTCTTGTAAAAAGTTGACATTTGTACCCCATAAAAGAAAAAAAATTAATTCATTTTTTTAGAGAAATCGAATTTTCTTTAGTTTAGCATTAGATTCCACTGCTTATTAGCATGATGTGAAATTAGATGAAATTAGATGTCATATGTGATGTCTAGCAATGATAGCACAAATTAACTTTTTTTTTTACTACGCATTGTATGACAATTGAAGTAAAAAGAAATGAAATACTGCACAAGCATAAAAAAGATGCAATTTTCTCCAAATGCCTGGATACCTATATTTTTCTATCCTAAATTATATTTGTTGATCAATTTTCAATTAGAAAATCCATGACTGCATGGTGTTTTTATTCGCATTTCCTGAAAATACATTTGAGATTTGATAATTTTCCCTATATAATATGATGAACTATAATGATGAAATTTGAAGAAATTCCATGGGTAAATTCACGTTACTATGTGAAATCAGAGACATTTCTGTGAGCATTTTCAATTACTTAAAAGCTGATTTTCAGAACCTGAAGATAGGACTACCTTAATCAAATTCAATAGGATAAGATATACCGGTAATTTCTTTGCAAAAGCTCAAGGTGAAGTAAAGTTATCTTCGTGTAACCATTTTATTCAATAATGCAATACATGACATGGCCGTAGGAACGGGGGGGGGGGGGGGGGCACGCCAGGGGGGCTGTGCCCCCCCCCAATAATTTTGCCGATATTTAGATTACTATAGAAAACATAGATACTATATGCTTGTGCCCCCCTCAATAAAAACGTCTGATGACCTTTTTTTTTTTGCTTGTCAAGGAATTTTTGGTAGTTGATAGTCCCCCCTCAACTAAAAATATATGGTTGTGCCCCCAAATTGAAATTGTTTCCTACGGGCCTGCATGAATTCCTGAAGACCTTTTGACCTCAAAATTAATAGAGGTCATCTATACGCCAAGGAATTACAAAATAAAATTTCTCTTCAGATGCTCAAAGAGACATAGGCTATCCCCAACAAGAGGCCCAGGGGCCACATCGCTCACCTGAGCACTATGGCTAGAAAAAAGCAGAAATCAGTTCAGTCTTGAAAGGTTGAAAAGTTCAAATATAAAAGTGGGGGGGGGGGGGGGGTTCATGAATTGCACAAATTTGAATCTACATTATCTGAGGATGCTTCCATTTAAATATGACCAATCATGGCTTTGCTGTTCTTGAGTAGAAGATTTTTAAAGATTTAACCTATGTATTCCTATGTAAAACTTTGATCACCCATTGTGGCCCCACCCGACCCCTAGGGGTCATGTTTGAACAAACTTGAATGTACACTATCTAAGAATGCTTCCATATGAATATGAATATGCATATCATGGCTTTGTTGTTCTTAAGAAATATTTTTTTTAAAAAGATTTTTACTACGTGTTCCTATGTAAAACTTTGATCACCCATTGTGGCCCCACCCTATCCCCAGGGGTCATGATTTGAACAAACTTGAATCTACATTACCTGAGGATGCTTCCATGTACATATGGCCAATTATGGCTTTGCTGTTCTTGAGAAGAAGATTTTTAAAGATTTTTCCTATATATTCATATGTAAAACTTTGATCGCCCATTGTGGCCCAACCCGACCCCCAGGGGTCATGATTTGAACAAACTTGAATCTACACTACCTGAGGATGCTTCCACATAAGTTTCATATTTTCAAGCACAGTGGTTCTTGAGAAGAAGATTTTTAAATGATGCCATTAATTTTTCACAAATTCTTAATTATCTCCCCTTGGAAGAAGGCGTGGCCCTTCGTTTGAACAAACTTGAATCCCCTTTACCCAAGAATACTTTGTGGCAAGTTTGGTTGAAATTGGCCCAGTGGTTCTGGAGAAGAAGATGAAATTGTGAAAAGTTTACAACGACAACGCCGACGACGGACAACGGACAAATTTTGATCAGAAAAGCTCACATGAGCCTTCGGCTCAGGTGAGCTAAAAAAAAACTATTTTATGCAATGCATGAACTTTTGTCCTTGACCTTTTGACCTGAAAATCAATAAAGCCTTTCTTTATGACATACGGAGTTATGGTATAAAATTTCATTGAAATATCCAAAGGTCTTTATCGTTATGAGTTAATTTTAGTGGGCAAATTCAGTGAATTTTTAGAGTTGGCGCCGTCACACTTATCTAGCGCATGCGTACCAATAACATCCGAGAGAAAAAAAAAAAAATACTGGCGCAGAAAAGGCGAAGGCAAGAGTGCAGTTAATAAATGAACCTACACACAGTAACTCTTAAATTTCACTGAATTTAGCCCACTAAAATTAACTCATAACGATAAAGAGCTCCAATAAGTAAAATGCAAAGGCGAAAGTGCGATATTAGTATCGTTCCTTCGCCTTCGCACTCTTGATCTCTTACGCATCTTCGCGCTTCGCCGTCGCATCTTCGCATTTTCGCTCCTTCGGCTTCGCAACTTCGCACTTTCGCCTTCGTACACTCGCATGTTCGCCCATCCTCACAATGTCAAGGTTTTGTGATTTCGGAACTCCACACAAACCCTTGACATAAGTCGCTATTTAAAAGTTGGGTTTGTGGTTACACATGACGTAGTGGGTAATTATAAACTAACCAATGAGAATATATTTTTCAAATCCGTCGTTTTCGAATGGCCCAACTCCAGAGCATATCTTTTGTGATTGCTAGGAGGGCGATCTTCCAAAAAGTAATCCCCGATGTTTCATTGAATGTAACTAGTCACAAATCCTACAATATCGACACTTTCCATTTTAAAGACGAGTCATATTTGTTTACAAAACTTACCTACAATAAAAGCTGTTTTCTGATTGGTTCCAGTCCTAGACCAGGAACAAATGAAATAGTACCTTTCTTGCGCAACTTTTAAATAGCGACTTATGTCAAGGGTTTGTGTGGAGTTCCGAAATCACAAAACCTTGACATTGTGAGGATGATATGTTCGCCCTAAAGGTGAGAGTGCGAAGGTGCAAGTGGCCCCAACGGAACACCATACACAGGACTTCCTGAGATATGGTTTGAAAACTAGACGTACAGAGCCAAATTAAACAAAACAAAACAAAAGGCCAATTAACCTGAGTCATATTGGCCCTGCTCTTATTCATCAGATTTTAAAACAATTTTCCCTCTTTATCCTATGAAAATTTATCTACCAGTACTGTGTTGTATGATACGCTTAATTTTTGGTAACTAGATGATAATAATGAAAGCAGATTTGTCTGTTCCATTTTATAGTGTGTTTTGAAACTTACAGAAATTGCTTAAACTGGATTTTTAAAAGATTTTTAATATATATTTCGACCCTCTAATTGCTTCTCCATCTTGGCTTCCATCCTCACAACGTCAGGGGTCCTGTGTCAACTCGTTGCCGTGGGACCCCTGACAAATTTCATTTGATATCTTACGGGCTGACTGCAGCGACGTCTTTCGAGAAAATTACAAATCTTGATTGTTTTTCTTATCTCTCAGCCAATCACATTAAACCTTTCGGTGATAAACAATGCGCAACACGTGCATTTTGAGGTGAACTGATATTCCTTTCTGTTTACATTATCTGTCTACTTCAATTTGACTGGTGCTTCTCAATAAGAGAAGCAAGTCCGAATAAAAGCGAATGAAATTTGTCAGGGGTCCCCCGGCAACGAGATGACACAGAACCCCTGACGTTGTGAGGATGCCTGGCCTCTTCAATTTACACTACATAAAGAAACCTTCACATGCGTTTTATCTTTTCTGATCCTTTTAAGGAAAAGACTTAAATGACGCCAACAAAATTTTCATTATTAATCATCTCCCCTCGAAAAAGGGCGTGATCCTTCATTTAAAAAATTGAGCACCCCTTTATCTAAGGATTTTTTGTGGCAAATTTGGATGACAATGTCATGAAAAGTTGAAACTTTACAGACAACACAAGACAGACGGACGCTGGATACTTTTCGATCAGAAAAGCTCACTTGAGGCCATGGCCCATGCCCCCCCCCCCCCCCCAACTGCTTATTCCCGACTGCTCGCTGCCCATGTCCACTGCTTATTACTGCCAACTGCTGATTGCCACTGTCAACTACTCACTGCCACTGCTTATAGATGATACATGTGTATTGACTATTGTTATCTTTTGAAATGCACACTTGAATATGAGTAAACCCTATAACAGCAACAAAATTACAACAAAAACGGGAGCAAATCCAAAATGTTTATAAGAGGAGAGAGGGGGAGATATACAGTATATATCCACTTGAATACAGAACTCCAAAATTTCCGAACAAACAAAACAAACCAAACGCTATTTCATCGGGAAGGGCCGGGGGGGGGGGGGCTAAAATTTCAACAGAAATATGGAGTTAAAATTATTTTCTACATCTGTAGGGATTCGCAAAAAGGAAGAGGGGGCGTCTCACATTCTGTGACTCTTACTACCGTCCTGGAATCCTTTGCCGATTAATCACGAGTGTCATACATTACAAGGTATTTTTATATTCATAGAAAATTCCTATTTACATGTAGGGGAGGTCCCTCAGAGCGATTAGTAGAGGTTTCAATACAATTATCTCTAATTAGGGTCCTGGGTAACATAGGACCATAAAATAAATTCAATTTTGATACATTCATGAAGATGCAAAATAACTTTAAAGAACTACGCACGGTAACTCCCGATTCCCGCCTACATTTTACAACCATTTAATTCAATATTGATGACAATTTGGCCATAAAATCTTTGTTTAATACAAAGAACAGTTCAATGGTAATTGATTAATTACTTTAATTCCAGTGCTAAATAGTAAAATATCCCTAATTCCAGCTCTTGAAATAAGGGGGGTAGACGATATTTTCCACTGAAATCGGGCTATAAAGCATCACCATATTCTGAAATAGTCTTGGATATGAATAAATGTTTCTTAAATCTTTTCTTATGTTTTATGCATATAAAATTAAGCATATATATTAGTAAAATATAATGTTTCAGTTGTAAAGCACTTGGAAATTGCTGAGAAAATAAGCATTTTTGTCGTTTTTTTTGTATATAAACATATGTTCCCCCCCCCCCCCCCCCGTGAAACACAAAAAGCTTTGGTATGAATATGTGAAATGACAGTCCATATTACCCGTAAAAAGGAATTTTTGTTTCACGGGGGGGGGGGGGGGGGGGCTGGATAATTTTTGTTTTAATAATATTTTCCGTTTTCCGTTGATTTCTCTAGTGAAAAACACGAGTTTTACCAAATTTTAGAGTTATCTCTCGTTGTTTTCCCAAAGAAGTAATGTTTTATGAAAATTCATATAAATATCAATATAAATATTAAAAATCATTCGAATATCTTCACTTTTGAAAATCGACTTGGAGGTAGGCGGGAGAACAATACTATCGTTCGCAGTTCTTTGTCTCGTGATCTATGACATATACAAAGTGTTTGAAAAATCACAAAATATTTTACTCTGTAGGCTAAAGTAAAAAAAAAGCCATCGTGTTACCTAAAACTAAAACAGTTTCATATTGCTTATCAGAAAATTTTGAAGTTCGGTATTTTTAGGTCACCTGATCACTCAGGTGACCTATTGCTATCTGTTTTCGTTCGTCGTCGTGCGTCGTCCGTTTAACTTTTGAACATTTTCAACTTCTCCAAAACCACTAAACCAATTTCAACCAATTTTGGCATATAGCATCTATGGGTGAAGGGGAACAAAAATTGTGAATTTCATGGTCCCTGTCCCCCTGGGGCCTGAGAGATGGGGCTAAAAACCACCAAAATTGATGCAATCTTTAAAAATCTTCTTCTTTACTCCTGGACACCAAGCAGTCAAACTGTTGGCGTGATTGTAATAAGCATTGGGCCTTCCACCAAAATTGTGAAATTCATGGCCCCAGGATCAGGGGTTCTGGTGCTGGGGAGGGGCTCTAATGATTATATAGTGAAAATGCTCGAATTGTGTGAAAATCTTCTCCTCTGCTCCTGGGTATTAAACCAATGAACGTTGATCTAACTATATAGTTATGATGAACAAGGATCCTTATTCCAGAATTGTGAATTTCAAAGCCCCTGGGTCAGGGGTAGTTGGGGGGCTCTTATGATTATATACTGAAAATGAATTAATGCTTTGAAATCTGCTCCTTGGTATTAATCAAACATTTATTATGAGCAAGGGTACCTTTTCCAAAATTGTGAAATGTGTGGCCCCAGGGTCAGGGGTTCCTGTGGGGTAGGGGCACTACTGATTATTACTGATTAATGAAATTAAGTAATCAAACTTAAAGCATGCTACATGTATAGTTATGATGAGCAATGGTGCCTCTTTCAAAATTGTGAATTTCATGGCCTCTGGTTTAAATCCAATTCAAGTGTTGGAAAGTTGTTACATGATACTCAGGTGACCTATAAGGCCCATGGGCCTCTTGTTTTTTTTTAGGGGAACCAGATTATACTTGTATTGCTTGTTAAACAAATAAGGTTTTTCCCCCAAATAAATAAATATACAAAAATGTGATTGAGACTTTATTTACAAAATCACAAATATTAATCACTACAGGTTGGATTGAAACTTTCCAAATGTCAAAAAAATCCTTCCAAGACATAAAATATTGATGCATAAACACATCTGCAAAAAAAAAAAAAAAGAAACTTCAACCGGTATGTCACTATAACTGAAAAAATCAAATCACTCATGATTTACAGAATGTTTTGAAGTCCTAAAAAAAAAAAAACAAAAAAAAAACCCAACTAATTCACTCAAGGTGTACACCGATGCAAAGAAATCATTACATCTTTTTAAATTATTTGTTATACACATGTATATACCCAAATAAAATCCACAAAAAGATAATATGTGTTACACAAAATAAAACAAGTAAAACAAGGCAACCTTAACAAATTTCAAATCTTTTAGCATATTAGCTATGACTGACAAACAAAAACAGTTGGACTATATACATGTATATTCAAGCCCATGAAATAGGCAAGCACCAGTATCAATTTTCCATGGCACAGTACTCCCCCTTCTGCTGACAGCACAATATGCCCAACTACTCAGATTTGTGGCCCTAACACCAGAGAGTGCGGCATGCCCTGCTCATCATTTCACTTTACCAGACAATACTACTCAGTCTATGCCCCACTACACTGTGCCTCAATACTCAAGACAGCACAGTGTCTCCCACTACTCCAGATAGCAAAGTACTTCCCAACCCACCAGAGAGCACATTTTGACCACTGCTCTGGATAATACATCTCACTACTCAAGAAAGAACTGATTTCCCCATCACACAATGTTCCCAACTAAAGCAGAGCAATTCAACAGGCTATGTAGCAAAATGTGTCACACTTCTCTGGAAAACTGGATGATAAAAGGGTCTATACTTGAATGAAAAACAACTGAGCTTGGACTTTTTAAGAGGGTATGGATTTATAAAATAAAAAAACAAAAACCATAAGCACAAACAACTTGCTAAATTCAAAAGGAACATTCAAAAATGGAACAGACAAGTTTGCTTTCAGTATTATAGTTACCAAAGATCATATCATACATGTCAATGAATTACACTAAAAAAAGAAGTAAAATTTTAGTTAATTGTTACATAGTTGTGTTAGACAAGGAGTTGAATAAACATTACTTTTATCATATTATATACATGTATTTGCAGAAAAAGAACAGATTTATTTTTAGACTGAATATAATCATGATACAAGTGTAGGTATGTCCAACCAACTACAGTCAAACCTCATTATCTCAAACTTGATGGGACTGAGAAAAGACTTATCCGAAGATTCGAGATATTGAGGGTAGAATGCTTAAAAAATAAGTGGTTGGGACTTCCAAAACCATTCAACATATCAATGGTAATTGAGATATCAGTGTTTGAGATACTGAAGTTCAACTGTAGTAATGCATTCTATGCCCTAGTGCTGTCTCATTCCTCATTGTTTTCAGCATATCTGCATTCAGGTTGTCAATTTGAGTCAACAAAAATGTTAAATTAATGTGAAAAATAGAGAAATTTTGGCATACAGATTAATTTTTACAAACATTTTGAAAAAAATTAACATCAGTTTCTGCATGATTCAGCAACATGAGATATGTCCTTTAAATGAAGGTAACACTGTTGAAAAAATCATCAAAAGTAGTGTTTGTTTGTTTGTTGTTTTTTGTTTTGGTCATACATGGGAGAAATTCACATAACATTTGTTGTACTGCAAGTTAGACAAGATATCAGTACTGATATAATACTTGCAGAATTTTTCATCTATATGTGGAAATAATACTCTAAATATACATGTAAATATACCAAATCTTAATCACAGTGCTTTTTACAATATACATATATATCAACAATAATCAAGTTCACAATAGACCTTGAATTTCCAAATGCATTTTAAAAATTCCGCATCAAATTTCTCACTGTAGGCTACTACATGACAGCCACTCAAAGGTTCAAAATTTATGTAATACTGTACCAGAATATTTCATGCCAGGTGGTATATTCTATAAACAAATAGTCTATAACCTTTTGATTTTTATAAAAATAAAAAAGATAAAACAGCATATAGATCAGGACAACCTAAATATGGACACACTTTTTCATTAATTTTCTTTCGGACTGACCTTAGCAACACAGATAACTGGTTTATATAGAAAATACAATCATCTGTTTGCGGTTCTGCACTACCAAGAGATTAGCACAATAAACTCATCTAGTACGAACATGGATAGAGAAAATTTACGGATATAGTGACAATTTTTGGGATCCCCATCAAAATTCTTAACAATTAATTATTCAAAAAATGCTATGGTTATAATGAACTCTAATACAAAGAATTTTAAGATGTAAGGTCCTGTAGAGGTTAAAAATAAGGAAACTTAAATATCTTTTTATAACAAATTTTTACATATCTTAAAATATAAAATATTAAACTGACCAATTTTTCTCAAGTATTTATATTTGAAGTTCAATTCATCAGAAAAACTTTTGTACTCCAAGAAAAGTTTTGTATGTAATACTTCCCTGAACATATTTGGTATTCATATTTGAGGGGAAAATGTATATTGTTGATTCAATTTATATACTTTGATGAAATTGTTATATGGATATAATGAGTTATGGATATAGTGAAGTAAGTTCACAGGTCCTCAGGATTTTGCTTAGCAGCTATAACCAAGTTTTACTGTATTTGAAAAGAAAGAGAAACTTATCCCTATTCTTTCAAGTAAACTTAAAAAAAAAGCAAAAAACTTTATATGACATATATAAGTAATGATAAGAGATTCTGACTAAAAACTGCAACTGAACAGTGTTTTCCCTTTATTTCAAAGTAAAGGATTAGAGATCAATTGTAACAGGCTTTTGTTTGAAGTTTATGAAAAATCTCTGTGGACCTTACAACAATTAAATTTTGATTTTTTAATTTCAAAGCGGCATATTTATCAATTGAAGTGGTCAATCTGCCCAGTAGCGGTTCTTAGGGAAAACACAGACTGAATAAAATTCTCATCATAAAAACGTTCATCATATAGCCTATTTTGATATAAAAAATCACTCTTTCCAATTATCTTAAGGTCACTTTTTTTTTAATCCCCCTCCTCCTTCCTTGAAAAAGTGGTTACGTTGCATTAAAGAACATTCAAAATCAATTGACACTACTTCATTTCATGCAGTCTTGAACACACATCTGAACTTATACAAGTAAATATTTACCCCAAAACATTAGAAATTCCTACACTAAAAACAAATTATATAAATGTAAATCTGATTTTTATTTTACACTAAAAATTAATTATTTTGACCCAGGGGAATCAGAAACTTTATATGGCCTAACCATCAGCTAGATGAACACAATCTTGGAGCTCAAAGATAAATTGTGTAGAATTTCAAATATTCAACATTGTTTCTGAAATTATTTTTGCATCTAATGTAATATGAAAAAATGTCTGAATATGGCACTTTGCTGCCAGGCATATATAACATAAACAAATTTTTAACATAAAAAATCTACAGGATTGTCACTTGCTTACACATGTACATCTAAAAGGTTGATTCTAGAAATACATGCTGTTTTTAGTAGTTACATGTTTTTATCCAGTAAGTAACTCTGACTTTGGTACTTTGCGAAAAATCACTTTAAGGTCGGTAAGACTTGAACTTGAGTGAAAGACTATTGATGCAAAACCTTTGTCCAGTGGGTTCTGGCCCATCATTGAAAACATGGCCAAGGTGGGCATCACACTATAAAAAAATTATCAAAAACTTCTAAATTTATTTCAAATTCAGAGAGAAAAATCTGTGTTTCTATTGAAGTATGATAAAACTAGTTTTTGAAATAGTTGAAAGACATACTAGTAATTCAGCTGAATTACATGTGCAAGTCATTTCTTCATTTTTTTTTTCATTTATCAGAATTTCATTATAATCTGTCTGCTACCATTGCATTATATTACTGTAAACCAACTTTTATTCGTGTTCGAAAAATATCCGCGAGTTTTGCAACCTACTTTAACTCGCGAATATTAATCGCTGCAAACCAGTTATTTTGCTTTGTATTTGTAAAGAATTGTTTTTGTCAGTTGCAAAAATTAATTGTCGTGGATTGATTGCAAACTGAGGATTCGCGAATAAAAGATAATGTGAATAATAGTTGGTTTACAGTATTCGCTGAGGAAAACAATAATAGATCATAAATGTGAAATAAACTTAGTTTATCTTTTATTTATAAGTCACAGTTATGAAAGAAAAAATACCAACTTACATTTTTACATATAACTTCTGTGCGTACCATTCCAATACTGTTATCAGGGCGACGTAAAATGTGTGTGTGTGATTCATCACCGTTTTCAGTTCCAGCAGCCTCAAAGAAGGAGGGCCAACCACAATGGGAGTCATACTTAGCATCAGAACTATTCATAATTCATTAATAAATATGATTAAAATTACATAATCTTTGTCACAAACCAAGTGTTTTTGTGTCCATTCTTTTCCATCAAACTTTTGTAGAAACTGCAGACACAAAAACTGATGACTTGTGAGGATGTAATCTTGATAAATAGTAAAAAATAATGTACAATATATCATATTAAACTTTGAAATATGATAAATAAAATCTAAAAAACAGAAAATATCTTTGTCAGATTGTCAAAATTTATATTTTTTATTGATTTGCTATTTATATTACCTAAAAAGCTCCGCATCACAACATACACAATGATAAGTGCCCTTTTCAAAGTGGTTCAAATAACTTCCACTAAATGGCTAAAAATAAAAGGACTTGAATCAAGGATGAATTCATTGGAATACATACATTTAGGCACACAATACACATAAAAAAAATCTCTCAATAGTACCAAATTGAATAAATGATTTCTGAATCAAAAGTCCACAAGGGGCAAAAAGAAATTCAGTAAGGCCAAAATAAAAAATACCCTAATGCTACCGACCCAATTAAATAGCGCTGACTGAAAAGTTTTTTTTATATAAGATAGTTCAAATATTTTTTTTTAATGTTTATCACCTTTTACAAAATACAATTTCATTAAAATCTGTTTTTATCAGAACGGTAGATTTTGTTCTAAATTGTGATTTTCAAGCTTTTTTTAAAAATAAAATGGCACCCACAACATGTGGTCACAGACTTTGTGACCACATGTTGTGGGCACTATTTTGTGACAGAGGATTAGTTCGTGTTATAAATCAACCTTATGCCTTTAGCTTGTAAGAATCCTACTCTTAAAACATTTCGGTAATAAAATTTACCATGACTAATTAAGAGTGTTTCGGTGGTATTTACAAACCTGTCTTTTAAAATTAAGGTATGTAGTAAGCATGGTAATGCCAGCCTCATGAGCAGACGAGGGGCCCATCTTGTGAACTGAACACATCAATCAAATTCACTGAATATTATATAATTTCAGTTTTGATCTAACAAACAGTTCATCTTTGTTCCTATGTTTACTATACGGACCATAATAGTTGTTGTAAATATACCTGCACATTTCATCCTGTGAAAATAATTCAGACGTCCTTTCTTCATGCCTTTTATTCATGTGTTAAACTTCGTGACTGACATTGTGTATAACATTTTCCTCAAATTTAGAATATGGTTTCGTTAAATTAAATATTGTTGACATACTCTTTCCAAATAGTTTTGAATTCATGATACAGCTTTGATCCTGAGTCGTCCACTGTATTTTTCTTTAATTAGGCCCTTGAAGATTGGTTGTTTCTTTGGTTTAAATCCCTTTTAGAATTGTTGGGATGAAAGCATTTGAACATTTGACCGGTGAAGGACTCCAAATTTAGACTTGCAGTACTCAACACTTTTGACCATTGAGCAGTGAGGGATCTTTTTCATGCCAGTATCTACTGCGACACTGGACCTAAGTTTTAACACTCTCATTTGAAGGACCTGTCTCAACTTCCCGCGTGGGATTTGAATCTGCGACTTAGAATTAGCTCCTTACTTCGGGACTCCAAAACGAAATGTTTAGAACCACTGCACAATTCGAGGACCTTTAAAGAGTACATTGCATGTATAAGCACTATATACTCGGATGTCCAGTCTTTGTGTATCTGAGGATCTTGTCTTATTAAATATTTGATTTCAATAAATTTACTTTGCATGGTGTGAACTATTTCACTATTGTGAATTAATTTACCTTAAATTTTGCTTTTAAATGGCATTAATGTATGATATTCTATTTACAAATCGCTTTCTTTAGTACTTTTTCCTTATTTATAAAGGAATAAGTCCATTAAATTTCAGAATGTATTTTCAACGCTGCTGTCCAAAAAAAAATTATTTACCTACCTACCTACCCAACTTGAGATTTTAGGGTCGGGTTAGGGGAAACGAAGATATTTTTAATGATAGCCTAAATAAATTGACACATACAATCAGACCTCTTTATATTGAACTTGACGAGACTGAGAGAAAAGTTTGAGATATTCAAGAATTCAAGATATGGGTGAATTAAAAAAAAATGACCACCAAACTGAATTTTTTTGGCAAAATTCAACTACTTATAACATATTTTTCACTTATATCATCATATTGCAAATGCATTCTAGTTTAAAATCCTGAAGTGGCAATAGAATAGACAATTGGATTAAAAAGTTTCAGAATTTTAATTAGTAAAATTTCTTTTGAAAAAAGAAAATATCATTACACCTTAAAAGACTTTCTAAAATGCATAATCACAAGAAATTATAGTTTTTTATGCTTCAAAATGGTAAAAGGGGTATAAATGATTAAATCTTGACCTTGAATGAGTATCTTCTCTTGTACATGTGACAAAAAATTGGGTTTTTGATTGTTATTTTACATTATTTTTTCAATTCTGGTTTGAAAAGTTTTAATATGAAAAAAATATGAAGCAATAAAATTCCCCAAAATTCACTTTTTTGTCCGTTCAAGTCAATTCTTTAAATCTAAGCCAAAAAAGAATTGTTATATACGAGTTCTCTTACAAAAAATACTAGATTTTGAAGTCACCCTATGTTACCAGGGATCGACATTAACGGTTGTCCGATTGCCCGGGACAAGTAAATTCTCAGTTCAGGCAAGCGAAATTGTTGACTACTTGTCCGATCGGGCAAGTGAATTTTTCTCATACAAATATACATATTTATTTAGTTTACCTTAATTTATAAATAAAACAATAAATTGAACACTTGATTTCTGCCACGGACCTGACTGACAATGTTTTTGCATTCGGAATTCCTTGGTAGCGTTTCTGGATTATACCACTCATTTTAAAAATCGGGTTCATTATTTTCTTTTGTAGTAAATACGCTCTACGTCTAACAAAATTTTGTTAACTTCTTATTAGGAATTTATTTATTCAAGCATAGCATATAAGTACAGTGTAACACGATGTATCCTGATCAAGATAAGATGTATGTTTTGTAGCAACTATCTTCCTTAAGCGTTGCTTCACAGTTATCTCTCAAAGCACAATCACAAAAGGATCCTACCGAAAATAATTTTAAAAATAGGAATTTTATGAAAAGGAAACTGAGGGTTATTGTTGCATGGCAGAGTGTGTTAGCAGGTTAAATTTACAAGCACAGTGGTATTCATTTATGTACAAATGCAGCATGTATCGACATTTTTCAGGTAGCTCAACTTGCCAAATTGACAGTAGTGTACTTGGTCACATTTTTTCTTACCATAACGTTTACAGTAATTAATAATTTTCTTTTTAACTTCTTTCCTTATTTTGGACAACCAAGTTTTGCATTCGGACAAGTCAAAGTTTGAGATCACTTGCCCGAAGGGCAAGTTAATCTGAAAGTTAATGTCTATCCCTGGTTACATTATTGTGTTGCACTCCTGAGATCTGATATGTATTTTATTTAACTTTGTTTTAAAAATTATAACACACAATAACCCATTCTTACTTTGTAAATCAATTTGTCGTGTTGATATTTTTCATCGTTTACAGCAGGTTTTTCATATTTTGAAGACCTTAAAACATGATTACTTGCAAAGTGTAATATATATAAATTGTATTTAAAATATATGTGATATGATGAAAACTATTCCCTGAATTGACTGTAAAATTTCTGTAATTTGTTGATAGACATAGTGTTTTGAACATCAAATAGTATCAAGCATTTTTTTTCAACTTATTTTTTAGAAAAGATAGTTAAAAAGCATCGGTAATTATGAAGCAGTTTTGTTGCACTCCTGACTGCAGTAAAGCTTAAAATTAAAACCATAGAACACAAAAATTCATAAAGTGTTGGCAACATCAAGTGGTAATGAAATTGTGCAATACTTCTAGTCCAATACTTCATAATTAAAACAGATGAAAGTATTTAAAATTCGCATTTTATCTGGAATTATACCCTATTTTATGCCAAAAAACTAGCTTAAATGTATATTTAGAAGATAAAATATATTTTAAAGCATATTTTCCTTTAGAAGACAAACACAGTAACCCACCAGAAAAATTCTACTCATCATTTTTTCTTTATTTTTATTCTTATTGGATGATTTATAATTCTAACATATTTGTTGCACTCCTGACCAAAAGCATTGGGGCCTTTAAAGTAGAATTGTGAAGTGAAAATTACATAAGAACTTGTTCTGTTGTTTCAGTGAAGTTGAGGAGGAATTACTTGAATTTTATGACAATGTTTTAGTGTGTTTATTTTTAACGTTCATTAAAAAAATCACAAAAAAGATAAAAACACATCTGAATTGATAAAATTGAAAAAGGAAGGATTTTGATAATAAAACTGTCAATAATATAGCATTAAATTATACAAAAAGATCATTATTAATTAATGAATACTTCTAAGCATGAATAGAAGTCTTTTTGTCACAGAACTTGAATCTTTAAAAAAATGTGTTGCACTCCTGACCTTAGAAATATGGATCTGAAGCACAGACAGATCCTGTAATTGATAAATCTATTTGGTAAAAATGTTCTTTGTGTCTTTATTTTCCAAAATAAAAATCAGAAAATCATATAATGATAATAGTTTTTTCATGCTTGGAAGCAAAACATCAAATGTTGCACTCCTGACATTTTTGGGTATGCACATATACTTGACTCTCATTAATGCTGCTTGTGATTTATATAACATTTTTAAGTGTTAAAATGTATATCAGTTATTATTTTACACTTCCAAAATTCTTTTTTGTCTTAATTTTCTATCAGAATTTTACAATCAATGTTTTTTTGGCAACACTACATTTTTTCTGTTGCACTCCTGACATGGTATAACATTTTTTTAAACATCAGCCATCACCACAACTTGATTAAACAAAAGTTTCAACAGTCCACATTTAAAGCTCAATACTTTGAATATTATCAGGAAAGTCTTTATTTTCAACATGAAGCATTATTTTTTATTTCACAGATCTCCAAAAAATATTGAAATTTCAAAATGTCACAAAAAGGTGTTGCACTCCTGACAATTTTAGCATCATTTTTGGGCATAACTTTTTTGTTAATTGAGATATCAACGAGATATTTGGCAGGTATTTAGACACTATCTAAAGACATATGCTGAGACATAGAAATCTATTTTCATTGTCTGTATTTTTAGTGTGGGTTGATAAATATGCATTTCGTCATTTTTTTTTAATTCACCCATATCAAGGTTTAAATACGTATAGAAAAAGTGGGTGGGACTTTCAACTCATTTTGACATATCCATGGTATTCAACATATTGGTGTTTGAGATAATGTTCAATGTTTAACTGTAATACCAGTAATAGAATTATAAAACACATGTACAACCTACTGTAAAAGCTAAAAAGATAGAGAAAGACTGTATTCATGAATGTTTAAAATCGTTCACAGACAGACACTTTGATTCTTGCCTCCTCAGTTTTCCTTTCTCTGGTAACTGCATACTGCTCTGGTGTGAGACGTTTTTCCCATTCATTTTCTGGAACTGTTCTTGGGTCATCAGGGTCAACTTCAGTGGTGTAAACTGTTAAAATATATCAACATAAAATTCTCTCCTGTTCTTGAACTTTGTTTTTGACATATTAATGCAAATAAACATACAATTCATGAAAATTCTGTACTCTACTTATTACTTTCATTTCTTAAACTTACTGCTGATTTTATTTTACAGACAAGAAGAAAGTGAAGATGCATAGAAACCATTTAGGTAAGTGTCAACAGAACATTTTCTCTACATTCAGTGATTGGAAAGGGCTTGCACCATGCACCATAGTCGCATGAAGTGAAAATTGGCGCATTAAATCAATCATTGGCGTGCCAAGCTGCACGTTCAATTTTTAGCTAAAACCCATCAAAAACTGCTTCCTGTTAAAGCACTTAACGAGGTTGGATCCTGATATCCAAAGTAAGAATTTTTCGTCAAGATATTTTAGTATCTACACACATAGCTTAATTAAAAATCAAAACAAAAACTGCGGGGATCAATATGCTTCTTTTGGTGCTATGGTACATTTAATATGACCTTTTTGCACTGAAATTTTGTCTTGATCATAAATCACATCCTCCAAGTTTTCCCTCCAATATTTTTATCCAAATAAATCATGGGACAAAATATACTATAACATCTTTAAAAAGACACATTAAAATTGTGACAAAGAAAAGCAGGTTCAAATTGCTTCGCACAATCAATTATTTCACCTTTCTGCACCCACAAAATGTCATTTTTCTGGCATTAAAAATTAAGGACCCTCTATACACCAATGAAAAATGTTTTTTGGGCTCTGAGAAAATTATATCATATAAAAATATAAAATGGAGTTTATCTATTTAATTTTCAACATAGGGTACCTGCCATTTATCCTCAGGAAAAATATTCAGAGACAATGAATTGTTGGTGAACTGAAATCATTGTTGCTTACTTAAATGGCAAGAATACATGCAAATAAGGTGTTCAATTAATTCAGCTAGACCAAATGAAATGTTTAGAATGTTTGAATTGATAACTAACTGAATAATAAATTTAGATTTCAACTTATTTCATTTTCATTTCATTTCATATTGGCGCCCAACTACAAAACCCACATGGTGAGTGGTGTTTATAGAGTCTCGTGTGTGAGATTTCTCAGGGGTAAGAAATCTCAAGAAAAAGAAGGGGGAAGTGTAACAGAGTTAAAAGTGGCTATGCGTTGTATATAGTGAGGCCACACTCCTACTAGCACTAGCTAGTGGGTTATATAAACCCGTTAGCTTAGTCGGTAGAGCATTGGATTTTAAATCTGAGGGTTGTAGGTTCGAGCCACAGTGTGGACACCCCTAGCTTATCGGTCATAAGTGTATAGAGGGTTCTTAAACAAGAAAGTCTTAAACTTTTGTTGAATTTAAGCAGATTGATCAAATTTATCTTATATATTCAGAAAAGAAAATCAAAAGTGGGGGTCTATGATTCAAATTTTTAGATGTTACTAAAAAAGTGTTAATTTTATGTTAAAATTGGCTCAATTTTTTTTCCTGGACTTTCAGAATAAATTTAGTATATTTGTCACAATATGATGATAGAATTCATAAAAATTAATTTAATAGATATTTCAGAACCACTGTATAAAACATTTCACTGCACAAAATAGCTCTGTGTTCAACCACCATGAATCTGCTCAAAAGCTCAGGATCAAACTTCCTTTAGAGAGATAACAAAGGTACACTACCTCACTCATTTACAAAATTTTAAATGTAAATGTCAAAATTTAAATTTTGACGTTACTGATTCAAAAATATCAGTAAATCATATTGCATGCACGTTCCTTTAAAAATGCTGCTATGCCATCCGACAACAAATTCACAACAAATGAGTTTATTGGTCTGTAGAGACAACTATAAAGGGTTAGGAGGTGGATAAAATACACAGGTTGGTTATAGAATATGTCTAGAATTGCGGAATGAAAGGTCGTTGATTGATCAAAACTAGAAAGTGATGAAATGCATCCTCAAAGTGCGCAGAAAATCTTGTGCCATAAATTGCACTTTATTTACATAATGGTATCTGTTACAGTAGCATTATGGTCAAGGACTATAAAACCATAACGCTACAGTTCTGCAGCTAAGTTAAACCGGTTAAACGGGTTTTGATATCATCACAATGGATTGTTTGATAGCTATGTGAAAAACCATGTGATAAAAAGAATTTTCTATGCTTGGTGGTTAGATATAATTTTTTTGTTATCCAACTCCATCAGTGTGCGTACTCATTTTATTTTTTTACCCCTCGCCAGGGCTCGGGGATATATATTAAAAACACACAACTCATTGGATTAAAAAAATCATATTCAACCACAAGCCCTGTCAGATCCAATATTAAATACATGCATATTCTATCTTTACTTTCACTTCCTATGCAGTTGCAACAAACGTTACTGGTTAAATGTCAATTAATAATTGAATTATAATTCTCATATTTAAGAATTTCACATAATAATCATTTTGATGCAATACTTCAGTAACATAAGTCTCATTATTGCCACTTCTATTTTCAATACAAACAAAATTATTATTGTTAAAACCCTGAGGACGTTCATCAGACTATAGTGCAGCTTTTGTTATCAGCAAGTAAAGGAAATTCGAACGAAATGTGTGTACTCACAGCGAAACGCTGATACTCTATTGCAGCCTTGAACATTAGAGAGCCTTTTGGACACATTTAAATTTCTGAGATTATTAAGATGTTGGAATCTGGAAGCTGGTCGACAAAACACACGAAACACGGTTGCAAAAGACATGACTTCCAAAAATGCGTCTGCTGTGTTTATTTTCCTCTACGTCATGGGTTTTTAACCTCTAAGTCGCGTTTGATTGGGAGGTTGGCATCCACCCAAAGAAAGTCATCCCTGGTCAATGTTGTATTTAAGGTCAATACGATGTTTTAACCACCTGGAGGACACAATATTCACCGAGCCCGAAGTGCAACCTGCTGAGGAGTATAATAATGATCAAATGATACAAACTCGTCAGAGAAACCAGGGACCTATATACTAAGTATGAATATAGGTCCCTGGGGAAACCATTTATCTTTCTTGTTTACATTTACATTTATTTAAACGCATTCTGTAAAGATCTGTATCTGTATTTATTACGTCGTGGTGACCAATACTGGCTTTTACGAGAGAGGCGCTGTCGACTTGTCGAGGGCGGTCTTGAATTAAGGCCTCGACATGCAGATTTTGCGCGCCCTGTGTCTTCGTCAAAGTAATCACAGTATCTATGAAAAATGAGTGCTCGTATTGCTTTGTTTCCAATGCTTCTGGAGTTGTTTTTCGCTTGTTTCACTTGTCAAACGCAATGAGAAAGCATGGTTGATGGTTAAAATAAATAAATTTGGAATATCTTAATCTAAAAAAAATAAATGTCAGGCACATGGTGCTCATCGAAAGGGGGGGGGGGGTGACAACTAACTTGAATAAAGGAGAATTCTCCGAACTCCAAAATCTTATTTAGTGAATATTATATTGGTGTGCTCTGGGGCGTTAGCTAGCATGGTTAGGCTCCATGAACGTAGAAGGGTTTTACATTTCACCAGTATTGGATCAAAAAAGATGAACTGGGGGTCATCTTTTCAATGAACATTTTCATACGAAATTGATAGTAAAAATCACATTTAGAAAAAGGAGGCAGACCACCCCCCCCCCCCCCGGTCAATACTACGTGCCTGAATGTTGTGTTCACCTGCTGAATGAAAGTCGGGTGCGGGTGAAATAACTTTTCAGAAATAATTGTATTAATTTACAAGTTCTCAATATATTTTTAGTCCAATGTAGAAAAGAATGAATCCTTATATTCACCTGGAAACGAGAACGATGTGTTTCCAGAACAGGATGGAGGTTCACAGATTTTAGAAAGTGAAAAAGATATATATACTATAGTATCATGTTTTCGGCACGTAACATTGACATATTTCTTCTTCGGTGCCTTCGGTCACTTAATTTTCTACTAAAAATATAATCTTGATTGTGATCTTCGCTAGCCAAGTGTTTCTGATCTGCTACACTCCTCAAAAAGTGTAGCAGTCGGATTGGAAACACTTTCCTAACGAAGTTTTGTTTATTTATTGGCCGAGGACTAAGCGTTTGAGTTGATATCGAGTACACCTTTATATGCCCTTTGCCCTTTACACACTTGACTGATCATTCGGCTGTTGACCTTAGGGAGATCTTGCTTGGTCATCATGCATGGCTTATGAATATACAACATAAAGAAACTTTTAATAAGAGTACTTCGATTATGCACATTCACGACCAATACATCAACAAAATCGTTAAACTCATTAGAAGAACTTGAGACATAAGATATACATTGCATTCGGCTATCGAAACTTCCCGAGCTTTCCCGAATGTGGTGGCGCTGTAGTTGCCTCCAGAGGGTTTGAGAAGAATCGAGAAAAACATTTATAAAAACATGGCTGGCAGACAGTTTTATCCAAATCCGTACAATAATACTGATCTTCCACAAGGTTGGGAAATGTTACACGATCGTAATACAGGTTGGCCTTACTTTGTAGACCACAACACAAAAAGTACGAGCTGGGAAGACCCTCGGATAAGAATGGTAAGATATATATCTATTTTTTTTTTTAACCTTTTCCACTTTTCAGAACATTAATATATAAAGTTTGTTAAAATATATAATTATGGAACATCCTTATAATTTCTTTTAAAGAAAGATAATATGCGAGTATTCATTATTGAAAAAGCTTAGCTTTGTCTTTCATGCGAGGAAAGGGGACATGCACCGTTAAAAAACAAGGATAACTGTAAACCCCGGGGGTAGGGATGGGTGGTTTAACAAGGAATTCAATTTGTAATAGCAGGTGCATCACATTCTTTGATAAATGCGTAAAGGGTCCGAAATTTGCTATGAAATCCGGATGGGTCAGTGTTTTATTATCTTTAATGACAGGATATGAAATAAAAAAAAAAAAAGTAGTTTCAAATTGGAAAAAAGTAGTTTCTTTTTTTCTTTTTTTTTTTAAAGAAAAAAAAAATTTAATTGATGTCTAATTACAGAGACAGCACGGTTTTGGATATCCAGATCAAAATTCATTTTACTCCAGAGAAATACCTGTGTTCCATGAAAGTTCTAAACCTCCAAAATGGACACATCAAGCAGGACACAGAGCTGGATCCCCAGCAGGACTTGGGTCTCCAAAGAGAATGCAGTCACCAGGTCGAATGGGGTCACCCCAGAGGACGAGTTCACCACCAAGTTCTGCTCCTCAACAAATGCCAATGCCACAGCCATATCAGAATGTGAGAGAAATACCAGTTCATCACACATCTTCGACTAAACCAAGTCAGCAACCAGATCTTCAGGGATATACTTTCTATAAAGGAAATTCTGGAGGAAACCAAGGTGGCTATCCTCAACAGGGTTATCCTCAAACATCACAGGGTCAAGGATATCCTTCATCACAGGGTCAAGGATATCCCCAAGCACCCCAAGGAGGTTATCCGCAACAGCAGTATCGACAGATGCCTCAGCCACAGATGCCTCAGCCTGCTAAGGAGATACCTGTGTACCACCAAGGAGATGTGAAGTACCCTCCACAACAAACTGGGCATCACCACCAGGTGCCACCACAACAATACCAGCCCCCACAACAATATCAAACACCACCTCAGACACCAACAAATCAGACCCAGCCTCCACAGCAACAACAGTATCATCCAAAGTCGCCAAAACAGGTCCGGCGTCAAGACAAACCATCACAGAAAACTGCTGAAGTTCCTAAAACGGAGACAAATGACAGTGAACAAAACATGACTTCCAGGGAACCTACAGCACAGAAGAGTGCAGATCAAATGGACAGTGCCCCAACAGAAACAAAGAAAGATGAAAATTGTCCTTTAAAGAGGATAGAAAAAATAGTCGGTGATACAGCACATATAAAAGAAGGAGTAAATGCATTTTCAGGAAAAAAATCGGACAAACAATATAAATATCTAGAGGAAATGTTAAATAGAGGGATTTTAAAATTAGATGGAATTGAGGCCGGTGATGATGAGGCTGTGCGAACAGCACGGCGGACAGCAGTGAAGGACATGCAGTCATATCTAGATCAGTTGGACCTTAAAGCTTTTGTAGAGGAAGAACCCAAAACAGAAGAACCAATGAAAACAGATTCTAGTGAAACTAATCAGGAGAGCTTGGAACCAATGGAAACGGAAGATAAAGAGGAAGTCAAGAAGCAGGAACCAGAGGATAATGCTGATGCATCATAACCAGATGTTGTGTCCTTTAACATATTCAAATTTGAGGTGGACAGAGTGCATGCTTATTTAAACTTAGTGATAGCAATGTTTGTATGGATAGATATTTTTTTGTTTGTAAAACTGCTTTTGAAGTTGTTTTTGTTAATATGTTGAGAGAGACTGTTGAATGGTTATTTATTACTTTTTTTTAAATATATATATATACAAGTAAATATATCAGTGTTACAAAAGGTCATTCAGTACTACAATTGTGATGCAATAAAAGGGAAGTCGAAGATCTGTAATTTTTATTTTTTAATTTTTTTTTATTTGGTGAACATTTGAGGCCAAGACCATTGAAAAGTTGCAGAGGATATGCTTAGATTATTAATGGTTTGAAGTAACACTCTTTTTAACATTTTTGCCTATTAACATAAAATCATGCTGCACATTATTTGTAATTCATTGGAATTAAGTTGACTGCAAAGAGGGTTGTTGAAAAATTCATATTTAGTAGTAAACACATCATTTGCATTCCAAATCGTCAATGATGTTGTGTATTGTACCATAATAATCACTTTTCATTAATGGTATTCACAATGATATTGAACACAAAAAACAAATTTCAAATGAATTTTATTTTAATGTTTATATGGAACTTTTTTTCACAATGCAAAATATGGTTGCATTTAATCATCAGTAGTACCACAAGGCTTGCTAAACATCAATAAATTTATTTAAAGACAATTTATCAAGTTTTGGTGCCGAGATGATTTTGATCTCCATGTGATTTTATGTCTGATAACTTTAGGATGGAAATCACAGTAGTTTAGGTATTAATTATGTACCTTTTTTGTGCGACAGAAACATGGCCATTGGATACCTACTAATTTGAAGATTACAGGGCTCTCGCATCAATTTTGGGAAAGCGGCCAGGGCCATAAAGATTGGGAAATGAGTGACCTTTTGGGGGAGTTCTGGGATAACCATTATGCTTTAAAATCGTTATACTTCAAGATCATGATATACAGTAAAACAAACTTATAGCGAACATGCTTACAACGAATTGACGCTTACCGCAAAGGGATTTTAATTCCCCTTGACTTTAAAATATATTGTAAACTTGACGGATATAACCAATTGCGCTTTTATCAAAGTAAAAGTTCGTTATAAGTGTGTTTTACTGGATTGGGTTTCTGGTCTTTGTTATCAACTAACTTTTGTTTTGCAATGCAGAGGAATATGAATAGCAAGTTTAGTTATTATATATCTAACTTTTGTCTGGGAGAAATGACTATTGGGAAAATTAACATGTTCAATAGGGGAAAAAAGGTACCTTTTTCGAATTGGGAATGGGGCACTTGAATGGCCCCAATTATAAACAATCGAGAGCCCTGGATTATTTCAACAAGAGGCCCCAGCCAAGGGCCTTAATGGTCACCTGAGTGTAATACAACCCTGTACAGGATCGACAGAATGGTAAATGATTATATAAAAACACCTTTCATTTAATTTCTCTACTAAATACGTTGGAGCCTGTCTTAATAGTCGAGTGAATTTACCATGAAACATCAAACTACATGTAATTGCAACACATTACAATTTCTTTTGTTATAAATAAACTCTAGGATGCATAAAGTAAATGTGACAAATTCAGATGACGGGAAATCATTACATGGGGTTCATAAACTTTCCATGAAAATTACACTGTACTATAGGAAAGGGGCATAACTCTTGTCAATTAAGTACATTTTGGTCTAATTTTGGTGCTTTCTTTAACCTTGAAAAAAGAAGTGAATTAAGGAAGCTCTAAACACTGCACACTAAAGAGTTCTACTTGTAGGGTAGTTGTATGCAGTAAGAGTGATCTGCCCTTAGAAGTAAGATAGAAAAAAAAATGGTTATTTACTGTTAATTACACAATTTATAATAGATTAAAATATTCTTAGCATTATATTATAACAAGAATAAGTAATTAAATTTGTTATTTCCATTGATTTTCCCAATGTAAGTAAACAACAGTGATTTCTGTTCATGAATAGTACATTGTCTTTGAACATTTATCCTGCGGAAATGAGGCAGGTACCCTATGTTGAAAATGAATTAAATACATATAGTCTCAATATACACACCTTTATATGATATAATTCTCTCCGAGCCCAAAAAGCACTTTTTTTTAGTGTTTAGAGCTTCCTTAAACTGTGTATAATGACATTTATAGATGCAGTTAGACGTTTTACACCTTAAGAAAAATGGATGTTAATTAAAGGCTCACCTCAGAGTGTATTTGCATTTCCTTGCCTTATAATATTATAATAAATTTTTAGGGTAGAGGTTATCAAACATAGATCAAAGAACACGGTTTACTTGGGGCCTTTTTTGGCCCTGTGAATTTCTGAAAAAATGAAACTGCTTAGTTTTAGCTAACAATGAATTAAATGTCATTTAGACCCTTGGTGACTGCATATGTGCATCTTTAAAAAATGACATCATTTTATGGCTAGTTAACATAGGTCACAGGTTTGCTGACGTCGTTAAAACTAGGTACGCAGTTTATATGATTAGGGCGACTTTCTTGTGCACATTTGATTATGTCACAATGAGAAAGAAATCTGCAATGAATTTTTTTTCGAAAAATCCATCAGTATGAATATTTAGAAATATAACTTTTGGTGGCATTAATAGTTTAATGTTAAAATATTTAAACAACAAACTGAAGTTATCACAAGTAATGAAAGCTTAGAGTAATTTAGCAGTTCCAAGGAGAAGCTGAAAATATTCAAATGTTTTAAACAGACAAAATCAGATAGAAATAGGTCACCAGAGTGATTCAGGCAACCTAGAAATTAGGGAATAACTATCTTCTTATTTGGTTATTGAGACCGTTAATGCTGATTTAATGGTCAAAAACTGAGTTTTACCGGTGTCGCGTAAGCATTAATGGTCGCAAATACCAAATTAAAAGATGGTTATTCCCATTCTTAAATGCAATTTATGTATTTTGTTTGAGGTTTATGTCTTATTTTGTTGAGTTTTGTTTTATGAAATACGTCATCACGGAATGCTGTGTTTTTACGTCACTTTATTGTGACGTCACATTAATCAAAAGCTTTCACTCTCGTTAATGATCGTTTTACTGCCTCAAATACCAGTGCCTTGGCCAATCAAAATGTGTTTTACGAAACAGTTGCATTAGAATTGCATTAGAATTTAGGTTAAGTATAGATCTAGAGTTGCAATTTTTTGACTATGTTTTTTTTCCTCTAATGTATCTTGGTCATGTGGGTGGGTGACTTGTAAATTTTGGTTCCATATTCTTTTCTTTGTACAGAAAATCCTGTATATATGTTGCTTGATTATTTTCATCCATTCCAAATCCAGTAGAAATCTAGATGGAGGATGTCTGGGGCTTGAAAAATCTGTATAAAGGTTAAATATGTGGTAGATTCAGTGTCCAGATATTATTGTGCATCACTTTGTAAAAAAGGGTTCTTATAACTGTCGAGGATGTGATGCAGTACTGGTTATATCTACTTATACTTTGGATCACCACAATCATGTAAGCTGGGTGATGATGGTTTATTATACTGACACTGTTACTGACTGACTGAAATTTATATGCCTTCAATTACATCAAGTAGACTGTGCACCTACTTCACTGCCCTCTTACCAGTGCTTGCTTTTGACCAGTGTGTCCCTTCTCTGCATGGTTGGTTTACATACCAGTATAAAGCATTATGGTTGAACCATTGCCATTTTCTGAGATTTAATATGTTCTATTAATAAAGTATATTCAATTTTTTTCCCATCTGCCTTGCTGCTTGGCAAGAAATTGCTACCTTAAAAGTAGAGTAGTTTTTTTTTTCCAGACCACCAAGTCAATCTGTCATTGACCTTATATTGTTGAAATGAAGACACAACTAAAATCAGTGACCTGCAGCAAACATATTGACATAAACAAGTCAATAACCTACAACATGAAATGAATTCCAAATAAGATTTAAGCAGTTATATGTGTTTGTTTAATAAATGTCCATTTGGTATTTCATCCAACATCTTTTCAGATCTGGGCAGTATGCAGGTTGTGCTTTATACAGGTCATTCTATCTATTTAGAAAAGTAAAGTGTTGGATTCCATGATGTGTTATTGTTGACCTTCATGCATAGTTAAAATTATATTTCCAGCCCCCCCCCCCCCCCCCCCCCTTTCCATCCAAGCTTTCAGAAGAGACAGAACTTGCAACTGGTTGATTGTTTCTGACTTGTACATAAATTAAATCAAATTGTCAGGGATAAAACGAACACAAAATGTTGCTGTTGAAGATTTACTTTCACCTATGACAGCAAAACAAAGATTCAAAAAAACATTACAGAGACTGGATAAGATAAAATTTAAAGTATAAAACATTTATTACAGAAACAGTTAATAGTGATCAATAGGGTATACCTGGGGAGTTTAGGATAAAAAAAGCTTTCTGTTCATACCCTGTGTGTTAAACAAATTGACCCATGGATATAAAAGGTGCAGAATGCTGTGCTTTAAAATTTCCAATGCAGATGAGGAAAGGGGGTAGTAATATCAAAGCAATCTTAAAACTTTTAAGCACAAAATATTTTTAATGCTATTTTGGTATGTGGATTTTCTTGGAAAGCAACTAAATGCATGTACATCTGCCATGACTATTTGTACAACAACTTTGACAATTAAAAGACTTAACAAGACCATTTTCTTATCATGTTTGCTACAACAAATACTACAAATCTGTAATATGTTACATGAAATTGGAAATGATACTATAATCTTGACTGTTTGAAACTAGTCTGCTTTCAAGTCTATATGCTAAAATCATTGAAAAGGGGGGGGGGGGGGTAATGAAAGATGACTGGGTATTCATTAATTGTGAAACTAACAAGAGAATATATCAGATCTCCCACATATAAAATTTTACTTTGTCCATCAACTTTCATCACTAAATTAAAAACTGGAAAATTGACGAAGTCATGCTACATGTTTCTAATAATCTTGTTCCTTTCACCTTTGACTTTGTTCAAGTGCTCACAAAACCTATAGGTTTCTTTTCTATAATAATTAGCCTTCCACCTATATTATATTATTAATATGAAGTCTGAAATATTCAAAGTTCAATTCACAAAACAGTGTGTGTTCATAGGCAAATGACTTGTCAATGTTGACCTTGACCTTTGATCACATGACCCCAAATGAACAAGTCCTTCTCAATTCCATCACCTACACATTAAATATGGAGTCTTTAGGTTAATTTTTTTTCAAGTTATTCTATTCATAAATGTTATTGTCATAACAAAAATTAGCCCTTGATGAAGTGACTAAAGCCTAAAATAAAAATTTGTTTGCAGTTGCCTACTGATCCACTGAAAATGCATCTGATCCAAACTTTTTTTTAAGCTATTTTGTATCATTTTTTTTATAAGTTTCAAGATTTCAGATATTGAAACTGTTTCATTCTCTATTTTTGTTTTTATCAATCAATGGCTTATAACAAGTGGAGCTTATATTTATGTTTAGTAAGCCTATGAAATCTCTATTATTTGTTGTCTTACAAAAATCTGAAAACAACAGTCTTTTTTTTCTTAAAAAAAAAACTTCCTACCTACCCATTCTAAAAATTATAGGTTGGCAACTGCAAACAAGGAATTTTTTTAGCTTGGCCTAAAAAAAAAAGCATTCACCAGCCTTGTAGTAAATATGAAGCTTGTACTGGAGGTACCCAAGTGTGACATATAGATGTATTACCCTACATGTAATAATGAAAGTTCTTAAAAATACATAAACAACAACTTATATTGTCATACAACATTTGATACAGTAAAAAAGCACTGGCAACTCAAAACTAACCTATTGTAGAAAAAAAACTTCAACAGCAAACTTCCAGGACAACCTGAGGTCCTGCATGCTTTCTGTAATTCACAGTTAATACTCCATTTTTATTTTCCTCTGAGGTGACAATATCTGACTTAATTTGTAATAATATGTATATTTATTATGCATGCTCATTATAAACTTCTTTCACTATAAATCACAAAGCACGAACATGTATCTGTAAAAGGCAAAATACTGGCAAATATCATAAAACTAAACAATAATCCTTTAAAGCATCAAAAGTTTCATTCTTTGAAACTATATGTTAATACATGTACCTGAATAATGTGTATTTCAAACACATGTATACATCATGTATTTTGAAATTATGGACATTAAAGGTAAAAATTATTAGCAGCACTATAATAAAATATTAAGCAGTAGCACGTCAGCTGATGTATTTAAGCAGATGTAATTAACTTTTAATTGACCTTGCACTGTGGAAAGAAATGCGTTTTTTTTTTTGGCATATCCATTTAACAGATAGATAAATTAGAAAAAACAATTCTTTTTTTTAAAATTAGGTTCATTCTAATAAAGTTTCTTCATTTAAGAATTACAATGTACATGTGCATGAATTGATTAAAAAAAAAAATAAAAGTGACCAAAAAAAAAAAACCCCAAACAAATAAACAAAAATACAAACAATACCATTCATTCAACAATAAAAATAAACTTTTATTATTTAAATCAGACACTGTAAAAGTCTACAAATATTAAAAAATGCATATTAATAAAAAGCACCAGGAATAAAGAAAAAAAAAATTGTAAGCTATTCTTTTACTGTTAGAAATGATAAATGTACAATGACTGAAATTTATGAATTCAAATTTAGAATCTCTTGATAAGAATACGATAACAAACAACATACCGTATTGAATGTCCCTGTAAAACCTACTTCTATGTAACCGACACACTAATTGTAATGACACACGGTATAACGATGACGATGATGATAGATGTCAAAATAATAATAAAAAAAAGTATTGGCTCACAACTTCTATTAAAGGTAACAGCATTCAATTATAAGATAAAATATGTGAATTCCTAGGAAAACTTTATCAACCCTAACAAACTAATAAAGTACAACTTTTTTAATCATGTAAAATAACAATATAATAATGGCACTAATAACAAAACTAATCTAACAACTGAATTCAAACTGTGAGTAAATTTATAGGGAAACCTGTCTTACTCTATGTTTTACAAACGTACCCAATAATGGATAAATTTACTTATTTCTTCAAGGGAACTCTTGTATAAAATAGCCTAGTTAACAAAATTAAAATTCTGTAAACCAACTGAACTTTACTTAGATTTAATTTATCAAAAACATGTAGCTCTATATAACTTGTATCCTGAACTCTTTCTTTCTTTTCTTTGTTTTTTGATTTGTGGCATCATACACTAACTACTGTGTAGCATAAAAGTCTTTGGAATCATGGGAACATTAAGCTTGACAAGGTAAACTAAACAAAGAGGTGGATTTGCAGATTGGACAAAGTGATGGATCTAAGACTTTTTAGGTGTGGATCTAAATATTGTCAACATCCTCAACATCATCCACCCCTGTCATTACCCCTTCTGTTTGATAAGCCTTTTCCCGGTGCTTGGCTAGAATTCGCAGCAGTGGACGGAGCTTTAACCACCACTGGTCTGTTGGAATTCTGTGTCTGTAATGAACCAAATAATACCATAAACCAGTAACATGAGTTTATTTCTGTTAATCACAGATTACAGAAACCAATCTGCACATCAGTAACAGGAAATTGAGAAGTTAACATGATTTGTACCAGATACCTGATACTTTTAGCTACATTTAAACATCAGGAATATGGTATAACACATCAAGTGACTATTACATGTATTTATACATGAATTTATGAATAATCATTTCATTACATGCTAAATTTACTTTAAATGTTCATTTATTCAACAGCACATACTCAAAGTCTGTCGTCTTTTTGAGTTCCTCCACTGGGGTGAAGGTCAAATGGCGTCTCTGCACTCCCAGTAAAACTGCAGATGATGGGTCTTTATTTACAACTTTACCTGCTGTAAAATAGTTAACATGAACAGTGAGCTCTTTACTGGACTGATACAACATGGCATTACAGAAAACAACATATGTAATGTTCAGACATTAAATGTTTTGAATCATTTTTTTTACTCTTTTTTACATGACATACATGTATATGGTAAAATAAATGTGGAAAAATACAAAGAGGATTACTGTAAATCACTCTTAAATCACGAGACCTTTATTTAGCATAATTACACGAGACAGTCTGCTTGCAAAAATTTCACTCTCGTGTATAATTCTACTTATGAAGATTATATAGACCAATAGCCAAAACTTTTGAATATGTACTTATTTTTCAATAAATATAGAAAGATTTCATGTTTTACGTTGATTTGAAAAAAAATATACAGCTTTATCATTATATCATCAGAGCTGCCAATGTAAGGAAATAAATATCCGTAAGGAGGGGGTCCAGGGGCTGTCTAGGCCCAATAGTTGGTGCTTTTTTCCCCATATTGTTTACTTAAAAATGATTTGGATTACAAATTAGCACAGATACGTAAGTGCTGTAAGGACTATGACTTTTCATATTAGTGAAAAAAGAAGGTTGACAGCTATGGAAATTCTAGTATTTCTAACTTTGACAGGGGAAACAGAAATTGGAAGAATAAATAAATAAATCTTAAGGTGTATTTTAGATGCTCAAATCGTAAGCCTTACACCAAAATCATAAGGGTTGGCAGCTCCGTATCATAGACAATTTACAATTTGTGTTATTATAAATTGCACTGTTGTAGAGCATAAGGATTAACGATATTTCACCTGTCGCTACAATATTTATAAACTGTCTTTTGGCGAAATTTTCAATTAAATCAGTTTCTATTGTTTTATGGTTAATTACAGTGTATAGATGACCAATGGGTAAAAACGAAATCAAGAATGGCAACGAAATTTAACATCTTGGAGCACTAAACTGTTTAAAAATGTTCTTTTTAAACAGGAAAATAGCTGATAGAGATTACAATGTTTGAGATGCTAATGGATATTGCCTATAAATATCTAGGACCAAAGTGTTCAAATGGTAGCAGCTTTTTAAGGATGGTAGGCTTAACATCTTTAATGATCAACTCTAGTGATACCTGCTTATTGCCTGTACATTGCGCCTATTGATTTTGCTTTTTTTCCATACATGAACATTTAACTGCATGGGCGATAATTTTAGGATCTCACCGATATCCAATATTCCACAAAATATATATATATATATATATATATATATATAAAAGTAACATGCCTTACTATAGTAGTACATGTACATTTTTTAAGTGAGAAAAAGACAAGTAAAGTCTGTTGAAATAAAAAAATTTTAGAATTGTGAATAAAGATTGACAGGTTTGTTATCAGGTTGTCACATCACCTAAGGTCAAGAAAATTCAAGCGGTTGCTTCATGAATCCATTGACCTCAAATGAAAAATCACTGTATATTTTCAAAATTTTAGTAAATGAACCTCAATTTTTGTATACTTATCAAACATAGTAATTTAATCAAACATGCATCATTATTTGCTGTACACAGTAATTTCCCCATAAAACACTGTGTCTGTGACCTTTTCTAACAACCCTCATAAATACTTCAATCATACTTCCACAAATTTCTGAAGAGGAGTGATCGATTCCTTGGTTTCATGTTCTTTATAATGACAAACCACTCTTTATTAAATTTACAGAAAAATCTTTTGACCTTTGGGTAATTCTTATTACACAAATACAGGTACATGTATATTATCTTTAAATTTTCACTTATGCATCATGACCAAGGCTTTATCGTAGAAATGCTAAAAATGAGAGTAGAGTTGATCAAGAAGCCAATTTTTTTTAACCAAATATAATGTACTCTGTATATTGTTTCCATGAGGAAAATTAAACCTTTTGACTGTAACAGGAAAGGAGAAAATGTATGGCTGGACCAGGAATCGAACCCGGGACCCCTGCATCACTAGCCAGGTGCTCTACCGACTGAGCTATCCAGGCCGATATCCATGGCTCAAACCATTACATCCCTCCCTCCTTAAATTGTCTTCGCCCTCGAAGACACAACCCAAGTTCTTATTAGCCCCTGGCAGGACCTTCACCTGCAAGTCCAGGGGTGGTCAACGGCACCAAATCTGTAACAGGAAAGGAGAAAATGTATGGCTGGACCAGGAATCGAACCCGGGACCCCTGCATCAAGCTACCCAGGCCTATATCCATGGCCCAAACCATTACATTACTCCCAATTTTCCTTAATAATTATTACTTACTTCCCCTAATAACTATTACCTATGAAAGCTTTTATCTAAACTCCAAATAATATTCATAATTGGTATAAAATTAATCATTGGCTAGATTCTGATGCAAAGTAAAGTCTGTTAATTGATGAAGTCTGTTGTCCTTTTGAAGCAAATCTGGATATGAAAGATGTTTTTAATAATGCCATTATGGGTAACCTACCATGACTATCTATGTAAAGGTTATGTATACATATATTAAGTTGCAATACTTTTAAACTAAGTTCAATGTTGACCTTGAATGAGGTCCACTTTCAGAAGTTGTACAGGATAATTCATGACCTAAAATTTTTTGTTTAAATGACATTTTTGAGATTTGGTTTATGTTGTGCTAGTTTTTGTACTAAAAAGTACATTGGTCACCCTTAGTCATTCATACAGATTATTATTTATAAGAAATGCTAAATTGAGCTTTTTAAATCACTCCATCTCCAAATTATATAGAAAAGTATGCTGTGTAGTGATCAAAAAACAACCACTGCAGACACATGTACAGAAATGGTGAAGGAACAAATTTCTTCTGTAATTATTATTGTGAACCTGAGTAAAAATTTGTAAAGTGATGACTTTTCATAACGTGTGAATTTAAATTGCCATAATGGCGAACAAGTAATGGATTTTTGCGTCCTGTCAAACTTTTTTTTGATACAAAAGAGGGATTAGTCCCTGAAAACAAAAATAATGAAAAATCTGTGTAAGTTCATTAATATCAATGGCTACAAAATAATTCAATGTATTTTATTGTGTATTAGAAATACCTACCAGAATTCATACTATGTTGGACAATATCAGCCATATACTGTAAAGCCTTAGCTGCCATTTTTGTTCCAAAGTTTCTGTCAAATGGGGATGGCATGCCTCCCTGCTGCATGTGGCCCAGAACATTCTTACGACAAGTGAAAACCCCCTTCCCCTCCTCCGAAAATAGCTTCTCAATGAAGTCAGTTGTATAGTTTGAATTTGCATTTTCATTTCTGAATAAAGAAAAAAAATTATTTTCCAATCAAGGAAAACAAACCTTGATGATGATTGGAAGAAGAGCAGTTCATCCAAGAGAAGTGTCAAAAAAAGTTTACATGTATGCTGAACTGTCTGATTATCATATATATCTCTATAGTTACATTGTTTTCCCAAAATACAGTGTACCCATACTTCAAACATAAAGGCTAAGGGCTATTTACTGTCTATTAAAATCAATGTGCATGCATTGTACATGTAAGAAAGGGAGAAGTAAAGACCAAAGCAAGAGAATCATTGACAATGAGCTCATTTTATATGTACACAAGTCTAAAATGAGACAGTTAAGCTGCTACTTGAGGTATAAATCTCCCTTTCTTCATCACAGTAGATTAAGATGTATGAGTACACCACCTTAAAACCTTAAAAACTACCTTAAAATGAGTCCTCTTTGAACACCCAAGTTCACTATTTTGTCCTTCAGGTGGAAGACATCATCCTACATCAATAAATTTAACTCATTTAAATGTTAATTAAAGAATGATTCAGAATATCATTTCAATAGTCATATTGAACACAGCTATGGCAAGAGGTCTTAATTTCACCTCACACAACTTTGACAGATCTTTTTTGACTACAAACCCTTAATTTTGTAATGTTCACTTCCTCCTCAAAAATATAAGCAGCATCTGCACCACCTGCCAATCCACTCATTGTTGCTAGGTAACCACAATAACCTCCCATGGTTTCCACAACAAAGACGCGTCTCTTAGTTCCTAGTGCAGACTGTTTGATTCTATCACAAATCTGAAAATGTTAATATTTCAAAACATATAATGATAATGAAAAATTGCAATGTAAATATACTGTAATATATGATTTTAACTTTATTTACTGCTTTTTTTAACTTTATAAGAATACTCTTTAAATTACTGTATGTCCTTAATGTCATTGACTGCTGGTAATCTTTTACTTACGTCAGTAATTTCATTGATTGCTGTGTCCGCTCCGAGGCTGAACTCTGTCCCTGGAACATTGTTACTGATGGTACAGGGGATCACCACAATAGGAATACAGAAAGCCTCAAACTGATTTCTGGCCTCTGCCATCTGTAGAGCACTGTGATATGCCTGAAATATTTGATGGTTTTAGTCTTATAGCATACGTTATTTATACGTAGCTTATATTTATACATTTATGTCTTTTGATAGGATCTGATTTAAACCTACCTCGAATCCCCCTATTATTAATAAGCCACTGACATCATATTCTTTGAGTTTTTGTGCAATTTTGTCCAGACCATATTTTGATCCCACACATCTACACATACAACAAAGTTCACACTCAGTTTGAGACAATACACATGTAGCATACATGAACAAGATTACTGAAAAGCTGGGTCATATTGCACATTTAGAATACATGTAACAGATGTTTTCAATTCTTTTATCAATCTAAAATAATTACAGTTTAATAAGTATTAACGGTAAATCTTGAGGAATTTTTTAACATGTCTTCAAGTTTTTCAAAACTTGAGCACCAAATCACTTACTTTTTTGTGCCTAGAAGAGAACCCCCAAAACTGGACCAGCCATGGACATCAGTCCAACTCATTGGCTTGACCTGACAACAGACAAACAAGAATATCAATACCTAACAACTGGTACAAATCAACAGACAGTTGATTTAAGAAAGCATTCATTTCTACAGTTCACATGTATCAGTTAGTATTAAAAATTCATTTCCCTGTGAAAAATCTATATGACAGCATGTTAGGAGAATTAGTAAATAACATTCAGAGAAGGGTTGATGAGGGAAGTAAGGATATAATTTATGTGCTTGTAATATTTAATGTAAGGCAGAGTAGAGGGAGACTGCAAAATCCTTGAGAAGCAATAAATGAATTGAAATTCATGCAAGGATATTCAGTTATTATTTGTGAGTACATGTATACATGAAAAACATTACAGAAACAGCTAGTTCAGTACACAATACAGAAGAACATGTACCAATTATTTACTTTAAAGAAAAAGAGTACACATAAAGAAAACACTGCATCATCAAAATCATTTTGAAGCATCTTTAAAGGAGATATTTATTTTATGATCCTGTACATCCAACATCCATTGTTTCACAGTTTATGTAGAAATTATTTATGTGTGTAACAGGAGTAAAAATTAAGTCTTTCAAATTTCAGCATATGCGCACCTCTGACAAATAAGAGTATGAAATGTTACATAAAATGTAATTGTAAGAAAAGGATAAAAAATTGGAAGCAGTCTTTTACTTACTTTATATGTTGTTACAATGAACAAGCATTTTTTAACTATCTACTTGATAGTCTTTTTATCCTTTTTAACTAAAGTAAATTAAAGTAATATGGTAATTGAAAACTGCCAAGAAGATAATAGCTTTATGTATATTTACATGTATATGCTTTGCATTAAAAAAAAACACAAAAAACAAAAAAAAAATCTATTAACTTTATCCAGGAAACATAAAAATTCTTTTTAATTTATCTTTGTTACCTGGTAATCAGATGTGAAAGTGATCATTACTGATAGATAACTAACAAAGTTCTTTAGGATTCTCAGTGGAACATTTGCTCCAAGACTATGGCTAAACATGCAGCATTTGATAGATGATGACCAGTTGTCTCAGTTTATCTAAATTCGTGGTTATATCAGAAGCCAAACATAAAGAAATATAGCATTTCTTGAGGACCTTTTCATCTGAATAGTCCAAATGCAAAAATTGATGATTGAGCATGCAGCTGTTCTTCAAAAGTTGAAAATGTGAAAAATTTCTCCAGATGGACAGACCAACAAATTCAAAAAGATCAGTTTGGTTAAAAATGTTTGAAGATAGTGCAGTCAGTGCATGTGCACCGATTGCTCTTGGTTGCCCAAATAACTCAGCTGACTTATTAAAAGCTGAAAAAAAAGCTAGATACTTTTCAGATAAGGAACTAAGTCTTACCGGATCTATAATATCTGTCAACTGCAACCAAAAACAACATTTGTAGAAAACTTTAATTGTTGATTTACACTTTGACACTTAAATTTACCTATTTTGTAATGTATTAAAAAACAGAAGTTTTTGTGCTTTGACATTCCACTTTACAAATGTATTTGTATCATATAAACAACTTGGCAAAAAAGGAAAGTAAACAAATGTAAACATGTTTTTCGTGAGTACATGTAAACAAAATGTTCACTTTCTAGTTGCCAGAAGCAAAATATTGTCTTTGGAAAAATCTGTGCATTGTGATACAGCAGAAGTCAAAATAATTCTTAAAGAAAGAAATGAAATTAAAATTTTGATATTTTGATATGCAAAATAACACTGACATTTACATGAAACTAAACATGCTTTAATAAGCAGGGGCCGGTTTTACAAAAGAACTTACGACTAAGACCAAAATTTTATTCTGTTTATAAATTTCTTATTTACACTATATTGAAAATGGTTTTAATTTTTTAAAAGGAATGTAGTAAGATATTTTTACATTGGCAATTTTCAACAGAATCTTTAATTTTGCTAACATTTTACAATCCGCTAAAGATTTTGATCTTAGTCGTAAGTTCTTTTGTCAAACGGGCCCCAGATGAGGAACAGAGAAGTTCAGGGTAAATTTTAAAAAGAGTCCAAATCCACACATATGATACACTGTACTTAGAGAGTTAGTGTTAGTAATGAGAGACTACTACCACCTTTTCTCTACATTATACACCAAATATTCCCCAGATAATAACTTCCTTACATTGCCATACAGAAGTCCATCAAAGGAGTCATGAAAGCCCAGGACAGTGTAGCTTTTGGTCAGAGCCAGACGGACAAATGACCTGATGGCTGCGTTAGACCCACAGGCAGGTGCTCCTATACACATTACAGCCAGTTTCTTCCCAGTCTGAAAACAAAAATCCAAACACTTCAACAAAACCTCCTTATATGAGCCAGTACCAGATACTAATAAGTGCTCATTCTTTCTGATCTTGCATTCTCAGGAATTTCTTCATAACATTATATTCTCAAGAATGCTAAGTCTAACTACCGGTAATTTAAATTGCAATATTCCATCAACTTTTTATATTAAAAATTTCATACTCCTTTTTTTGGATGCCTTCACTTCAACAACAAAATCTTGTCTAGCAAAAAGATAATTTTTTCTCTATGAATCCTACAGAACTTACATAGGAGATGGTCTCAGATAGAATTTTGAAGAAGTCATATGATAATCACACATATCAGGGTACATGTTTCCTGGGTAATAATTTTGAAGTTACAACAGATGAATTGTTGAAGAATTGATAAAACTTACAACACACATTGTTCTTGGAGGACCACTTATCACATAAATTGTAGATACACTGTAGTTCTTAAGTGAATGCTGTATTTAGCTTTATCACACGAGTAGTTTCTGAGAAAAATTCCTTCTGAACTTACCCCACTAGTGGTTCCTGATGGATCAAATTTATCCTTTGGAGGTCGTAGTTTGCTCAACATTCTGTAGGTTGTTAGGTTATTCTGGAAACTCCTGGTGACATACAAAAGTACATGTACATGCAGTGCCCTTAAAATACTTTGATATTTAAAAATCTAGTTTAATGTGTAGATGTTTCTTACTTTCCTCTGAGCCTGACAGCTTCTTCAAACTTTTTTTCATTCATGGCTTTTTGCACAGCTTGTGTCTGAAATTGTGATTATCATTTGCAAAGTAAATATTTTTCCTCCAACAATTTAAATTGGAATAAAAGATACTAAGAAAACCACATTTGCCTGTGAATTTTAATATGTGTTTCAATCTTCATAACAACTTTAAAACTTGTGGGCTATGACACAGAAGTAATAGTAGAAAAACAAAAGGGCAAAATACACTTGTAGTATGCCTTCAATCTTTTGATTCCTGTGCATAATTAAGAAAATTCCAATGTTATTAAGATACAAGTACATGAATTACAACAATTCACTGTTAACAAGATATTTTTACTAAAAGTACATTTATTTTTGTCACCAAATGTCTCAGTGAAAGTATTACCCAGCCACCACAACATTACTTCAGATGTTTAAATATCACTTACTCTTTCTACACATTCCATCAGTGGGACTCTCACTGTCTGATTACCATCTAATGAACATACACAGGCGGGGGTGCCTGGTTCAGCATCCATCAGGGCCAACACTGCCTCTGCCCCCATACGGGCACCCTGACAATGAACAAAGTCCATAGATAAAAAGAACTGACAACTTACTGTTACCTACTCATTCCATGTCATACTGCACCAGTATATTATATATATCTACAATTTAAATTCTATAATTAGACAACAATTTTTTCAACATTTGCAGATTGAAATAATAAGTATTTTGAGAGTGTGACTGAAGCAAAATGTGCCCTTTACTGGTCCCAACAAATCTTATAGAAATGTACATTCTTAGCTTAAGACTCATACCATGAATGTGAGAATTCTAAAGAACAATATGAAAATCCCTATAGACATGTATTTAACATACATGTATACAAATTATATACATGTATTTGCAATTATGATTTATTCAGCCCCATCCTTTGGCCTGAAACAATGCTCAGAGGGATCTTTTTCACTCAGACAATGGTTAAATTTCACAAATAAGATCAATCAGCAACACTTCTATACACAGAAGTTTAACAAATTTTAATTTACAATGTATTATCATAAAAATACATGTAAATTTCAGAAAATAGCACTGTTGATTTTCAGGCAATAAAGGGCATCACTGTTTTATGTATAGCATACAGTGAAACTTGTCTTATCCAGATGTTGTGTATTCCAAAATCTTTCCTAATACGACGTAAACTTTTAAGCCCTGTCAATAATTCAATTGTTTAAAATGTTGTCAAATCTGGAATGTTGTCTTATCCCACCAATATCTATGGAATCAGTGAGGTTTGGATTAGACAAGTTTTACTGTATTTCCTTCATGAGGGATAAAAATCAGACAAATATCTATATAATGTTGCAATATTTAATCATCACTGGAAGTCTGACTGACCAGGATTCTGTCAAATGCTGTGGGTTTTCCTCCTCGCTGTACGTGTCCAAGGACTGTAACTCTTGTGTCATACTTCAACCTATCTGTTATCACCTACAAACATTGAAAAGAGATATCAAGTATGTACCATAGAACTACTAGTACATCGACATATACATATATGTTGATTAAAATGTGAAGCTTATAATCAAGCTTCAAACAAACAGATATAATTATCAGTTACTCATTGTCTTAGAGAGTATACAATGAAAGAATATGTTTGATGCAAAGACCAATAATTAATTCTTGTCTTTTGTGTTTGGTTAAATTTCTTTGATGACTAAAGTTCTTGCTGTCTGACCTTTTTAACCATGTCAGCACTGATGGGATTTCCTTTCTTGTCTATTGCCCCTTCAGCAATCAGTATAATGTTCAATCTCTGTCCCATGGCTCGCTCCTATTAGGATCATTAGATGGTTGAACAAAATCAATATACATGTACTACGTACACATAAATATTACAGTACATAATATCTACTGTGAAATACAACATTTTACTTTCTCTTTTCTGATAATTTAAAGTATAATGTTAAAGTTCTTGTCATGTTCAAATTTATAATGCAGTCACCAAATTATTAAATGTTGTGAGCTCTTTAGCTCTGTATGATGTTAAAATTAGGGAATAACTGTCTTCTCATTTGTTATTTGCGACCGTTAATGCTGACTTAAGGGTTGCAAATTGAGTTTTACCAGCTCCGCTAGAGCGCTGCCTGTAAATTCAATTTGCAACTGTTTAATCAGCATTAACAGTCGCAAAACACAAATGAGAAGACATTCTAATGCAATTTATGCATTTTGTTTGATGTTTATGTCTTATTTTGTTGAGATGAGCATTTTGTTTCTGCTTTCTAATTGTTGACACAATCAAAATTTATCACTCTCGTTAATGCTCTTTTAGCTGCCTTAAACAACAGTGCATTGTCCAATCGAAATGCAGATTACAAAACAGTTGCATTAGAATGTTGTTTTAGCTGCATGAAATGTAGAAGAAACATATCATTATTTTAAAAGCTTCTGAAATCTCTATAAAACAACCAATACTGAACCATGATTTTGTTAACTTTTTCAAGATCCACTTACTGCTGCCAGTTTCTTACACAGAGTTTCCTCCCATCCCTCCTCTGGGGGCCACTCAGGGATAAACACCCAATCTGCCTCAGTGGCTAAGGCCCCCACTAATGCCAAGTACCTGTCAAAAGTAAACATACACATACATGTAGGAACATGGATGTGTCATGTATATAATTGCATTTCCATTCACTTTCAAGTAAACAATTATTCTGCATACAATTATAAACTACTAAAAAAAAGTTATTTTTGAATGAATGCATACAAGAATGAAATTAAAAATGTCAGAACAATTATGTACATACCCACAGTGTCTCCCCATCACTTCTAGTACAAAGCATCTCTGATGACTGATGGGGGAAAAGCATAAAGATTAAAATAAATCTTTAGAACTTAGAAGATTGATGTAAAATGACAGTAAAACTTCATATATATCAAACCTGTTGGCGCTATCCAAATAATCTAAATTAACTATGTGATATAAAGAGCACATTTTTGAAAATCAAAATGATTTATGTTGGTCTAATACTATTAATGCTAAATTTGTAACATATAACTAGAGTCTCCCATTCAACAAAGAAGATTATTATCCTTCAGAATAATACAGTCAATCTGATTGGTCTAGAGCATGTCATGTTCAGGGAGACAATTCATGATGTCTCCCTTACTTGCAGGGTGGTGACAACTGTGTTGTTCAGGGAGACAATTCATGATGTCTCTCTCATTTGCAGGGTGATGACAACTGTATTGTCTCCCTTTAGAAGATAAAATTTTGCAAGCGAGATAACTTTGATATAATTAATAATTATATATGCAGGACCAGTAAAAAATAAATAGAATAAATTCTAACAGTGACATCAAAGTTGTCTGTTGACATATTTTGAAAGTATTGAATCAGAGCAGTGGTAGAATGCTAGGGGTTTGCTTAATATTTTATACTCTATTTCATTAAATTTAGATTTTTGAGGATAATAACACTATTGTGGACTGTTTAGTACAGCTAGGCAGACATCACAAATCATCTGTTCTGAGTAGGGTTGTCACAAGCACCCTCAGGTGAAAACCTTACTCAGACCTTATAATTTGTGATGTCTCCCTATTAAAGATTCCATAACTGTACAACGTTTTACAAGCTTTTTTCCAAATGACTGTTGAAGAGTTAATCTAAAATTCACAGAACCTTATATTTTTCTAATGTCTTTACCTGGAAGCTGTTGTGGCAATACAATCTACAGCTTCCACAATACGATGAAGAGCTGTGTCAGCTCCAATAGTCATATCCGTTCCACAAAAATCGTTGTCAATGGATCCCACCAGCCCCACAATATTCAGCTGTGTACAGTCTTTTCTCTGCTGCTCGCTAATGCGACCTACAGAACAAACCCCGTATCATGCTGTGTAACTGTCCAGTCCTCAAAAATAGCTGCTAAAGAACAGTCCCAAAACCTCTTGATTAAAAATTCAAAATTTGACCGCAAAACCTTCAACAGAGGAGTCTTACTTTCATTATTTAATGTCCATACCATTCTTGAGTAAATCATCAAGAAGTTCTGCCCACTCTTGTCTGAAGAGATTGGCACCTGTCAAACTGCCATCTCCTCCAATCACTACAAGATTTGTGATGTTATTATTGACCAAGTTTTCTGCAGCTTTCATACGGCCTCCTCTTTCACGAAAATCCTGACAGCGAGCACTCCCTATCACTGTGCCTCCCTGTCAAAAGTGTTTACTGACTTTAATGAGGGATATTACTTTTGGAGCAGTTCTGTAGTACATGCACTAAACAAGCTAGTGTATCAATAGATATGATCACTGTAGACACCATCTACGTGTAGCTTGTTTTGAAACTGAGAACAAAGAACATTCCTCTTACTGCCTGCACAGCCAGTAGGGCATATACAACTGCATCAGGAAAGGAATAGAATTGCTTTGAACAGTTTATTTTTAAAGGTATTTAATGTATAATAGAGAAATACATGAATAACCTATTTCAGGGATTTTTTTACCCTCGACTCCAGGGGTCGGGGCCTTCAAGATTGGGAAAAATAGCAATATTTCGTTGAAATTGGGAAAAATATCTTCTTACAAATAAAAAAAAAGCAGAAGTCAAATATTTAATCATTTTTCTTATTTGTTTATAGTATGAAGCTGAACTAAACCAGCTTTAGTGATATGAAATAATAGAGACTGTTCAGGACCTTAAAAATGGTAAAGCCGCAGGGTGTAATAACATTGTAAATGAACACTTTTATACAACGTTGTCATCTTTTTTACCTTTACGTAAGAAGTTCTTTAAAATAAAATTTGATAGTGGGTTTGTTCCAGATGAGGGTTAATCGGTATTGTTTGACTATTTTATAAAAATAAGAGTGATTCAACACAGCCTGAAAATTACCGCCCCAGGCAAACTGGAGAGACTGACATGATGCATGTTTATTTATTAATTAACGATCCAGACTTTAATTTTTAAACATCAATCCCGCTTTAAAAAATATGCATACGACATCCGTAGTATTCCGAATAACTTTTCGAAACTCCTCGCATGGCTCTTACATCGCATGTAGAGGACATAAACACCTTTTTGTCATTATTTTATTTTAATAATTTATAACTTAATACTTTTTTCATATTGGGAATTTTCAGGTATAACTTTGGGTAAAAAACATGCACTTTTCAGCATTGGGAATGGGGCCGAATTTCGGCCCCCGAGAGACCCTAAAAAAATCCCTGTATTTTCAGTATATACTCAACTTAAAAAATGCTTATAAAATGAATTTAAAAGATAGTAAGAACAAACATCATGAACTAAATGAAATGTAAGAAGACCATTCAGTATTAATTACATGTGTATAAGAGTTGTATCTCTCCTTGAAAAATCAGTAAAAATTTTAATTTAAGGACACACGCAACGTAGTTTGAACTTTATTGTCTTTTTCCCTGGAGTTGAAGAGTTCCAATACTTAAAGGAACCGTGTACTACATTTTAATGTCTATATATGCTGTTGTACACTTCTTCTAAAACAAGTTTGGATAAACAAAACATCTAATATGTATGTTAAGTAATTTTTGTATATTTTTCTTTAAATTATACCAGAATTTTCATCTATTGATATCTTTTCAAAACCCCTGGTGATGCATGCTGATTTTTTGTCTACAAACATTTGATTGCACTATAATCTTAATTTAAGAACATCTTGAAAAATTATCAATAGGTAAGGTATGTTGCGTATGTCTTAATTCTCTGAAATCTGCATTGTGACCTATGCATTTTAATACGAACATTTGATTGCACTATAATCTTAATTTAAGAACATCTTGAAAAATTATCAATAGGTAAGGTATGTTGCGTATGTCTCTGAAATTTGCATTGTGACCTATGCATTTTAATACATCAAACATGTATTATGGATTTCTTAATCAGATGCTTTCTTCCAAATATATTAATTTTTTTTATTTTCCTTTTATGAAAATGATACTTCACTCTTATGCTTCTAAGTGAAATTCATTAGGTCATATCTATTTTCAGATAATTTTGAAGACAATTTTTGGTACAGCAGTAAGCCTCTCCTTAAGTTTTACTTTGATTTATGGAATATTTTCACATTTTCCTTGATTAAAATTTTGGTTAAAAAGATTTTTTTTTCTATTTATGCTTTAGATACCTTAATTGTTTCCTTCAAAAAGTTTCCAAGGACATGAGTCCTGAAGTGAATCTAGCATATGAAATTAACACACAAAAGTGTTCACGAAATTAATGAGAATTGAGAAACAAAACACATTTCTTAGTTGTAGCACTTGTGATATTTCTGTAATTGCAGATCCCATTCTCTCTTTCCCTACATGATTAGGTAGTTGATATATTGTACAACAAACAAAGCAATGCGGATGACAATTTCCTCTCTACTAGGCCCCTATTTTCTTCTTACAATGCTCACATTGAGCAATTAAGAGCATCTTAATTATGAAAAAGATCTGCATTAAAATACATGTACTGTTAAGATCTATTTTAATAATGCAAATATCTATACAAGTGTTAGATCTTCTTAAAAGTGGAAATAAACAGTCTAGTAATTCAGTAGTAGTTCTAATGTTTTTAGTAACTTTACCCTCTGCATGATCCCTGAACTACTGGCCCATGTAGCCTCCACAATGTTGTCTCCTCCATCTACCATACCCTGGTACCCCTACAATGTTACATTAAGTCATGTGTACTGTTACAATAATTCAGCTCTACACAGAATGAAATCTGTCTAAGATATTACAGTGCACATTTATCATGTTTATATTATTTATATACTGTACTAAACAGGCAATAAATTTTGTTTCATTCTCAGAGTCTCTGTTTTTCTTTCTCTTCTTGTGTGTGTGTGTGTGTGTGTGGGCATTACTACTGAATTTAACAAGTAAATTCAACACAGAATTCACATTCATTGAAAGAGACTTACAATTGTAAGTTAAATGCAAACTTAAAATTTTATAGCTCATTGAACTAAATATCATAATTACTTTTCTTAGATGGACTGTGAGTAACTTTTAATTATTAATACTATTTACCTCTTTTATGTAGAAAACTTTACAACCCAAGTAGGCACCCATTCTTACTACAGCTCTTACACTGGAATTCATACCTGAAATTTTTTGAAATGCTTGAATTCATATTTATCAATGTCACCACCACTCACATTATGAGCACAAATAATGTCTCACAATACCCATTCCATACAGTAAAATGTGCTTGACATAGTGAACACACTTGTAATGAATTGATGCATAGCCTAATTATAGTGGAGTGATTTCGATTACTTGTGACTTTAATAAATTATTATATTAATAATATTCCCAATATTTTAAACTTAATGTTTATAATAAAAATAAATTACGCATAATGATGTAAAATCATCTGTGCCTGGCACTTCATTATAAGTGTGTGTTACTGTAGTAACATTTTAAAATTCGATCATGATTGAGAGAAAAAGAAAAATACTAGATTATTCTTACAGTACTTAGTAATCTTATCAAAATCAATAATGCAGGGCTTGAAATAATTAATGGCCCCCTAGTCTGGGGCCAGTGAATTTTTAATCTGGGCTAGTACATTGTAGAGGGCCCTTTGGGTCAGTATTTTTTTGTATGCATAACACAATTTACTCACGGTGGGGCTAGTTAACTTGACAGGGTAGTGTCTCTAAGTTCTGTCGTTTCTTGTTTTGTTAAGTTGTACTACTTAGTATCACAATATAAACAAAATATTACTATTATTATTATGGTTTTGGGCCAGTCTATTTAAAATCTACTGGCCAAGTGAAAGTACTGAGCTGACGTAAAAATTTAAGGCGATAGCCCAAGTGACCAGTGAAAAAAAAATTATTTCTAGCCCTGTAATGATAAGCAACAGGCTCTGAATATTTTAAAGTGACCTGCAGTAATGTACAAATCTATACGGTATCTATGGCACGCCAAATTTACAAAAATGAGTAAAACCTAGTCTCACAATTGATAAACTAGGTTTATCGACTGTAAACTATAGTTTACAAATCGTAAACTATAGTTAACGATTCGTTAAGTATAGTTTTCATCTGTAAAACTATATTTAACGGTTGTTAACTATAGTTTACGAATGCCAATCTAAGTTTATCTGTCTGTAATAAGCGTTAACAATAGATTTTGTTGATAAACATAGATTCACGTTTGTAAACTATAGTTTACAATCGTAAACTATAGTTAACGGTTGTTAATCATAGTTTCACAAATCGTGAAACTATATTTATCAGATCGTTAACTATAGTTAACGGTTTGTAAACTATAGTTTACAAATCGTGAAACTGTATTTATCAGAAAATCTATGTTTTGCAATCGCAAATGATTGTTTTCGGTGTTAAGTATAGTTTACGGTTGTGAAACATAGATTATCGCGTTAACTATGGTTTACAGATGTGAAATATAGATTAACGTTGTTAATTATAGTTTACAATTCGTAAACTATAGTTTACAACCGATAAACCTAGTTTTTCGATTGTGAAACTATGATTATCTTATTTTTGTGAATTTGGCGTGCCATAGGTATCACAAAACTCAAATCATTTCATTGCTAATAACGGATTTAAACTCTAGGCCTACCTGTGCGCTCAAATTGTGTGCATTACATGACTAATGTCAAAGCAATGTGGTATTATGAGTGTCATCATGGTTTGCTGCAGTTTAACAATTTTAGCCCTTTTTTTCCTAATGACAATCTATCATTTGGACAGAAAGAGAAATGAAAGAAAAAGTAAATTCAAATCAATAAATAGAGCACTTTAAACATTTCAGTCTCTTTATTAACAGTTACACATGTATTCCATTTTTTATTTTTTATACAAAATTTCTTTCTCCCTCCGCATACCCTCCCCATCCATCATCTCCATCCCCCCCAAAATATTAAGTGAACATAGGTTTTTCACTGCTGAGTAATGTTCGTTACACCTCGGGTTTTTCCTTTACACTCACATAATAACACCCGAGGAATCCACTACAGACAATAGTTTGTCTGCTAGTCAATCATCAGAGTCATGGCGGTATTATAGTCGATTGCAAATGACAAGATTTTTGCAAAGTTATTTTTTAAATGACATACCCTGAGAATCCCCTCCACTTGTAAACACGCCTATGGATTTCCCAGTCCCACTTCCCCATGCTAATTCCTGTCCTTCTCTCCCCCTTTCAGTCATGATGCTGTCTTTTCTACTCATACTATCTCGAACACTGTGAATCCGCTCCCTGTCACTTCTAATAACCACTCCATCCGTCTCCATTGACATTGCCATTTTTGGTGGAATGTCCTCCAGCAGAGATTATAAGACCTTCCACACAAACGACCTAGACACAGATTCGGAATACCTCTAAAGTTTTCATCTTCAATGTTTCGGTAATCTCCGTACGAATCACCATTCGGTAACTATCGAATAATTCCGTCATCTGCATGGAGTAAAAAAAAAATACGGAATCCACCGAGGTTTTCCGACTTGGAGATTTAAGACTTTACGGAGAAAACCGAAGTCTTAAGGTCAAACTATATACAGTAAAAGTTCACAGAAAATAAATATTCAATCTTCTACATAACAAACAGACTTAAAATACAAAACCAACAAAAGACAATTCAGCAATAAAATTTTCAACATTATTGTCTCAAATATTTGATAAAAGAGAAATAAAGTTTCAATAAAATCAAAACGTCGGTTGGCCTTTCTTCACGATTAGCTTTATCTTCCGGCTAATAACTGTTTCTATGCGAATGAAAAATAGTTCTTAATAGTTGATTTTAAAAAGGAGCTACCACGCATAAAAGTAGAAAGCATCAATTTTTATATGATAAAATTATAATATTATGAAGCGTTCACTTCTCAGTGATTCTAGCTGTTGCATCGTTTAATGAACTAGGGTTTTCATATCGATTACGCCGCACTTCCTTTTTCTCAACAACGTGAAATCGCAACCATGAGGTGCAAGATTTCTCCTCGAATTTTTTGTTAATTCTTTACCAAAAAGAATTAAATTGATAAAAACTTGACACTTTTATATTGATAATTATGTACACATTTCATTCAAATCATTTTTATTGGTTACGTTTTGTGATTATTCACTATATTCAGGGAAAAGTAATGGAAGTTGTGAATATTTACCATAGATGTAAATGTTGAAAGATTTAGAAGTTGTGTTCGCGTTATTTAAAATGCGTTTGAAAATTTACAAATGGTGAAATATATTTAGATTATAAGTTATGAATTGCAGACGTCATGAATGATGCTGTAAAAATAATAGAAAGAGTTGGGGGGAGGGGGGGGGGGCTGTCACACAGATAAACTAAGAGACTCGAATAGTATATACAATTTGTGGTTCTATACATGTATCCTGTATGGATTTTTCTGAAGACTGCCAGTAAGAGCTTCACTAAAGGAATGGGATTGTCTTTGTTTTGTCCATGTCCCTCAGAGAATTTTTCACTCATGAGCATACATGCCAACTTTTTAAAATCTCCTTGGGGGAGATTGCGCGTAACGACATTTTTCAAAGGTCTAAATTCGCAGCATTTTGTCGTGAAAATAAGTATTTGTTGGGTTTTTTTTTTTAAATATTAGTCTAATATCTTTTATCATATATTATCACTACTTCAAAAAGTTTTTTTTCTCTATCAACTTCAACAAAAACACACTATTATTTGGAATTTAAAAAAGGAAAATTTTAATCAAAATTATTTAATATGTTAATATAAAGATCAACATTACCCCCCTGCCCTATGCAATGTCATACACATACAGATTATTACATGGATAGGGATGTTAAACTTAATTACAAATAAGCTAGAGCAAGTTACTAAAAGAGTTCATGCAGTAACTGTCTTTGTCTATTGGTAAATTACACATTTTATAAAGCTACTAAGTCAAGAGTTAGACACACAATTTGTTGTTTTTTTTTAATCAAAGGGAATACTAAGAAGAAGACACTTTTAATGTTTTTCATACAAAGTCTGTAAAAGGCCTTCATTACTTTTTGTGAACCACTCCTGGAATTCTGCTAAAAAACTAACGGTTTGTACTTGCAGACGCATCTTTTCAAGTTTGATTTTGGCAGTGTCTTTTCCATGATCAATGACGTAGTTGTAATTATAGTGCGCAATGCCGTATTTCCTAAACTTGAAAACCTTTTATTAACAGCTTATACGTATATTGTCAAATTTTGCTGTGAAGTGTGAACTCGTCACAAGTTTGTATCCTGTCGTGTGTATTTCTAAAATTTCCACATCTGGCATGATTGTCTAGGGTAATATACACTGTTAATGAGAATTGGGGGCAATTAAAACCACAGTAATGACTGGTAGCACAGTTGACACCTTGTTGATTACCTGTTATCAGCGGCAATAAACAGATATCTACCGATAAACATTCGAACTGCCATCTTTTTTCACACGGAAATGCGGTATTATTCAAAGCGGATCGGTAAAAAATCCGGAATTCCTAAAAATCGGTAGAAATGGGATTTAAAAATATATCGGTAGACAAGCGGTAGATGGGGTTAAAAATCGGTAGACTCCCGAAAAAATCGGGAAAGTTGGCATGTATGCATGAGTCATGTTGGGATGCCACCAGTTGCTGGTGGAACTGCAAATTTAGACCTATGCCAGTCACTTCTGGCAAATGAGTAATGAGGGATCTTTTTTGCCAGCATATTCTGCTACACATGACTTTGGTTTATTCAGTCTTATTTTAGGGACCAGTCTCCATATCTCGCATCTTTGTTTTGAAAGGAGTAATGTAGATTCACTCTGCACAAATGAATAATTTGAGTAGAACTGATCCAATTCCTATTAATTTTAAGTATTGATTCAGTTTGAATGATTAGTGGGGAAATATTACTAAGGCAGATATGTTGTATTCTTTCAGTACCCTCAGGTTGCAGAAACGGCTGGCCTCCGCTGTCCTAAAGTGTGGCAAAAACAAAGTTTGGCTTGATCCCAATGAAACAAATGAAATTGCTAATGCCAATTCAAGTAAGTGAATATTCAGCTTTTATTTCAACTTTTGAAAAGTATTATGCAGAATAAAAAAATTTTATTTATAATTTATTAAAATTTGAGGTATTATGTAACAAAATTTTTGCTCATTTTAGGACAAAATATCCGTAAATTAATCAAGGATGGTTTGATTATTCGCAAACCTGTTGCTGTGCACTCACGGGCTAGAGTTCGTAAGAATGCCATTGCCAGGAGAAAGGGTCGCCACATGGGTCATGGAAAGAGGAAGGGTACAGCTAATGCTCGTATGCCAGTCAAGATCTTGTGGATGCGCAGGATGAGAGTGCTGCGTCGTCTTCTAAAGCGTTACAGAGAAGCGAAGAAAATTGACAAGCACTTGTGAGTTTACACCACTTAAGCTTAATGTATTTTGAAATAACAATATTGAATGGTGATTATGGTTATTTAATTTTTAAAAAAATATGCTTGCTTTTCAATAAGTGTTTCAAATCTGAATAGGATTTGAAGTAATATTGAAACACTGGAAACAACTTGAAAATGAAAATAGTCTTGAGTTATACAATGCTCACCAAATAATCAAATACTGCTTTTCTGTTTGTACAAGGCATATGATTCCTTCACTTCAAGTCAGTTTCCTCTTACTTGGCATAACATGTTCATCTTTGTAGATATCATGAACTGTATATGAAATCTAAAGGTAATGGTTTCAAAAACAAGAGAGTATTGATGGAGCACATTCACAAGAGGAAGGCCGAGAAAGCAAGAACTAAACAGCTCAGGTATAAAGCAAATGTTATCCTGTAGAAATTAGAGATAAGGGAAGCATTTACTTATCTGTATACATGTATTAGAATTGTTTGATATTGGCAGAAAATTTTTGCAAAATTTTCAACTCCTCTGATTGCCTATCATTTCTCTCAGATGCATATGATATATTCAATATCTTATAGAATGAAAGCTTAAACACATTAATGTACCTTCAATCTGTACATGTAAATAATGTGGATTCAAATAAGACTTAAAACTTGTTCACAAGACTAAAATTAATGCACATTGTTCATCAGAAGATGGTTCAGTAGGATATTACAGGTACATTATTGATAGAGTGCCACAGTTAAAACAGCTGCTAAATTGTCTATTCTTAACTTTGCTCTGTTAATAAGAAATTATATTAACACCATCCAACATGTAGATTGGTGCTTCATTGCTCTTATGTTGTTGATACATACATGTACCCTAGCCTGATGTCATTTTCAATACTCATTATAGCTTGGTTAGTTCTTTACTACCTTGTTAGTACACACTACAGTTACATTCTTCATACAAGTCCTAGTCTGATGTAGTTAACTTAATCAAAGCTGCTACAATGTCTGTACAAGTGTTTAGGTTTAACCTAAAGAATGCATAATTCTCTCATCTGTTTAGAAGTAGATATTTATGAATGATATTCTCATCTAGATTGGAATATATTTGATTGTATTGAAATGGTACTTTTTATTATATTTATACCCCCGTTCCGAAGGAGAGGGGGGTATACGGTTTTACCCTTGTCTGTCTGTCTGTGTCCGTGTGTCTGTCCGTAACAAATTTTGGTCGCAGTTTTCTCAGCAACTATTCATCACAGATGCTTGAAATTTTAGAACAATCTTTGTTTAGGCATGCCATATGGTCGGATTCCTTTTTAGCTCACCTGAGCTGAAGGCTAAGTGAGCTTTTCTGATCACTTTTTGTCCGGCGTCCGTCTGTCTGTCTGTCCGTCTGTCTGTCTGTCTGTCTGTAAACTTTTAACATTTTCGACTTCTTCTCAAGAACCACTGGGCCAATTTCAACCAAACTTGCCACAAAGTATCCTTGGGTGAAGGGGATTCAAGTTTGTTCAAATGAAGGGCCAAGCCCTCTTTCAAGGGGAGATAATAAAGAATTAGTGAAAAATTAATAGCATCTTTTAAAAATCTTCTTCTGAAGAACCACAGGGCCAGAAAAGATGAAACACATCAGGAAGCATCCTCAGGTAGTGTAGATTCAGATTTGTTCAAATCATGACCCCCAGGGGTAGGGCAGGGCCACAATGGAGGATCAAAGTTTTACATAGAAATATATAGGAAAAATCTTTAAAAATCTTCTTCTCAAGAACAGCAAAGCCATGATGAGTCATATTTATATAGGAAGCATTCTCAGGTAGTGTAGATTCAAGTTTGTTCATATCATGACCCCCGGGGGAAGGGCAGGGCCACAATGGAGGATCAAAGTTTTACATAGAAATATATAGGAAAAATCTTTAAAAATCTTCTTCTCAAGAACAGCAAAGCCATGATAAGTCATATTTATATAGGAAGCATCCTCAGGTAGTGTAGATTCAAGTTTGTTCAAATCATGACCCCCGGGGGTAGGGCGGGGCCACAATGGAGGATCAAAGTTTTACATAGAAATATATAGGAAAAATCTTTAAAAATCTTCTTCTCAAGAACAGCAAAGCCATGATAAGTCATTTTGATGTGGAAGCATCCTCAGGTAGTGTAGATTCAAGTTTGTTCAAATCATGAGCCCCAGGGGTAGGGCGGGGCCACAATGGAGGATCAAAGTTTTACATAGAAATATATAGGAAAAATCTTTAAAAATCTTCTTCTCAAGAACAGCAAAGCCATGATAAATCATTTTGATGTGGAAGCATCTTCAGGTAGTGTAGATTCAAGTTTGTTCAAATCATGACCCCCGGGGGTAGGGCGGGGCCACAATGGAGGATCAAAGTTTTACATAGAAATATATAGGAAAAATCTTTAAAAATCTTCATCTCAAGAACAGCAAAGCCATGATGAGTCATAATTATATGGAAGCATCCTCAGGTAGTGTAGATTCAAGTTTGTTCAAATCATGACCCTCGGGGGTAGGGCAGGGCCACAATGGAGGATCAAAGTTTTACATAGAAATATATAGGAAAAATCTTTAAAAATCTTCTTCTCAAGAACAGCAAAGCCATGATAAGTCATTTTGATGTGGAAGCATCCTCAGGTAGTGTAGATTCAAGTTTGTTCAAATCATGAGCCCCAGGGGTAGGGCAGGGCCACAATGGAGGATCAAAGTTTTACATAGAAATATATAGGAAAAAACCTTTAAAAATCTTCTTCTCAAGAACAGCAAAGCCATGATGAGTCATATTTATATAGAAGCATCCTCAGGTAGTGTAGATTCAAGTTTGTTCAAATCATGACCCCCGGGGGTAGGGCGGGGCCACAATGGAGGATCAAAGTTTTACATAGAAATATATAGGAAAAATCTTTAAAAATCTTCTTCTCAAGAACAGCAAAGCCATGATAAGTCATTTTGATGTGGAAGCATCCTCAGGTAGTGTAGATTCAAGTTTGTTCAAATCATGAGCCCCAGGGGTAGGGCAGGGCCACAATGGAGGATCAAAGTTTTACATAGAAATATATAGGAAAAATCTTTAAAAATCTTCTTCATAAGAACAGCAAAGCCATGATAAGTCATATTTATATAGGAAGCATCCTCAGGTAGTGTAGATTCAAGTTTATTCAAATCATAACCCCCGGGGGTAGGGCGGGGCCACAATGGAGGATCAAAGTTTTACATAGAAATATATAGGAAAAATCTTTAAAAATCTTCTTCTCAAGAACAGCAAAGCCATGATAAGTCATTTTGATGTGGAAGCATCCTCAGGTAGTGTAGATTCAAGTTTGTTCAAATCATGAGCCCCAGGGGTAGGGCAGGGCCACAATGGAGGATCAAAGTTTTACATAGAAATATATAGGAAAAAACCTTTAAAAATCTTCTTCTCAAGAACAGCAAAGCCATGATGAGTCATATTTATATAGAAGCATCCTCAGGTAGTGTAGATTCAAGTTTGTTCAAATCATGACCCCAGGAGGTAAGGTGAGGCCACAATGGGGTATCAAAAGTTTTACATAAGAACATATAGAAAAAATATTTCTTCTCAAGAACAGAAAAGCTATGTTTAGTCATATTGATATGGAAGCATCCTCAGGTAGTGTAGATTCAAGTTTGTTCAAATGATGACCCCTGGGATAGGGAGGAGCCACAATGGGGGATCAAATTTTACAAAGGAATATTTGGGAATTTTTTTAAAAAAATCTTCTCAAGTACAACAAAGCCATTTGTTATAATGACATGGAGGCATCATCAGGTAGTTTAAAATTCAAGCCCCCCCCCCCCCCCCCCCAGTAATCATTCAATACTGAACTGATTTGTGCTTTTGCCTAGCCAATGTGCTCAGGTAAGCGATGTGGCCCATGGGCCTCTTGTTGTTCAAATCCGATGTCATCTTCCTGTTAATCCGTGCGTCTGTCCGTACCATACATAACAAATTTTGGTCGCAGTTTTCTCAGCAACTACTCAGCGCAGATGCTTGAAATTTTAGCACTATCTTTGTTTAGGCATGCCATATGGACTGATTTATTTTTGTTCAAATCCGATGTCAACTTCCTGTTTATCCCTGCGTCTGTCCGTACCAAATTTCCGTTGCATATTTCTCAGCAACTACTCAGCGTAGATGCTTGAAATTTTAGCACAATCTTTGTTTAGGCATGCCAAATGGTGGGATTTATTTTTATATGAATAAGATATCAACTTCCTGTTTATCGGTGTGTCTATCCATAACAAATTTTTCGTCGCAGTTCTCTCAGCAACTACTCATCACAGATGCTTGAAATTTTAGCACACTCTTTGTTATACCCCCCGCAAACGAAGTTTAGGGGGGGTATATTGGAATCACCATGTCCGTCTGTCTGTCCGTCTGTCTGTCCGTCTGTCCGTCTGTCTGTAGACGAGATTTTGTCCAGGCCGTTTCTTGGAAACTATTGCAAGGATTTGTCTGAAAATTTGTACACTTATTATTCACCATATGAAGGTGTGCACCTGGTTTTTTCATCATGATTGGATAATTTTTCTGCATTTTACAGGTCTTTTTTTTCATTTTTATTGTGTGGTTTTGTCCGGACCTGTTCTCAGAGGCTATTGCATAGATTTGTATGAAAATTTGTACACTCATTATTTACCGTATGAAGATGTACACCTGGTATTTTCAACATTATTTGATAATTTTTCTGCATTTTACAGATGTTTTTTTTTTTCATTTTTATTGACTTAGTCATTATGGGTTTATAAATGTCTAAGGTTTGAGACATAGAATCTAGAACATCTGAAGTGTACAAAAATGTGAACTACAGCTTAAAACTACTCATTAAAACTGAAAAAAATATCACCAGGTATTAAAAACAGTTTTTACATTACACAGCAGATAGTGTAAATCCATTTGTCCCTTGGGAGTAATGAGTGGACATGCATCCAGTTAAAGATTAATTAATGAGTTCAGTGTGGGAAGCTGTTAGGGCATCTCTGATCAAGCAGGTCTTATCTATATCTCCTGGGAATTGGGCAGAAAGAAATAAAGATCTCTGTTGTCTAAGTCTCTTAATCGTAATTTATGTCTGTCAAAATACATAGTTACTGGAACCAGCCTTTTATTTTTAAAATGAGTTTGATATAAAGGTATTAAGATCAATTTGATTTTGTATAATTAATTATCATGATATTTTTTTTTTCAACAATCAATTTGCAGAGTGTCATGTCTCACAAAGATGACAGATAGTTGCAAACTATTTCTTCAATGTAATAAAAAAACACTGTAATTATTAGTATTGATGTTTTATAAGGCTGCACCTTAATTTCATTCATTAAAAAAATATAATGAGTAATTAAATTTTCACTCTAAATGTTAAAGCAAATTGTGAACACCTCTCACATCTAGAAAACATTAGTGATTTGGTACCTTCTCTGAAAAACCCAGCGGGGGGTATTTGTACCTTTCGGACAGTTCTAGTTTATGCATGCCATGTGGTGGGATTTCATGTTTAAATCTGATGTCAACTTCCTGTTTATCTGTGCATCTGTCCATACCAAATTTCCGTCACAGTTTTCTTAGCAACTACTCAGCGAAGATGCTTGAAATTTTAGCACAATCTTTGTTTAGGCATGCTAAATGGTTGGATTTATTTTTGTATGAATTCAATGTCAACATGAGAGGGTAACCGTAAATTCACATCAGAGCGGGGGTATTACTAGTGAGCATTCGCTCACAGACTTCTTGTTTGATAATATTGAAGACTGACCAGTAAAAATTATTTATTTTGTTCAATACAGTGACCAAGCCGAGTCCAGAAGACAGAGAGTCCGTGAGGCACGTAAACGCCGTGAAGAGCGCATCAAACAAAAGAAAGAGGAGATGCTTAAATCTTTTTCTGAGAAGGAACCCCCAGCATCAAGTTCTTAAAGACAGACTTTTGTGTACACAAAGATTTTATTGTCAGCACAATAAACCTCTGTGGGGAAAAATGGTTGTTTGTGATAATTTGTTTTTCAAAGTATTAGAAGGAAAGTCCAAAAAAGTTTGCATAGTCTTTGAAGATGTACATGTAGTCAGTCCCTGTTCCATGGAAGATTCACTCTTTATATGTATATATATATATACATGTATATATAATGTATTGTTTATCTTTAAGCCATGAATTGTGGTGAGATCACAACTTTTTTCACAGGGAAAAAAAAAAGATACTGAAACCAGAATGTTTTCATAAAAGCATAGATGCCTTGTAATATATTCCATTTAGTCAGTCACTATAGAAAGTTCTTTTTCCTCAAATGGATCTATTGGGCATTAATTTTAAGGGAATAAGAATACTGAATGTCAAAAAGTACAATTGTAATTTCTTTTTAATTTGACCTATTGAGGATAAGTGAACTTTACTTGTGGACATATAATTTCCTAGGATTTGATGTATATGATTCATATATTCATGTTAATAGGGTGGCAAATATCAAAATTATGTGTAACAGCAATGTGTCTTAGATAAAATAAGCTGGGATCATCACATTTGATTTGATCAAGGCCAAGCAATTCATATGCATGAAACTGGGATATGAAATATGCATGAAAATGGGATATGAAATGTAATACATGGAGCAGGAAGAGTCGGTTTTGTAATTATCATTGCCTGTCCTGTCCATAGGGGTCCAAAATGGCTTGCCATCCATCTGCCTTTTCAAGCAGCAACACAGTGTTAGTCATGATGTGATTTTGAAATTGGTTCCATATGTTGCTTTGATGAATAAGGGGCATGGGAGACAGCTTGTAGGAAATGAACTGTAAAAGAAATGTTCAAGAAAAACATATAACTTCCCCCCCCCCCCCCCCAATTCAATAGGGGAACAACTTTAAATTTAGAATATCTAATGGTGGTGAAAACAATCGGTCAACTACTTTTGGGGGCAAACATAATACTAAGTTTGATCTCTATTACAACTTACTATCATTGGGGTAATTTACTTCTGTAGCAGTGTACCAAATATGGTGTCTGTACAGCAAATGGTTCTCAACATACTAAGATGACAATACCTTCCTGTGTTTAGTGTCTATATTGTATGACCTTTTAATCAATAGCTACCATCTATTCCCTAGGGGGAACAAGTGCACCAAGTTAGATATCTGTCAAGCAAAGGGTTCATCAGATATTGAGCGGTCAGTACCTTCCATTGTCCAGTTGGACCCTTAACCTTCGACTTCGTGACTTCAAAGTCTACAGTGGTCAACTACGAAGGGGAAATGATGTACCAAATTTGGTGTCTGTCAAGCAAAGGGCTCTCAAGGTATTGAGTGGTCAGTATCATCCTTTGTCCAGTTTGACTTTGTGACCTCAAAATCGATAGGGGTCATCTAGTCTAATGTACCAAGTTTGATGTCGGTCAAGCCAAAGGTTTTCAAGAAGTTGAAAGAACAAGATCTTCCCATGTCTAGCGTAGTTTAACCTTTGACCTTGTGACCTCAAAATCAAGTGAGGTCATCTACTCTTTAGGGGAAACCAGTATAATACCAATTTTGATGTCTGTCAAGCACAGGGTTCCCAGGAGAATGAATGGACGATACTTGGTCTACCTCATATTGACCAACAGATGCAAATTTTCAAAGGGGGCATGAAAAGATAAATTCTGAAAAATGCATTAGAAGTCATTAGATTAAATTTTCTTTGTGGTCAGCTGAAGATCTATCAGACAGTCACAATTCTGATCTTTCACGTCTGCATGTGCATATACATTGTATATATCTGGCGGCTAATGATTCACCTTTAATAACATTTGTCTTCATATAATGGAGGCAATTATCATTAAAATTAAATATGATTTACCAGAGATGGAGCAAGTATAAGAAACACTTCTGAGGCCTCTATGTTACTGTTATTGATTGTCATTTTTTCAGTCTGTGGTTTTAAAATAGAGGAATGTAAAAGCTTGTTTATCAAAGGGTAAAGAAAACAAGAGGCCCATGGGCCACAATGCTCACCTGAGTCACTATGGCCCTACTGTTCTTAAAGTCATATATGGCATATTTTTTATAAGTTAATTCAGACTAACAAAAATTGGAAAGATCTTTCTATTTGTTTTATTACTTTATATAAAGATAAGACTTTCCTGTAAATTCCACAATTTAAATCAATCACGTTTCAAAGATATTTGAAATTTAAAATAATAACCGATTTATTTATTGACTCCGCATTAAAATAACAGACACAGTTTAAAGTCAATTTAAGGTTTTCCATCCCTAATAGGACCTAATTCTCTATCCTTAAATATCCATCATGTATATAATACTCTGATATTAATTCAAAGCATATATTTTATAGTATTTAATAGTATTTATATATAATATTTTGAGAACCATTTACTCAACGGACATTTAACTCAGTATATTGGTTCTCCTTAAGAAGTGGATGACACCTATTAATTTTGAGGTTACAAAGTCAAAGGTCAAGGATCAAACTCGACATAAAACATTGATAGCTTAATTATATCATGAAAACCCTTTGCAAGACAGTATAAACTTCATACTCTGGTTTCCATTGAGGAGTAGATGACCATTGTAGTTTTTGAGGTCAAAAGATCAAAGGTCAAGGGTCAAACTTGACATCAGAATATATAGGCTGCTCAATAAGAACTCTGTCTTTGACAGTCATAAAACTTGGTACCCCTAGGGAGTAGGTGACCCTTGCTGATTTTTCAGTCACAAGGTCAAGGGTCAAATGATATAGACAGTATCTTGAGAACGGTTTGCTTTAAAGACATCAAATTTTGTACACTAGTACCCTCTTAAAAGTACATTACCCCTCATGATATTGAGGTATGACAGAGATCAATCTTAGTATTATGTGTTTGCCCTTGACTAATGAATGATTAATTGTTTCCACTCTCAAAATTACTGACAATTTGAATTTACACCGTTTCCTTTTTAATATTTCCACATTTGGGGCATATATATTTGACAAACATTTCTTGTTTCTTATATATGTAAAATTTAATTGCCTATTGTGGCCCTACAAGGCAAAAAGTAGTTCATACTCCAAAGTCAAGGTAATGAGGTCAAAATTTTGGTATCAACGGAAATTAAGGCCTAGCTAATATCACAATTAATACATTTAATTAATAAAAGTCTTGTCACAAAGAATAAAAATGAGAAATATGAAAGCCCTAGCACCAACCAATGAAAAGTTAGTTATGGACAAGGTTAAAGGTTAAAGACCAAAGTAAGTCGAATTCAAAAATGTTGATACCCAATGAAAGGTTTGTCACATGGATATAAAAGCCCTACATGCAGAACCAACCATTCAAAAGTAATTTTTTCAAAGTAGATATAAAATTCAAGGTCAAAAGGTGAAAAATATTGACACCTAAAGAAATGTCGATCCAGTCAAAGATCGGTCCAGGAATACACATGCAAAATATGATGGCCCTAGCACCGACTATTCAAAAGTTATGGTCAATTTAAGTCTAAAGTTTTTGTACTAAACAGATAAACAGCTAGGCATATGGACACCAGACGAAATGTGATATCAGAAAAGCTCACTTGAGCCTTTTTCTAAGGTTAGCTTAAAAAGGACAACAGAGCATCAAAGGATGATCAAATTTCAGGCAAAATAAATTAACATATTCATGTATCAAGTCATTAGTTTTGCTACAGCAGTTCTTGGAAAGGAAAGTGTACAGTTTTTGCATGGTGTAGTTTAATTTCTTGTTTTATCAAGAAACAGACGATTCAATTTTATCATTTTCCTAATGTACATGCTCAATATGTTTCTGCTTTTTCTTCGATCATCATCATTATCCTTCTCATCTAGTAGGTAGTGTATTAACCTTTTTCTTCTTCAAATAATACTTATATATGAGTCAAGTTTTAAAAATCATGCATCAAAGTAACTAAGTTATATGAAATTTTGATTAATTAAAATTAGAAGTCGATCTCTGATGAGACTGTATAGCTACTGGTCTGTACTTTATAACAAAGGAAGAGAAAAGTAGCACTTGGACTTGAAGCTTTGCAACAGAATAAATAAAATAATGATCCTTGGTTTAGTCTCTTTTTGCGGCAAGATTTATTGCAATATCAGACTAAAACTGTAGGAGAAGCCTTTTGAAAGTATATTTCAAAGAAATTTCTATTTTTAGTAACCATGGCAACACCGTTTAGGGAAATCAAAAAATGATAAACAGAATTATGTATCTTTGTGTAGTCTACTTAGACCAATTATTTTGTTGATGCTAATCATACTATTTTTCTTGCTTTTGGGCAACAAAGCTTCATTTATCAGTTTATGGATCCTTTAAATTGTTGTATTGTAACATCACACTTGTTTCTCCTAAAGAATAGGTGACCCCTATCAGTTTTGACATCACAAGGTCAAAGGTCTACTCAAGACTAAAGATATTGTTTGCTCAATACATATGTCTTGAAAAACCCCTTGGTTGAATGATTGAAATCAAACTTGGTAAATTATATGTAGTTCCCCCATAGGGAGTACGGAACCTTTGTCGTCATCAATCTAAAGATAAGAATATATTGTCCGCTCAGTATCTTGAGAACCCTTTGCTTGACAGACATCAAACTTGGTATACTGCCTCCCCTTAAGAAGATGACCCATATTGATTTTAAGGTCACAAGATCAAAGGTCAGATACTGATACTCAGTATCTTGAGAACCCTTTACTTAACAGACATCAAACTTCTTACAATGGTATCCACTATAAGTAAATTTCCCTTACTTAAATGATATATGTATCAAGGTCTGATGGAGATTTAACATCAAATTATGTTTGCCCCTAACTAGTAGGTTACACACATTTTCACTATCATTACAGACATCCTAAATTTAAATATGACCCTTTCCAATTTTGTCATATGGTGGCATATCTGTTTCTAACATATTTCTTGTTCAGTCTATTTTTCCCCAAAAGAGATCCTCTTGTCATTATGACATATACATTTCCCATGGGTGAGTAAGATACTGGTTAATACTGTTAAACCAACAATGCCAAAACTTTTTGGGAATTTTGAATTCAGCCAATATTAGGAACTTCCTCAATTGCAGCAGTGTCTTATTAGACAATGACCAGCTGCATCTTGAATAACAAAAACACATTTTCATATTCAGGTATTTTGTTTATTACCATATAATAATACAAGTCAATAACACATTTCATTTCTACTCATTTGAATTGGTAACAAAATAACAAGCCACAGGAATATCAAGTCATTCAAAGGGATGCAAATGCATTATAAAATTAAAAACTTCTTTTTTTGTTGACCACAAAATCTTCCTCCTCCCATCCCCTCATTTTCATGTTGTTTTATATCTTCAATCTCTGTCCTTTTTAACCACCATCCTAATCTTCATCACCCATAGGGTCATCATGGATGTGAAGGTCATCAAGCATCTCCTGGAGACTGATCTGTGGTAGACCCTCATCATCAGTTTCATCTGTGTCAACTGCAATCTTGCTCTCATCTGTAGTAAAAACATTTTAGAAAAATTTATTAAAATGTGAACACATTTTGACTTGTAACTGTTTCTGTAATCACAGGACAGTAAAGTGGATCATCTCATCTTTTCTTTTATCATTTTATTTAAACAATTTTTGTTTGACAATAACAACTTTAAACAATATTGTTGTATAATTAACTGGTTCTCACCTTTATAAATATTGACATGTTGTCTGGTAGTCTGATCTTCCTCCAAATCCTCCAGAAAATCTGTGTAATCTCTGAAGTGAAAAATGGATTGAAACCATTTATTAGTGAAGCATGAACCCTTTTCACAGGTTTTTGAAACCTTTACAATATAGCATTATGTGATATGAATCAAAATTTTGATCAAAAGGTTTAGCTGGGAAATATGCTGTTATGTTTTAAGTACCTGTGTAGCTGGAATATTTAGCTCAAGTTTTATCATGGCAATTTCATGAAGTAGGACTTTAAAACTTTATTTTTATCTATCAAAAGTCCAAATTTACCTTTCATTGCTGGCAGTTTCCATATGAAGGTCATCATGGAGATGCTTCAGTTTCCATCTTCTCTTTCTGTTTCTGAGTGTTTTGTCACCAAATACCTTCTTCACTATTACCTAGCAGTAACACGTAGAAAGGTTTGACAATAAATGACAATACCTTGATTCTTTAATCTGAATATCAAACTGACTACTGAAATCTATTAAAAGACCTCATATACAACACAGTTAAAATGCTAGAAAGTATATCAGCTATCATTTAAGTGTTTGAACTATGGTAAACAAAACACTGTCTTGAAGGTATACATATAATGTACATGCAGAATTTAAATTTTGGATAACTAACCACATCTGGTAACTTTTCAGCTTTAACCTTCTCCAAGTCTGGGTTGTTTAAGTTGGCATTTGTGAAATCAAATCTGCAAAGTAAATTAATGAAATTTTCAAAGTAAAAATTAGATAAACCCCTAATATTTTCATTTATTTACTAGTACACGCTGTAATCACATACAACATTCTTTAATCAGTAATGTTACAGGTACATGTACTGTCATATTTTCAGTGATTGATTTTCATCTGTTGAACTACTGCTTTTTTCATTGCTACCTGTAAATATGGTTATTGCACTGTATATTGTATATTCTATCACCATTTTATTCATTTACCCAAGAACTGCCTTGTCAGCAAGCATGCCAGTTATCACTTACATGTGTAACTGTGCTCCAGATCCCCATGTTACTAGTACTTCCCCAAGAGCTGTCCTCAGAATTTGAGGGCTGTACCTTTCTCACATATATTTACATTTCCAAATATTTTTCCTTAAGATTCTTTGCAAAATAGAAAATGTTCATGTTCTCATGAACTACGTGGGATGAGTAAGAATATTTCCATTGTGATGTGATTAAAGTCAAAAAATAGTGCAAACTTTTTTTTTTCAAAAATGATCATTGAATGACAAAAAAATGTGGCAAGTCATCAGAATAATAATGTAAATATAAGATATGAATTTAATTTTTGAGAATTCATGAGGTACATGAACAACGACACTTCACGCCTGCATATTTATCATGAAGTGCTAACACGCTTCATGAAATATGCTGGCGTGAAGTGTCGTTGTTCATGTCCTCATGAATTCTCAGAAATTAAATTCATCTCTTAAGTAAACCAACCATGTTGTCACTATTCAGCAGGTGACTCTTGATAATCTCACTTATCTAGGAAATGTATCCCACACATGTGGCATGTGAAATAAGTTGCATCAAATGCATGTTCCCAAAGTTGTACCCATAGTGTGTCTTTAGCATATACTAGGTGCTCAATGTTACACAACTTATCCAAAATTTGTGTATCTAACATTCACTAGGTATCTTGTGTTATGCTATACATGTATTTATGTACTTAATACTTGGTGTCAATGTTACACCACATACCTGGGAAATGAGTCTCCAACATTCAACAGGTGGCCCGCATTAAATAACTTACCTGAGATGTGTATCTCTAGCTTTCAGCTAAGTGTCTCATCCTTCCTCACTTACCAAAGAATTGTGACCCCTGTACTCAGCAACTGCTACTGATACATCACTTACACCATAAATATGTCCCTAGTATTAAATTAAAGTACATGTAGGTGTCTCATGCTACATCACTTACCCTAGAACTGTGTCCCCAGCACTCAGCAGATGTCCTAGGTGTGTCCTACAAAAGTACTGCTGCTCGCTCAGTCCCACGTCTGTGACCTTTGACACCCACAGATCAGCCAAAACATGCTGAAATATCAAAAGAAAACAGTTAATAGATCAACGATGACAAAATTTGGTACCCCTCATTGATTCACTTGTATCATCCCTCCACATTAATTTTTTTGTGACACAGGATATCTGTTGCTATAAGATATTGTGTGTGTGGCAAAATCTGACATACCTATGTGACACAACTATTACTAGTTTACCTGTGTGACACAAGGCTTAAATTTACAGTATGATTTACCTTTTTGGACAAAGGAACTTAAATGTGTGATAAGATTTACCTTTTGGGACACGGGTACTCTATGAGGGCGGTCCTTTTCTGGAATAATGTCTACCTGCATCACCATAAACTCCACAAATCTTTTTGGAGAACAGAGATTTACAAAGGGATATCTCCAGAACTGTGTGCCACTCACATCTGCCACTAAAAAAGACAAACACCAACATACATGTATTCAACATTCTCTCTGTCAAACTTTTCTTCATGAGTGCCATACTCTTCCTCGCTGAATTGTAAGGGAATTAAAGTAAAGCTTAACTTGTTGTGTATTGAGATCACTGCTTATCTTATAGAGTATTGAGATTGCTCCTCACTTTGATGTGTATTGAGATCACTGCCTACCTTGTTGTGTATTGAGATCACTGCTTACCTTGTTGTGTACTGAGAATACTGCTTACCTTGTTGACGTGTATTGAGATCACTGCTTACCTTGTAGAGAATTGAGATCATTGCTCACTTTGAAGTGTATTGAGATCATTGCTTACCTTGTTGTGTATTGACATCATTGCTTACCTTGTTGTGTATTGAGATCACTGCTTACCTTGTTGTGTATTGAGATCACTGCTTACCTTGTTGTGTATTGACATCATTGCTTACCTTGTTGTGTATTAAGATTACTGCTTAGCTTGTTGTGTATTGAGATCATTGCTTACCTTGTTGTGTATTGAGATCATTGCTTACCTTGTTGTGTATTGAGATCATTGCTTACCTTGTTGTGTATTGAGATCACTGCTTACCTTGTTGTGTATTGAGATCACTGCTTACCTTGTTGTGTATTGAGATCATTGCTTACCTTGTTGTGTACTGGGATCACTGCTTACCTTGTTGTGTACTGGGATCACAGCTAACCTTAAAGTTTATTGAGATCACTACTTACCATTTAGTGTATTGAGATAACTGGTCACTATGTAATGTATTATCAATGCTTACCTTGTTGTGTATTGAGATCATTGCTTACCTTGTTGTGTATTGAGATCACTGCTTACCTTGTTGTGTACTGGGATCACTGCTTACCTTGTTGTGTATTGAGATCATTGCTTACCTTGTTGTGTACTGGGATCACTGCTTACCTTGTTGTGTACTGGGATCACAGCTAACCTTAAAGTTTATTGAGATCACTACTTACCATTTAGTGTATTGAGATAACTGGTCACTATGTAATGTATTATCACTGCTTACCTTGTTGTGTATTGAGATCATTGCTTACCTTGTTGTGTATTGAGATTATTGCTTACCTTGCTGTGTATTGAGATCATTGCTTGAAGTGTGCTTACTTTGTAGTGTATTGGGTTCACAACTTAACTGTTTTGGGGGATAGCTTACCTTGCAGTGTATTGGGGTCTATAAGATGCACAGACTGGGTAACACGTGTACAAATGCAGATTGGGTTGATGTTGCCAAGCATCTGGGCAAGCTTAGCAGGGAGGCACACTATGTTGTCCTACGAAATAGAACACAGTCAATACAATTTTATACATATTAAGAATATACTGTCGGACAAAATATCAGAAATTCTTAAGCTGTAGTAATAGTGAATTGACTAAGAATTGGTTATAAATAATGTGTACTGTTAGAAAACCTAAGCTATTGTCTCTCAACAACTTCTACTGAAAGATAAAATACTAGGAAACTGACTATGATAGTCACTTTATCACATGTTTAAATTAGTTCTGATATTGATTTTACTTTTCCACATATTAGAAGTTATCAATCATTTATCATTAATAAACATTTGAATACCACCGCTAAATGAACTGTATAATAATAGAAATTATAAACTATTTAATACACTCCAAGCATTTCTAAAAACAAAAGACACAGCTTAGCAGCAGTAGTTTCTACTAAACCATTCCCCTTTTAAGTCCTTGATCCCCCCCCCCCCCACAAACATGGCTATCCATCTTTCCTTGAAAGAAAAGAAATGGAAGGAGGAGGGTGTTAAAATTTTCATTTTATTACATCGATACAATTTTTGCTCAGATGAATTTTAAACGAAAATGAAGCAAAATATGTCTTCCGCTGGATCCTCGCAAGTAATATTGTACAGAGGCAGGAGAACAAGATCTAGAATCATTCCCTTTTTATTCATACCTTATATGGGTAACCTAACAACATTACTAGATCATTGATTAAATGAGTTACGTAACATAAAACTACATGATAATGTTTATCAAAGAACTTTTAGGGAAAGAATTGAGCTTAGTATATCTTATGTTTCATGCTCAAATATACATGAAGCTCTGGTAAGTGCTGTGGCACACAGGCTTCTCATTACAGATGATATACATACACGTGTACGTTAACTTTGAGAAGAAAGTACATACCTTACAAATAGGCACAATCTCCACTGAGAAAGTATGTTTGTATGTGAAGGTATTATTCCTGACGTCATGGGACACCAACTCTTGTGCTGATTGATACCTGGTTTTAAAAAAGATTCGAGAATTACAGAATATTCAAATACATGTAATACAGTAAGTAAAACTGACCAATCATATTGGTACATGTATTTATCAAATTTAATGTAATAAATTTGAAGTTTGTAGATTGAAAGGAACTAAGTTATTGAATCTGATAGAAGTTTTGACAGATATTAAACAAGAGATTTAGTAAATTCTCTTAACACAGACAAATGTCACAGTGGTAAATATAATGGAGCAGAGTTTAACTGCCTCTTTTTACACAACAGGGTCCTTGTAACCTTCCAACTGGGAATTTTAAATGAAAAAGTGGCAAAATGGGGAAATATTGATTATTAATGTTTTACTATAAAACAGACACTTAGATTTACTATAATGTGAAAATTTAAATTTCTGACAAAAGAACTGAAAAAAATCCAATTTATTTGTCATTTTGGACTATTTACCTTAGTTTTTTTGGGGAAAAAAGGAGTCAGCTAGGTCTGGGTCTTTTTTACAGACCAGCAAGAAATCAAAATGGATAAAATGCCCTGCCAATGGATAAAAGAATATTACCTGCAAGGGACGACATTAACCAGAAAATCAACCAATTTACGGGCATCTTGTTTTTGTGCATAGAAGAAGTCCAATCCATCTAAAAAAAGATATACTAGTATTAAATGTATGCAACTTTCAACATATACATGATTCATATACAAGGACAGTCACAAAAAATACGTACCATGTACAGCTTTTATGTTCACTGTGTTGGCATGAGCTTTGTGCTTCAAAATAAGCTGCTCCAAGAAGAAAAATGTCTTCTTATGATCTGTCTATAATTGAGAAATTTACATTTCAATTCAATTATGCTATTTTGTTTTTTTCAAACTGCAGATTATCAATTAACTCATGATTCTTTCTGCATTTCTTATCTTTGAAACAAAAAAAAAAGAGAGAGTAAAGAGAGAGAGAGAGAAAAGAGAGAGAAAATTTAATTTGGGGAAATATTTGCCAACCTTTTGTCTGATTTGCACGACAGCTCTCCAGAAATCCTTGGCCTCCACACGATGACAATCATCACACATGTTGTTGTTGACTGTAAACTCCACCACAAACACCTGCTGTAGAACAGCCCCATTCATCACCTACAAAATATAACTCATGATTAACACCATCTATAAAAGGTAATCCAAATCATACAAATGTACACAGGTAATCCATTTAGTCATTACTGTATATGTGAACACAACTTTTATATATACCGTATTGCGTGAATTTTTAGCGGGGTGCTAACTTTGACTTATTTTAGCAGTTTTGAAGTAGGTTGCTAAAATTTTAATCACTAAATCTGCAAGTTTGTGTATAAGTACTGTATACAAGAAAAATAACTTTGATATTATGTTGTTATACAATATCCCTTTCTTCTGTTATTGATTTTTACTCAAACTCTTGCCTAAATCTGTATTCAAACGTGTATTAAACATACTGAAAACTCATCTAGAAGATGAATTTCCTCTCTTTTGCATTGGCATGGTACTCTATGTCTGCCAATATTATTTGCATACCTTTGAGCAAGCAAAATACTAAATTTTACACTCGCTTAAGAAACCTGCTATACAGTTTAAAGTCAAACTTAGTTATCTCGAATTTGACAGTACAAGGATTTTATTTTGAGATATACAAGGATTCAAGATAACAAAGCTTAAAAACATGAAGAACAAGAGGCCCATGGGCCACAATGCTCACCTGAGTAACTATGGACCTTCTGTTCTTCATCAGCTGATTCTTTTCCATATTATATTCTTACATAAAACTTAGATTATATATTGTGGCCCCTCCCTACCCCAGGTGTCATGATTTGAACAAATTAAAAAATATAGTACCTGATAATGCTTCCACACATAAATATGACTGATCATGGCTATGCTGTTCTTGAGAAGATTTTAAAGATTTTTCCATAACATTCTCATGTAAAACCTTGACCGCCTATAGTGACCACACCCTACAACCAGGGGTCAGGATTTTTAAAAAAACTTGAATCTACATTATGTCAGGAAGCTTTTACATGTTTCATTTTTCTGGCCAGTGGTTTTTGATAAGATTTTAAATGATCCCACCCAGTTTTTCACTATTTCTTAAATAAATTATCTCCCCTTGGAAGAGGATGTGGCCCTACATTTGAATTAACCCAAATCTCCTTCACCCAAGAAATTGATCCCGTGGTTCTGAAGAAGAAGGTGAAATTGTAAAAGGTTTATGATGACGGCAATGATGACAACAACAACAACATACAATGGACACTTGTGCCTTCGGCTTAGGTGAAAATAAGTATTTTATAATACCTCTTTTTGTACAGTGAGTTTCACTTTGATTCTCATGGAGTGTGGTTCTGTCCAGACAAATCCTGCATCAACCAATCTTACCTATTTTAATAACAGAAAATTAATAAGCTTAAAATTTAATAAGAATTTTACCCTTTCAAAATGCTTATATGCTTAATGAGTTTGAATTATTCCATCTTAAAATAAAACTTACTTTATTTAATCCTTTCAATTTCTTCAAACAAATAGAGAGAAGCTCCCTAGACTCTAGCTGTGCTGGGATCCAGGTACTTGGGGGTTGCAAATATCTGTGATATCAATTGAAATCACTTTTACAACAGCAAACTACTTGTATTTAATACTACAACCAATTACTCATGTTCAACAGTTTTTTTCTCTCTTTAAAAAAATAATTCTCTAATATGGAATACAATTTTGAAAATTTATCAGTTTTAACAATTTTCTTATATTTACCGGTTACAGTTTCTGCAGAAATAAATGACTGCTTGTTTTGGTATTCCCTCTGTGATGTCTACTTGTGTTCTGATACAGGATACACACATATTTGAGGCATTGGGCTCAATTTCTACACCACACTGACAACACAATCTGCAACAGAAAGAAACAATACAAAATAAACTAATTACTACACTGATCAAGTAACTTTTCATTTCATGTCTATTATTGGTATACTTATTCTCTACTGAGAAAGGGACAGTGAGTTTAGTCCTTCCTGGTTAAAAAACAAGAGGCCCAAGGGCCTTGAATCGCTCTTCTGATAAACTGTACAACCTATCACTTCTATTTGAAGCCTCTAAGTATCCTGTATATTTAGATAAATCCTTGAAATTCCAATTCACACTCTGAGAACCCAAAATGATTCTAAGCCAATTAGTACCTGAGAGTTGGTCATGGTGACCTATTTATCACTTGTCATTCTCTGAGGACCCATCAACTAAGTTTGATGATTCTAAGCCAATTAATACCTAAAATGTTTTTTTTTATTATAACCATAAAATTTTATATAAGTAGGTCAAAGTAACCTACTTTTCAGTTGTTGTACTCCAAGGACCCAAGATGCATCAACTGACAAAGTTTGATGATTCTAAGCCAATTAGTACCTGAAATATTTAATTAAAGCCATAAATTTTCAAAAGTAGGTCACAGTGACCTACTTTTCAGTCAACTTACTCCGAGGACCCAAAATGCATCAACTGACAAATTTTGATGATTCTAAGCCAAATAGTACCCAAAAATATTAAATTCAGCCATTAAATTTCAAAAGTAGGTCACGGTGACCTACTTTTAAGTTGTCATACTCCAAGGACCCAAGATGCGTCAACTGACAAAGTTTGATGATTCTAAACCAATAAGTACCTGAAAATATTTAATTAAAGCCATAAATTTTCAAAAGTAGGTCACTGTGACCTACTTTTCAGTTGTTGTACTCCGAGGACCCAAGATGCATCAACTGACAAAGTTTGATGATTCTAAGCCTATTAGTAACAGTAATATTTAATTAAAGCCATAAATTTTCAAAAGTAGGTCACGGTGACCTACTTTTCAGTCGAACCAAGATGCATCAACTGACAAAGTTTGATGATTCTAAGCCAATTAGTACCTGAAATATTTAATGAAAGCCATAAATTTTCAAAAGTAGGTCACAGTGACCTACTTTTCAGTTGTTGTACTCTGAGGACCTAAGATGCATCAACTGACAAAGTTTGATGATTCTAAGCCAATTAGTACCAGTAATATTTAATTAAACCCATAAATTTTCAAAAGTAGGTCACGGTGACTTACTTTTCAGTCAACCTACTCCGAAGACCCAAGATGCATCAACTGACAAAGTTTGATGATTCTAAGCCAATTAGTACCTGAAATATTTAATTATAGTCATATAAATTGAAAAGTAGGTCACGGTGACCTACTTTTCAGTTGATGTTTATTGAGGACCCAAGATGCATCAACTTACAAAGTTTTATGATCATAGGCCTCAAAATGTCCAAATTATACATCTAATGCATCTAAAATGCTTTGAAATCGAATGCCTACAAAGTTCAAAAAGTACGTCAATGTGACCTACTTTTAAATAAATATGTTTTATGGCCCCAAGATGCATCATCTTACAAGATTTAATGTATTTAAACCTCTCCGTTTTCGAATTAATGGCCTTAATTGTTTTGAAAAAGATTACCCAAAAAATTCAAAAAGTAGGTCAAGGTGACCTATTTTTTAGTTGACATAATTTGAGGACCCAAGATACATCAACTGACAAAGTTTGATGATCATAGGCCTTAAATTGTTCAAAATATGCCTCTAAATCATTTTATAAAGAATGGCTGCAAAATTTAAAAAGTAGGTCACCGTGACCTACTTTTGAGTCAACATGATATGAGGTCCTTAGATGCATCAACTGACAAGATTTGATGATCCTAGTCCTTATAGTAAGCAAAATATCAACATTTTAATAAAATGTAATTTTTGGTCAACTTTGAAATGACCTTGAGACCACGCCCTTTGCCCCAGGGTAAATCCCCATGCAAATTTTAATCTACAACATATCCTCATCCTTTTGTGTAAGTTTGGTGATAATCTGCCCAGTGGTTCTTGAGAAGAAGATTTTTTAGCAACCAGTACTTTTGTTTCTATTTTCCTAATTATCTCCCCTTGTTTAAGGGTCACAACCCTAGTTTTAGTATAAACGGGAGCCCTTGGGCCAAGGATACCCTGTGACAAATTTGGCAATAATTGGCCAAGGGGTTCTTGAGTTAATGCCCACATTCTAAAAGGTTTACGCACACTGCACACTGCACGCCGCACAAATGGCCATAGCATTAGCTCTTTGAGCCTTTGGCTCAGAAGAGCTAAAAAAAGATATTCACTCTTTGCAACTTCATGACTACTTCCTAAGTTGTAGTAGGTAGTTTTCAATGAATGCTTTATAGCGAGCTCAACCAGCGGCACAAAACACTGCTCACAAGTAGCTTCTCTGGACAAAGAGAAAATTCTGACTGCTACACATTGATTTGCACATTTTAAACTCCATTATGGAAATGCAACTAACATATGATGTCATGTGATGTCAGCATCAAGACTGAGTTTGCCCAACATTTTACCTTCAAAATGTCTCATGCAGTTTGAAGAGGCTGATCTACTACTTAAATGAAACAAGTTAATTTACGGTATCCAGAAAAAATACTCTACTGCGCTCATTCAAACCGTTACACCATAATCCATTAAACATATTTTTTGTTAAGCTTCAAATATCTTTGTAGTGTCAGCTGTATAATGTTTCAGGAAGTCTACATTTTGCATGCATGTATAGACTAGCTATACCACATATCAGCCACTTGACAAGAAAGCATATACAGTCATTTAGCAGGTCGAGACCACTAGATTTCTGATATCAGCATAAATTTGCATGTTAAATTAGGTATATGTTTACTTTCCTAACTGTTGAATGAGTCGCAATGCATTATGGGCTACTATACAAGTATTATACGTACTCAGTTACGTTCAAAATAAAGAGCAACTTTAATAGTCCCTTGGAAAGTCATTTTCAATTCTTATTTTATATTTATGAAAGAAATATTGAAAATGATGTATAATCTTTCATTTCTAAGCTCACATTTGCAAAATTTGCTTTATTAAGCCTTATATCAACTTGTAATACATCGGCATAAACTATTGTTCAAAGAGATCTAGGTGTTATTGTGTCGATAAACAATTGAGTGTGGTTTTTTTCACATGATATTATACACCTATTTGCTGGCTATGAGGACAATAGCAAGTTTATCGTCCCCCAAGACAGGGACTATTTCCCGATAGTTGCTGTCGAGGGGGATGATAAACTTGCTATTGTCTGAATAGTCAGTAAATAGGTGTTTTATTATACCAAAGCCGACTTTACTTTTGTTACGTCACAAACCAGATACGTCACAATACAACAACCATATAGTTTTGAGATGAAAAACGAGGGAAATGGAATGCCTCCGGTGAATAGTTTGATGACTATTTCATCATGGGCAAATAGCACAAAAACTATTCCATGGCAGGGACTGTTTAGGAAAAATAGAAGATTTATTTGTTATACTTTTATGTAGAAAAAATTCACAGAGGTATAATAAACATGTACCGGTATATAGTTTCAGACAGCAGTACAAGGTACAAGGCAATTATTATTTAACTCCTCAATATCATCAACATGTTTTTATGTACATACAAACTTCAAAGCGTTTGTACGGTATTTGAAGCAATTATTAATCATCTAATATAACTCCAATATTAAATGTGAGCATGGAACAGTGTCATTGGAATACAATCTTTCAATTTCAGCCTTATAAAGTAGAAAAGAAGCTGTATGGTTTTACCAGTGACCAAGTAAATATTATGCAGTAAACCAACGAAATCCACATGTCACTTTTGAATCGTAAACATGTAGCAGACCATCATGCTTTGCGATCCATTCAATCTATTGGAGAATGGGTTTGACGAAAACATCATCACTGAAAGGAAAGTGCCTTACATATAAGGTAGTGTACCCGACCTGTTTAGGGTATTCCGAATCACCTTTTACATTTTGACTGCAAACGATTTTATTAACAAGTTTATGAAAGGTTGTTTGGGAGTAAAGGAAAGCCAATTCTGTGAAAAATCAGATCTTCTTTATAGGGCAAGTCTATCTTTGATACAGCGACCTTGACTGGGAATATATTTACACCACCTTTTTAGTGTATTACTAGCACATACGCACACTAGTACTTACATATGTGTACATATGCATGTCCATATTTGTTTGATAAAAGGATCCACAATGAGCAAGTGTATACCTGGGCAAGTTTTATTAGCTCTTGCTTTGTCAAATTACTACTTTCATACCCCTTGCATTTAATAAAACCATATTAAAAACATAGCCTGTGCAAATTTATTCGGCTGTGATCATGTGCACACGTGGTTTGAAATATTCAAACTGTAGGCGGCTACCAATGCAGCCTTATTATTAACTAATAATATATGTCTGAGGTGTTATAAAAAACAATTAATGCTCATGAAAGCTCATAAAATTGCTGTCCTATTAATACCTAATAATATGCCATGTTTCATCCATCAACAATTCCCAGATAGCATGACTATGTTGGGCCAACGTTGGTAAATGGTTGTACAGTTGGCCGATGGTTGGCGTTGGCTAGACAACGTTGGACCGACGTTGGACCAATGTTACCATGTCAATTTTTTCTATAGTAACCAACCATGTTGAGATTCTTACGTTTGCCCAACGTTGGTCCAACATTAAGCAACTCCTTTTTGCTATATTTTCTACGGAAGTTGGGATTCTAAAGTTGGCCCAGCGTTGGCCCAACGTTGTAATACAACCTTAACAAGCTTGATTATTTATACTGGTAACAGTATGTTTGGCCATTGTTAGCATGCGTTTTCTCTACATTGGTCCAACATTGTCCCATCATCCAACTGCGAACTAAGGACGATGTGCATATAAATTGGGAGTATTACGTTGGGTCATTGTCGGCCCAATGTTTGCTAAGCCATTAAAAGATGCATGGTTATTTAAGCTGGTAACAGTATGTTGGTCCAGCGTTGGCCCAATGTTAGCATGAACATGGTCACTGTGTGCTGGGAATGTAATAATATGCTGGCCAAACCGAGGTGCATTTCGGTTTCATTAAAAAACTGGCTGTTAAAAGAGAAGATTTTTTTTTAATTACTCACTGAATTTTGGTTTAAATTGAAATGAAAAAAATCTACCAGAACCCAATTATGAAAAATAGCAATCAAATCATTATTAAAGATTATAGTAATGTACGAAAACTGCAAGTAGAACTTTGATTCCACACAATAAATAGAGATGTAGATTATATATTTAGTATCCTGGAACTAAAGTGTTGTGTTTAAGAACTCCAGATAATTAGGTCAGTGGTGAAATTCACTTGCTCAGCAGGTGACTGGCCGGTTTCCTAGGAAACGAGCATCTTATTCAGATCTTGCAAACTCAGAGCGGTCACTTTCTTATCACGCCCGCACTGGAACAAAGCACACTCTTTGTAACTCAAAAAAGAGAAAATGGATTATTTTAGCCCTAGAAATGTAAGTAAAATTGTTATGTGTGATTGATAGAATTGTATGCTTTGTTAAAACTTCACATACGCATAATGTAAAAATTATTAAAGAAGCTATTAAAAATTAGCACTTGTTTCAAAATGTTCATGTATATATATTTACTAGTTATCTGTTTGTAAGAAAAATACTTTATTTAATGATATTGTATTTTTAACATTGATAGCAACTGGTGAAGAAAAAATCCTCTGTGTCAGATGGCCTTTGACGCAAAAATATTTTCCTGGAAGACATAGATTCTAGCACAAAGAAACAACAATCGCATGGACAGGAAAAAGGAGTGGACAATTCAAATGTTATATGGACAGGAGAAAATGCATTATTAATTTACATTCTACAAGTTTGAAATAGTGGATTCCTGCACAGAAGTTTAGAAGTGATTATCAACATGATCAAAATTGATGTGGAGTATACTTGGGGAAAAAAAAAACATTTGAACTATTCCTTCCCCCGCTGATTGCATTCAACAATTAAGATTCTTCAATGAAAGTGACATGAATACTCTAAAACATTAGTAAGAGGAACATGTTGATTTTCTAAAATTGATTAAATTAATTCATTGTATTGAAATAATGGAAATTAAAACAAATACAGGAATTGTGTTGTACCTCTATGATTGAAAGCTTATCATTTGCCATGTAAATTGAATGCGTGTCCAACGTTGATCCGATGTTGGCGATACGATTACTATATATAGGCCTATACATGTACCTTTACAACGTTGACCCAACGTTGGCCTTTCTGTTACAATGCGACATACATCGTTGGCCCAATGTTGGCCCTACAATTTAGGGGTTGGACGATATACCGATACAACGATACATACCGATATTTTCTTCTAAGATACGGTTTACGATACAGGTATTAAAATATCGGTACGAAACGATACACGAACGACCTATCCAAAAATTGAAAATGAAAGTAGTTGTCCTTGGAAAATGGCGGCTTGTATGAAGCGAAGACATGATATTGATATTGAAAACACGCTTTAGAACTAATAATGTGTAGATAAGGGGTAAATCATTTTCACTTTTAAGCATCCTCGGAAGATGGAACAAGAAAAGTTCAGTTTGGAAAGCATGTTATATATATACAGAACGTATCGTTTCCACGACAGTTGATATTATAATAGTCCATCTGGTACTAACAGCTCATAACAATGTATGGATTCTCTAATTTCAAAAATTTGAAATTTTGAAACAAATTGTGGATTTTTTTAAACTCAATTTGGTTACAGACTTTCATTAATTAATATTAATGTACATGTGATGTTTTTAAATGAATTTTTAGACAGTGTTCTTGATGAACTACACAACTATTTGTAAACAACTTGTTTATAGACATTTGGCAATATGTACATGTAACAATGTTTTTGTAAATTTTAAGTCAATGAAATTGATGAACTTCAAGTATTAATTTCAAAGCACATATGATTTGATATAGAATAATTTGTAGATTTAATATCAAGACAAAAATGAAATAAAATACAAAGTTTTTTTTTATAGTTTTATAATTTATCATAATATCGAGATACGTATCGTATCGTGTTATGTGTACCGAGATACCTATCGTATCGTAAGATCTGTGTATCGTCCCACCCCTACTACAATTACATTATTACATTACAATGTTGGGCCAACATTGCGCCAACATGTTGGGCCAACAAAGGGCCACAGTGCACTTAGACATTGCGCCAACGTTGTTTGCCAACGTTGGGCCAACAAAGTGTGTTACGTTGGACCAACGTTGTCCCAACGTATGCATGCTATCTGGGAAAGACACAACATCGATGAGAAATACCATACAACGTTTCTACATGGACATTTCTTCGAAAAGGATAGCAAGTTAATGAATTAAATTATAATTTTTTTAATCAACGCATAATCTTTACCTCTTTATTTTTTGTATCTAATAAGTATAAACCATGCTATTAATGACTGTTTGGTTGTCACACATGTGCATGTGTCGTGCGAGGTGCAGTGATAAATTACCGAGAGTCGCGAAACGCGGGGGTGATTGGGAATACCCTCCTGCTAAATGACTGTACTTCTGAACATTTTCAGAAGCAAATTTAATAGTAACAAGAAAGAATGTCATCTACTATACCATTATGATATATACACATTATTACACAATAAATGGGTGAGCAAAAGGTGAACGAACAGTACCATAAGTTCATCGAGAATAACGTTTTTTGAAATAATACTAACATGAGGTTCGTTGTTTTGGATGTTTCTCCAAGGGAGAAGTCCATCGCTGGGCGATTTTGATTGAAAACTGTCAACACGTGTTTGTGAAATATGTCAGTGACGTTTAACTGGAAATACAATACGCATTCTAAACTCCAAAACCGTACGCGTTTACAATTCCTACAGGGGGCGCTAAAACTCTTGCACGCAGAAGTTGTTGATGTGGTGAAGGAGTTACCACAGCAAATAGAAGGGTATAGAGATAGGTCTTTTTTGTCACAAGATAGCAATGATATTTAGTGTATTTTAAATGCAAATACCCAAATAAATCACTTATTAATCCTTGTAAAAATACAGAAAATTAAGTGTACAGTACGGGTCAAAGAAGGTTATCAAAATGGCGTCGTTATAGATTAGAACTACGGGTGAGAACAACGTTCTAACTTTTATGTCATCACTTCTTTGAATTTTTGCATTCTGTGATATTATTTGATTTTATAGATTTGACAGCTCTCTTTTTTTTTATTTAAGGACCATGTTGCATGTAAGTTTTTGACCCAGAACATGCAGAATGAGAATAAAAAAACAAAACAAAACAACATAACAATCTTTTAAGTAATACATGTATACACTGATACAGAAACTCATAGGTTATTGACTGAACATCGGGGAATATGCCTGTCTGAGGTCTTTGCGGGGCAAAGTGGACCAAGCTTGCAAGGTCTGCATCTGTGCAATTTAGACCGAGGTCGGGCATATTTGATTATATTTCTGGAAATTCAGTCAATAATCTTTTTAGCTCACCCGAGCCTTAAGGGAGTGTTTTTTGATTGAAATTTGTCTGTAAAATGTCTGTCCTGGTCGTTGTCAGCTTTGTCATAAACTTTTCACATTTTCATCTTCTTCAGAACCACTGAGTCAATTTCAACCAAACTTGGTACAGAGTATCCTTGGGTAAAGTGGTCAATTCAAATTTGTTCAAATGAAGGGTCAAACCCTCTTCCACAGGGAGATAATTAAGAAATAGTTAAAATTGGGTGATTTCATCAAAAAATCTTCTCAAGAACCACTGGGCCAGAAAAGATGAAATTTATTGTAGCGTTTCCAAGTTAATCCTTTTCACATTTATATTTCAGTAGCTCTTAATCATAATTCCTCTTTGTAATAAAACACAAAATAAGGGTAAATGTTTATTAAATCCAAATGACAGTAAAACATAATCCAAATCAATGTCACAAAGTATAAATCCAAAAGAATTGAATGAAAGGCACTTAAAATAATTATTCCAATGTAACTCAAGTTAAATCCCCATTATTAATCAAACTATCAAATTCCAAATTATCCCTTATTCATCATAAAATGAGCCTGCTTATATAGTTTATGACTCCTCTTACTCCTCGTAATGTCTCCCCTGAAGTAAACTAAGGTCAAGCTATAAAATTTAAACACTAATAAAAATCACTACTAGTGCATAAAACTTCCTCCTAACCTAAATAATTAGGGATGGCAATCGATTATAGAATTGCTAGTCGGTTAACCGCAAGACGTTCCGACCGATTAACTGGTTAATCGTATCAAAATTCACGTTTTCTTGACAATTGCTTTTCAAGTAAAGCTCTGTCCATATACACAAATAGACCCAAATAAGACGATAGAAGTTAAAACATTCCATAAGTCTTGATTCTGGATCGGAAAAATACGGTAAATATTTTTTATTTCAATTTCAGTCGACAATAAAAATTGAGAAAACCATGAAAAAAAAAACCTAAGAAATCTTTGATAATTTTTTCAGAGCAGATGTCACAAAAGTTCTTTCTGCATGTTTACTATGATAACCAAAACTACATGTGAACTGTATATAGCCCTTAATTTACAATGTTTGTTTAAAAATTACAAGTAAATTGCATTGAAAACTGAAAACGACAAACACACCAATTCACACTGCTCAGTGATTCAATTATTGTCATTAAAGAATTACAGGACAGTCGGGGTAACGACGTAATGTTTTCACAGTACTTAATTAACACTACGTAAACTGACCAATTACTCAACGGTCTCAGTCTGGAGATTCATAATTACATGTACGTCCAAATTATATCCTTTAAATCCTAAATGATCATCCTTTGTGCAGAGATTTCTTATTTTAAAATAAATTTCTAAAAAATGTGTTCAATTTAACAAATATTTTATTTTTTCTGATTAACAGATTACAGATTTTCTAATCGATTGCCATCGTTCCGACCGAGTAATCGGTTAACTGGTTACAAATTGCCATCCCTATAAATAATAAAAACATACTAATCTACTGAATAAGAAAAGTAAATATAAAAAAATAATAATTAAAAGATAAAAAAAATAATTAAGCTACATAATGTAAAAGTTTCTGAGATTCAATTTTGTTCAAATCATGACCCCTGGAGGTAGAATGGAGCCACTATGGACGATCAAAATACATAATAAATAGTAAGAGGATATTCAGTGTTCATTAAATTTTCTTTGGTTTTCTTTTTGCCTTTTTTTCTTTTTGTATTGTCTTAGGCTATAATGTCATAGCTGAGTCGTTGTGAGATGTCCTATCTAAACAATTGAGAAATTAAAATTGTAAAACATAGAATTTAATAACAATTTGGAGAATCTTTGGCAGTTTAAAGTTCTTGTCAAGATGATATATCTACTGTCAGTTATCTATAGTGAGTATTTTCTTTTTAACACTCTTTGTGAAGGGAAGGAAAATCAAAAGTTTTGCCATAATTTTTATATTTTCACTGGTGAAAATATTACTTTTGATATTTTCATTGTGAAATTTCACTTGTGAAAATATCACTTTTATTCAAGGGTTAAATTACAGTATTTCACTTTTTGAATTAAGGAATAACTGTCTAATTTTTTGGTTTATGCATAAAATTATCAAGCAAGCCAATCGATTGATCATCCTCATGAAACCAAAAAATCTGACAGTTATTCCTTATATTTACATGCTCTTGATTCTGCAAATTCATGTGCTACAAGCCCTGCTTCTCTCTCTATTTGTCCCGCCCCGCACGTGATTTTTTTTCACCACGCCTGTCGATGAACCAGTAGATTTATGTAGAAATAAGGTATTTTTACTATTTGAAATTTTATCTCGGACAAAGACATTAGAAACGTAAATATAATGTTATACATGTATTACTACATTTATTATACCTCATTATTATTCAATAAAATTTCATCTGATTGGTTCTAGGCAGTCACAATTGACATTATATATATAATTAAGACTCACAGTCCCAGTGAAATACAGATTAAAAGAGAGACAATTATTTTAGAACATATGCTGACTGGGTATGTACAGTATACTGTATGCATATTATATTTCGCTGTGTACTAGTATTCTTTTTACCACCTTTTGCGGATAGACATTTCTGCTAAATGAAGTGTATGTTAGTAGTCTCATATCTAGCACATTCAGAAATGTTATCTACACTAACTTTTTTGAAAAGTTAATTTCCACCAATATTGTACACACTAAATATAATGCACATTTACAGTATTTTGAATATTGTAGGCATTAACTGTTGCAGAAGAAAGGAGAATGGATGTACTTGTAAGCCTAAAGCATGATGGGAGGCTGAGTGATTATCTATATAAGGCCTATGCCTCCAAGCATTTGTGTGATGTGGAGGTAGTGACATCAGACCAGTCCACCTTTTATACACACAGACTTGTTCTGTCAACGTTCTCCGATTTCTTCCAGAGGAAAATCAAGGGACGACAAGATTCTTACAATATGGTCATATCAATAGGTATATTTTGCTGTGTAATGTATAATATAATGTGACATTGCTTTTTGAATTTTCAAAAATATTTCATACTTCTATGTTTATAAGAATGGTCATTTAATAAAACAGTTAAAGTGTATCATTGAGGGAGCTGGCAAGATTCCAGTTCCTACAGAGCAAGTAAGATTATTTTCCGAGCCAAAGCCAAAGAAAATAGGCTTGCTTGAGGGAAACTGGAATCTTGCTGACTCCTTCAATGACACATTTCAACTGTTTTATTATACCGATACAAAATTAGACCAGTAATTGTTAATTCATGTAACTGCAATTCTATTTTATATGCAGTGTATTTATAATGGAAATATCAGTTGCCCAGAATCAAATGAATTAATGGAAAGGCATTGCATTTTAATTAAAAGTCTATAGAATACATGTATCTGCATACGTATACATACCAATTTTTACTGTGAAAAAGTAATATGATGTGCCTCTTATCATGCTTACTGCACATTAACTGTGTCAAATTTACCATGTTGATGTCACAATAACAAGTTACTCATTTCCTGTATAAATGAGACCCCACCCTCCTTATATGTAGCTTTAACTGAGCTGCGTTATGAACATTTATGATTCTATTTGGAACATATTGGAATTTTTCATGATTAAAAGAAAATGCTAGGTTTCCAAATAGGTGTGTATCTATTCATCAAACTGACACACTTTTTGCAGGGAATCAGTGTTTTTTATAGTGATTTTCAGTGAATCTGCAAAATATCTTGATTTATGTAATGAAAAATCAGAAATCAGTAGAGGTTTTATAAAAAAAAAAAACTAGTGAAGGGTAGTTGAAGTTTATTATTTTGTTAATTTCAAGAAGAGGAAGATACTTTATGCAGATTTCAAAAGCCTTGCTGGGCACATCTTTGTAAGCCAAGGGTTCCAATCTGCTCCTCAGAGTGGAGTTGACCCCTTAATTGGCTAGCAAAGATGTGCTTGGCAAGTGTTACCATCATGACATTACAGTTTTAGTAGTAAGTGATGTAGATTGATAATGGATGTCTGTTTCACCTTTCAGATGTGGATTCAGCTGTGTTTAAAGTGCTGATGGAATTCATGTACACTGGTCAGTTATGTGTCACTCCACCTGAACGAATTTCTCTCTACCATGCTTCAGTGATTTTAGAGATGGACACTGCACAAGAACTTTTACAACAAGCCTACATATCCAGTGAATGGCCTGGGATAATGAATTCCAAGATCTCTAAGAGCTCATCTGAATCAGATCAAAATGTCAAAGTTGGACAAGATTCCGAGGTCAAAGAGACCAATATTCTGTTAGAAGATAATACGTCAAAAGGCACAGAGAAAAGTTTAACTAGAAGTAAATTGTCTGATTTACATTTAAAGAAAAAGAAAAGGGGTAGAAAGAAAAAAGAAATTAAGGTTGAAGAAGATGCTGTCCAGCAAGTGAAGGTAACAGAATCAGATAGTAGAGGAGATCTGGAGTTAACAGATAATCAAATGGTTACCAGAAACAGAGGAAAAAGGAGGCCAGTGGTGGACAAAAAACCCAAAGTACGAAATGTGAAGGAAAGTTCAAAGGAAACAGGAAGGAAAGAAACCAAGAAAAAGAAGAAAAAGGAAAATGTCACCAAAGTTGCAGCTAAAAAGATTATCAAAATCTGGGTTCCCAACGGTGCTAAAATTAAATGTGAGACCTGTGGAAAAACACTTACTTCTTATACTGCACTTAAGAGACACATGGTCATTCAGCACAAGGAGATACCACTCAGATACACCCAGAGCAAGGCATTATTAAGCAACATCACAAAGAGTTCAGGAGCCATGCGTTATTGTACATTAACTGACAACTCTAAAAAGTACATGTGCACTCTTTGCTCCTGTAGCTTTCAGTATTATAGCCTGTTTTATAGACATACTCAGGAAAACCATATGCAGGTCAATCAGGGGGACAAACAAGGGGTGTATTATAGAATAGCCAAACATGTCCAGAATATGAAATCCATATTTAGTTTAAAAAAGAAAAACAAGGGGAAAACAACAAAAAGAAACAGGAGAAAGGTATCCAGTAAAGTGTATGAAAAGTGCTGCTTTTGCCACTCTGTTCTTTCTAAAGGGAGAATATATGCCAGCCACCTTATCAAGAAACATTATTTGAGTTTTGAAAAAGCTAAAGAATTAACAGGGTACCCTAAGTATCGCCTGCAACAGAAGTGGGAATGTCCAGATTGTAACCTGACATTTGTTGGAAATAAGGCCCTGAAAAGTCATTTTGAGGGAGTGCACCAGTTGGATGATATGAAGTATCCATGTCCAGAGTGTGATAGTTCTTATTCCTCTTTAGGTACAATTAAATCACATTTACGCTGGGTACACAAGAGGACTGCAGCTGAAGTACGGGAGGCTTTAAAGAACTCAGTCACCTGTGAAGTGGAGGGATGTAACTACTCCACAGGAAACATGGTGACCATGAAGCTTCATGTTGTCAAAGAACACCCAGAAGTAGAGTACAAGTGTACCGAGTGTAATTTCACCTTTCATGTGAAGAAGACGCTGAATCGGCACATGATTGTTAAGCATCTCTGTCGTTCTGAACACCTCAAGAAACAGTGTGACACATGTGGAAGGAGATTCAGCAAAAACTCTCAACTTCATGTTCATCAGTTTCTCAAGCATGGCATATACCATGATGAAATGAAGGTATTATGAACATCTTCATGTACATCTATTTCTTTTTATTAAAGCATTGCAGATTCCATCTATTCTGTATACATACAATTTTCTTTATATTTTTTTCTTTTTCAAGTTGTACCGTTGTGAACACAATGGCTGTAATAAGGTATGCATGTCAAGCTCAAGCCTGAAGTCCCACATGAGGCGCCATTCCTCAGACAAAAACTATGAATGTCCTTATTGCTCTCTCAAGCTCAAGACAGAGGTGTAAGTGCTTAATTTTAGAAAAGAACTGACTTTATTCCAGGTCTGTAACTTTTACTAGTCTGTAGAGATGTACTTAATCTGAGAAAGGAAGAACAGACCTTTATTCAGATCTAGACCTATTCATAGTCTTTATACTGTAGTAGTAATTTAGGCTGGACTGTGGATATCGGCCTGGGTGGCTTAGTGGTTAGAGGACCTGACTAGTAATGCAGGGTCCCGGGTTTGATTCCCGGTCCAGCCATATGATTTTCATTATATATGTATTTTTGAATTTTCAATCTATGTTAACTCATTCCTCCTTTCCATACTACAATACCCACTTGTAAATTTTCATACAAGTCCAAGAGAAGATGGGCAAACAAGCCGAGAAAAATGCCTATGGTTTGACAAATAAGAAAGTGAAAAATTAAATCTCAATTGTAGCACAATTTTTTCTTTGATATTTCGGTAAACATTTATGTATACTTCATGTAAAATCTCTACAATATGCAACAATCTCACGGATGTTCAAATAATTTAAGGAAAGAATTTAATAGCCACCCAATTTATACAGTATAAACTGAGTTAGAAATCCCAAGAAATCCTCATTTTTTTTTTTTAATCATAGAATAATTTTTGCTGACAAAACTTTTCCACATAAAAGTTTTGTTTGACATAATTTCATTCCTTTAAATAATAAGAACTTTGCTCTAAATGTATGTTTAGTTTTTGATTTTTATACTTTTGAAGCTATAGGCATTTTGTGCACCTTGTTCACCCATCTTCTTTAGCTAACAAAAAAAATTTCCAAAAGAAAGCTAAGCACATAATTTATGTAATATTCTTTGTAAGATACTAATATGTTTTTCTTTCCACATTTCAGCACCCTGAAGAAGCACATCAACAAGATGCACCTGGGGATTCGGCCTCACTTATGTCAGGTGTGTGGTCAGAGGTTTGGGGAGGATTCGGAGTTACAGTCCCACATCAAGAACCGACACTCTACCGATAAAGAGTTCCAGTGTGAGCACTGTCCCTATGCTACAGCCAACAAAGCTACATTTTACAGTATGTTTAGTTTCTTAAATTTTATACTAAAGAAGCATAAGTTAACATTTTGTATTAAAGAAGCATATACAATAGTAAATACTGGTTTATATTTTATCTTCTTGAGTGTGTGAAAATTTCATTCTCCCCCTGCAACAGAGTTGTACAGTAGGTGATATTTTATACTGATGCACTTGTGTGTGTGGTGGGTGATGAGTAAGTGCATGCATAACAGAAGTTAGCAGGAGATTCATGTAATTTATACAATCGATGTGCTCTTTTGCAAGGGGATGCTCCACTCTGCGGTGCCCTTGTTAACTTTTAGATATAAAAATATGAGAAGAATCCCTCCATAAGTAAAATATGTTCTCATTAAAAACAAAAGTGCTCATTTATTGTATGACATGACCTTTTGAAAGTGAAAATAATGTTCCGCAAGTCATAATACATGTTAGCTCTGGAACTAAGGTGAGTAAAGATGAAATGGTAACTATGTCTTCCAGTGTTGTAACAGTATAATATTTCTTTTTTTAGCACACTTGTTCATGGTCCACAAAGTCAAAGCAAAAGAAGACACCAGGAAGGAGTTTCAATGTCCTCATTGTGAGTTCACAACCCTACTGGGCCACAGATTCAAAACCCATCTTAATGGACACAAAAATATCCGGGAGTACTCTTGTAACATGTGTGATAAAAAATTCATTTCCAGTTCAACTTTGAGGGCTCACAAACAATGGACTCATTCAGAGAAAAAATATGACTGTCCACATTGTGGATATCAGACCAAAACCTCTCAGAAGCTGAACGAACACATTAGAATTCAGCATCAGCTGAAAGGATTCAAACCTTACAGGTGCCCTTATTGTACATTCACTTGTGCAACTGGTGGTAATACACGCAAACATATCAAACAGAAGCATAAGGATTTGGAGGTGCGTTACATCAGAGATGACAGTCTGCTGGAGGCGGCACGGCTTGCCAGGAAATCCGGAAACACAATGTCTCTTAATTACATCTCAGTTCAGGAGGATGTGATTCCAGATACACAGCCGGGATTCGAGCTGCAGGAATTTCAGTTGCCACCACAACAAGAACCCAGTCACCATGGAAACCACCAAATTCAGCTTACTGCAACACCAGCTGTGGTTGAGGTCAGCAATCTTCATACACTGACTAATGTGGCAGTCCATTCTGACCCAATTATTGACCCAAATCATCATGTTCACCCCAGTAATCTTGTGCCTCAGGAAGTCATGGTCACTCATGAAAACATTGTAGTAAATAACCATGGAAACATAGTTACTCTTGGTAATGTCCATCAGCTGACTGAAGATAGTGTAGGGTACTCGGCCGCCATTGTGAATGCCATAAATCAGTCTATGCAACACTTATAGAAGTATATGTTATGTCAAGGCATTATGACATGTGTGTTTGCATCTTAGAAACTGAATGAGTTTTCAGCAAGCATTTATATCATTAGTGCCCCCCCCCCCCAATATGCACACACACAAAATGTACATGTATCCATCATCAACTGCATGTTCTAGTAATGACTTACATATATCAATTAAGTTTCAAAGTTCAATAATAATACATGTATACAAATCTATTAAAAGCACAAAAGAAAGGATTTTTTTTAATTTATGTTGGATTGTTTGTTTGGTTGTTGTTTTTTAAAAGCATATTGGAATGTACCTGCACATTCATGTACAGTGTATGCATTGACAATTTCAGAAATGGAATTTGAATTTTTAAATTATTAGCAAATACTGTATTTTGCAAAACCTTTTACTATATTTTTATCTACCATGCTGATTTTGATGTAAACACAGTGTTGCTCTGAATTGTTATGAATGAAATAAATCCATATAACCTTTATCTTGAGTAGTTTTTTTCGTCAGATTTTATTGGAATGTAATAGGATGATGATCTGTCATTTTACAACCTCAATAAAAGTCCAGATCATTATTTATGCTCTACTGAATGAAGACCGAAAGAGCTTCAGCAATGATGAGGTGTCCATTGTCAGTCTGTTTGTGTAGCCGTTTATCTGCTCAATTTTCCAAAACACTACATCTCCATCCTGCATGTAAAGTTTTAATCTGATTTCAGTAAAATTTGGCACACAGGAAAACTAAACCAAGGTACATGTACATAATGAATTTTACAATGGTTTCTAAAATTAGAATTTTGTGTTGAATTCTTTCAAAATGGTCCTTTGTTTTCAACCAATTAAAATAAATAAATTTAAATTACAGTGTATGTCACAATCTACCTAGCTTTACTACATTGTTGTTGAGCTACAACTACTATAAGTATGAACCATTAGAGCTATTGTCTCCTCAGAGACTACTGATTATCTCAAAATCCATATACAGAAACTGGAGAATGTCGGCACCCACCCATCATTACACTTTTCACCCCACTATTACACTTTGGCGTAGCTGTAACATTGACCATGTGTAAATAGTCCTTGGACAATAGTATTATATACATGTACTCCTGTCAATAGCAAGATACTGTTATGTATACTTGTTTTAGAGACATTCATATTTTGGCATCTTTGGGACAATTCTTATTTTAATATTCATGTACCACAAAAAGGTATATTGCAGAGAAATACAGGTGGCGGTGATTCATGATTGTGCTAAATATCCTGTGTTTGTGCTAATTTTAAGTATGCTTAATTGAGTACATGTGCAATACAACGATATTGTTTAAGACATGATCCATCTTGGCATTCTACAAATTAACCCATGCATCTTACAAAGCTGACACTCTTTCTGCCATTTATCTTGATTTGCTTTATGACCTAATGGCTTAAGAATTTGCCTTAGTCCTTAAGGTCAAGATTTAGTTACTGTCTTTTTGGTGCTACATCAATTATAAGATTATATTTGTCATCTGCTTTCACTGAAAGGGGAGGATCTGTCTGTGTGTAACACTTTTGTTTCTGGATGATATCTCAAAAAGTTTTGAGCTTTAAAAATGAAATTTTATATGTAGTTTGCAAAGGTCTAAAAAAAAAAGACCCTTATTGATTTTTAGGTCAAAAGGTCAAGGTCAGAAATTCATACATGCTGTCTGTGTGCAACACTTTCATTTCTGGACGATATCTCAAAAAGTTTGAGCTTTTGCAATATTTTAAATCATGACTCCTTAAGGCCTAAAAAAGACCCCTATTGATTTTAAGGTCAAGGGAAGAAATTCATACATAGCAAAAATGATTTCCAGATGATACCTTTAGGTTTCATTGAGCTTTTTCGATGAATTTTTATAACATGACTCTCAGTGACTTAAAGAAGACTTGATTTTTAGGTCAAAAGGTCAAGGTCAGAAATTCATACATAGCAAAAAATGGTTTCCAGATGATGGTTTTAGTTGTCCTTGAGCTTTTTCAATGAAATCTTTTGACTCTCAATGGCATGAAGACACCTATTGATTTTTAGGTCAAAAGGTCAAAGTCAAAAATTTATATCTTGCATTAAGTGGTTTCCTTGTAATAACTTTAGTTCTCTTTGAGATTTTGCAATGAAATATACCTTTTGTCAATATGACTTATAGAGGACCCTTTTTGATTTTGAGATCAAAGAACAAGGTCAGAAATTCATACTTTAGTTCTCTGTTAGCTTTCACATTGAAATGTAAGGTCATGAATTTCTTTGACTTAAAAAAGACCTCTATTGTCTTTAAGGCCAAAAGCCGAAAAGTCAAGGTCGACTTTTTTTCTGTCTCCGTCTGGCTAGAAATGAATTATGTAGAAAATGAAGCATTTCCATGGATTCAATTTTAATCCAATCTTCTGAAAATACAGATACCCATATTCAATCTAACAATATTTTAAAGATGAGGTCAAGAACATGTAAATTACCATTTTCTGAGAGACTCTAGGTAATCCAAAATCAATTCATTTGTCTGATATAGAAAAAAACCTTGAAGTTCATATTAATAACTTTTTGTTCAATGAAAATGACAGTTTAAAACTATTTTAATTCTTGTGTCCCCTTTTGAAAAAAGGGGGCATATTGATTTGCACCTGTTGGTCTCTGTGCTAGTCAGTGTTGCTGTCAGTAGACCAAGAGTTGTCCGAGGAATATCTGAGAACCCTTTGCTTGACAGATACCAAACTTGGTTTACACTAGTACCTCCTGAGGAGTAGATGACCCTTACTGATTTTGAGGTCACAAGGTCAAACTACTCTAGACATAAGAAAATACTGTCTGCTCAATTCTGGTATCTTGAGAACTCTTTGCTTGACAGACATCAAACTATAAATTAGTACACTGATACCACTAAGGAGTAGATGACCCTATTGATTTTAAGGTAACAATATAAAATTTCAAGGGTCAAACTACTCTGGACAGAGGGAGATATTGTTTTCTGAATATCTTTTGATAGAATCAGACTTGGAACACTGGTACCCTCTAAGAAGTAAATGACCCCTATTATGATATTGATGTCTGATAGAGATCAACTTGGTATTATTTTTTCCACTGACTAGTACAAAACCCATTTTTTCACTATCATAAGATTACAAACATACTAAATTTAAAGTTGATCTTTTTAATATTGCAACACAGGAAGGCACATGTGTTTCTAAAAACAATTCTTGTTTTTGCCTAAAAAATATGCCTCAATGCACCATATTTGGCCTAGGAAAAGTTGTTAAGCATCATTAAAGGAATTCATTTCTCATCTTTGAGAAGACCCTCGAAATAGCTCATTCAGTAGAGCTAGTGCTCACTCATAATTTTAAGGCTGTGGGTTCAAGACCCCACCGTTACAAACTTGAGTCAATATAAATAGGTAGCAGCTATTAATTCTCCAAACCCTGCACTTTAAAGTGAAAGTTGCAGGTCTTTTGGATGAGACATTAAAAACCAAGTATCTGTGTCAATGACAGGCATTTCCATGCCAAAGAACCCTCACTGTTCAATGGCCTTGAGTGCTGAGTAAAGGTCTAAATTTAAAGCCCTCAGTGGTATGGTGACATCTCATTGGAGTGAAATACTCTTGCATGGGATGTAAAACTGCATACAATCATCAACTTTGAGAAACCTGTAGGCATCTTTAATTTACTTTTCCCCGAGTAGTTGTCTTTTTTTTTTCATATACATGTTAAAAGCACATAAGACAATTCTGATTGGTTGCTTTTCCAAGTGAACCTAAAATGTACAAGCCCATGTTTGTATTATGGGAAAAACAGGTCCCAAAACCAGTGCTCATGTTTCTTGAAAAAAAAAAAGGAACAAGAGTTTGAAAATAAGAGGCCCATGCATGGGCCAAAACACTCACGTAAGTAACTGTGGCTCTTCTTGTTCATCAGCACATTCTTTTTCCATATATTCCAATGTAAAATGTGTTTACCAATTGTAGCCCACCCTATCCCCAAAGGGTCATGATTTGAACAAACTAGAATTTACACTATGAGAGGATGCATTTTTTTTTTAATATATGACTAATCATGACTTTGCTGTTCCTGTGATAAAAAATTTTCAAGATTTTTATGCCCCGCCATGAATATGGCCGGGGCATATAGTGTTTGTCATGTCCGTCTTCCGTCCTTCCGTCCTTCTGTCCTTCCGTCTGTCCTTCCGTCACACTTTGCGTTTAGCTCTGTTCAAAGCTCAGTTTCAAAGAAACTATCCAAGATATTTTTATCAAACTTCATATGCTGATAGATATTGATGAGGGCTATGCAACTGCATCAACATTTTTTGACCTTGACCTTTCCTTTGACCTTGACCTCACTTTTCTTAAATTAGTGTTTAGCTCAGTTTTAAAGATACCATTCAAGATAGTGTAATGAAACTTCATATGTTGATACCTACTGACGTAAGCTATTCAACTGCATCAACATTTTTTGACCTTGACCTTTCTTTTGACCTTGACCTCACTTTCCTTAAATTAGTGTTTAGCTCAGTTTTAAAGATACCATTCAAGAAAGTGTAATCAAACTTCATATGTTGATACCTACTGACGTAAGCTATTCAACTGCATCAACCTTTTTGACCTTGACCTTTCTTTTGACCTTGACCTCACTTTTCTTAAATTAGTGTTTAGCTCAGTTTTAAAGATACCATTCAAGATAGTGTAATCAAACTTCATATGTTGATACATACTGATGTAAGCTATTCAACTGCATCAACATTTTTTGACCTTGACCTTACTTTTGACCTTGACCTCACTTTTCTTAAATTGGTGTTTAGCTCAGTTTTAAAGATACCATTCAAGATAGTGTAATCAAACTTCATATGTTGATACATACTGATGTATGCTATTCAACTGCATCAACATTTTTTTGACCTTGACCTTTCTTTTGACCTTGACCTCACTTTCCTTAAATTAGTGTTAAGCTCAGTTTTAATGAAACCATTCAAGATATTTTTAACAAACTTCATATCCTGATACATACTGATGTAACCTTTTCAACTGCATCAACATTTTTTGACCTTGACCTTTCCTCTGACCTTGACCTCACTTTTCTTAAATTAGTGTCAAACTTCATATGCTGATACATACCGATAAGAGCTATTCAACTGCATCAATATATTTTGACCTTGACCTTTTCTTTGACCTTGACCTCACTTTTCTTAAATTAGTGTTTAGCTCATTTTTAAAGAAACCATTCATAATATTTTCATCAAACTTCATATGCTTATACATACTGATGTAACCTTTTCAACTGCATCAACATTTTTTGAGCTTGACCTTTCCTCTGACCTTGACCTCACTTTTCTTAAATTAGTGTCAAACTTCATATGCTGATACATACCGATGAGAGCTATTCAACTGCATCAATGTTTTTTGACCTTTACCTTTCCTTTGACCTCACTTTTCTCAATTTGTGTTAAAATGTTGCATTACTAATATACCCTTGGCGGGGCATTCATGTCCTATGGACATATTTCTAGTTTCTAAATATTCCTGTAAAACTTTGATCACCCGTTGTGGCCATACCGTACCAAATGGGGTCATGATTTAAACAAATTTGAATATACTCTACCTATAAATATGGGTGATCATGGCTTTGCAGTTTAAAATAAAGATTTCACAGATTTTTTTTCTACGTATTTCCATGTAAAACTTCAGTTGCCCATTGTGGCCCCACCTTTCCCGTGGGGGTCATGATTTGAACAAACCTGAACATACACTACCTGTGGATGCTCACATATAAATGATCATGGCTTTGCCGTTCTTCATCAGAAAATATTTAAAGATTTCTCTTATGTATTCTATTAAAAACTTTGATCCCCACCCTACCCCCAGGGGTCATGATTTGAATAAACTTGAATCTACACAACCTGATGATGCTTCCATATAAATATGATTAATCGTGGCTTTCCTATTTTTGTTGAGAAGATTTTTCCTATTTATACCCATGCAAAACTTAGATCACCCATAGTGGCCACACCCTACCCCAAAGATCATGATTTGGATACTGTAGATCACTTTTTATTCGCGAGAACTTTATTTTGGCATAATTACGCAAGACAGTCTGCTCGTGAATGATTTGAATTCTACCCATGTTAAACTTTGATCACAGATAGTGGCCACACCCCATCCTGGCCTTGCTGTTCGTGAGAGGAAGCTTTTTAAAAGATTTTTTCCTAAATATACCCTTGTAAACTGTGATCGCCTATAGTGGCCCCACCCTACCCCTGGGGGTCATGATTTGAACAAATTTGAATCTACATCAAGCCAGGAAGCTTTCACATAACTTTCATTTTTTCTGGCCCAATGATGACGACGACAACGAAGATAACAGACAAATTTTGATCAGAAAAGTTCACATAAGCCTTCGGCTCAGGTTAGCTTAACACAGGTTACTAATAAGCACTTAGAAACCTTTATGCATTGTATAACATTTCAAGAGCAGATTGAAATGTATTACAAAGAAAAACTTCGTTTAAAAGACAAATATTTTATTTTGTTAAATTTAAGCTGTAAACCTACAATTATAACAGATAAAAAACAAATATTTAACAGATAAATGACAACATATTTTATATATACTGTATATTGGATATGAATAAAGTTGTGCTTTAGTAAAGTTTTGTTAAAAATGATAAACTATTCAATGGATTCAATGTTGCATTTTTTACTTAAAAAGAACACTCTGTAATGACAAAAATGTTAAACATTCATAATTTATCCCAGCATCCTTGTCATGTACCAATATTTCTTGTGTATAATTTATATTCTCTTGATTTTTTTTTAATAATACACCGAATACAAGGAATTGAAAATTGTATTAGTGTAAATATATATCATAATGTTTGTTTACAACCTTCTATTACAGTAATAGGCCTTGTCTAGACTGTAAAGTGATCTGTATGAGAACCATGTTTTCACGCTGGGACAAACTATGAAACCCCTTCCAAAATAACACTTTGTACTTGATTCTTTATCTGACCATTAGCTGCCCACATAGTTGATGAAACTTCAGACCAATACTATTTGTTGTCATAAATCAGAATAAAACACAAGATCAAGAAAATCATGCAATAATTATACATGTACATACCTATTGCTACTTAAAGTGCTGCAAATGCGGAAAATATAGCTGTTTATCATTTATGTAAAAATTATAGCTTTCGATGGTATTTTTCTCTTTCCACATTTACAGCAATTAGTTAAACCATTCTATTATTATCTTCCTACTACTTATTACTACTATTATTAATATTATGTTTACATGGTATCATATATCATATATTTGCACCAGATTACAGTATTTTTTACATTTTTTTTCTATAACAAAATATACTGTCCTAACAAAACGGAAAAAAAGAAGTGTTGTACAAACACATGTATAAAGGGTAGAACACACCGATTACAGACACAATATATATAATTATTAATCTTTTTTACACAGCCATTTCATTGCTTTGTGGGTGATAACGATTGAGTACTCTTTGACATGGTTAGAGACAAATGTTGGGGAATAGCACACCACAATGTACTATTTATGCAGTATTTTATTGCATACAACATATTAAGCTTATGTTATTTTTCAGAGATTTTTAAGGACTAGAACATTTAAAATACCTCTAGAACCAATATTAACATTCATCTTAAAGTTTACAAAATATTCATGTTTTTTCACTCTGTCATTTTATGTTCAATTCTGAAAGCACTGAGCACTAACAAAGTAATAAAGTTTAAAAAGTGTATATTAACAAGATTCATGAAAAAGTACTGTAAAGAATTAAAATTCTTTAAAAAAGCAACATTCCAAGATAAAATGGTTATTAATGAATCTGCAATTGTACTTGAGAAGTTGAAAACAAAAATTGTAATGCACATCAAACACTGGTGAAATGTAATGTTTGGTCTCAATAGAGAAAGTCATAAAATGTCTAAATATAACAATGATTTTCCCGGCTTAATTGACAATATAAACATGAAAACATGATATGAAAATACAAAATCATAGCACAGCATGGAACATGTATGTTAAATAGGAACTGATTTAATCAAATATATGCAACATTTTTTCATTCTAAATTAAAAATTCAACTGAAGTTGGGATTCAATATACGTATATCAAAGGTAATTTTTCCTTTTTACAGTTTGCAATTGTAATAAATTTTTGATATTTTATTTTTGGTAATTGGTTACTGTAAAAATAATTTTTTCCATTGGGTCAAAATTCCACGGAATCAAAATTTCTTTTCAATCCACTGGTAGAAGATTATGCTCATTTCTTAGATTGCAACTATATGCCTCAAATATACTTTAAGTACGCTAGGACAAATTTCCACGGAAAATTTTGACAGCATACATAGCGTAAATTAATACCATGAGGAAAAAAGTACTTCTACAGTATTTGCTTAGAATTATGAGATTCTGCTAACAAGATGGAAAAATATGAATGACTCTACTGAACAAAAAAAAAGTAAACAAACAATATATAAACCACAAATGTACAGACTGAACAATCCCATCACCTCTTTTATGACATTTTCATGCTTTATTGCAAAGTTATGCATCTCATTTTAATCATATTATGTTCAGCTGATCTCTCCATTGATCTCAAAGACTTATCGCCAAATTGTTCAGAACATTAAAAATCATAGGACTGACCCATATGAAATATTTAGTGTCAAAACAGACATCAATTGTGAAAACTAAAAACACGTACATGCATATATTTCTATCAAATAAATCTACAAAATATTGTGAGAAAAAAAAATTTGGGGGAAATTAGCACTATACTGGACAGAAAAAAAATCTGGTATTTTTTATTCACCAAAAAAAAAAAAAAAAAAAAAAATACCAGTTCATCTGATAAAAAAAAAAATAGTTAAACAGAAGGTTTCAAAAATACACTGAAAAATATGAAAGAAAAAAAAAATAGACAGTGTGTAGTACATTGGTGGCCAATGACTAGAATCTTCAGTACTAGCACTTTCCAAGGTTTCACTGAGCTGGTTTCTATCAGGTATCATTTCTGGTGAACTTTTGACAAGCTCTGTCTTTATTCTGGTAGTGTTCTTGACTTAGGCAAAGTACATGACCTTAACAGTGTCTGGATGAACTGCAATTGCTCGAGCCATGGCAGAGGGTGTTCTTTCCATTTCATCTGAATGACGGCTTCCTTCCCCACTGTGGATAAGAATATTAAATAACATGCCATATTACAGAAACTTTTAATGCATGTATTATCTGTATTATCTCAAACAAAATTTACAGGGATAGCAAATTGCAAAGAGTATTCATTTTCTTCAATAAATGGCACCATTGTGTTGATATATTGACTTTACAGTCACCGTGAGCAAGAATTTATCATTCCGATTACAGACCTGTCGTGTTCCTTCTCCACCAGATGATAACGCGCTCTGAATGCTACTAAATGGGCATAGTAAGCTGGAGCTGGGATTGATACGCTACGTGTACATCGTACATATGTGTGACACAGCTGATATGTCAATTGTTGAAGCTCGTCCGCTTTAAAACAATTGTCATCCCACAACACATGGTAATGAGAGGGCCGACTTGTGCCCTGTGAGTAAACAAATCCATTTATTACATAAGTTTATTTTAAAATTTTAATTACACTAACATTATATTTTGCATGCTTGTAATCTACTTGGAAAAGTATCAACACATTGTAATGCAATGTGTAAATTATTAACAATGACATTCTATTTCTCTTTTTAAGTGCAATTTGTTTAAAAACAAAATGATAGAAAATACAAGTATATGAGACCAGCAAGTAAAGAGAAGAAAATGGAAGAGATCTATAGGTGGAACTGTTATTTCTGAGAGTACATGCCAACATGAGATATACCTTAAGCTCCTGGATTACCTGAATTCCAGCATGACTGCATAGGTAGAAATCAAACTCAGTGGGGTGTGTTATTCCCACATCCACAGTTGTTCCTGCTGGGATATTTCCACTGCGCCCTATCTGGTCCTTCCTGTCGGCACAAAACAGGCGAGTATGATGCCGCTTCTGGACAGCAATAAATGTTATCCCAGGCTGGTATCCGATCTCCAGCTTCATACAAGCCTCCCTTACTGCTCTTAGTTCATGGGCAAGCACCTGTCATAAACAGGGTTGGAGTTTAAAGAAATACATGTACATACCGTATAAGTGGAAATTTTAGCGAGACTCAAATTTAGCGATAAAGAATCTATAATCTAAAGTTTATTACCTTCTGGAACTGTCCCTCACTGACACCATCCCTGTAGATGATGATGCGGGTCGGTTTGAATTGTGTGGACTTGTAGAAGGAGATTAAAAGTTCACGAACCATAGAGCAGAACTCCTCTATCACTTCCTTACGATGTTCCTGAACCCTTACGGTAGCTGAGTAACGACTGGGATGGGCATCCATACTACCCACCACCTGAAGACAATGGAGAATATCATTTTTAGATGAACATTTTGTAGCTCAATGTTCCCCTTATCTTTGTTTCATTCATTCTAACACTTCTGATACAAGAGAACTTTGGGATTAATTGATTGTGATCTTTGACTTACAGCTGCTATGGAGGGCTTGCTTGTGTCCCCAGCAGGAGGGTGTGTCACATCAGCCCCAAGGAAAATAACTGGTTCTCGAAACACAAGGGGTCTACAAAGCAAATAAAGCACATAAGCCACAAACCATAACACATACATCATGGAAAATACAACATTTATTAAAAATTACTAATAATTACTTTCACTTAACAATTGCCATTCATTAACATAAAGTATTTTATACAGTATAATTTGTCCAAACTGGATACTACCGGTTCCATAAAAATTGGCCAGATTATACAGAATCTGGAGTGCAGGAAAAATGCAGGAACTGAAATTTATTTCTGTTGTTTTGTGTACAATGCATATGTTGCCAAAATCTATATAATGATTAAAGGGGGAGGAAATAAGCACCTCCCTCAATTTTACCTGGTCTGTGAACCCCTGTCAATCACATGAAATTAAGGCTGAGATTGGATACTGAAAATTGATTGACATATTGTTACCTGCCGTTGTGTATATCTTGTATACCTTGCCTGGGGATCGTACCGATCATTGAATTAACATTCAGTCTTTGATGCCTACCGCATATAATTTATAACCTCGTGATAAAGAAGCAGCCAGAGCAGATATTATTTTTTTTTATGATAAAGTAATTAGCCATATTTAATTTATATTTAATCAGTCTGTCAAATAATTAAATGAAAAAGAATGTCAGTCATATATATAGTCATATTGTCCAAGTTAAAAATTTTAAGACGTGTAATATTTCTTCGAGACATGATGATGAAAGTTACGGTAAAATAACCAGTCTTAAAGAGAAATAAACAGTATTATAAAAGCTGTCATTGCATATACAAGTTTAGAATTATGGATCCCGAGGAAAAAAGTACATGTATGATAAAGTGATTGTATTCCTGTTTCGTCTACCTGTCGGAGAAACAATACGATGCCATGACCATTTTTACGAAACATCCATGCGTCATTGGTTAATCACTTAGGAGTTATACAAAAAAATATTTATTTAATTTATTATATATTTTCTACAAAAATTAGCCTTCAAACAGGATTTCAAAGTTTAAGAGACTTAATTATTCAGGACCGCGCTTTTTTCTACTTTCGTTTTGCGAATGACTATTTCCCTCGGTGTCGCCAGCTTACAACCAAAGATTTGAAATTTATTAACGCACAAAATTAAACTAAAATTGTCTCCTTTATTCAAACATATTTTTTAAGAAAAAGAATTGAACTAAAGGAATCAGTCTACATCAAAAATTTAGCATGTTTTATTTCATAAATTTGACGATCAACATTTCGATTGACCAACGCGCAAAGTTAAACTATATGTCTTAGTAAAATATTTACAGGTAATATACAGGTAACATCCTGTGTATATAGATAGGTATATACAAGCCAGCTTGGTTTCCTCGGGGCTTCACGGCCGTGTCAATTAAGCTCCACCCCACACCAAATTTACCTGAGGAAAACCGACCGGTTGAAAACCTCGGCCTTTAAATAATTCAGTATTTAGGGAGTCCAGAAATCATTCAATAGTATATGCATGATTTCTTGTCAATTTTTCTTTTTCGTTTACAAAGTTAGAGATTCCAAACTCAACTTGAAATATAAATGGAGTCAAAATCTACAGACACGTATATATATCAAGCACTTGTTTTGCAGGTCATTAACCACATTCAATATAACCATAAACACAATTATTTACGATTTGATAATTTTTGAATTGACACTTAAATTTTTTGTAAACATTCATGTCTTCCCTCCAATGTTAGGGTTTCATTTCGAAATTAGACGTTTGAGTTTCGATCATGATTTATATTTTAATTGGTAAATAGTGTACCTGTATTGTCATTTTACATTAAACTGTGTGATATGGCATTAAAATTAAGTTAAATGAGCAAGTATTTTTTTTTTAAATTTAACTGTAACTTAACCTTATATTTATTCAAATGGGCTGTGTCACCACCAAGTTTCAGTTCGTATCATGGCACTTACGCGAACATACATTAGCACATCTACCACAAAAGTGTTAATTGCTTTCAGGTAATATTGTGTGGCTGGATTAGAGGAAATAATTACCATTGATTATGAGCAGGTTGGGACCATTATGGCCATTCAGAATAGACAGGATTTGGATTACACAGAATTTTTTCAATACATTTGTTAAAGAAGTGCATGGGACTAAAATTAGAGCCGAAATGGACAAAATTACGGAGTACTCAGAATCTGGATTAGACATATTATACACTGTACTGTATTACATGTTCCAAACCCTTTACCTGCTACTTGGCAGTAGGATGTTGTTAATGCCTCCAAGTTTAACATTGATTTTTAGACAGAGGTTAGACAGTGTCTGTGGAGAAGTCTTGTTGACATTTTTAGATTGCACGCACTGTGTTGCTAAGCCAAACAGGATGTCACCAACTCTCTTCACTTCAGCTACAAACACAAATTAGGTATACAGAATTAAATGCTGTCAAATGCCCCCATTTGGAAGAATTGAATAAAGGAAGAAAATACTATTACAAAAACAGCTCATTTATCTTCCATGATTCAGAAATGGTAGCAAACAATGTAGAAATTGGACACACACAGAATAAAAAAAACAACTGATATACGTATTCTTTTTAAAAAGGTCTGAAAATTTGCAAGGGAAATATGCATACAATTCAAAAAAACTAAAGGACAATCATATACTTCTTAGTTTTCATAACACACTAAATTATTTGTCAAGTGTCTTACCATAGACTGGTGTTCTGCCAGGTAATACGACCACAATCAGCTGTAGCCCTGCGTACGTGTTCTTCAGGTACCTGAACATTGGTTCTACCTGGTCAGGACCGGTGGCATACTTACAGAAACAGGGCTGACCCAAGATAGGCATGCCTGCATCTGTAGAAATCTTCTGTAACTGCTGAGTAAAATTCCTGGCAACAAAGTCAGATGCATATCAGGTTTTATTGTCTTACGTGGGCATAACTAACTACTATTGCATTAGAGTTCCAAAAACATTTCCCAAAACTAGCAAGGTAATATTTTCTTTTAATACAAACTTGATCACAAAAAGAACATTAAACAAAAATTCCTACAGGCTAACAAAACCTATATTGTACACTATTTTCCCACAACAAACTGTATTCTACCGGTAAATATTTACCTTAGTGCATCTTCTCTAACACTCCTCTGTGGAGCAAAGCAGGCAATGGCCCAAACTCGTACTTCTATTCCATAGTAAAACTGCTTTCCTCTCATGTCCCATACACCTTGGTTTGGCAGAGCTTGAGCTTTAGTCTGGAAGTTGAGAAAACTTTGTTCCTTCAAACTGTGTTGTCAATTCTATGACTCAAATAATTTCTTGGAAAGCTAAATTGTTGCATAAAAAGGTAGACATAACATTAATTCTGAAGTGAATTATGCCATTAGCATATTTTTTTGTAGACTTGTATAAATACAGACCGCTCCCCCATATTGTAGTTTAGGATGTGACAGGACTCGTCCATGAAGATCCATCATTTGGGGGTTGACAGTGATTCCAAACGTCCTCAGATGGGGATCAGCATTGTAGTTAGCCTTTTTGACCTAGATATAAGTACATGCCTTAATAATGGGAGCTCTCTTTTTAAATAAAATCTGTAAGAAATTTTATGTTTTTACTTTCTTCCATTACATACCAAAGTATTGATTTCTTTCTCCCTGTCTGGTGCATTCTTTGCTGTTGCCTGTAGACAAAATATAAAGAAAAAAATACAGAACTGTTAAACCTAAACCTAAATTGATCAACACAATCAATTTTCAAAGTGGTAACAATAACTGTCATATCAGCATTCTATCTTCATTCTCAGTTATTTACCCTGATCATGGTAGATGTCTGGAGATCGGTCAATTTCTTTATACATCTCTGGCCTCCAACAACATTACAAACCTACAATAAGGAAAGAATATGGTATTACATACACAAACATGCACCTCCAAATTCTCTTAATTTAAACTTATTACATACAACTTCTTTAAAATACTGTAAACCAGCTATTACTTGTGACAACTTTTATTTGCAATTTGTTAATTTGAATTCTATCTGCAACTACTTATTTCATGCCTGTGGAAACATTTGACATAAATTCACAATGAAATAAATAGTTCACAGCGAGAATATATGCGAGTAAAACAAAGTCACAAAACTCATGGATATTTTACGCACACAAATAAAAGTTGGTTACAGTATGTAAACCTTGGCAATAAATTATCATTTTTGCAAAATACAATGTACATATCTCTATAAGAGTGTAGTAACATTTCAAGATAAGATGCTGTCTTTGTAGTTTACATTGTACGCATCATTTAATTCAAGAATTTGCAGCAAATGAATGTTGCTGGAGTGTTCAACTAAGGAATACATGCTGCCTGCAGATTCTCCAGATAAATTAATGTATAATTAGCTAAATTAAAACCTGATATAGTGACCACCTGTATTTAGCAACGTCCTTTCATATGTGACCATTAAATTTCCTCCTGAGTTTTATCATTATATTTTACCTGCATTCAGCAACTCCCTGACTAACACAACCTACGACCATCATTTTCCTTCCTAAAGCAGTGCAAGGCCCTGAATTTAGTGACTTTTCCTTCTTTCAATAATAAAAGTAATTAAATTCTTTGATAACCCAACCAAATTTGCCAAAAAAAAAACTACCCTAACAACAGAAGTATATTTCTCAATGTGTTATTTAGTAACAAATTGAAAATTATTAAAAAGATTAACACATTAATAGTAACTGTAGATCAACACTGATGGAATGATTTTGACAAGAAGTGTATAAAATTTCTGAATGTTTGTGCATTAAGGAAAATCTTTGCGATTTTTATTTTTCACTTTTTGCATTACCATGTTGTATTGTCATGGGTAGTTTTCATCCTTTCGACGTAAGTTAAAACTGTCGTAAAAGTGTAAAACATGATAAAACAAGCCTGGATTTTCTTTCAAAAATTATATTTACACTTACACTTACATGCAATTAGGAATAAAGACACTTTGTATGAACAACAAGAGATGTTTGTGAAACACTTATCCCCCCTCCCTCCCCCCAACAATTGCAATTTTTCTAAGTCCAAGGGGCATAACTCTGTCATAAATTGCTCAATCGTACCCAAAACAGATCTTGACCTAGATATTTTTATGATAAATCTGTATACCAAATTTCATTTCAGTATGTGCAACCTCTGTGAAGAAAATGAACGGAAACTGCAAATAACTGGAATTTTTCAAAGTCCAAGGGGCAAACTATCAAAAATTGCTCGATCATACCAAAAACAGAACTTGACCTAGATATTCTTATAATAAATCTGTATACCAAATTTCATTTCAGTATGTGCAACATCTGTAACCTCTGTATGTGTAATCTCTGTAAAACTCAATAACACTGGTAGATCTAAATGAATAGCTCAATAACACTCGTAGATCTAAATGTAAAACACATAACACTGGTAGGTCTAAATGTATAACTCAATAACACTGGTAGATCTAAATGAATAGCTCAATAACACTGGTAGATCTAATTGTATAACTCAATAACACTGGTAGATCTAAAGGTAAAACTCAATAACACTGGTAGATCTAAATGTAAAACTCAATAACACTGGTAGATCTAAATGTATAACTCTATAACACTGGTAGATCTAAATGTATAACTCAATAACACTGGTAGATCTAAATGTATAACTCAATAACACTGGTACTAGATCTAAATGTATAACTCAATAACACTGGTAGGTCTAAATGTATAACTCAATAACACTGGTAGACCTAAATGTAAAACTCATAACACTGGTAGATCTAAATGTTAAACTCAATAACACTGGTAGATGTAAATGTAAAACTCATAACACTGGTAGATGTAAATGTAAAACTCAATAATACTGGTAGATGTAATGTAAAACTCAACAACACTGGTAGATCTAAATGTAAAACTCATAACACTGGTAGATCTAAATGTAAAACTCAGTAACACTCGTAGATCTAAATGTAAAACACATAACACTGGTAGATCTAAATGTAAAACTCATAACACTGGTAGATGTAAATGTAAAACTCATAACACTGGTAGATCTAAACGTAAAACTCATAACACTGGTAGATCTAAATGTAAAACTCACCTCTAATGGAAGATATGTGTGTTTATGCTCCTGTCCCACCTGTAGACATGGCAAATGTGGATGTCTATAGGAAAATTTTTTTATAAAAATTATAAATTAAAGATGATGTCAATTTATTTGATTGTGAGTCAAGCACAGTCATATACAGGTAAATTATTGAATATGTTGACAACCAAGGATATTTCAACAGTTGTATTATTTTTTTTACTATCTTAATTATTTCTTTTAAAATTTGGACATGTTGATATAAATAATCTCAACTACCCCTTTGATCTTGATGAATATTCAGGCCCAAAGAGCAATACTGTATACAGGGTTACTTTTGTCCTATGATATTATCGCCTTTTCACACTTGCAAATAATTTTGCCTGTTTTAAATTCGCCCAATCACTGTTCTGGTTAAGAAATTATACTGTATTTTTGGAATTTGACCCGTTTTAAATTGGCCCACCTCTGAGTACGGTGAAAGGGGTGAAATGAAACAGGGACAAAAAATTCCCTGTATACAGTATTTGCCCATCAAATACTGTACACAGGGTTATTTTAGGCCTTCCACGATTGCAAACATTTTTGCTCAATTTTAAATTCATCCAGACACAATTGTGCTCAAGAGATAATGGTGTTTTCTTTGAATTTGCCCCATTTTAAATTTGCCACTTGTAAAACAGGGGCAAACATTTCCCTGAATACAGTATTTCTGCTCTGTTGAACTAAACTGTTAGATGCATATGCATTCTGTACAAAAACAGTAAAGATGACCCATGTCAAAAATTCACCCCATGTTCTGACTGTACACCAGGTAATTTGATGAGCAGGTAAACGTGGTCTCATTCTAATAAATCTCTGGAACTTTCAAATGTCTACAATATTGTTTGTCTGACAACTGTTATTAAATTGATAAATGTGAGCGTGTTCACATAACAGCTACTTATTTATTATAATTATAAATTCCAGCTGACTTATAACATACAACAGTATGAGTTATAATATATCACAGTAAATTATACACATATTGAATACCAATAAATTAATAATAAAAGTATTGATTTTCTGATAAAAATACATTTAAAGTAAGCCAGGTACAAAATCCATTGAAGGACACTTTCTGCATGGATCCTTAGGTTTATACACAAGTAACATTCTTTGTTATAATAATTACTGATATTCAAGAGAACAAACTGTGCTACATTATGTTACTGTGCAGCTTCTTTTGCTTAAAAAGAATTAGGGAATTTTTTTCTGTCTCTACTTTGTTTTGGTATGAAATCTTGGACTTGAGTGTCAAGTCCAATATCTTGACACTCCAGATATCACATTTTCTGATAATTCCCAATATGTCAAAATACCTAGGCTTACCTGTATTTTTAATAAAATGTGTGTTCAGGTATGTATAATAGTGTAACATTTAAATCTCTTTATCAACATTAGTAGATAAAAGGTAAGAAAAACAGGATAAATATTCACACTGAGAAACATTTCTCTGTATACTTCCATGTATCACGTCTATTTTACTGCATTATGTTATAATTGTGTGTAAAGTGCTTTGGAATTATTTTATAACTCTCTCTCTCTCTCTCTATATATATATATATGTGGAATAATAAAGTATACTTACAGTAATTTCATCTTGTACCTCTCCAGGAAGTATCTGGCGACCGTACAGTCAACTGTCTGTCCTGAATCCAACTGGAGGGGAAATCTGAAAACATTATTAAAAACTACTGAGATTCTCAGTTGAACTGTCAAAACCAAAAACAAAACTTCATACAATACATGTACTTAATCAATTTTCCTTTACTAACAATAAAACTGTATAAAGTTTTATATGTGGCATTTAAGAATCCATTTACACCACAGAGATAAAACAAAAGTTAGGCAGAGAAAATAATAACATTTTCCAACATTAAATTCATTTCATTTAAAAATTAGAGCAGTCTGACATGGTAAATAAGTTAACAATTTTCAAATAATTAGTGTTGTTTTGATTGTTAAAAAGTCAATTCCAATTACGACTGCCCTGTTATGTCGAAAATGTAAACAACTTCATTGTGTTAATTAACAAAGTTAACATAAGTTTTCAAAATACACTGTGCTCAATATTCATAATTTGATAATAATCATTGCAAAAATCCTGCCATTTGAGCACTTTTAGAATCTGCATAAGGGCAGCTTCAAGTGTTTCACACCTAAAAAAGTGCACTACAGAACGAGGGTGTTTTTGATTTAGATTCAGCAGGAAGCTGGGACTTGAAAAGTGACATTTTTCATTCATGCGACACATGAACATTTAGCATTCTATTGATGAGTTGAGTTTTTTGATAAAGGAAAGGGAAATACTTTCCTGATATAGCGATTTGATTTGATAAATTATGTCTTGAAATATGGCTAGATGGGTTACAGGGATGGGGTAATCATAATCAGCTGTAATTGATTACAGTTTGTGGTGTAATCAGGAGTAATCAGTAATCATAATCAGTTGTAATTGATTACAGTTTGTGGTGTAATCAGGAGTAATCAGTAATCATAATCAGTTGTAATTGATTACAGTTTGTGGTGTAATCATCAGTAATCATAATCAGCTGTAATCGATTACAGTTTGTGGTGTAATCATCAGTAATCAGTAATCATAATCAGCTGTAATCGATTACAGTTTGTGGTGTAATCATCAGCAATCGTAATCAGCTGTAATCAATTACAGTTTGTGGTTAAATCATCAGTAATCAGTAATCATAATCAGCTGTAATCGATTACAGTTTGTGGTGTAATCATGAGTAATCAGTAATCGTAATCAGCTGTAATCGATTACAGTTTGTGGTGTAATCATGAGTAATCGTAATCAGCTGTAATCAATTACAGTTTGTGGTGTAATCATGAGTAATCAGTAATCATCCGTTATATTTACTGATATTTTTTAAACAGATTTTTATATTAAAGTTAAATTTTGATTCTGTTGCCGAGATCAAAAGTACTTCTTCTCACCCACAAAAATTTTAATACATTTGCATTTAATTAACTATACCGTATTATTGATAGTTGTTTCTTAATTATGTGAAATGTTATATATGTTATCATAACTATTATGATAGACTTTCTTCAAGGTAGTTTAAGTATAGTCTGCCCAGCTGTGGTCAGCAGACCAAATCGTCTGCTCGACTTGGACATTAAACTATGAATGATTCGTACACGATTCCTGCAGATTACACACAAAATACGCCCATTTTATTTCCACCCACCTAGCATTTTCTAAGTATTTTCTATTATATATTAATCAAAACGAAGGGATTCAAGGCAAACACTTGAAAATTTTATTTTTATGATTGCAGTCATTTAGAAAGTTGACAATCTAAAGTAAAACTGAATGGTGGATATCACCTTGTAAAAATGTAACTCATTTACAATTGTTTCAAAATTTGGAATAGTACATGTGTACTTCCTTTTTTTCCTGGTCAATTAGGCCACTGAAATTTACAATTTGCATAGTGAAATATTTTTGAATAGCCGAAACAAAAATCATTTCAAGCCCTATAGATAGTTCAAAGAAATGGGATGAGCATAATTTTATTTGTAAACGAGTTCAGTGAAGAAGTATCTATGATTCTCTGTGAGGCATTACTTATGACAAACTTTATGTAACTGTAGATGTATTTGTAGGGGGCGGTACTTATGACTGAGTTTGAGCAGGGCAAGGGGTAACATTACAGTACTTACGATTGAGTTTGAGCAGGCCGGCGGGTGAAATTACAGTACTTACGACTGAGTTTGAGCAGGGCGGTGGGTGACACTACAGTACTTATGACTGAGTTTGAGCAGGGTGACAGGTGACATTGCAGTACTTACGACTGAGTTTGAGCAGGGTGACGGGTGACATTGCAGTACTTACAATTGAGTTTGAGCAGGGTGACAGGTGACATTGCAGTACTTACGACTGAGTTTGAGCAGGATGACAGGTGACACTGCAGTACTTACGACTGAGTTTGAGCAGGGCGACAGCTGACATTGCAGTACTTACGACTGAGTTTGAGCAGGGTGACAGGTGACATTGCAGCACTTATGACTGAGTTTGAGCAGGATGATGGGTGACAATGCAGTACTTACGACTGAGTTTGAGCAGGGCGGCGGGTAACATTACAAACTCGATACTTTCTCCTCATGGTTCCACAGTGTGTGATTTCTACCTTTAAATCTGTCATAAAATTAAAAATACAGTAAAACATGCTAATAACTAAGTGCCAGGGACGGACAATTTTGCTTTGTTATAAACGTAATTCGTTATATTCGTAAAGTTCACAATATGTTTTTTAAGCCAAGGGGAATGAAAATCACTTCGCTGTAAGCATCAATATAAGAGTGTTAGCTTTAAGCAGGTTTTACTGTATTATGTTAGATTCCCTTTTGTGCATGATCTTAAGTATGACAAGTTCACTAGAGAAGTATCTATGTAAAAATTTGCTTTAATGTTACAAGATCATATTACTAGTAGCACATACAAGTAAATGTTTATATAACTGGCTCAATAATCTGCTCAAAGATCATCAATAGATAAGACTTACTTCTGATTTCCTTGGTGAATTTGACTCTCTGAGAATCAGTAAGTGGTCTCCTCTGTTCATTTGCATCTTTCAGTTCCAGGATCTCACACATAAAATCAATGACAGACTGAGCTTTATAAAAAGCTGTAGCTGACACTGAAAAAAAAAAATCAAGTTTGTTGCTTGCTACATGTACATATCTGTATAATAGAGATAATGTATTATTCTTTCTTAGAATCAATTACAGACAAAAACAGATGATGCATAACCTACCATCAATATTTAGCATCATCTTCCAGTGAGAGGGACGAACACTCTGATGGAAGCCAAACCACACCTCTCTTCCCCCTCCCAAAGGATAATCATAGTCTTCTGGAGGGGAGAAGAACGACCGCCCTACTGGGGTGTACCTGTGTAAAGACCAAAATTAGCTACACCGTACCAAACCTGGTAAAATTAAATCAAATTCAGAAAGGTTAACATGTTTATTTATTTAGTTGAGTAAGAAAGGATTTTACCCCCTGTAACTTACATCATGCTGGGCAGGTGCCTCATGATGACATCTAGAGCCTCCACAGCACTCTCTGGAATCCTGCGTGCCCGACCCTCTAGTGCCTCCTCCAAGGCGTACAGACTTATCTGTGACACCCATTTAATGGCAACTTTAAATATTCTGTCACGCCCTTCTCCTGGCAGGGTTACCTCCAGCTCAACCTACAGTTCAAACATATTACCTCCTTACGTCCACAAAAACATACAGCATTGTTTGTTATGTAAAGAAATCTACATGTGAAGTACAGAAATACCTACATGTATTTTTTACAATAATAAATGTCAGCTGCGTGCAAAACCTCAGTTTAAATTTAAAGGTACAGATACTGCTTCCCAATAAAAGCAATGCAAAGTAATGCTACATGCACTACTATCTAGAAATTATACCATACATGTACACATTTTATTTCTCTGTTCTTTAGAGCAATACATTGTAAATATGGAAGAATAAAACTGTCCACATCAGAAATAAAATTCTGCCAAAAAAATGACCTTGTCCTTGCCAAATGGCAGTGGCTCTCTGCTGTACATTTTCTCTCTACCATCAAAGACAGGTTTTTGGCCAGAGAAGATTCTTGGAGTATAGGCATTTACCATTGTCTCCACTATCTCTCTGAAATGATAAGGAGAATGTAACCAAATTATGTAAAACTGTTTAACTATCTATGATATTAAAAGACTAAATTTACACAATAACTGTTAGTTTAAGCCAGACTTTATCAGTTTTTCTACTCCAATCCCAATCGAAATTTGATTTTACAGATTAAGCAAGGTTCCATTATTATATTTTCCACAATGGATCTTTGACAGCATTCAATCGCTTTATAACAGTCCTGTAAGATTTGGATTTGAGGATGATTTACAGTTGATTTGGATGATAACTTACCTGTTGACTCTTCTGGGACATTTTTCAGGTGTGATTGCTACATTGTAGTGGTGAATGAAGCCCTTTGGGATGTTTACATGGAAATGGTTTGCCCGGAGAGCAATGGGTTTTCCCTCGCGGCCATGGTCTGGCCTGAGTGGGCAGACAAACTCTCCCGCATTGCCATTGGATGGTGGGGGTGGAGGTGGGGGCTGATCAGCAGGGTGGGGTGGAGCTGCATGAAAAACTCACAATGATAGTTCAATAAAATGTAAAAGATCACTTACACAAGAAAATCACATACATATAAGAATAGGCATCTCAGCTGATCAGTTTTAAAGATTGTGAGAATCACACTGGTATACATTGATATTCAAGAAATATCGAAAAACATAACTGAGCAAGTTCCTTGCGTATAAAAATGTATAATAAAATTGATAAAGATATTGAAATAATATAACAGAGCTCCAGATAAGGTGTGTATTTGCAGAAATACGCATTGAATTTCACAAAATACGCATTGAAAATGAAAATTGGGCTTACAGTTACGCATTAGAAATCGTAGAAAAGCATTACACTATGAAAGTACTGCGTACAATGGATTTAATAATACAATTACAACTTAGCTAATGATATGAATTGAAGTTAGCTCAGTGTTTGATCGTAGAAAAGCATTACACTATGAAAGTACTGCGTACAATGGATTTAATAATACAATTTCAATTTAGCTAATGATATGAATTGAAGTTAGCTCAGTGTTTGATTTTTTTCAAAATGAAATATTGAGTTAAAAGGGTTTTAATAACCATGCAGGAATATTCTAGGATTTCCAGTTTGGTTTATGCTAGTTCAGATCATGTACAGGGATGTCGCCATTCGAAAAGCCCTTTAACATGTTTAAATAGAAAAACTAGGCATAGTTACTTTTAAGCACACAAAAGATTGTGTCGTCTATATAAGATGCTATTGTAACAAGTGTAATATGTAAGTAATAGAAAACAATGTTACCTAGAAAACAATGGATAGTCTTAGCTGTTGAAAACAGTTTATACTGCAATTTATCATAGAGTATTGATGATGGTAAAAAAAAAAAAAAATCAGTGAAGACCACATTAAAACCAGCTCTGTGGAATTTAAGATCAATGAAATAAATAAATTGCTGAAGAGAGACATTACACATAACCTGTATTTGAATTTACCAATTAAGAGTTCTCTTAGATTCTCTCGAGTTCTCTGTTTAGTAGGACGGTTACACACAGTTTGTCCATAAAGATTTCATGATGGGTTCATTGCCAATTTCTGATTTCTCTCAACTTGTCATATTAATGAAGGTTATTTTTTTCTCGGTTTACTCTTGCTACGTACGGTATCATCTTAAATGGAGAAAAAGTTCCTTGTGCTTATGGTAACTTTACCTACTGTATGATCTTCCTTCTCAAAAAAATGTTTCAGTTTTTTGCAAAAAGTCTTGTTGGCATTTTAAAAATTTTATTTTAATAAATCAGGACCCATATATTAACAAGTATATACCGGTAGGTCCCTGAATAAATGCAGGAACTGTCCTTTGTAGTTTTTTTTTGTTCCTCTACTAAAATACTTTTATTTCGATAACAAACTCAAAATCACAATAGATATCAAAACATTAATATAGTAACAAAATACTCTTTAATCATTTTGCTGAAAATCAAAATCTGCATTGATTTTAAAATCAGGGAGTAAATACACATCAGGTTGAAAAATTATCTGGAGCTCTGATATAAGCCAATTATAACAACAACAAAAATCAGTTTAATTGAATGAACTTTTTTCTTCTTTCAATTTACAAAGAAAGTACAAAATCCTGTTCTCTGGTATTTTGAAATGATTCTTTGTATCCAGATTATTCTTTCTGAATAATTTATTTTGACTATAAGCATTGATAAGAGCATACACAAGGCATATAATATATGTATTTTAGAAAAGAAATTCAAAGCTTTGTAGATTATTTTTCAGTTTTCCTTTAAAGTTTGAGAAGAATGTACATAAACTTGAGCATTAATAACAAGAAACAGACAAGTTGTACTTGAATTTTGAATAATATATGCCATTAACATGAATTTTCACATTTTTTGTTATAAATTTCTTTTAGTTTTTCCCATTTCTGGACACAAAGGAAAAAATACAACCTTTCTCAGATCTCTTTTAATGAGTCAAAAGCTCTTTTTTTCTTTAAAATTACAAATATACTATTTATTTGTTTAGTTGAAATTTTACACTGGTTTCTGATCAAAATTTAAAGAATGACCTGGCTAGATTCAGTTATCTATTTGAGAAGACTGAAAAACATTCCTGGAAAAATCAGCATTCTCAATCACAAGAAATGTATGGTTTATATGTTCTTACCCTCAAATGTAACTAAGAAAGAAACAAAAACCTCTTTTTTTTTTTTACTGAATAAACAGATTCTCCTAGTTGATAATCAAGAGCATTTATCTCAGAAATAGATGTTTTTGTGAAACAATAATGCTCCCATATAGAAGCTCATAGCTAAGGTGAAATTTTTTCAAAAGTAGGTCAAACTCCAAAATCAAGTTCAAGGTCATGAGTTCAAATATAATGGTACCCAAAGAAAGGTCTGGCACAGGGAATAAACATGTGAAATATAAAAAGCCCTAGCACCAATCATTCAGAAGTTAAGCTACAGATAAAGTTTTTCATATGTGTTCAAACTCCAAGTCAAAGTCATGAGATCAAAAATGTTGGTAACCAAAGAAAGGACTTGTCACAAGGAATGCAGATGCGAAATATGAAAGTCCTAGCACCAACTGTTCAACAGTTATGGCAAAGGTTAATGTTCATCAGAAGTAAAACAAACTTCAAGGTCTAGGTCATAAATAGTGGTATCCAAAGAAATTCTTGCCTGTGAAATATGAAAGCCATAGCAACAACTTTTCAGAAGTTATGGCCAAGTCTAAAGTTTCTCAAAAGCCTATCAAACTTTAAGGTCAAGGTCATGAAGTCAGAAATACTGGCACACAAAGAAAGGTCTTGTCACATGGAATACACAAGAGAAATATGAAAGCCCTAGCTACTTCAACCCTTAGTTATAAGCAAGGTTAAAGTTTTTGCAGATCAAGAAATAGACAGACTGACCAAAAACTATATACCTCCGAATCTCAGATTACAGGGGCATAATAAAAAAAATATAAACATTAAACTAAATATATATGTAAATAAAAAACATTATTCTTCAAAATAAAACTCACGTTCAGGTGGAGGAACAGTGGTGAATGGTCCAAATGAGAGAGGCGTGGAGCCTGTAAATAAATATACAGATTCTTATAACATGTCACACTATACTATCCAGAAAAGCACCTCTGTGAATGAACTTCTTGTGTGTTTCATTTTGATATTCTGAGAAAGTTACTGATGCAAGCTCTCAGAATTACATTTTGTCTACAATCATAATAACTGAAAAATCAATTTTCCATCTGTATATCTTGCTTTTCAAGAAAAATCAAGCAACTTCACTGTTCCCCATTTAAATAAGGAAATTTGATTTTTTGAATTTATACAGCTCTTGCTTCAGCATTTTAGATTTTAAATCTCTCTGCACTAAAAGCAATGGTCTACATAATTATATATATATATATTTTTTTATAGTGAAAATATCAAAAATCATTTTTTTTCTTTTGCTCACTGCTAGATAATGATCTGTGGACACTAGTTTTATTAAGATCTACATCATGCAGAATTTTCATACGGTGTTTTGGTTAAAGCATTTCACAGTATGGAAATATTGTGCTTACAAATATGCATAAACCAGAAATATCAAGCATATGAACTTGTTTAAAACTATTTGCAACACTGAAAGCACCTGTAATGAAGAAGTTTTGTAATGTGTTAAAAATATTGCTTGCCACAAAGAACATGTCATTGATACTTCTGGAATTGTGTAAACACAACTCAATGTGGAGAGAGAAATAAAGGGGGGATAATTTACGTAAGTCTGATGACAGTCCATTTGGCATCTGGACACCACACATACCATTGCTTGCCACATTCAGTTGCTGGGTGACTAAGCTGGCTATACCTTGCAATAAAAACAAAAAAGCAGCGTCATTCATATGGGAGAAAAGCACTGACACGACAAAATATCGAGTAAACCGAGGTAGAAGGACGAGGACAATGTCTAAAGGGCAGACACTGGTAGATCCTAACTCCAACAGGACACCATTTATTTCTGAAATTTGCTGAAAAATTTCCAAGTATTTTATAATTGATAATAATAAAAAAAAATTTTTGTTTTAACAAATGTCACAAAAGTCAATCATGCATTATTCTGGGTCTACCAGTGAAATTTCTCAATAATATATAATTCTTTAATATTGTCAGTCAGTGAGGGCAATCATAAAATGCTAATATTCAATTCCTTGACATTGTTGTTTCATTTTTTCAACAGTTTTGCTTCAATTTGTGATGTACTAAATGGCTAAATGAACAAATTCATTCCATTTTTGGCAATTTTTAACAAACTTGGGTGGAATTTTGCAGTAAATGTTTAAAATGACTATGAATTATAACTTCATCCAACACATTTAAAATCACTCAGAAATTTATTGAAACATAATAAACTTAACCATCTTTTCTTTATTTATTTCCTCTCTGACTGAAAAATGCACAAGACAAATAATTATCATTTCTCATCCCACCATCAAAGACATTCTATAGTTTGTCCCAATTGACCAAACACATCATTATTTGAGAATTAAGAAATGACTTACACATCATCATAACCTCAACCCCAGGTTAAATCAATAGTTTTCTATTTTTTTTAAAAAAAAAATCCCATTATGATATTCATCTAATGCAGAAGATTTTGGGGAGATTTTTTCATTCAGACAATTTATTGAGGATTTTCCTCCACAATATTTCCTTCCTTTTTCAATTTATTGAAGGAATATACTTGAATATACCCTATATTACTCTAATATTACGTTTAATGAAAAGAAAGTTCCTTCTTGTATTCAAACCTGGTTTTGAAGCCATGTTGACTCCTTGTCTTATCAAGCATACATGATTATTTTTTACTTATAGGACAAACTATATACATGTACTCAATTAACAGTAAATTTGTTATAATCTAATCAACTACAAGATATGGATTAACATAGATATAAAAACAATAGTCAATTTTAAAGCTTTCACTAAACAACCTTACTACACTAACACTGCATGGTTCCCAAGTCAGAAAATCGTTTGTACTGATTATCATTAGTTCTGCATAGCAAGTTATCAATTATGTTTTTATGCTTTAAGCATTTCTTTTTTCATTGTTAAATGCACCTAAAAGTGGGACAAAATGTTCAAGCAAATATTCACTAGTAAACAGATTGTCCTTTTTTAAGAGGATTTGCTTTTTCTGAGCAATTGCTGTGATAAGCTTCACCAGTAGGCCAAACTTTACATAACTATATGATGATGTAGTACTTAATATTAGGTGTTGAAAGACAATCCGGCTACTTAGAAACAGAGCAATCATGATCATTTCAATCAGAAATGACATTATACTAAAGGACATATCCCTAATTGGACAGAGAAAGACAGCACTAAAGAGCTAAATTAAATTGTGATTTGCTATTTGTACTTTTTCTGTGTCTGAAAGACATTTACAATGCCCCCTACTTGTAATTTTTACACAACAAGAGGCCAATTGGCCACAAGACTTACCTATGACTTATCTTTTTCTTTCTGAGCAATAACATTATTAAAAATGTAGATAAATTGGACCAATTATCTTGATTATATGGTCATCTACATAAAGTCCATGATTTCAAAAAAAAAAAATTAAACAATAAATTGAGGCTTGATGCCATTACTGTGGAATCATTAAAATTTGTGGAGGCCCATTTTTGTGGATTGCGTAAATTTTACAGGTTCATGGGGATGTAATTTTGTGTAATCACTCATACCTTCAGAAGGAAAAATAACTCTAAAACCCTATTTTATTAACTTCTGGATGTAGGGACCCATGAATTCCATGAAAATTGAGCCAACACAAAATCTAATAATTCCACAGTAAATTGTAGTCAAGTTGTTTTTGTTACACATATATATTTACTGTTAAGAGAAGAGGACCCTTAATAAGGTTTTTAGATTTGTCTTGTTCATGGAAATTACAAAATGATAAGACTTTTGTTAAGGTCAAGATCTGGTAAATAAAACATGCCTACAGATCAAGGGTGAAATGATTACGTGTAAACGACAATGTATCGAATAACTACTCTAAAACGTTTACAAAATGGGTAAACATGTACACAAGGTTACTTTTATAAATAAAATCAAATTTAATTCTTGTTACAATTATGTTATTTTGCCTCACATTTAACAAAAAATCCACTGTCCAACACTATGTTTTTGGTTTTAATAGCCACCGGAAATGAGATGCACATAACTTTGAAAACCCAATACCGGCTAACAATGTAACATTTCTAATTCGAATTCCCAAGTCGATAGTAATGATAATTTACAAACATTTTGATTGATAAATGTTAAAATGAATGATCCTCTTTGTTGCTATTTAGGGCTGTCATGGTTACAGAAATAACTGAAAACCGCTGTCCAAGTTGTTCGGTTCAGTTTCATTTTTCTGGATTTCGGTTCTGGTCTTGTTTATATATTAGAATATGTTTAATACAAAAAATGGCATTGAAACCAAAAGAATTATGATGATAACAGTGATAAATAAACATCACAACTGAAATCTTCTTCATTCCATGACAAAACATTTGTCACGAAAGGATTAGATAATTATCAAAACGAGCAGGAATGGTCAGGTTTATAAAGCTAATAGTTGGCCTAGTAGTCCTTAACACCGATGTCAAGACGTTAACGTGGTCAAGACTTTTTTTCAAGGTGAATTTAAAGTAAAAAATAAAGATTTTTCAAGTATAATTCACGAAATTAAGGTTTAAAATAGATGTAAATAACCGAACCGAAAAACTTGAACCTGAACCAAAAAATTTACAGAACTAACCCGACCCTATTCTCCTTAGAGAAGTGGACAGGCTTTCGCCTACATCCACAGATGTAGGCAAATGCCTGTCCACTTCTCTAAAGAGAATAACCCTACCTAAAAAATTTTGAGACCATGACAGCCCTATTGCTATTATTAATATAAGACATCATAATTTATTGAGTGTCAATTAATAATCAATATCATCATTCTAAATATTTTTGAGAAATCATTGGTTTATGGTAACTTTTGAAAATTGACCTCCAGGTAGGCAGCAAAACAATACTATCTGTATCATTCACAGTCCTTTAAATCTGAACACTAATTTTTTTAGGTGCTTAATTTGTCCTACCCTATCCTTTCCAAAAATGATGTGATTGATATTTATACAGTTAACGTTAGCATTAAACAATATGATTAAAGTCACTTGGTCCGACTGAGAAGCAAATTTTTCTTACATGGTAAAAGCACATGTATAGAGAAGTCTAAGTCAAAAACTATGACACCAAAACAAACATGCTATGGATATTTAAATGAGTGAGACCATGTGAGTGAGATCACATGACTTCCAAAAGCTTAAAGCGACGATACGGCTGCAAAACGTGTGTTTTTCAGTCAAATTTACCCAATATATCATTAAGAAATGAGGTATAAAGTTGATGTCAACAGTTTGAGAAACATGAATATTCTCTCCTCAAACAAAATTAACGTAATTAGAATCTGCCGGAAATCAAAGGGTCGTACAAACTGGAGCAATCTTAGATATGTTTCTTTGTACCACGTGAATTCTGAATGATACATGCCTAAATTGTATAGTTTACAATTACATGTATAATGGAATATAAGGTAAAAGCAATTCTCAAAAGCAAAACATTATAACTTTTCCGATAAATTATTAATTGTGAACTTTTTAATCTGCTTTCAGATGAATTTTAAAGAATTAAAAGTACAAATATTGATGTTTTGTGTATTGGGGTCCGAGAAGGGAAAATCACCAAATCATGCGTTATCGCGGCAAAACATCTAAAACATTTTCAGGACAGTTACATTAAAATTTTGCACTTTAAATGGCAATAATATTTATATATCATAGGTGTTGAGTTTACACTGCTTTTTTTTTTGAAAGCGAAGGAGATATGAGAAATGATAACATGTATCAACAAAACTGTCGAGGAGAACCTTTGCGAGCCCTGTGTGAGTCTCGTTGAGCTTCCGTTTCTTCCTCCACTAACGATTATATTAATCCCCCTAGTAAAATTTGGTCAGGATATTTGCTTTTTTTCAAACTCTATTTTCAGTTTTTTTTTCTTCTTAGTCGATTTTGTCAAGGTAGCAAGCCTACTGGGCTACCCTCTTTTACCATGCTGTTTTGTTTATGATAAGTACACATGTGTGAATGGCATGAAATAATCAAAGTTAATTAGTTATGAAACTTGTAATTTTCTGAAAGTTAATACATTTATGAGTGGTAAAAAAATTCCAAATCCTATCAGAAAATTTTATCAAGTCTGTTTTTTGATGAGATGTGCTGTACTGTCTCTTTAAACAAACCCTGAGCTGAGAAACACATGAAATTATCGTTTGACATAATTTGTTACAGTATCATATTCTAAAATAAAATGCAATAAAATGCAGTTCAGCTCTGGCAGTTCCCACGTGTACTCTCCTGTGTGCTTTTGTATATTAACTACTCTGCTTTCGGGGTTTTTTCCAGTTAAAGTTTCAATTTTTAAGTCCAGAGTCAGATTTTTCGATTACCACATGTTTGTTGGACTTCCATCATGCGATTTGCTTTCAAAGCCACTGCACATGGACAAGCTTTGCAGTTTCTCTCTATTTTTTTTTTTTTGAGACCAAACAAAATATACTTTTTAAAATTTAATATATTTATATCAGAAGACACCAACTCTATTAAGAATATAATTTTGCAAATGTGGAAGCTTTGTATGGAGAATTATTTTTCATGAACAACCAGAAATTTTTTTTTTACCATATAACAATGGGACCAAGTGACTTTATATGAGTTAAAAGGCTTGCATACATGTGATATGTACTGGCTGTACGCAAAATGTACTGTTTTTTCGAGCCCATTCATCGTGTACCGGCGGGACACCAAAATTCACGGTATATGAAAATTTGTACACTATTTTGAATTTCTCGCTAAATGCCGCCATTTTCCTCTCATTATCTCTCGCGAGACACTGGAAAAACGTTACCTGTGTTTGACACTTGACCTTCTGATAATTGTGTAGTGTACACAAACCATGAAGGTATGAACTGCCAATTGGGATAATAATCTTGCTATAAATCCGTATCAAGATACCCCTTTAGGTAGCTTAATTTTTAAAGGGGTACTTAATTATAATTATTATACTTCTGTTAAAATGTTTCCTATATAAAGTTAAGAAGGTAAACTAACTATCTTTATAGTCTCAAAATTTCCACACATAGCAAAGCTATACCCCGAGGTATATAGTTTTTGCTATCCACCCCTCGGAAAATTTTCATGCAATTTTTGCCGTCAAGTTTGATTTCCTGTAATCAATCTATAGACTTATGATGTCATCCTGACTTCAGTAGCATTGTGACATCATCAGGATTTCAGCTCATTCTAGCAGTGTTATCTTATTCCAAATACTTGTTCAAAACTTTCATAATTATTTTTTTTTCATGTTTTTACTATCGAACTGTAGTATCAGGTAAATCCAACCCTTAGAAATTATGATATACATCAGTATAATAAAACGCTTATCCACTGGCTGTGACTGGGATAGCTCTTTCATCAAACCCTTGACAGGAACTATTCCCCTCGGGCAAGCCCTCGGGGAATAGTTCCTGTCACGGGTTTGATAAAAGAGCTATCCCACTCACAGCCAGTGGAAAAGTGTATACTATTAAATACTTAATGTTTCGTAACTTGATTGAAAAAAATTAAGCCAACTTCTAAAGTTGATATACACTACTTAATATACATGAATCTGACCCAGATCTCCGTAGGTATAAAATATACGATGTTTATTACCATGATTACGCTAAAATAAAGGATATAGTTTTAAGTTTTTATGTGCTGAAATTTATGTATGATTGTATTTGCTGCTGTTATTTAGCATTGCTGATGTGTATATCAGTACATGTAATATGAACAAGATGTAAATTGGAGACATTGACTCTCACATTAATACTATATAAAGCTGGCACACAAACTATCATCCAGGGCTTGACATTAACTTTTTCTCCTACTTGTCCATTCGGACAAGTGACCAAGACATTTACTTGTCTGAACTTCAACTTCACTTGTCCGAAAATTTTTCAACAAAGATCTAATACTGTCAACTTGAAAACTAAAATAAAGTCCATTGACTTCATTGATTCGTGATGTTATTGATAAATACAACAAACACATAAAACGAAATTTTATCTAGGCTTTCTGTCCTGACAACATAATTGTCCACAAGTGAACCTGTCAACATCAAACAGAATCTAAACTTCGTTAAGTTCATAAGTTCCATGCCTTTTCAGTAGTATACAATTAGTGAACTTCGATCCCGATCAAATGTGAACTCAAGTAATAGCGATCCCTATCGGGATCGAAGTCCGGTTTTTATGTACAGCTTCCGTCTTGAAACTACTTTCAACAGTCAATGAGTCAATCATTTTATTATTTAGAGACTCCTTTACATTAAAATGCACTTGTCCAATCGGACAAGTGCCCAGCAATATTCACTTGTCCGTAATTTTTTTTCACTGGTACCGGGCAAGCGGACAAGCGTTAATGTCGAGCCCTGTCATCTAAACTAGCTTAATTTATAGTCAATTCATAAGAACATTGTGATTATAAAACACAATATATGAAATTTTAAAGCATTCAAATCTCCATTACAACTTTTAAAATTAGACATTTGCAACAATAATATTTGTCTGTTTACAAATAAGGTGCCTTATCAGAAAAATTTAAGTGATATTTTACATCGTTTTTTGTACCATTTTTTGATAGGCAGTGTACAGTTTTTTCACCCAAATTCCAGTTTTTTTTTATGGCTCCTGTACAGTTTTGTGGTCTTTGACTTATCACATGTATGGGTTTGGGAACAGTTTGTTGCTTTTATTATTATCATATATACAGTGACACAATCAGAACAAGCTTCTTATATGTGACATAGCATTTAAGACACATATAAGGAGAAATCATATTTAAAATCAAAATTTATCATTGCAGATGAACTGTTCATCATAAAGGTACATATGTATACCTTTTACCAAAAAAAGGGAGGCTATCGACAATCAAGAAATACAATATACATGTCAACAAACAAATTTCAAGATGAATAGGCAAAAGGGTAAAGAGTTACAAGTATAAGACAAACTGCTTGACCATATGATTAGATGTAAATGTTTCAATACAAGTTTTGTTTCTGTAATCCGCACCATTTACTAAATGGACTGTGATGAAATTGAATTTTTCGGTGCTTTGACAAGTGCTAGGGAAAAGGTTACAACAAATTTGCCATTAAATTCTACAGGGAGCTCTTTGTTGAAACTTTGGGGGCATATTTACAACAAGTTGAAAGACGCCTTTATCATGGACAGTTTTCTTCAGAAGCACTCCTGTTGATATTCGATAATCCTTTCTAAGAGAAAGTAACTCTTCTTGTCAACTTTAACAATGTTACGAAAACTGAATAGGATACTGTCCAAAGCAGTGCTTTAGATATTTCTAATTCAGATTACAAAATTTTACAACGCACGGTCCATCCATACCTTATTATATAATCTGCATGCAAAAACTGAAGTAACAAACATCAAAACAAAAAAACAAGCACCTTGACTCGAGTTAATATCTTGATTCATAAAAATGTCGACACAACGTCTTACAAGCTTAAAGAGAATAACATGATATTTCTAATACCTGGTGTTATGGGAAACATTATGGCATTTTATGGCGAAGATAAATCAAAAGAGGTAAACAAAGTTCTGTCATTCCCATCTTTTGTCAAAATAAAAACATGGCGCACAGGAAGTTGGGTTGAACTAAAGATCCAATATACCATTTACCTGGATAAACCAAAAACTGATAAAAAAAAAAATATATTTACATATATCTGTCATTGACAAGTAAATTATATAATGTGACGCTACATCATGAACAGCTTATTTCATTGTTTCCTATAACCACCGCACTCAGATACAAATACGAAGTTTTTTTTCCATTAAAAAGGGGGGGGGGAGTAATAAGAGTAATTTTATTTGTAAAATTTGGGATCCACCCTTCAACTTGCCTAGCACAAATCTCAGAACATCAGTGATTGGAACATTTATTGAGGTCATCCCAAATCTTACGAAAGCCTATAAGTAAAAATAAATTCGTTCCAATTATTTCGCAATTACAAGATTGATTGATTATTTGTTGTTTTATGCGGAGTCTGCAGTACATGTATATCAGCCACGATTAATTCTTAATTACGAGAAAAGATCTCGTAATTTCATTAAACAATCGCAACTTTTGGGGCTTTCCGACACGCGGAAAAACAACTTCGAATGTGAAAAGTAGGCGTCCATGACATCCCCCCTTTCATACAGTAGGTAAAGAGATCTCTAAATTAAATACGAGAGAATTATAGCTCGTGCGAAAAAAGATCTCGTAATTAAAAAGTAAACTTGATCCTCTCGCGTCTCGTAATCTCAGGTACTTGTGGACAGGAACCCCCCCCCCCCCCGAATATACCCCACAGGTCAAAAAATATTTTTATGTTTTTTTTTGTTTTTTTTGTTTTGTTTTTTTATAAATTATTCTTCTAGTACACATTTGCAATGTATTCCATAAGAAAAATCCAAAAAATAACGCAGAATTAACGTTTTACTAAAAATCATACCCGCGGTATTATAATATTACCGCGGGTATGATTTTTTAGTAAAACGTTAATTCTGCGTAATTTTTTGGATTTTTCTTATGGAATACATTGCAAATGTGTACTAGAAGAATAATTTATGGAAGAAAAAAAAAACATAAAAATATTTTTTGACTTGTGGGGTATATTCGGGGGGGGGGGGTCCTGTCCACAAGTACCTGTGCTCGTAATTACTTAAAGTCATACCTGACGTATTTTTTGTAAGTTCGGGCTAACTAAAATAAAAAAAAAAGATCTTTCTATTTGTTTTATTACTTTATATAAAGATAGGACTTTCCTGTAAATTACACAATTTAAATCAATCACGTTTCAAAGACAAAGTTCAAAATCAGTGAAAATTTTAATCTGAACGTAAATAATATATATCATGTTTATCTACACTCAGTCTTGTATTTTATTTTTTAGCTCAGATACGCCATATATAGCTTTAAAGTGGGGTTAAAATAAAGATAACCAGTTGTATTAATCTGGAATTTAAATTTGATTTAAATTGATTTTAGGTGCGATATAGATAAAATAAATGTCAGGCACGTAGGATCGAATTTGAAGGGCGGGGGAGGGGGCATTATATGGAAGAAAAAAAGACATCTGGAAAACATATTTGACTAGCAGTCCCCCCCCCCCCAAGAGGAAATTTTTCCAAACTTCAATTTTTGGGGGGACTGGGGCTGGGAGGGGCCGGGATATAAGGGTCCATTAAAAGGGGGCAACAAGCCTTTCAATAAACTTTCATACTAATTAAAAGTTAGAATCTACATTCAGAAAAGAAGTGTGCATGGGGAGGGGAGTAGGCCAACCAGCCACCTCCCACCACCGATTCTATATGATATGTTCACCCGAGTTGAATTCGGGTGTAAGTGAAATAACTTTCCATAACTATTATGTCAATTTGGAATTTCCCGATCTATTTTTTGATCCATGCAATGTAAAAAATAAAAAATAAATCATTATGTCTACCTGAAAGGTCAATTACAGGTGAAGATAATTTATTTTCTACAATGTTGGATCTCAGCCAATCAGAGAGCTATTAAAATTATTCAATCATATAATACAGCATGTTTATATACATGTAATATACAATATATAGTATATTATATGATATTTTCAATACAACGAGATACTAATATTAACTCATTATAACAAATTAAATTTATTTTTTACCTTGTCAGAAATAAGCTGTCCGGCTTTCGTAATATTGCGATTAGATTCTCACGAGTTTGTCAAAACTTAAAGTTTCAGGGTCATAATAGGGGATCAAACTATGTAGGGGAACATCATTCAAAAACAGCAGCCGTGGGCTGCACATCCTCTAAATCTCTGTAATGTCTCCAATTATTTATATTTAAAAACAACATAGGAAAAGGTTCATTTTCTTGGCGAATTCGAGAAAAAAAGAGCACTTTCTGATGATAATTATCAATTATCTTGATAATGTTACACAGTCTTTAAAATAATAATAATATTAAAAAACTATTAAAAAAAAAAAGTTTGATCACGCGGTCTTCTATTAACATCGAGATCGAGATACAGTGATCCATATGATAATCATGTGACTGTTAGCCAAAAACAATGTTGAAGCTAGCAGTATATTTCTCTATTGTGGCTCTCGCTGCATCTTCGGCTAGGAAATGTAATTTACCACCAGAATTTTGGTGTAGTTCAGAGGAAGTAGCTACACTGTGTCAGGTAATTTTTTATCTGTGTTTTATACAGATATGCCCCTTAAACAGGTCCAGCGATAAAGGTATATAGCTTGATAAAGCTATATGATTAGCTTTATCAAGGTATTACAAATACCTTGATCAAGGTATTTTATGTAATGAAAATACAAGAAAAAAAGTTAAAATTGACAATGTATATAATGTAAATTTACAATTAATTCACTAAGACATAGAATACAATCTCCCTTTTTACACCTATTCTCACATAATCCGTCCACATGCAGCCTAACTTTCATTAAAAAAATAAAGTCATTATTTGGGTGAGAAGTCGATGTTTTTTAGCAAACAAAACATGGGAGAATTATTTTTCAAAATATCAGAACTCAACCATGCATGATGACAAAAATATTCAATATGCAATATAGGTAGTGTATATACCTTCGTAATTTACGTTATTATCTTACGTCGAAATGAACCCGTCAAAAATCGTTTAAAATATTGTCAAAATGAATATTCAGTTTCACTTGGATTTTTTTAGCACTATGTCTGTACTAATAAAAACACTTCGAATATTTTGTTTTTTGCCAGTGTTTTTCTCTTAATTTGTAATTAACAAATTTTATTTTCTTTAATCTTATTTTTCAACTGAAATAATTCTGTTCCTTCTTACTAGAAATGTTTAAGCTGAATTCCTGTGCGACTTAATTTTATGTTTATGAATCATAAGAGAAGAGGATTTTAAAATTTAATTTGGGAAGAGACAGTGAAAATTCTAAATTGGTTTTTCTTTAAGAAATATATTGATAACGTAAATTACAATTTTACTGGTATTCAAACCAAAAATTAATATTTTCTTGAACTTATTTTCATCCATCTAATGACATGCAGTATTTTCAATTGCCCACAAAATGCCACAAACACTGATTATTTTTCATCCTTTTGAGAGATTCACAGTTAAATATAATGACAATGTAAGATCTGCTGTTGGTATGTTTTTTTTCCTATCTTTCTCTAGTTATGCCTCTCCCTATTTTTTCTTCTTTTATTCCCCATATGCTTTTTTAATTTCTGCTTTTGACTTTACAATCTCTGTTAAATGAAATCCATGAAATATAATTATGGAGAAAGGCAATTAAATTATATTTAATTTATGTTATTTTTACTGTAATTTACGTTATGAATGTTTTGCTTCATCAAGTAATCAATGAAGAGAGATTTATGCGTAAAATATTGCTACAAATAAATAGAAGTACACCTTGTTTGTAAAATCAACTGAAATTCACGCCAAAAATACATCTTTGAGGAATTATTTGAAAGTTTTTAAAGGTAACACGTAATTTACGTTATCTGATGGCGCTTCCTGCATCAGATCTACATCGGAAGTTCGGTGATGTTAAGATGCTTTCGAGAAGAAACCAATAACGTTTCCTGCATGGTTCCGTATTGTCCCGACGTCTTATTTGCAAGATAGGTACCATATATGTATTATACTGATAACGTAAATTACATAACGTAAATTACTTTCTATCAGATTAATTGGTGTAAAATGTGTAGTCGCACAGATCAATGTTCGTTTTAATATTTTACGTGTTTGGTAGGTCAGGAAGAAGAAATAAATTAATATGCAAAGACAATTTTACTTGTGTTCTTTAAGTATCGTTGATAACGTAAAATACATCCTTAAAACGAACCACTCACCTCTGGTTAAAAGACCAATGTGTTTCTGTAGGTATTCTGTCATATAACTTTTCTTTGTTTCTGATTGCATTTTATGGACTTTGTTGGATATTCTAGTAGATATTTTATGTTTTTAGATACCCTTTTATGCTGTTTACACAAATACTAAGATTTTGATAACGTAAATTACAGAAATTTAGCGACAACGTTATTATATATTTTTTAAAAATTTCACTGTAGACAAATATCTAAAAGTGTTAAAAATCAATATATTCATGCATTGTTATAGGTAAAAGTCGTGCTTTTTAGCATAAAATGTAATTGTTTTGTTTTATTCATTGGTCCAAACTTTGCCTTTTGCCTAAGCGACAGATCGAGAAGCCATTTATTAGACTATATAATTGGATCCCAGGGAAGTTTTAACCTGTGTATTAACACTTAACGATGTTGGTTTGGTAACTAGACGTATCACAAACGAAAACACTACAAAATTTACCAATTATTTTAATAATAATGTAATTTAAATTGCTTGCGACATCCAAATAGCGCATATGGACGGATTATGTGAGAATAGGTGTTTAGCTCATCTGAGCTAAAAGATCAACTGAGCTTTTCTGATCACATTTTGTCTGTCGTCAATCTGTAAACCTTTCACATTTTCAACTTCATCTCCAGAACAATTGAGCCAATTTCAACCAAACTTGCCACAAAGCATTCTTGGGTGAAGGGGATTAATCAAGTTTGTTCAAACGAAGGGTCACACCTTCTTTCAAGGGAAGATAAATAAGAATTAGTGAAAATTTGGTGTCATTTTTAGCTCTACTGGTCAGAGACCAGAAGAGCTTATGCGATAGTAAGGTGTCCGTCGTCCGTCCGTCCGTCTGTCTGTCTGTCTGTCTGTCCGTCTGTCTGTAAACAATTTTTCAAAACGCTACTCCTCCTACAGTTTTGGTCCGATTTCAATATAACTTGGCACACAAGTAGACTACACTAAGATACATAATTTAGTGCATCGGTTTTTGATTTCGATGGACGGTGTTGCCTTGGTTACTAAAAATAGAAATTTCTGTGAAATTCCTTTAAAACGCTACTCCTCCTACAGTTTTGGTCCGATTTCAATATAACTTGGCACACAAGTAGACTACACTAAGATACATAATTTAGTGCATCGGTTTTTGATTTCGATGGACGGTGTTGCCATGGTTACTAAAAATAGAAATTTCTGTGAAATTCCTTTAAAACGCTACTCCTCCTACAGTTTTGGTCCGATTTCAATATAACTTGGCACACAAGTAGACTACACTAAGATACATAATTTAGTGCATCGGTTTTTGATTTCGATGGACGGTGTTGCCATGGTTACTAAAAATAGAATTTTCTGTGAAATTCCTTTAAAACGCTACTCCTCATACAGTTTTGGTCCGATTTCAATATAACTTGGCACACAAGTAGACTACACTAAGATACATAATTTAGTGCATCAGTTTTTGATTTCGATGGACGGTGTTGCCATGGTTACTAAAAATAGAAATTTCTGTGAAATTCCTTTAAAACGCTACTCCTCCTACAGTTTTGGTCCGATTTCAATATAACTTGGCACACAAGTAGACTACACTAAGATACATAATTTAGTGCATCGGTTTTTGATTTCGATGGACGGTGTTGCCATGGTTACTAAAAATAGAAATTTCTGTGAAATTCCTTTAAAACGCTACTCCTCCTACAGTTTTGGTCCGATTTCAATATAACTTGGCACACAAGTACACTACACTAAGGTGCATAATTTATTGCATCGGTTTTTGAATTCAATGGACGGTGTTGCCATGGTTACTAAAAATAGAAATTTCTGTGAAATTCCTTTAAAACACTACTCCTGCTACAGTTTTAGTCTGCTTCTAATATAATTAGGCATACAAGAAGACTATACTAAGATACATAATTTATTGCATTGGTTTTTGAATTCGATGAACAGTGTTGCCATGGTTACTTAAAATAGAAATTTCTGTGAAATTCCTTTAAAACGTTACTCCTCCTACAATTTTGGTCCGATTTCAATAAAACTTGGCACACAGTTAGAATACACTACGATACATAATATGTATTTCTGTTTTTTTTATTTGGGTGAATGGTGTTGTCATGGTTACCGGTACTAAAAATAGAAATTTCCGTGAAATACTTTCAAAACGCTACTACTCCTAGTTTTCATTTGATTTCAATATAACTTGTCACAAAAGTAGACTACATTAAGATACATAATTCTATTTATTGTTGCATGTTGCAATGTTTCAAATCCAAGTGCTACTTTTCTTTTGTTATACAAACAGACCAGTAGAGCTACAGTCTCATCAGAGACTTCTGGTTTAAAAATCTTCTTCTCAAGAACCATGTGCTGGACCAAATGTGAAACCTTTATTACATAGTGTAGATTCAAGTTTGTTCAAATCATAACCCCCCTCCCCCCCCCCCCCCCCCCCCCAGTGGTTAGGTGGAGCCACAATTGGGGATCAAAGTTTTGCATAAGAATATGTGGGAAAAAATCTTCAAAAATCTTCTTCTCAAGAACAGCAATGCCATGATCAGTCATATTCATTTGGAAGCATCCTCAGGTTAAGTGCAGATTCAAATTTGTTTGAAAATCATGACCCCAGGGGGTTGGTAGGGGCCACAATGGGGGATCAAAGTTATACATTGGAACATACAGGGAAAAAATCTTTAAAAGTCTTCTTTTTCAAGAATAGCAAAGCCATGATTAGTCATAGTATGGAAGCATCCTCAGGTACATGTAGTAGATTCAAGTTTATTCCAATCCTGACCCCCAGAAGTAGGGTGGGGCCACAATGGGGGATCAAAGTTTTACATAGGAATATACAGGAATTTTTTTTAAAAAGATTGTTCTGAAGAACAGCATTTTCAAGGTGTTATGTTTTCATCAAAGAAACTAGGAAATTTTAATTCAAACTTGACACAGATCATTGGATTAAGAAGTTTCAAGTTTTTTCAATTATGACAAACCCATGAGCTTCCAATGAATGTATGATTTGATTGTTAAATACCGGTAGTAAAAAAAGATAAGAGCTGCATGGTCATATAAAAATTAAATGTTTTCAAGAAGCACAATTAAACTACATTGGGCGCGTTCACAATTCTTCCATTGGTTGATATTGGTGGTGCAATTTACCATTGGCAAAACACTGGTACCAATGTTTACCACCGGTAACTTTTATTGGTAACCAATTCTGCAGGCCAACCACATTCATGGCAAAATTACCTACACAGATTTTTTGTTTTTTAGAGTCACCAACAAGATGGCTACCAGGACTGTTCCTGGTACCGTGAGTGAAGTTTCCTCATAAATTATACCACTTTAGATGAATTTAACAACTGTTAAAAGGAGAATACTGTTATATCTACATAGTGTTGCACATTTGATACAAATGTACACTTTTTTGGCACAAGAATATCACCTGAAGACAAGTGTTCATGTAAAGTTATGTCCATAAGAATAATTTAATTTTTTTAAGTGCAACATACAGACTTCTTATTGAATTTGTTATTTTTGGAAAATGGTGAAAAACTAAACATTTGCTTTTGGAAACCATAGATTACCATTGGTGGCCATTAGTAACTAAGTGATATCATTAGTCACCTTTGGCAACCATTGGTATAACCTTTGGCTGTTTTGTCCTTGGTTTACCAATATGCCGTTCACAGTTTTAGGGCAACCAGTTGTACCATTGTTTAACATTGGTGCCAAAGACAGCCAATGGCAGAATCGATATTTGTACCAATGGAAAAATTGTGAATGCACCCATTGTATGTCTATTAATCTGCTGTAAACTAAATTCACGGCAATGCTCAAATGTAGTTTTGCATTTGGTAAGTGCATGTGTATAATTTCAGTAATATGTACACAGTGTAAACTATAGATTTTACTCATTTGGGTATGAATGCTGTTTATTTTATTTTTATATTTTTTTAATAAAAGTTTTAAAAAGTTTTGATTTTTTGTGACCAGCTGTAGGGAAAAGATGCTGATCCATTTTCAAAAATCCTTAAACTACTGTACAGTATATTCCTAATTATACGTGAGGAATTAACTAATGCGCAATTTATGGGGAAGAATTTTTGCAAAAGAAATGATGACCCCCCGGGGGTAGGGTGGGGACACAATAGGAGATCAAAGTTTTTACATAAGAATATGTAGGAAAAAAAATCTTTAAAAATCTTCTCAAGAACAGCAAAGCCATGTTTAGTCATATTGATATAAAAGTATCCTCAGATTAGATTCAAGTTTGTTCAAATGATGACCCCCGGGGGTAGGGTGGGGCCACTATGGGGGATTAAAGTTTTACATAAGAATATATAGGAAAAAACTTTGAAAATCTTCTTCTCAAGAACAGCAAAGCCATATTTAGTCATATTGATATGGAGGCATCCTCAGGCAGTGTAGATTCAAGTTTGTTCAAATCATGACCCCCAGGGGGTCCACAGTGGGGGATCAAATTTTTACATAGAAACATACAGGAAAAAATCTTCTCAAGAACAGCAAAGCCATGTTTAGCCATATTTATATGGAAGCATCCTCAGGTAGTGTAGATTCAATTTTGTTCAAATGATAACTGGGGGGGGGGGGGGGGGGGTAGGGAGGGGCCACAATGGGGGATCAAATTTTTACAAAGGAATATATAGGAAAAAATCTTTAAAAATCTTCTGCTCATGAACAGCAGAGCTATTTGTTATATTGATACGGAAGCATTCTCAGGTAATTTAAAAATTAAGTACCACTGCCCTTGCCCCCCCCCCCCCCCCCTCCAAACGTCTTGTAAAATTTTTCAATACTTCTGAACTGATTTGTGCTTTTCCCTAGCCAATGTGCTCAGGTGAGCGATGTGGCCCATGGGCATCTTGTATTATTATTACTCAATCTGTGTTTTGACCATGCAAATATGACTTTGTTACCAAAATAGAAATACTGATTGAAACTTGATTTTTCATTACATAAAAACAGTGTATTAATTTACTCTGAAATAATAATAATTTTTTTTTTAAGGTGACCGAGCAATGCCACCACTACTATCAGTCCACAGGCAAGGCAGATAAAGTGAAACTTACACTGTACTTTGAATCCATGTGTCCAGATTGCAAGAACTTTTTCCGTAACCAGTTGACTAAGACATACAATGCAATAGGGGAAATCATGGATCTTACACTTGTTCCTTATGGGAATGCAAGGGTAATCTGTGTGTATGTGTGTGTGTGTTTCTGTGCACACACACACATGTATGTGAGAGAAAGAGAGAGAGCGCTGTTTTATATGAAAATTTATTCTGTAATTCCAACACTATTATGAACAAAAATGGTGCATATGTACCAATATTTGCCCCAGTAACATAAAAGTCCAAAAACTAAGAATGAGGTATTACATGTCCTTTTGTGGACAAAAGATTTCCTTACCCAGCATAAAATATAGAGCGAATCTTTTACTTTACCTACAATGTAATATTGTAGGAAAAAAAGGATGAAACTGGTCAGTGGAGTTTTACTTGTCAGCATGGAGAGGATGAATGTGTGGGAAACCTGATTGAGGTCAGTTACAAGGGTAGGCATACTCCTGCAAGTAACATAGGTAGGCATACTCCTGTAAGTAACAAGGGTACATGGGTAGGCATACTCCTGTTAGCCCTGGAGTCAGAAGAAGGCAAGAAAAATATTTCAAATCAATCATCATTTTACATTTAGAGAATCAAATTCACACTATGTTGAATTCATAATTCTGATTTTGGTACTGTTCAGAAATTAACACTGAAAACATGCAATCCATATTTCTGGCTTTAATACTCAAGAGGTCCATGGGCTACAATGCTCATCTGAGTCACCTAGATCCTGCTCATGTTGAAGATTTTCATCAAGATTTTTTCTGATGTATTCCTATGTAAAACTTGACCTCATATTGTACCTCCAAGCCAAGCCCCAGTTTGCAAATTAAATCTACTTTATTGAAGCCTTATTTAAGCCATATGAGTTATGATTTGATCAAACCTGAATCCTCTTTTACTTTCAGACCTGTGCAATTCATATACTGAAGAATATCACCAGTTACTTTCCTTTCATCAGCTGCATTGAACATGATCAGTTTGGAACACCAAAATTTTCAGCAAACAAAGTCAGTATAGCACAGAACAAGCTATCAATATCGCTTCAAGACTGTCCGTACATTGTAATGTCCTGCACCAGTTTTTTTAATAAGATTTACTTTAGATATGATAAATTCTGTTATGTTTATCAAATTTGATGCTACATACATTTGCTCTGTGTAATATTAAATGTGCTGATTCACATGGGATTGTAGGTGTACATGTATATTTTTGCATTTTATTTGACCAGTGTGCCAAAAGTCAAGGTATTGATCTGAAGCCTATCTTGGATTGCTCCACCAGTCAACTCGGAAATAGCCTTGAACATGAAATGGCTCTGAAGACAAATGCACTCAACCCACCACATAAATATGTCCCATGGGTCACCTTGAATGGAGTGAGCATTCAGTCATGTCAATTTTTGTGCAAAAAACACAAAAGTTGCCAGTCTTTTCATTAAATTTTTTTGCATAATTACAGTAAAACTTGGTTTTAACAAAGTCCTTGGGACCTGTGAATTTATTTCACTATAACTTTGTGATATCCGTATTATGATTTCATTAAAGTACATATAGTGAATTCTCAGTTTACATGTTTTCCTTCAAGTGTGATTACCAAACAGGAAATATTAAATACAAAGCTCACCAATACCTTGAGGTAGTAAAGTTTTCTAATGAATTTCAAATATAACTACTTATTAACGAAAAATAATTTCAGTTCAATATGTAATATGTTCGTTATTTTAACCTCTATGGGACAAAAAATTGGTAAAATCAAAGTTCATTATAGCCATAAATTCTACAAGGAATAGTTGAGATTTTTTCAGGGATCTCCAAAATCTTTGCTATATCTGTTAATTCACTGTATCTGTGTTTGTACTAAACAAGTTTTACTGTATGTATAAAAAAATAATTTTTAATTTTTTAAACACAGTAACATCTGTGAGTTTAGTATGTTTCACTACATGTACTTTGAATAATCCCCTGTCCCCAAAGAAAGAAATTAAATTACATTTATCTTCATAAAATAAATAAAAAGATAATTAAAATAAATGTTGAGAAGATCCTGAGAAGAAATTTTAATGAAACAGAGACAGAAAAAGTACATGCACACATGTATATCTATAGACTGTAGCTCACACAGAGCTAGGGTATTGCAATCCAATTTATTTCCCCTTAAAATCAATTATGTCTCATTATAACTTGTGACTTTTGATGTATATTTAGAATGTTCTTTCTCAGGTTCACACAGAAGATATTGAAAAGAATGCAGAGGCAGATCTAACTAAGCTTATATGTGATACTTACAAGGTTTGCACTTTTTTCTCTTCTTACACAAGAAAGCAGTTGGTGATATCTTATAATTTCTTTCCAATTTAAAGATTTTATTTTAGTAATGAATATAAGACAAAGAAACATTACCTTGAAAAAAAAATCATCATGAATGCTTTTCTTCACAAACTTGAAATGAGTAACTAATATGCAGTTTTGGGTGAAAATGATGTTGAATTAATTTTAAATCTCCAGAGTTACTATGACCTATGACATGGGTGACCTATTCCTCCAGAGTCACTATGACCTATGACATGGGTGACTTATTGATCCAGAGTCAAGAAATTAACACTTTTAACCCATGTGACTGAACTCCAAATGACCTTGAGTAGAAGTTTTGGGCATTCTTTGATCATAAATTAATCTCTGATCATAAATATATTGCCTTTTTACCATTTATAAGGTTTTATAGTTAGTAATGGACCTAGCAAGAGTTGAACACTTCCATTCTCTATGACTATGACCTTATCCAAATGATCTCAGGTCAGATTGTTGACACATATTCTGGTCATAGAGTAAGTATGGCACCTTGTTCTTTTTAAGTTAAAGGTTTTGAACAAGGTTAAATCTTAGACAGACAGGGAGTCAGTCAAAAACATGAAGCAACATGCACCCCTCTCTTATTGTCAGAAAAGAACTGGAAACCCACATCAGAAGATATGAAGACACAAATGGGTTCTTCATATTAAGTAACTGGCTTACAGCAAAAATCTTAATAAAAGCTGCTTTACAAGAGTCCTGTTTACTTTTTATTTACAGGGATCTTCCAAACCTGCTGCCTGCAACAAAATGTCTGACTTTCATCATTCCTGGAGGGAGTTTTAAATAGTTCTCTGTAGTGACTCAGCATCTTATATTATACATAATCTTTTTTATCTGTGATATGAACATTACCTCATTTATTTAAAGATTTTTCTTTGATTGCTTTAAATTATCATGATTTACTGGAACTTAGTCATATTTGAACTACTTTTTTTCATGTGACGAAATATATAAATTTATTATTAATGTACTAAGTTTTTGTAATATTTGTCAAAATTTAGAATTTATGCAGGATGTCATTGTCCGATACCCACGGGTGATCTCGTCTTTTACTCATCACCCATGGGCAAATTCGCTGAAATATCGTCGTAAAAGATTATAGACAACCAATCAGAAAATTGAAACTCTTCAATTTTGAAAATACGTTTATTAGTTTGATAATGATGCTAAACTTATTGACGCCCGTTTAAAACGTGCGAATTTTGTTTTGAAACAATTAAAGACAAGTCATACAGGTCACTGGTATTAAATACCAGTCAGAAATTATATGGAAGTACCTTTCTCAAACGGCGAAATGCATCTGTGAGTGGATTTATTTACAATCAGTGTGTAAACTACATAAAATTTTTATCATAGCCAAACATATACATACATTACGAAACTTTGATTCATTGATTTGCCATTGCAACTCTGTGCAGCAGCCAATCAAATGACTTGTGCATATTAATTACATATGACGATTTTTCGGTGAGTTTGCCCACGGGTGATGAGTAAAAGACTAGATCACCTGTGGGTATCTGACAATAGCAGGATATATTTGTTATTTTTAGTAAAAAAAAAAAAAATTCCTCTTTTTTTTTTTCTTTTTTTTTCTTTTAATTGTTCTTTAATGAAATCTCTTAGTGTACTTTTTATGTACAGGTGCAATAAAAGAGGAGAAATTGTTCAACATGTACCTTTTGTATTTATACCTATTTGCAATATACCAATTTTATACAATAATGCCAATAAAAGTTGGGTCACCATTTAAATATTTCGAGTATTTTTTTAAATATTGAAAATGTATCTATAAAGGTTCTGTTGAAACTTGTGATAGTGTGGTACATAAACCTCTTGGTTCCTTGATCTTGTCTTAATGCAGTATGAACTCAACTATATCAAGGTACTTCCATTTTAATTCAGTTTGTCTATTACATGTAAAGCACTTCTTGTAATTTTCTTTTTTTCTTTTTGATACCAACTTATTTCTGAAAGGGGAAAAACTGGACTTGAATTGCAGCTCTAACTTGGCCGTAAAGATCATGTATACTTGGATTGATTCAAGCATGGAGACAATGAACCGTATTCTTTTTAGAGAGAAGTGGACAGGCTTTTGCCTACAAGTAGGCTGTCCACTTGGAGTAGGAGATGATCAGCTGTAGTGCTATTGTGTGATAGAGTTATCCCTCTTCATACACATGTAATAGGTGAAGGGGGAAAATGTGACAGATCAGACCTGGATTCGAACCCTGGCCCCTTGATTCTGCATTCAGGTGCTCTACTAATCGAGCTATGTGGCCACTGGCGACCGAGCCCATCTGAGTGTCACATTCCTCCTTGCTTAAGGTCTTTGTCTCTGAAGACACCAACCCAGGCTCTTCACCCGGAAGGTCTTTCATCTAGCACTTCCAGGGCATAGCACAGCACCAAATGTAACTGGAGAGGAGAAAAATGTGATGGACAAGAAAGGGATTTAAACTCGGGCCCCCTGAATCTCCAGTCAGGTGCATAGGCGTAGTCACAAGGGGGCAGCGGGGGCACTAGCCCCCCCCCCCCCCCACTTTCAGATATGGGGGGCAAGAGTATGTCTGACCCCCCTCCCCCCCCCCCCCCCACATTAATGTAGAACAAAATCACAGCTATGTTGAAATTATAGTAAACCTCATTTTATGGCAAATTTATTTTATTTCCAGCAACAACTGAGTAAGCATTTCTCTTGAAGTAATAGTAATAGTAATGTAAGATACTTTATACGTGCCCTCCGATAAATATATATATATATATATATATATATATATATATATATATATATATATATATATATATATATATATATATATATATATATAGAATACTATAGAAAACATAGCTACCATATCATTGTGCCCCCCAATAGTAACGTCTGATGACTTTTTTTTTTTTTTTTTTTTTGCTTGTCAAGGAATTTTCGTAAAATATTACATGTTTTAGATCTTTCTTGGATTTGAGCCCCCCACTTTTAAGTTTGTGACTACGCCTCTGAGGTGTTCTACCTACTGAGCTATCTGGCCACCGGCGATCAAACCTGTCTGACCACCACACATAATAGGTAAAACAGAGTTTATCACTTCATGTTTTAAAAATGTTTGGTACATGTACAATATAAGAATCAATTGTGGGAAATTACTTTTAAGATTTTTTTTTAGGCAAGGCCACAGGTGCACTAGCTAGCAATTTGATGTAACTAAAAATGAACAGTTAGAAACTACAATCTAAACTAATACTTCTATATTTTTGTCTGACAAGATGCATAATCTTTCAATTTTGTACTGCAAAAATATACAGAATGGCCATCTTCTTTTAATTCTGTTTTTCTTGAGAGTTAAAAAAATATCAGAATCTAACAAGTGAGGTTTATAAGATAATCTTTTAATTGGGACTGGACTAACATTACTCTTTTCTGCATTTTAAAATGATCAAGATAAGGCTATCAAATTGCTTATTATGAAGATTTCAAATTTATAAGTGTAAAGGAGCCATAAAAATCAAACTATAACACTATCAATTTCATGCCTAAGCATTAATATACTAGGTTTGAAATTAAATTTAAGAAACCTTATAGGCATTGGCACTAGAAATTAAGACAAATAGGAAGAGTGGCACTACTTGCATAAGCTAGCCTTTAAAGAAAAGTTACCAGTAATTTGGAGAATACATGTACCGTGAAATCACTAATTTTCGGAGGAGAGGGGATGGGTGGGTGTTGTTTTCGAGGTATGAAGAGACCCACAAATTCATGTCCACCATGAAATGTATTTTTACACTTCTATTACTACTTCATCAATGAAGTCAAATCCCCATGAACCCTTATTTTTTCTTAAAACCATGAAAATTTGCCCCCCACAAAAATGTGATTTTACAGTATTGTGAAGCACAAAATTACCTTGTAAATCAAAAGAAAGTAAAAAAAAAAATGAAATCAAATTAGGAAGAAGATATAATGGCTGAAAATGTGATACAGATCAGGTGCAGATCCAGGAATTTTTTCCGGGGGGGGGGGGGGGGGGGGGGGGGGGGGGGGACCAGCCCAGTCAAAAAAAAATTTCCAACCCAGAAATTTCTTGACAAGCAAAAAAAATCCATCTCCCAAACATGAAAAAGACCTATTTCATGGTGGTGATGGTGGGGTCCATGCTTTCTAAGGGGATGGGGGGGGGGTCCAAAGTTGTTTTTATTTGCTTCAGTATATACTTATAACAACTCTGCAAATTCCAGGGGGGGGGGGGCAGACACCCCCCCCCCCCACCTCCCCACCCCTAGATCCGTGCATGCAGATATAATGCAAAAATAGTTAAACTTTTATTCCATGCAGTAAATAAGCCTGGTTGCTAAACCAGGTGATTTGTCAACGTTTCTAAATGTGAAGTCTGATAGTGGCCAATTCTTACTCGGAAGCTTTCCCTCCAAAGAGGGGGGGGGGGGGGGACCAGCCCAGTCAAAAAAAAATTTCCAACCCAGAAATTTCTTGACAAGCAAAAAAAATCCATCTCCCAAACATGAAAAAGACCTATTTCATGGTGGTGATGGTGGGGTCCATGCTTTTTAAGGGGGGGGGGGGGGTTCCAAAGTCGTTTTTATTTGCTTCAGTATATACTTATAACAACTCTGCAAATTCCAGGGGGGGGGGGGGGCAGACACCCCCCCCCACCCCCCCTTAGATCCGTGCATGCAGATATAATGCAAAAATAGTTAAACTTTTATTCCATGCAGTAAATAAGCCTGGTTGCTGAACCAGGTGATTTGTCAACGTTTCTAAATGTGAAGTCTGATAGTGGCCAATTCTTACTCGGAAGCTTTCCCTCCAAAGATGGAGTCTTGACGCTCTTCATGATAAATATGCAGGCGTGAAGCGTAGGTAGTTCATGTACCTCATGAATTCTCAAAAATTAAATTCATTCCTCATATTTACATCATTTTCTGATGATTTGCCAAATATTTTTGTCATTCAACAATCATCTTTGAAAAAAAAAGTTTGCACTATTTTTTTGACTTCAATTAGGTCATAATGGATATATTTTTACTCATCCCACGGTAGTTCACAAGAACATGAACTTTTTCTAATTTGCAAAGAATCCTAAGGAAAAATATTTGGAAATGTAAATATTTGACTATGCATGCAAAGATAAAATAATTTTGGACAGATTCAGTAAGACCACCATGTTTTTTTGTGATACCTGGGGACATTAATATTCATTCAAGGGTTTAGTTTCATCCACTTGCATCTTTGAAGCTGTGCCGAGGGCCTTGCAAGCATAAACATTTTGCTCATTTCAACCAATTCATGGGAGATAATTACATGTATTACTTAGGTAAGATAAAAACAGAAAATTTCATGTCTGTAACTGGTCTAGCTACTCATTTTTCTGTCTAATGCACCATTTATTTTAAAAAGTAATTTTAATTTCAGTATGTGAACTTCAGTTTTCAATTTCACAGACAACCAAACTCTAAATCCAAACATTTTCTGTATTTGTACATCTACAATATGTTTATTCTGACATGATAAATCATATCACAATTCCTATTTGAAAACAGGAGTCATAAGAGATTTGTACAGAAAATATACTTTATTCAGATGAATACTTTTATTCAGATGAATACAGCTTTAAACAACCGTAACTCGTGAGACGATATCAATTTTATACTCGTTAACAATCACACAGGAAAACAAAAACAGAAGAATGCTGTGAATTACACTTAAATGCAGAAAGACATTCCATCGTTATACAGAATTAAACTTGCGTGTTAAACCATATCAATTGATTTAAATGTAGA